GGAGGGGAAGGGGGAGCGTAGCACAGATAAACACATAAGAGAGACCAATCGTCTCTACATTGAGAAGCATTGGTAAAGCTGGTCGTCGTTCATCATCTTCTTGCCGACTTTGCGTGGAAAGCGTGTTATGGTTTATCCGAGCGTGAAAAAGTTTTGCGATATACGTTTCCTTATCCGCGCAGCCCAAGGGCGTGAGCGGTACCAAGACCAATTGGCATGGAGGGCAAAAGTCCCGTAGCAGTAACTCCGTATTTGTGATGACTGTTTCTCAAGTGTTTCTCGACAATAGCCGCAACACGCTGGCCGTATTTTGAGTTGCGAAGCGTCGATATATGGGGAAGAAGGAGACGGATGCACATGTCTTTCTGTAGCGGGTCGGCAAGACTGAGAATGTGCTGGACGACATAATTGGCGAATTGATTGTTCATCATTTCAAGAATGGCTGGGCGGCTATAGGAACAGGTTCTTTAGTATTCAAAGTTCCTATAGATGTCTCAAGTCGAAACTTACCCATCGCGGACACTTGGAGTGAGGACGGTCTCGATCATTTCGTACATCTCACGCTTTGGGGCCAATTTAAGACCTTTCTCGACGACTTTGCTGGCGTATTGGTCGATAGCCATTGGATAAAAGTTTTGAATCAAGACCTTCATGACATAATTCTTATCGACCGGTGCCCCGTGCTCGAGTATATGCTGAATGACCCAGTTGCCCCATTGCCCTAATTGTAAATGTTAAAGACTTGGCCCGAAATCAAATGGCACATGAACTCATTACCTCTCGCAACCTCAACCGTTCTCGCGAGAACTTCACACAAGATGGGGCCCTTTTCCTTTTGGGAGCAGTTCTCAAAAATGCATTGTACGACTAAACTGCCATTTTCATCATTGGCAATGGTGTGCCACTGCCCTTTGAGGGATGAATCCAGGTAATGCATGACAGCAGGTGGCTCGGCGCTCCACTTGATCTGAAAGATACGCTGCCAAACGTGGCAGGCAAACCGGTGGGTTATGGTCTCGCGAATGCAGCGGAAAAGCTCGGAAATAAGCGAGGCTTTCAGGTCCTCTTCGACTGTGTCGAGGGCTTTCTGAACAACGTGGCATCCGAATCGGTCACAAGCGAGGTTCAAGACGTTGCCTCGCATGGTTTGTCCCAGGATACGAACTTGCTGAGGAGTTCCTGGAGGCGGGATCGACGTTAAGTCAATGGTCAAAAGACGAGTAGAGATGGTACACCTCACACTTACCAAATTCAAGGGCCCTCTGCATCAAAAAATTTCCAAACCGGTTCTTCATCAAGCTGAGGGCTTGACCAAGGATAGCATCAAAGATCATAGCCTTGACCTCTGCGTTCCCCGTCTTTAGTTTTTGCTGTAAAAGAAGAGACGCAGGCTGGTCATTGGTCCGGACAATCTTGTCCACCAAAAACTAGTAACGTCGTAGGTAGAAACAATGACGTGAGATGGTGGTACATTATGGCAAGAGTATGCCTGCTACTCACGAAAAGATTGGCCGCAGTGTTCTTTTCCTGGGCTGCAGGCAGAAGCCTCCCGTTCCTGCCGTACGACAAGTCATCGTCACCCATCAGCTGGTGATCCATCGAGGTATTCCTCAGCATGCTGGCATCACCGTATGGGTCCAGAATAGGCTTGATGCAAGAACCGCGAATGAGTTTGTTTATTGAGTGAAAGCAACTTTTAATTGGTCGTACCTCGGCTGACAAGGGCATCATGGTAGGTGACATGTTTAGGAAATCCAAGTCGCAAGTGATTGGATTCCAGATGGATTTCCCATTGGACAATCCATCTCCGTTACCATGAGCATTGAAAGGTACAGGCACCTGCTCAATGGATGGAGTGCTGCTCTTGCTGCTGCCGTTACTGTAGAGTGTATCAGACGAACCCTTTGAGATAAATTTTGTGTCAGCGTTTACCATGATGTTAATTCGGCGAAGACAAGTGGTACCTCACGCGTTACCTCGTGCGAAAAGAAACCAAAAGGGCTCATGGTGTTCTCTGCACTGCTCCAGATGGATTTGACCGGGTTGGCGGGAGCGTTTTGCATGCTGCTGGCCGAAGGCGCGCGAGGAGGGTGTTCTCGCGAGGGAAGCTCATTGTTCTCAATTGGAGTTGGCGTCTGCTTTTGCGAAGGCGTCTGGTGGAAATCTCGCCACCAGCCCTCTAAGCTCATCAATTTCTGCGTTGCGTGTCGCAAGTTCGGACTCGAGGGACCGTCTCGCTTCTTGCATTTGCAAGCGGAGTTCTTGAATTTCTTTATCCTTTAATGAAAGCCGGATGCTGTCAGCTTCCTTGGTGGAACGCATTTCAGAGAGTTGGGAGCGACAGTTCTCAAGTTCCCGCTGAAGGGAGAGGATATACTGCTGCGCCAAAACGTTGGGATCTGTCAATGTTTACAAAATGGCGCGGACAAAGCTGTGTACATGACGACTTACATGACCGCTATCCGAATCCTTTTCTTTTAGATCCCAGGCCATCTTTGCATACTCAACAGCGTTGCTCTCCAACCGATATTTGAGATCGCTCGTAGTCCTCAGTGCTGCTCTCAGCTCACTGTCTAGCTGCTCGATCTGCTTGTCCTTCACCTCCAACTTCATTTCATACGAAGCGGTGCTATCCGCCACCTGTCTCCGCAAGGAAGTGATGGACTGAAATATAGAGGTTAGAATGATGTTGCATGGAGAAACACAATCAAACCCACATAGTACGTACCTTTCCAAATTGGTCAATCATGCCCGCTCGCAATTGAAGCTCGGCGGTGCTTCGGGCTAGGCATGCATCACGGTTGCACAACTCGTTTTGCAGAAAGGTATTATGAGTTTGAAGACGGAGCAATGTCTACATACGACACTCTACAGGTTATTTCCTTGGGCGAAAAACAGAAGAGCTGGGCCCACACTGCTGCTTACCTCCTTTCGCGACTTGAAGCCGCGGAATGCAGCCTGAATCTTTGTGGCAGCGGTGACCGTCCCCGCAGGCAGCGCGTTGCGTCGACGCTTGCTGTTCCGAAATGCTCTTTGAATCGTAAGAACAGCGCGCATCATCCTTGGATCATTTATCGGAAAGGGACATTCACTCTAAAGGAGCCAACAGGCAAATAAGGATATGGTTGCACGCTCCTTCAAGGACATCACCAGGTACAAACCATCTCTGGCTGACCCGCATTGGATGCATCCTTTCTCTGCGCCGTGCCATTGCCATTGATGGCCCCCTCAGAGGCACCACGAGCTGCCAAAGAGCCGTTTGACGCATGAGCCGAACCAGTGAGACCGCCGAGATTGGGTGGAGTCCAGGTTGTAGAGTAATCATCCAATTGGAGAGAGGAGAGGGTATACCGAATGACGTCAAAATCCCCAGTTTCTTGCCTCGGTCGCCCATGACTCGCCGAATCCTGCTCCATAGCTGCAAAGATGTCTTTTGCTGAGTGATAATCGGTCATAATCATTGAAACGAGTGACATCTAGATAATGGGATCGGAGTTGCATCAGGGTTAATGTCGAGCATCCAATACAATGTTTTTGATGACCATGGATGTTGCAATCCTGCCACACGTACGCGAGGCTGGCACTCTTTTCAATCCACACTCTTGAAGGAAAGATCTCACAAACAAGAGGTCTAACCAAGGAACGATTTCCTTTTCACGCGCGACGAGGAGCAAGTCGATGTGTGGGGATCAGTTTATTCTTTTTTACTCTCACAACAGGTTTCAGGGCCACTGTGAAACTGACCCGAATCCTGCAGTGAAAGGCTGGGGAGAGAGTAGCTCGGAATGAGCACGACAAAAAGTCCTTTTTATGTACGCTCAAAACAACTGCTTACTACTAGCAATTTGGTCCTAATCCTGATTCCGCGCGTCGGCCTCAGTCTTACGTGATCGAGGTCAGCTCTCAGCTTTTTCAGCTTGCTTAGACACGCGACGGTTAAAAAGTCTTGTTTGTTTTCTAAATCTTTCGGGATTTCGGTATGCGCAACCGAATTGAACCCCCACACGCTTCGGGCCAAGGGATGTTTATTGAACGCTAAAAATCCAGTCAGCGCGAACAATAGAAAAATGGGTGCCGTCGCGGGGGGGCCCGACGACGAGCAATTCAAAAACTCCGACGAAATGCAGATGACTAAGCATGCTCTTCTGGCGCGTTTTGATGGAACAATTTGGATTTGACAAACGTCTTTTTTTTGGTTGAGGACCTCACAAATTGCAGATGCCCGTCGTATGGAGGTACAAACGAATATGTTCGGCGGGGTGACGATGGCGGCAAATGTTGTTGTGTCGCCGGCGGGGAAACCTGTGGAGAGGACGTTTTGGTCTCGCGCGTCCCCAATGGCACGTGAGCCAGCGCTTATCAGTTGGGTGTTCTCTCGTTCAACTTGGTCAGCGACCATCTTTCGATACGAACGCTCGAGAATCGAACAAATCATTGTAGCGTCCGTGTTCAAAGGGGTAGCCAGGTGTCTTGTGTCGTGACATATCCTCAGCGTTTTAACGGACGACACACTTCATCCGACCATGGCCATTATCGCACCAGCAAAAGTATACGCCAAACCTGTCTCCTTCGACAGTCCTCCACGTCCCATTTTCTGCTATGGAACTCTCATGTCCGCAGCAGTGTACTGTAAAGTAGTGCGTATAAACTTGCTTTTCGAATCACGCAGTTCCAATCAGAGTTATTCACACCTCAACAGGTCGGCACCGCATCCGCTCCTTTATCCAAACCAGCAACACTCACAGTCCGTGTTGGGCATTCTGCAAGTTGCCAAACTATCAGGATCTGATTGCGCTTTTTCTGTTAGGGTTACCGCCGACGCCAGGTCCGTGGTGCAACGTATCCAGCGATAACACCCGCCACAGCCGATGATAAAGTTGAAGGACTGGTAGTACACGTTGAAACACACGACCAAGTGCGCTTGTTGGATCTGTTTGAGAGTGATGTGAGCGGGGATGGACATGCATGACTTTTTCATCTTGATCTAACTTTTGTTTTCTCATTGCCAGGATTATGAACGTCAAACAGTTCGCGTCCAACTTGCCGGTGAGATGGTAGAGGTGGATGTCTATGTTTGGGCTTCTGGGGACAATCTGCTGTCCAAGGAGGAATGGGACTTTGAAGATTTTTTGCAGAATAGATTGCAAGACTGGCTGCGAGACAAAGAAGTGTTTGGGGATCAGCCAGAGGATGATCAACAACAGCATCCACATGGTCATCATTTCGTAGCAGCTGCAAGAGAGCTAGATAGACTGAGACAAGCCAATAGTGCATGATAGCAGGACAGCACACACGTTTGAAGTGCTTGAACGGTCAAAGTTGAGCGTTTGAACGCTGTGCTTTACATATTAAGACTCTACGGGATATACTATATATACGATAATAGACGCAACTAAACGCAATTAACAACGACAGCTGTCTAACTTCATTCCAAAATGCAAAATAATAACGACGTATGGTATCTTTCTACCTAGAATCCTACGCGATCTACGCGGAAGGACTTCCAGTTCTGTGCTTTTCCATCTCGAGTTCCAGCTCTTTCAACCGGATATAGGTTATTTCCGAAATAGCTCCACGAGCAAGCAGGGCTTCAGGACTCAGATCTTGATCGGGTCGGGTGCCATCACTAGCAAAAGATGCGCTACCCAGAAGGTTGACAGCATTCATGGGAAACGTTCCAGCTTGTTTTGTGTTCTACAAGAATAGGGTAAGGTACTTTCACAACATGTACGCTTTGAATTACATGCAAGAGAGACTCACAATGTTGGTACCGTACGCCCATCCGTCGTTGAATTTTTGTCTGCAAACACCCAGAATGCGTTTTTAGTGACATAATGAGAGTCAACAACGGCACACCATATACTTACGAAATAGCCACAACATCTCCCTTCCTCAATAGCAGTTCATCAGGCAAGTTTGGTGTAAAAGAAAATGTACAGCAGGCAAATTGATCCAGTTGCTCATACAAGGGTGGAGACGTCGGGTCTCCAGCTAGCATTTGAGCAGCTTGGGCACTCAAAGGACCCGCTCCGATGGACGCGGTTCGGTCGTTGGATTTTGCCACCGTCGGAATTGTCAGATCAGGCATGGTCCACGAGGGCGGAACATGGGGAGCAACCAAGTGACCGACTGGAATGTTGGATATGGAAGGAGGGTTATTCACTCGGGAAATATCGTGCACATGGATAGTTGTGTGATGCATATCGGTAGACTTTTTGGATTCCGATTTGTTGGCACTGAGAACCTTTACATCCTTATTTTTTGACGACTTGTTTCTCGCGCGCCGACGCCACAAGAGCGTGCCGACAATCGCACCCACAACGAGTACTGCACCGGCGCATCCGACTCCTATCTTGGTTTTCAACATTGTGTTTCCTTCGTCTACTGACTTTGGAACCCATTGCAAAAACGTCTCTGCCTTGGTGTCTAGCACGTAGATTTTCTTGTCCATTGGTGCGTCATTAGCCTTGTCGTGGCCGCCCCAGATAATTATTTTGCTGGGATCAGCGGTGCTGACAACCATACTGTGGTCTCGTCGAGCACTAGGAGTTAGTCCAGCCGGTGCCAAAGGTTTGAATCGTTTCCAGGTGATGTTGGGCAGATTATTGCCATCGAACGTCCAGATATCATCGTAGGACGCGTCGTTACTACCAAAGGTACCGCCGCCAAAAACGTACACACGATTTGCATTGTCCACTACAAGGCGAGATGCTGATCGAGGCCCTGGAAAGCCGTCTGGACCTGTAACATTGGCCAAGACCCACTAAAAGAATTGCGTGAATATTAGCAAGTTTGGCCTGAAGTACTAGATTCTGACAAATGAATCCCTACCTGTCCATTCGGACCAATGCTAGTATCAAATACCTCGCAAGTGTTCACAGAAGGTCCTTGGCCACTAATTGCGCCAAAGCAGATGACGAGCCTGCAGGACGCGTACATGAGAATCTGTCGCTTGAAAGAGAAGTCAGATGAGGACCTACCATTTTCCGACCGCAACGGAACAAGTTCCTACTGTCACAGGAGGCGCGCCCGTCTGGTTCAGAGGTGTTATTTGCAGCCAGCTGGGATTGTAGATGTATTGATAAGCATGCCAAATGTATCTCAGACACATACGCCCTTGGACTTACGTGTTTGTAGTCAGATCTAACCTCCAGAGTTCCTTATTAAAAGGTTCACTGGTTCCTGCTGCGTATCCACCATATATGTAGACGGCATTCCTGGAAGCAACATACGCAGCTGAATGCCCATATCGCAAGGCAGGTCCCTAATGAGAACGTGAAAAATGTGAGCTGCTATGCGCTGATGACAAGGAACACTAGCATGCACATACAAATGTCGATCCTGGGGCTGGCTGCGTGACCAAAGGCTCAATCTGTCCTGTGAGAGGATCGAACCACGAGACGGCGCGGTCCCGAATGTACGCTTCTGGGGAATACGAGACGGCGCCAAACGTGAGCAACACCCTCGACCCGACAGTCACTGCGACGACGCCGGTCGTAGGAGGAAACTGGATGTCATCGTATCTCTTCCAGACAAATTCTGTTCCTCCATAGTCAAATGCAGCGACCTGTTTACAAACGAATGAAATGCATCAAAGGCGAGATCGATGCAAGCTTTTAAGCGATCGTTCATGGTGTCTAGCGTTGGCGCAAAAGCAGCAACCTTGCAACTCCCGCCCTTCCAATACACTCGCAGCAAAACTCACGAACCTGTGTAGATCCAGGTCCCGAAGAACGGGCAACGTTCTCGTCGACTCCGCCGAGAACAAACAGGCGGTTGTTGAGGGTAAAAGTTGCTTGTGCGTACACGGGGCTGGGTGGGTTGATATCCACGAGCGCGGCGGCTTGCTGAGCTCGGACGTTGGTGAGAGACGCGACGACGACGATGACTAGAACCCAAATGACCAGCGCCTGCATTGTCCAGCGATGAAGATGCGTCGTGTTAGAAAAACAAAATCCCGAGATGGAGCAATCAAGCCTAAACGCAATTCCCACCTTTTCATAGAACCTTTCTCTACAAAAATTCGACAACGAGAGAAAAAAGACTCAAAAAGACAAACGTTCTGGACTTTTGCAGGGGAACATTGTAGAGGCACAGTCATATAGATATTGTGGCACAGTCGTAGTATGGCCGCGTGGCGACGAGAATGAAATTGTGGGATCCTTTCTGCACCACGACGGCTGGACCAAAGGGTTCCCGTGGGCCCAGCGACTTGTGGAAGGGTGCTTTAGAGCAGTTGAGCAAGCAGGCAGGTCGATGGCAGGTCGATCATCCTCCTGCTAGGCATCTGTTCGCTAAACACCCTTCTCCATATTCTTACAAACCTTGTACATTTTGTGAAAACGGAAAGCATCTCGTATAAATGTATCATATATATTAAATTACATTCTATCAAGGATACCCTCAAACTCTTTCCAATCTCTCATGACAATCTTGGCTCCAGCCTCCTGCAGGACCTTTGTCATCTCCTCCTGACGCTCAGGCTCATAACTTCCCACATAGCCAACGACCGGGATGCCCGCTCGCACAGCACTCAGTGTTCCCGATTTGCTGTCTTCCACGGCCACGCATTGCTCAGGCTGCTTGCCAATGACTTTGCAGGCAAAGGTATACACTGCTGGATCCGGTTTGGATGTGGGAGTAGGAAGAGACGTAGCGGCACTAAAGATGTGGTTTTCAGGGAAATATGCGTCTTGACCCGCCTTGACCAGGGATGCGCGGACCCGCCGCTCAGCAGAGGAAGACACTACAGCCAGTCCATATTGCTTCTCCTTGTAGAGCTTATCCAGAACCTCGTTAACGCCGACACATGGCTCCACCATCGCAGACAACTTTGCAATCACTCTGTCCTCTTCTTCCCGCACCAGTCGTGTGAGTTCGTCTTCGGGTATGGGAAATCCATACTTTTTCTGCAGTGCAACGACCATTCCGCGAAAGTTCATTCCAACAAACTCGGAAATGAGCTCCTGTGGTGTAAACTGGACGGAGACATTATGTTGGGCAAGGATTTCGTTGATGAGTCCGCAACAGGCTTCAAAGGCAAGATGCTCTGACAGGACGAGCGTATTGTCGCAGTCAAAGAGAATGTGGTTGATGGTGACAGTCATGATCGTTGGTCGTTTGGGTTCAAAAGTGTCCAGAGTAAGAATGGGGCCGCTGCTTTTAAAGAAACCCCCGGACCAAGAGCGCTGATCGTCGGGGGACGGGGGCGGGGGCTTAGTTGCCAGGGCTGACGCCGGGGCGCGGGGAGCCTTCCACGAACGCCGGGGCGGATGGGTTTCGGTGGTGGCTGCTTGTTCACTGCATCCGGATCCAGCATGCGTTATCTCATCGATATGTGGCTACAGAAATGACGTCTATTTGCTATGGATACAACTGGGTGGCGGATTTTCGATTTTTCCATGGGAAGGCGACGGGCCCCCGACGCCGCAACTGAAAAACTTTGACTTGTGTTACCTTCTTCAAATGAGCGGTCAGTTGGGCGCAGTCATGCCGGAGTGTCGGATGCGAGAACCGCTCTATAAGCGAAATTTCGATTGGGGAATATTCGTTTGCCGCGTCAGAAACCTTAACCTATTTATGTTGGAAAGGGCGCCACGCTGTATGAAATCAGCAAGCATTATAATAAAAGATAACACTCTTGCAATCTACTTGAACTGATTTATGATGACATGTTCCAGAAGGAGCGTTTGTGACTATGCAGGAAGTAGGGAACAATGGCAGCAGCGAATAAACTTTCAGAAAACAAGCATGCCGATGATGACCAAAGGTTATTTGCCCAAATTCCTTGGAATGATCTGCAAGCAATAATATTGGCATATGAAAGGAAAGGAGGAAAGGGACGAGTATTCCAAAAGGCACTTGGGAGGCGGTAACGACATTGCGTGTTGATATCAAGGTACCTGCTCTGTTCTTACGTCAATTAAAATGATCTTGTATCCGCACATTGGACTCTTGAGGAGGGAACCCGTCCTAGAACCCTTGCACGGTGCATTGGCCAAAGTGTGTTAACAGTTGGCTCAGACTTGGCAAACGAAAAAGGGAGTAACACGTTGCTCGAAAGTGCCCAGCATTATCGCTATTTCCGGGTATCTACGCCAAGTCCTTGGGGACTCAGCCCTTCCTCTGCCATCCATTTTTTCATCCCAAATCTTTGCACACCTTCAGCCTTGAAGAAGGCCCCGTTTTACAACAAAAGAATAACTCGGGTCCTTTGCATGTTTCACGTGTGCTAATGTTATGGATGGATTCAGGAATTACAATGCATTCTAATTAATTAGGAATATTCCCACTGCCCTTGATCAATGTATCCCACATTGCAATCTCATTCGGGCCCTTTGCTTAGTCAAATCGATACTAAGCCATTGGATACGTTTCCTTCTCCTCCACCACCCGACTTGACTTTTGATGGGGGGTCTTTGCTGTCGATATGGAAAAGGTTATAAAAAGGACAATCATCTTTCTTCCCCCTCCTTCCACCAAAACTCATCTCTAAAAACACGCATTCGGATAGTGTTTTTTATTTTATTATTCTTCTAGCTAGGATTTGAGTTTTGTTTATTTTAATTGCCATAAAGTCGATCGTCAGATTTACTTTCATTGTCGAATCGATTGTCCTTGATAGTTTAATTCCACCTACTTTTAAAAACAATGGTGAGTTTCAAGGACATGTCTTTTACTTTTGTTGATTTCAGTCTTTACTCACAAATGCCCCCCTTTTAAAATTAAAAGGCTCCTGCATACCGCGTTCAAGACAAGAAGCTTCATCGTGCCGCTGGCGACACTGAGAAGCACTATGAGCGCAAATCCCAGGTCGACCCAACCTTGCAAAAGGATTTCGTACGGACCAAGCTCGATGCAGCTCGTGCCATTTTGACCGAACTCGCTTCAAGACCCAATGCCAACCGCATCAAGACAGGCAGTGCCGAAGATCTTGTTCCCAAAAAGCCTTGCTACCAGCTCTGTCGTAGCACTCTGCATCAGCTGCCCGCCACGGTCAAGCGCCCCGCTTACAACCCGGCTACTGTGACGCCCGGTATCCTCCACATTGGTACCGGAAACTTTGCCCTTGCTCACATGGCATCGTACGTCAACGACATGCTCGAGCACGACCAGCGATGGGGTATTGTCGCCACATCCATCCGAAGCAACAAGACCATCTCTGCTCTTCGCAAGCAAGACGGCATGTACGTCCTCGTCGTCCGTGAGAACCAGAACCGCAGCTCCTCGGTACTCGCTCCCGTGGTAGACACCATGTTTGGTCCAAAAGATCCTCGTGCTCTCATTAGTAGAATGGGCGAGGAAAACATCAAGATGGTTACCGTCACAGTCACCAACAAGGGATACTACCTTGCCGAAGGCGGCAAACTCGATGTGTTGCATCCCGACATTATTCACGACTTGGCACAACCCGACCGACCCAAATCTATTTACGGTTACCTTGCAGCCGGTCTCAGACTTCGTGCCCAGACCATCAAGACTCCCATGACGATCATGTCTCTCGACAATATCGAGCAAAACAGTAGCACGATGAAAAAAGTGTTTGTCGAGTTTCTCAAGCTTGTCGACCCTGAGCTGGTCTCTTGGGTTGACGACAATGTCGACTTTCCCGTTACGCTCGTCGACCGCATCACACCCGAGCCTACCGAGGCGTTCCGCAAGGACGCACACAAGGAAATGGGATTCGACTCGACTCTGACCATTGGTTGCGAATCCTTCCGCCAACTGGTTGTTGAGCGCGGACGATTCCCCGAGACGACTCCCGGCTGGGAAAAGGTTGGCGTGCAAGTTGTCGATTCTTGCGCCGAGTACTGGCAGCGTAAATTCTACTGCCTTAATGCTGGTCATCTCATCGTTGCTACCTGCGGCCACCGGCTTGGCTGCAAGTACATTCACGACACAATGCACAAGCCAACCATTGCTCGACTCCTCACCAAGGCACAAAACGAATGGTGCACCTTCCTCAGCGGCAAGCCTGCTGAACTCAAAAAGTACACGGAATGCATCCGAAACCGGTTTTCAGATGCTAGTCTCAACGACACTGTTCGCCGCGTCGGTGCCCGAGCAACCAGCAAAATCTCTGACCGATTGTTGTCTTCGGTCGAGCGCGCCATGGCCGCCACTGGCAACAAAACTGACGTGATTCGCGTGCCTGCCTTCACCATGGCTGTCTGGCTCCTCAACCTTTCTCGGACCAACGAATCGGGCGTCCAATTTGAAGCCGATGACGCCGAGTATCACAAGGTTCACCCCATTTACACGACCGCCATGGGTCACCTCGTTGCTTGCCCCAAAGAAGCCACCCACCTCCCCATGGATGCTACACGCGGCCTCCTCCGCTCCCTCGCATCGACGCTCAATGAACAGCGCTTCAACCGCCTCGCAGACGTGGACGCCTTTGTCCGCACATTTTCCTGGTCGCTGTTTGCCATTCACCGCATGGGACTCGAGGCTGCTATTGAGACCTTGTTGGAGGCGACGCCTGCATTACCGGCGAGTGTCAAACGCGTCGCCAGCACAGAAGCCAAGAGGGAAATGTGGAAAAAGGTTCACATTGGGGGAAAGGTCAAGATTGTTCGAGAGTTGACCGTTTAAAATGGACCGACATTGAACGAACCGCTTAATACCCATCTGTGGCGGTTTCTTTGACATTTGCCGTTTATTCTTGCATTGATTGCGAATATCTTTTTTTGCTTGTTTCTTGTATTATAACTTTATATTTCTTGTTAATAAATTATTGTTTGAAAAAGACATGTTGGAGAGTTGAGACTTTTGGACAGAAAAATAGCCACGTGACTTGCATTCGGACTTTTATGCAGATGGAATTGTATCTTTTTAAAGTACTATTGATGAGGAGCGCAACATGAGCGGTATGCATCAACTAACCTACTGAACATTCCATGCATCTCTCTCATCTTTTCCGTTTGTAAATCCTTGAACGTTAGTAGGATATGTATGAACATTCGTCTTGAATGAAACCACAAATACAGTTTGCTTTCGTACACTATGGGCCAAAACTGTCACATACTTGGCTCCTCCTCGACGGTCCTTGTGCTCCAAAACCAACAGTATACGAAACTTACAACTCATTGTCATCCTTTTAAATAAGGCCTCAAAGATGATGGTTATTGGCGACGAGATCGTGACCTGTGTCATCCTCTAACAGGAGCCCTCAAAACAACCCATATCCAATTGTTCAATGATTTGCACAAGGTTGTGTTTTCTTTCCAAGAGAGTCCTGTATACCGGAACTCGTTTCTTTTGTTGGCTATCTATAACTGATGCGCCATTGTAAGATTCTATCGTGTAATCCTTTTGAAAACCATTTCCTGTACAATGTCTCTAGATTTGTTTATAGAGCGCCGGCATAACCATAACTCAAATGTACAGATCACATGGTTAATGCAAGATGGAGGATGTGCAGATACTCGAGGTGGACCTAAACCTCGGACGGCTCCGCTATCTGTCTAGATGGCGACATTGCCGTGATACAGTGTACCTTTTCCACAATGACTCGTTATTGGAATCAATGACAAGAGGTATGCCTTAGCAAAGGTAACAGAGGTTAATTGGATCTTTTCTCATTTTCCGCAACTCGCATGTGCCAGAAGACGAAGGTATTGTCAAAGCCGATTGTACAGGCTTCAGAGGATAGCACAACTCCTGTCCGTATCCAATGGACATTTTGGCCAGGTTCCATTGTCCAAATCCAATTGTGTGCAGGTGGAGGTACTGCGAAACTGTCCGTCCAAAGCGATATTGCGGACCGACCTGAAAACGAATGCTAGATTTAGACCACTTGTACCTCGTACAGAATGCGCGAGATGAGTGGGTTTTTTTTCACACTCCTCCGTACGGTGGACAAGGTAAAATTCTCAAGTCTATCCGCACATGATATGTCGGAAATCCATGATTCTTGTCAACAGTGCTCACTGATCGTCCATCTTTTCTGACTAACAGTCTCCTAGTCTTTTCAGACCAACGGTCTTGATGGTAATTTAGTTGATGTTGCGCCCGGAGGATGCAAACAGGTTTATATTACAAGATGGAACACACTTCAGAATACCGGGATGCATGTATCTCAAATGTCACATTTGGTCATTTTTAGCACGACAATCATTCCCTTGCAGAGCCAGCAATCCATGTTATTCACATGCTATCATCATTAAATTTGTGCAAATCTTGTAATGCACGACAAATGAATGAAGGCTGAACTGAACGCACAATTCATCTTGCCTTGTGAGCCTTATGAAGGAGGGGTCTGGAAGACGTCAATGCAACTATTCTGAAAGACGGGGGTCGCCCATCAAAAGGTCACAGCTGTCAAATCGCGATTTCCCCGTCAAAAAGCTTGCTGGCGTGTTTCTTGGCCACTTCCGCCATGCTTTTTAACGTCCCCCCTTTCCATCCCTCGACATGTCTCGCGCATGAGTTGTTGCAACCTTTTTCAAAATGCCCTTAGCAGCCAACCATACTCACACCGCACCAAGCTGTTCGAATTGCACATACCTGATTCAGTCACTTCAAGACAAGGACGGCGAGATAGCGGCACTCAAGCTCAAGGTTGAAGGTTTGGAGCAAAAGCTGAAATTCCAAACAAGGAGTACGGACAATGAACTGCGTCGAAACCAAGCGGTGCATAGACGAGTGCAGCAAGAGTTTCTGGACGCAATTCACGACGTGTGTATATTTGAGCGGAAATTGAGACCTGGTCAGATAGAGGCGCTCAGGACACTGAAGAGGTTGGGAACGGGCAGCGCTCCGAGGAATGGACCTGTGCGGGGAACCGTTGTAATGCCCACTGGATCCGGAAAGGCGCTGGTAGCCCTTTTGGCTCAGTTCTACCTCCGACCTAGAACGACACCTGTCATTTTCCTTTCCGCATATATCCATCCCACGTCTTCACTCCATGTCGTGCTGTGCGGGAACACGAATCAACATAACGCCCAAGTTGCAGACTTCCTTTGCTCGAGGCTTCCCTTTGATTGCGATAAAATGTTCACCTTTCGGGACTTTTATAGTCAGACATTCACGGTCATTGCTAGCTCTGAGCACAAATCTTCCCGTCGTCGACCGTGGTGGAAGAAATCCCACGCACCAACCGTACTGTTTTCTACTTTTCAAACATTTACCGAAAAATGCAAGGCGGCGGTTGACCATATCGAGCAACGTTGTTCATCCATTTCAGGAGAAGCAGATCGGTTGATTGAAAAGAAGAGGCAAATGGACAAGCTGATTGATCCGACTCTCATCATCATTGATGAGTCCCATTTGTCGTCTGAAATGGTTAACAGTGTTGAAACGAGATTCCCTCATGCTCATGTTATTTGCTTGACAGCCACCCCACAGTCACAAGATAAAATACTGTTCGAGCTCAGAGATGCAGATGCGATCAAAACTGGCATGGAGACTGGACAACAAACGAACAAAAATCCAGTCTTTGTTGAAGTAGAAATGAACCTAGACGAAGTCGGCCTTACCTGGAACTCTTCTACATTAAGCAAACGACAAATAGAACACGAATCTTGCACGTCCAAAGCATTTTGCCGGGCATTGTTGGAAGAACCTGTCGTTCAAAGAACGTATGCGAAAAGCATTGCAGTTCTCATCGGGCATCTCCGCGCGACGATACATCCCGCGCTGTATGCAATCCATAGATGTGCAGATATCGCAACCGCAAAAGCTTACGAGAAACTCTTTACTGAGCTGCTGGGCGTAAAGGCAGTGCGAGTCATCACGAGCGAGACATACAGGTCGTGTGGCACCGAAAAGGTCATCAAAGACCTCCATACCAAAGACCCAGAACTTCAGATCGTGATATTAGTGAGGATGCTCACAGTGGCGTTTCACGACCCACTCATCGGTTTGGTTTCGGTCGCGGACTTGAGTCTCGCAGCCCATGAAGTAGTGCAAACGTGGGGCCGAGGATCCTCTCGAGAAGAAACTTCGCAGAAATGGTACGTGGTACTCACGCCCGCCATTGCCCACTTTGATTACGCTTGGCGATTTTGGAAGGCAAAAGCATATTTTGGGATTGAACGAGCATTTGAAGTCGTCAAAGGCGGTGATCCTTTTACGGAAGAGGAAGCAAACGTGATGGGTGAATTCACGTCTGACTATGTTCGCGAGACACGGGGAGGTCGAGATACGATCAAGATAAACAAACCGCATCGACTGCAAGGAAAATTCACAATCCGCGATTTCCTGGTCAATGACACATTGGTGACGCCAAATTACGAGGAGAAGCGAGACATCGAAGGGTTGTTGAGACGAACCACCGCACCGGCCATCAGGCCCCCATCTCCGTTCGAAGAGCCTGATCAGCACTATAGTGATCATTCTTTCGAATGGTCGTCGGAGGCAGAGGAGTCCGATATGCTGTCCACTACTAATACGGTAAAACCTCTCATCATGCAATCTGATATTCTGGCACCGCAATCTCGTTAACTGACTCTTCTTAGTCCCCTTATCCAACCCCACCCTCCGTCCGAACAATCCCTATAACCTACATGTGTGAAATTTGTTCATTGCATTTCGATACTTTGGAATCACTCGAGGTTCATAAAAAGCGTTCCGCAACGCATCAAAGAAAGGTCAAGGAGACCATCCCGCAGCATCGTAGGGAAAGTCCAGCTCAAGCCGATCAGACGAGTCCCACCTATCGCAAGAGCAATCAGTCGGATCGATATTGTCAAGTGTGTGACGTGACTTTCACCAGGCCGTCTTCACTTTTGAGCCACCTTGAAACGATGAGGCATCGTGCAGCAGTTGCACAATTAAACACGCCGACTCGCGAGAGGAACAGTCCCGCCCGACCCAAGAGCGCACAGTCGGAACAATATTGCCAAGTGTGTGATGTGACTCTCAGCAGGCCGTCTTCACTCTTGGAACATTATGAATCTATGAGCCATCGCTCAGCAGCTGCCCAGTTCAACAGACCCACTCGCAGTCCAAGAAAGCATTATTGTCAACCTTGCGGTACAGCATATAACTCCAAACGTAGCTTAGTGAGACATACCCGGGAGTATCATGGAGCGAAGGAGCCTATATCCCTTCTATCAGAATCAGAATCGGAATATGAGCCTGCATTCGACCTGTATCATCGATTCCGCGATAAGCGCCCCAATCCGGCTAAACTGTCAGACTATCATTTGCAAACTCTCGGCGATTGCCCCGCATCAACGTCCCCGTCCGTCCAGCCTGAATCAACTGTGATTGATATCGACAGTGATGCTGAATCAGAAGAATCAAGTACCGATAGCAATTTAGATGGCTCTACTGAGCGAGTAAGCAGGACGTTCTCTTACGATCAATCGACAAGCTTGTCACGTAAAGGACGACGCTTGTCGTGGCGATTCATGGTCGATTCAAATGATCAACAGAGTGTATCGAACGATACTGTGACTCCACGCAAACGACCCAAGTATCTTTGAACATGTATATAGCAAAGATTTTATTGAGTGGAATATTGGGAAGGAACCGAACCGAATTTACAAATTTTCATGCAACATATATCCTGCACGACTGTATAAACATGTATATTAGAGCGACTGATGCGTAACCACATCCCAAAGAGATTCCACAAATGTCAAAAACAAATCTATGAGATATCGTTGCGTTGGCCCTTTATGGAATCAAACGGATGAACAGCGCTCCCCTGGATGAACAACCTCCACCAAGGCTTCCAGTTCAAGCTCTTCACCTCCAGATCCATCTCCTTCCATAATATCCACTTTATTAATCCTCGCCTCCCTTCTAATCTGCCGCTTTAGCATCGCTGCATGATGCACACTCGCAACCACACTAGGCGGTGGATCATACTTGTTGATCGCCGCAACTTTTTCTTCGGGTGACACGGGCAGAGCATCCAGGACCGTGAGTTGAGAAAGGAGAAATACAGTCCGCAATCGATAGGATGGTGAATTTGTTAATGGATTATCGGATAGGTAGAGGTCCCGTAAATGTATGAGGACTTGTAACTGAGCCAATGAGTCAATACTGTTTAGATTGTTGAAGGATAGATCGATGAGACGAAGGGATGGGAGACTGGGGAGTGGTGTTAGACTTGTTATACAGTTGTGTCCAATGTAGAGGTCTTCAAGGTCTCCAAGTGTTGCAAGGCCTTCCAGACTGGCAATACGGTTATATCTCTTTATGGATGTTTCGCAAAAGATGAGCACAAACCTCTCTGTCTCAATAGATCAACCAACATTCTGACTTACCAGGTCCAAATACCGAATAGGTAGGCCCTCCAATCCCTCAATCATCAAAATACCATTATTCCTTAAACTGAGGTGAGTCAAATATCTACAATCCTCCAGCCCACTAATTGTTCGGATCAGATTCCCTATCAACTACAATAGTTATCAGGGTATTCCTATCCACAACGAAACCAATGTGGTTGGGCACTTACGATCCAAACACAATCTTGCCAGGAATCTGTGCCGTCCCATCTGTCCAATCTCTGTAATTTGGTTTTTGGAAAGATCAACGTGTTGGAGATTGTACGGGGGATCGAAATCGAGGGCTTTGGTCAGTTTGTTGCCCGATAGATCAAGGTGTGTCAGATAGCGCAAGTGGGATAGTGTGGAGGTATCTAGCGCAGTGCAAGTAATCAGAAAGGTACAATGCTATGGCATGAAAAAGCACTTTTCGTCCCAACCCGAGATGCTATTTCCGGGCAGTTCGAGAATTTGCAGGTACCGATAGTTTTGGAGGAAAGAGATTTGGGAAATGTTTGCATTCTAATTAGTGAGAAATATCAATGTATGAGTGACATTGACTGGCATTGACTGGAATAATTAGCGTCCAAATCCGACAGGTTGTCCTAACCGGTATCGATAACTTGGTGTAAACTTGCTTTAGCTCTTCAGGTGATCTTCCCAAATTTGATAATCCTCGCTTCAACACTTCAAAAGGTACTGGCAGCGCCTCAACTCTTTTACGATACTCTGCTTCTTCATTTACTGCTGGAATCTCTTCAACATCTGGTACAGCTTGATCCTCTTTCAACACCTCATCCTCCACCGACGCAACGGTCCCCTCTTGAGGTGTCCTTCCCCTGGACTTGTTCTCACCAGCGGAACCAGGCCGGACAGAAGCCCTACTGACGGACCGAGAACCGAGATTGGCCCGTGAACCGGAATTTGCGAGTGAAGTCTGGCTGGTTGATTTTCCCGATCCAGGCCTGCGTTTAGATGTGGTTGAGAGGCGGGTTGTCGAGTTTGTGGAGGATTTGGTCAGTTTTGATGTCACTGCTGATGACACTCGGGAAGTACTCGCTGCTGGCGGCTTTTTGCTCATCCTTTGCTCTTCGTCGAGTATAGGTTATCTGGACGTTGTGTGAAAAGTGACTCGTTTTGCCAATCCAGTCTGATCATGATGAGGGTGATGAGATAAGCACATGGTTAGTCACGCGAATCGTTGGTGCGGAGTCTTTTTGGATCTTTGGCAGTTCACCAGGGCGATCTAGTTTGTTTGAGCTCACTTTCTCAAAATGGCGAGCCAAGCACCTTACGAGAGCGCAAGCTCGCTATATCTTCCATCTACCGATTTGACCCCCTATCATCCATTGCCAGAGGAAATCCTTCAAATGTCCGAAGCTGAGACAGCATGTCAGTACTGTGGAATATCATACCTTCTTCTGACAAAGTATGAGCGTATGCAAGAACATGTCAAGGGATTGGAAAAGGACTTGCGCAGCATGCAGGTGGGGTGAGAGGTGGGTTGGTTGCAACTTGGGCATTTGTGAAACTTGTTCTAATACCTTTTCCTGTCCTTCTCGGTTTATCCAGGATTATGCTCGTGAGAGGCCTGAATTACTAGCTCGAATGGATTCATTAAGCGACGCACAACAAAAAGCCGCTCGGAAAAATGAGGCATTAGAGGAACAGTTGAAGAAGGTGCAGGAAGATGCACAGAAATCTCGAATGGCTTTAGAAGATGCGCAGGCCGAGAATCAAAGGGTTACCAATGACCTAGTATGTGGATCTGTGTATTCTGCCCCAAACCTCATGCATTTTAAAACAAGATACGAATGTTAGGAAGTATCGCGACAGAAATATTCAAAAGCAAAGGAAGATCAGCGACGGCAAATACACGAGCTTGTCCAAATTCTCACGAGTATACGCGCGGAACTTTTAGATCAACGAAAGCAAGTCAATATAGTGAAGGCAGATGTGCGACAGACGTAAGCTACAGACTTTTAAGGGGAACGTTTTCGATGACGCTCATATCACTCGAACGATTGTTTAGGTATTCGCGCAACCTCCGAGAGATCCTGCCAACCGTTCAGCAGGGGTTGACCGGCCAGTTTAATTCCTATCTGCGTAAACAGTGTGAAGCGGTTCGAAAGGCAACGCAGCTGAAAGCTCAGGGGGATATGGGGATTCTGCAAAAGGAGTTGGATAACCTACGAGGGGAATTGCAGGACAGGTGAGGGATAGAAAGGAACAACCCGTTGATGAATTTACCGAACTGATTTTCCTTGAACAACAGCCAAGACCGAAATGATCGCCTTATGCATGATATAAACATCCAGAAACTGGAAGCATCCGAGCATATAAATACGCAAAAAAGTTAGAATGCAATGGTCCGTAATCACAACGGTGGGTACTCGGCTAATTCCTTTTCGTAGATTACGCCCAAGGTTTACAAGCGACTTGCTTGAAATTGGAGGACCAGCTGCATGCCGCAAATACCCTGGTTGCGGTACGCATCGTATTCACAAGTCCCTTGACGAAGAATTTATGCTAAACCAGGCAACATGACGCTTCCAGGACTTGACGCATGAACGTGATAAGCTCCGCACCCGAATGCATGAGCTAGAGAGCCGCTTTTCTCAAGAAAAAGATCTTCATCAGAAAGACATATGTGCTCTCGAGAACAGGATCGCCGTGTTGGATGGGAAAGTTGCACTCAAGGAGGTATGACGCTATAATGTCTCAATAGTTGGTCAGGATGTCATGAAGAGTAAAGGAACCCAACCGACAGAGAGAATTGAAAGAAGCATTGGACAGGTTCAAGGAAGAGCGGAGGTCTCTGGAGGAAGGAGGCACTGCTCTCGCCAATGCTCACAGAGCCATGGCGCAAAAAGATGTGTGTACATACCTGTTCTCACAGCCTGAGTGGAATTTACTGAACCCACTTAAATGTTGCGCAGGAACAAGTCCACGTTTTGGAGCGCACTGTCCGGGATCTTCATTCGACAATGCAAGGCTTACGCGCGGAAAGGTAGCTGTTCACAATACAAATGTTTTCGATCTGTTGTATTCTTACCTAGAAGTTTAGGCAAAAAACCATCGAAGCGCATCAAAGTAGGATAAAACAGCTTCAAGATAAGTTCCTGGAAGACATCAAAGAAGCCGGACGAACGGAGGTAGACTTAAATCGTATACCAAATGCAAGGTGGATCTTGACGATATACGGTTCTATGTTTGCAGGCCGACAAACGTGAAGCAGAACTTCGCCGAACCTTGACAGCTGATAAAGAGGAAGCACTTCGACATCTCAGAGAGACTTTGAATACGGTAAGATCAGGTTCTCGCAAAATGTTGAGCGATCACCCGGTAATTGATGGTCATATTCGGGCAACAGGAAATGAATGTTGCGCGGGATCGTCTGCAGCGACAAATTGATGCATTGCGGCTCGCGAAAGATGAAGCAGATCTTCGGGCGGCTCGCCAAGTGACGCACGCTGAAGAAAATTGGGAGCGAAAGTACGCCGTATTGAATGAGCAGCTCAGCAAGTTGCAGGTGAGAAATTGGTTCGTTCGTTCAGTGCCTCAGCTGCTCGCATTAAGCGAATACTATGCAGTCATCCAATGCCGCAGACTTCGCTCACTACCAAGCGCGTATTCGGGCCCTCGAGGAACAATTGGCACTGACATCCGCTCGTCCATCCTCGCAACCATGTACTGATCCCAAGGAGCTCGCAGATTTGAAATCAACACTGGCCAAAAGAGAAGCCGAAATTAAATTCCTAAAGGAAACGGTTCGATTGGAATGTGAGGAGCGGATGGAACTCCTTGCAAAGCTTTCAATCATCCAACGCGGAGGATCTGGCGAGAAGGGTGCCACAACGCCTCAGGTCAATTATCGCCCAAGTAGCGCTACCCCACAAAAGTTATCACAGACACAGTCGATGCCGCATCTGCCCCCTGCACGCGAAATGACGAGCCCATCAGACCCAGGGGAGAAAACATTCCAGGCGCTCATGAAAGCGGCAGCAGCTAAAAAGGGTAAGGTCCTGGCCGCACGATCGAGTGCGGACCTGAGGAGTAGTGCAGTATTAGCCAGGGGGGCGGCAACCAGGTCGTCGTGGAGTATGGGCACTGGAAGAAGAAAATAAATTGTGTACTTTTTTTTTAGCTATCTACATGGTGTTGAAGGATGAAGCCCACTTCTATGCCATCTAAGTCAAAATCTTCCTAATAATTGATATCTCTTGGCTTCATATGAAACCCATTTCACATATCCATCGTCACTTCTCTGTTTATAACGCAATGGTCTCCATCCCTCAGGTAGCGTTATGATGTACCTTGACCACATCTTCCATTCCATCCAATTGCTCTAACAAACTTTCAAAATTTTTCGATTCAGCATCCGACACAGCGACCTTCTCTTCACTCACATATGCCGTTTCAAATTCCTTGATTTCATATCCTTTGGCCTCAAGTCCCTTTTTGACTGCAAGAAGATCCTTCACGGCACAGTGTACCTCTAGAGTACCTTCCGCCTCGTCTGCTTCAACGATATCCTCTACTTCGCACTCAATCGCACAATCTTCCATCTGCGAAATCGAATGACCCGATGTCCCTGCACTAAACACGATACGCCCCGTTTTGGTGAAAAGGTAGGCCACGGGCGTCATGCTGCCTCCTCGCTTTGTAAATGCATGCCGCACTTCTGCAAATGTCCGGTTCCTATTATCCGTCAGCGCCTCGACAATACACGCCACGCCAGCGGGACCTAAACCCTCGTAAACGGTTGAGTACAATTCTTCAGCTCCTCCTGCAGTAGCACCAGAGGCCTTTTTAAGAGCGTTTTCCAGTGTTGCCTTGGGCAATTGATGTGAACGGGCAAGTTGGAGGGCGGAGGCCAAATACAGATTATGAGATGGATCAGTCTCGCCACCTCCGGCTTTGACCGCAGAGATGATTTGTCGAGTAATTTTAGATGTCTGATTAGCCCTCTGCAGATCGTTAGCACCTTTTGCTCGCTTGATCTTTGACCACTTGTTGTGACCTGCGTGACGGACTTGGGAATGAGACGTCGATGGTGGACAAGGATGGGAGGACGGGGCGCAAGGGCACTTGGAGCCAGAGAGTCGCTGATTGGATATAAGAGCTCCCCATCTTTGCCCAGACCATCGAGGAACCCGAAAGAAGGACATGTGTGCGCCAATGGGAGATCTCAAAGTCGTTTGAGGCTCAAGGCTCAAAGGCACGGAGATGAGTGGCACAGCACACGGAGCCATTCGGACTCAGTTCGTCGGGCTTCGGACAACTTTTGAACAGGATCTTACCAGGACATTACTTGTTTCTTTTGATGCTGCGACGCTGGACGTAAGAACCTGCTGTTCCCTGTTATCAAACACAATTGGTAGTGGATGCTGTGGACTTGTATCTCCGAATGTATCTGTAGAAACAGCAATTATCTTGCTGCATTGTGACAAGCTCAACACGTCGGGCTTTGATTTCGGCTGCAAGCTATTACAAGCGAACCTGGCCAGATGGATCAAACAAATCTCTCAGATTGGCCAACTGTATAATAGCAAAGGATAATGCCCGAGCCATCTTGCAGCGTTTCCAATATTTGAGAATTACGTCATACACAGTGCAAGCAGATATCCAAGGGACATGTGCAAAGATGCAGGCAGGCGTGTCTCTGAACGGTCTCTTCGACCAATTAGCACCAACTATTAATCGCTGCCTCGTCTAAAAGGACTCGACCTCTGCGCAGCCTGGAGAGTATCAGCATCATGTTTTAAAGCACTTACTGGGCACAGCGTTGTCAAGATGTAGAAGCAAAAGGACTAGAGCTTCACAAATCGAGATATAAGCATCTCTTGCATGTTGTTGGCAACTTGGCAGCTGGACATCGTATCGAGACTACATTTTGCCAAGAAGGAAGTTCATCACTCGGATCCTCCTTATTAGCCTTCCTCCAAGTCATAGGGCATCAGCTGGAATGGTACAGGGATCTTTCAGAGAGTTTACACGTCGGCGCTTTGTCCAGGTTTAAAATACTTGTACAAGTCATACGTGATCGATTGTGGATCCGGGGAACTTGTCGTCGTCTGATGAACTTGGGCGTTGGATTTCCGAAAACCTACCTGACGATAGAACTCATCCTCGTCACTTTTTACAAATCTGTCAATTAAAATGCTAGGAATACCATTTGCAATCGGGCAGGCAATGGGCAATTGGCGACAAACCAGCTGGCTGCAAGCGTTACCATCGGGAATAGGAATGGTTGATGTTCATTTACTACGCGTGCCGAGATTGAGATCCGAACATCCCAAATTTCCCAGTAGATTACCGAGTAAAATAGAGCTTTTTTGGAGACGGTCGGCAGGTGTATACACCTGATCTACGGATATACGGCAAAGTTATGCAGTACGGTAGAGATATCTGAGGAACCTTGGTTTTTATCATATTTACAGAAATAAATACATGTAATTGCGGTGAATCAGAGAGCAGTGATATCATGCTACTGAATATGGGTGCCTGTAGACCATTTACGGTTCCCCGGATCCCATGGACACTTGAGCGGTCCCCTTTTCCATTCCACTGTCCACACCGATGTCTGGTTCATGTATGTCCTTAATGTCAACAGAGCCTGCAATGTCTACCGTGTACTGTCCCTGGTTGCGGATTGCATGCAGGAACGTGGGAAAGCTATTGAGAAACTAGATTCCAATTCTTGAGTAACATGATCGGTTTACAGACTTGAACGACTGTATTTACCATAATCTGGACCACCTCGTCCTTTGCGGCATCATACATCCCTACAGTTATCTTATCTTCGCTCAACGCATGCTGGACTTGGTCCCGAATGTTTGAAGGCAGATTGACTTCATACGGCGCACCAGGTTCCAAGTAATTTTCATAAAATGCTTTATACAGCGCACGAGCTGATTCTGGAACGGGCATGTCAACAAAGACGGGAAGGGGCCCGCCAACTTGCTCATTCTCGTGGGAAGTGCAAGGCTTGGATGCGGGAGCAGTGGTCTCAATTTGCGGTGATGAGCTACTGTTAGTGCTGGAAAGTCGTGAACTTGGGGTGGTACTTGGAGCGCGATTGCGGGTCAAGGAACAAATTTGCGGGTATCCTCCTCCGCTCATCGACGCCCGGCGACGGAGAAGATCGTTGAAAATCTTCCCGCTACGGATGGTCGATGTGGCGAGAGCTGATCCATGATGGGGCATTCCGGGAATAACAATGTTGGCACGTGCAAACGCTGCTGCCGCGATGACAAGAAGCTCCTGGTATGCTTCGAAAAAGAGAGCGTTCTCGACACAGAAATCTGCGAATCAAACGGGCTGTTGTGAGAAGCGGGATCACCTATACGATCCTAAAGGTTGTTCAGCTCTACCTGCTGCCATATAAGTTTTAAATTGGTCCCATATTGCCTTGTCGCTTAAAACTTGTGCGAAGCTCGTCATATTGTGAAGTAAAACCATTTTGGCACGGATTCGTTCGTCTCGATAGGACTGAATGACCGGATATAGAACGGATATTGTATGGGCCACCATCAACCCAAGTATGTACCAATTGTGTGGATGCCACGAAAGGTATGCGGTCCGCGGAATGTAACGCCATGCCAGGAACATCTACTTAACTTGCGTTATTTTAGAAATCCAGAAGCACTTGCGGTGCGCGGACTCACCGTAAACAGCGGCAGGGTGGTAAGCACGCTAATGAGCAAGTCATTGCGAACACCATAATTATCTCTAACAGACCGCAACCTCCATAACACTATTGGACACGCTATGGTATAATAGAGAAACGTGCCTAGAAATTGTGGCAAGTACTAGTGGTACCGAAGATGGGCAATTAAGCTAATGATGAGTTACAAATGCGTCTCCCAGGCAGGTCCTCTTACCTCCCATTGGGATACACACCCGGGAGAAATCGCGACTGTCGGCCATATCTGGAACGTCTTCGTGAATATCTAAGTAAGATGATTTATATCAATCAGACACATATATGGCAGAAAGTATGAACCCAATGTACTCCGTACCTGAACCAACACCATTCCCACCACGTCCACTCCCATAATCACTCCAAACCAAAAAAGCAGGTATCTATCTGTGGACCTCTCTCGATTGGTCCACCACCAGTTGCTTCGCATCCCTCTTAGGGTATCTCTGGCTTCAAAATTGTAAGAGCCTTCAAACCGCCGGCCCATGCGAGAAACAGAGGCAATTGACGGATCTATGACTCCATAATCACTCGAGTTAGATACTGGCGACGGTGGTATTGACGACGGTAGGTACAATCCTCGCATTATGGTGGGCTTGTCACGAAGGCTAGCAGTCCTGACTCGGGTAGACGTGGAAGAAGGTTCTTCGCTTAAGGAGGTGGGTATTTTTTCAAGACTGCCTGTCCCAAACAGTCTGACATGATTCAGCTGTACTTGGAAGTAGAACTTTATGCTATAACAAGATATCAATGGGAGGATGGAGGAATAATCAGCAATGCGCAAACATCTTACCCTCTTACAAGCATCGCTAGACACCACACCATTCCCGTCAAATTGTAAGCCCATAGCTGTATGAAACAGGGCTGACTAAAGTAGATCTTTGTCAAGCAAGATGTAGCTACCGCCAGCCACCCTGCTGCTGCCTGGAAGGGAAGACATGTACTGAGTTCATTATATTATGGCTAAATGTTCGTTGACAGCTGGGGTCAATTTACCTGAACGAGGGTCCAGCCTACTTCCCTACCCGCCATAAACTGAGACTTTCGTCGTATGATGAAAAGTCCTGTTGTCACAGCCCAAAACAGTGTCAAGATGGACAGAACAATCTTGTAACATGTCGGCCATGTCTCTTCTAATAATCAATAATGATTCCCGATCAGTGATCCTGTTTATCAGACATGTGTCATGGAAAGTTCGAGCATACCAAAAGCTGTAGAATTTGCGTACGGAAGAAGCACCATTTCTAGGAGATGTTGATGGGGAGCAAGATGATGTTAGAAAAAGACAGCAGGGAACCAGCCCGAGCAATGTAGAACCCAAACGTTCCCCTACGAAGGCGATAAGTCGCCCAGCAACACCCAAAAAGGGCATCCAACCGCTGAGGCTGCTTTCCATGGCCAGCAATATCATGCTATATATAGATGGCGGGAGACAAAAGGAGATGATCCTCAATTGTCCGCTATATTTAGCTTGGCCGGAAGGGTTGGCGAACAGCGGGGGCGACATTAAAAGCCCTACTGGTAAATAACGATAGCTTCGCATCAGGATCGGAATGTGTGGCGCAGGTGCTTACATAAGCCGACGTCATGATTATTAGAGCCTCGATTGGATTGCTCCGACCTCACGACGAATGGTGATTTTATAATGAGTGTGAAATGGGGCTCTTCCCGCTTCATATTGGAGGGGACTCAAAGGGTTTTCTTACCATCAGCAATCAAACTGCCCATTCGAGTTCGATCTTTTTAATTGATGTCCATCTGGTCTCCAAAGAACATGCGCAAAAGGTCAAGTTATGAGCCTGTACTTCCCCGAGGAAACCAGGGTTCAGGCGCAGACAGGTACACTACCTTACAGGTGCTAGGCAATGTGCACATATACCCTCTCAAATATCAATGATTGTCGAAACTAGCGTACGGTTTAAGGTCTTGGGGGTCATCATCTATGGCATCGATTTCTTCATACCAAAGCGAATAAAGCGCAAACGTGTTGGATCTGGAGATGACTTTGAAGCGATGCGCCAGCTGCTGCAGACACGCATCACAGTGTGCCTGCTGCTTACAACCCTTGTTACAATGGTACAATTCCATAAGCGCACACATCTGTATCCTACTTCATTGTGGATAATAATCGGTGATCTCTTGGAAGGCCTTCTTCACCGTACAGGACTTGGTCCTTGTGATAATGAAAGCCAAGAGTGGTACGTCGTAAATTCCCATTTACTGTGGCCGTTGCCTTATTCGGATTTTTCTAAAATGCTGCGACATCAATAGGATACAGTGTTCCACCAGCATACCTATCTGTAAGCATTATACCTCTCCCGCTTTCAGACGCGATCAACTCAGACCTTCTCAGATTATGGACCCGCTGACATTTTCGGGAACAATCATTTTCTCTGCTTGCTTGGCGGGTGTCCGTTCCGATAAAGTATGATACCATCGCCTGTATCAACACTTGTAAGACCTTATGTGTCTTACGCAGAATGGCATTTAGATAGATATTCGACTGTGTGCCAAGATCGCTATTTTCTTTATTCTTGGTAATTGCTTGCGTGGCGCCGATGATCGCGAAAAGGAAGATTAACCTCCGTCACAGCTTTGTTTACCTTCATTTGCATGGTATCGGATGCGTTTTGGAAACTGGGGTGCGTAGCTGACAATTTCCTTCATTGATTTCAGCCAGATCATCACACATATTGCAATTTAATGTCACAGGCATTCTGGATTCCTGATTGGCCCGCCGTTTGGATACTTTCTGGTCGATCGCAAGTTTGGAACCCATGTCGGATACATCACCGTCTTGCTGTATATGTGGTCTTTTTACTGGAGCCTTGGTGGGATATTGCAAGCAATTCACAAAGATGATTAAGCGGCACTCACACAGTGTCGCCATTTTCAGGTCGGCAACTCCCACCTCTGGAATCACATCAGTGGTACTGGGTGCTGGGGGACATATATGTCATCACTTGCGGATTTTACGTCCTGGGGTCCTTTGACCAGCTCATGAAGTGCCAAAAAAGATTACAAGACGACGTTCAACACGAGCGGGAGGCGAATCAAGCCAAAAGCAGGGTGCGTTACGTTTGCACTTGCTTTCAATGTGTGATTGAATTTTCTTGCTGAAGTTTCTTTTGACTGTAATTCAGTTTATCTCTTCAATGTCCCATGAACTTAGGACGTAACGTATCGTATATTTCGTTGTCATTGCATATGACGGGCTCTTTTTTGACCCTCGGTTTGCCTCGATAGACCATTGCACGGGATACTCGCAAACGTAGAGCTCTTGAACGACTTATGTACAAATGATTCGCAACGGACCTTATTAAGTACCATAGGTGAACTTGCGATTGTGAGTTTGCATCTATTTTGCCGCCCAACTGACTCGTGAACCCTCCAAGAGTGCTCCGGTCAGAACTTGCTGGGGATTATAAACCAAGGTAGGCACACACTTTGTCTACATTGCAAAAGGTATCGCTAAAGCCATGGGCACAGTCTTGGTCTACAGCAAAGCAGAAAGTGGTGCAAAACAATGTGAGAATGTCTACGAGTTTGATTTGGTAAGAAGAATATGTTAACGAGCGTTTATTTATTGTTAACAATTTCCATGTCATTTTACCAGTTCAAGCTCATTGAAGAGGTCCTATCTAGTTTGGGTCCGGTGGGATTTAAAAAGGGTATTACAATGAGCTTCTTTCTCGGTGAGTTCGTGTCTTTTATTAACGACTTTAGCCTTAGCCCAATTACTGAAATGTGAACTGGTTAGAGTCCCTCTCACCATATTTTAGGCGAACCATTAGTTCTGAAGGATGCCTACGACAGATTCTCGTGAATGTAAGCATTGTTGACAAGGCACACGAACGTAGTACTAACAAAGTTGTCTTGTAGCTATTGGGCAACAGCATCAAGTTTACGCAGGTCGGTGCGGTTGACCTCATCATCACCGATACAGAGGCTCCTCCAGAAAGTAATCCCCTCAAGGAGGCCGCCCCTAAAGCAGCTTGCAATTCATGTGCATGCGACCGCCCGAGACAATTGCGGCCAACATGCAGCAATGGGTGTTCCAAAGAGAACAAGCCATCGGACGCAAATGAAGAGTCATTTTCTGATGCAGACGATCAAGAGTCTGACAAATCATCGTTGGAAGAAATAAAAACAGCAGACTTGCGTCCCTGTTCAGTTGACGATGAGCCTGAAACTGATTACCATCACAAACGACGTGTGACATTTCGAATTTCGGACAGTGGATGCGGAATGGCGGAGAGCTTTTTGGAAAAGATGTTTGCGCCATTTGAGCAGGAAGCTACGAACAAGGATCGTTTGATCAAGGCAGTGGAAGGGACAGGATTGGGAATGTGAGTGTTCAACTTAACAAGTCCCTACCGGCGTACCATCAACCGTTTTTGTTTATCTCAAGGTCTATCGTCAAGACATTATTGGATGAGATGGGTGGAACAATCGAAGTGGATAGTGTCGTGGGTCAAGGTTGAATGGATGAAATGAACTTTATGTCATCATGTCTTTTTAACTAGGTCAATGTCCCTCCTCCAGGCACAACGATAACAATTACCATCGATCTGTTTTACCCATCCGACACTAGCTGGGTGGATGCAGATCTGCAACGCTTAGATGGCGAATTCTTTTCCTGTCCGGTTTCAGAACGCAAAAAATTTATAGAGCGTATTGACAGCGTTAAACTTGGAGTATGGAAATCGGAAGGCGATTCCCTGGGTAGAACTCGGTTGGGCATGTATTTAACGAGATGGGGTGTTCCTTTTGAGACGATAGAGGCACGATGGGACTATTCAGACGTCGATAATGTCGATATCGGGGCCGAGTGCAAGAAATGGAAAGCTTTCGATATCCTCGTCCTAGACGATGAAGTTGGGCAGTTGCGGTGGCTAGATAGGATCTCGCACACCAAAGACGTAAGTACTTATCAGTTTACGCACAGACTGAAGTTCGTTTTCACATATAACTCTTGTAGCGGCCCGTCATCATCTATTTCACGGCACTCCAAAACTTTCAAGAAGTCTGCCAAGCGGCCGCTCCTTGGCACGGTCAGGTAAATGCAATAGACTGTGACGAATTGAAAAGATCGACAGCCATTCTCAGAATGATGTTTTCTTCTTGCTAGATCCGTTTTGCGGTAAAGCCTGCAGGTCCCGCAAAGATTCTGCCCATCTTGTGGGACATCTTGATGAATTCACCTGGAGCAGCGGCGCACGTTTCTGATGCGACGCTTAGAGATCTGATTGCAACTCGCGGGAAACTCGACGCAGAATTGGAAATGGACCAGATGAAGCAGCAGTATGAGATGAATGGATTGACGAGGGAACGGACGGACAGTTGTATAACAGTTCGAGAAAATGGAGATAGTGCATCGGACAACAATAGCATAACTGACCGGAGTGAGGGCAGCAGTGAAGAGGCCATCGATGAATTTAGGATTTTGATCGCAGAGGTAGGAGCGGTTCATCCATTCATGATCCTTGGCTCAATTAACAGTTCTCATTGACTGTGGATGTCGTTTATTATTACCAGGACAATGCCAGTAAGTGGCATAGTGAATAGCCTACTATATCTAATCTAAAAAGCTAATATCATGTACTGTGCCAGTCAATCAGCGAATTCTATCCACCTTTCTCACCCGCAAGAACCTCCCACATGATATTGTTGAAAACGGTCAGCTAGCGGTGGATGCTTGGCGTGAGAGGCAGCACCGATTGGTAAGTGTTTGGTGCGATTTGCCCATATTTGCATAAAGAAAATGAATGCCATTCTTTGATCAGATCCTTATGGATGTTCAGATGCCCGTAATGAATGGCATCGTCGCAACGTCCTCTATTCGCGCTCTCGATAAAGAGTCCATAGAAGCCAACCTTGCCGAGAGAGGGAGCAGTTCAAACGTTACGCCACACCCGCGAACCAATATTGTCGTTATGACTGGATTGGATAACCCAGAGGATGAGAGAGCTGCTTTGGCGGCTGGTGCGGATCTGTTTTTGACAAAGGTGGGCTCATTTCGATTCTCATACGGTTTTCTGAGTACTCAAATCACTGTCCCACACCATGAAGCCAGTAAGCATGCGAAAACTTCACAAGTACATCCAAGAGATCCAAGATGCGCACGCAGCGTTCCGACAGCGACAGAGACAACATGATCAGGAAGCGAAATCCAATGGATTTGGAGCTGTTCATGGAGGATCGAACTGAGAGGTGGACAACAGAGTAGAGTAGTAGAGTAGGAAATTCGGCTGTGGAAAAGCGCGCAAAGAGGGAGGATCGGTGGACTAGCTTAGGCAGGCGAACGGTTGTAGGGACTCGGCAAATGGCCGATGGAACTTGAGGATATTTATTCTTGAGAAATGGACTTGTATTTATGTGTTTTTAAAACGACTGTTTCTGGTGGCTCGTGGGAATAAAGGTATGGCGATTGCGAGCTGGCTTCACAAGTGAACAGAAAGCTCCCGAATGCTCCCGTCAAGCGTCTATACGTTCAACCGTTGGGAAAACTTGGGTTCACAACTGGAGTCGCCGAGAACGCTGCAGCGCTTTGTTGGTTTGGGTCTTGCGGAAACTTTACGTATAGGCGGCGATCCTCCCTACAGGGTTAGGGTTAGAGCACTCTTTAGTACTCGGGCTAGACAGATTCGTTATTGTAGAAAGCCTTGTTCACCTCGAAAGTCCTTCTTTCTTGAGCAGCTCGCCCTTGTTTGAAAACAGCTTTTTGCACAGAGTGACGGGTGTCCGAACGCGTCATCCGACCGAGTGATGGACCCGTTTTTTTTTCCTCCCAACCCTTCCAACGCAGGTCGTTTTCCGTTCAAGGATGAACTTTGAGAATAGTGTGTTGTCTTTTATTTTGGAAGGAATTCTGAAGGAATTCAAGGATATTCGAGCGAGCATACATGACGCTGTAAACAGTTTGCCTCGTTTCTCTTTTCGCTGTGAGCGGTCTACGCCTTGTCTGTGCGGTCTGCACAAAGCATGCTCTGGTTCGCCCCCGCACTTTACTCCAACACAAAGACTACTGCAAAGACATATTGGAAGGACCATTTGGGTGAGTTTCTTTGCGGGGGGACTTCCTCGTCTGCTTTACCCCCCTCCAACTGACTCATTGCCCGCAGCTTCTCTTCGTCACATCTCTCCCCATCGTTCTTCTTTCTTCCAATCCCTTTGCTAATTAACGATTTGAAATGAGGATGACGTTCGTTTGTGTTGCATTCGCCCCAATATTGGTCTTCCATCGATGGCCTCCTTCTTCTCCTGGCGGATCTTTTGAACACTTCCTCGCGTACGTAATGCACGCACGCGCGACTGATTTTGCTGGAATTTCGTCCGAATTTCGTCCGGATTTCACACTTTTTTGCTCGTTGAAATGCAGAAAAAAAGCAGGAAAACCCGTTAAAAGACGACAGCAACCACTAATATGAGCAAGCGCATCGTCCTCGTCGTCCTCGTCGTCCTCTGGAGATTCATATCAAAGAGCAGTCGATTATCCAATCCATCTCGACGTCCTTCGCGTCCCTTCCTCCTGGGCCAATTTTCTACGCGAATCGCGCGCCATCTCCTACCCCTGACCTTCTCTCTGCGTATATTGGCATGCCATATGACCTTATCTTCCTGATCTTTGCGTATATTGGCATGCCATATGACTTCATCTTCTGAACACGGAATTCTTTCGAGAAGAAAAAACGAAAAAATGGGGCATTGGGGGTTTTTTTTTCTCCGCATCCGGGGGGCCTCTGAAAAGTTATAAAAAGGCACCCTTTCTCGCCTTCCCCCAGTCAGTTATCCTCGTCTTCCGCCTCTCAGTCTTCAAGCATCGGTCGCCTCTCGGTCTTCAAGTCTTCAAGCATCGGTCGCCTCTCGGTCTTCAAGTCTTCAAGCATCGGTCGCCTCTCGGTCTTCAAGTCTTCAAGCATCGGTCGCCCCTTCAGTCTTCAAGCATCGGTCCTTCGGCTCCTCAACGTCCGGCACTATCGACCATCGGCTCCTCGACGTCCGCTTCCACCGACCGGCACGTAGGTTCCACGACACGGCCCGGCCTGTTGGTCCATGTCGTCAAGCAAGTTGAGAAAAGGACTCGGCTAGTTGGTCCGCGCCGTCAAAGAAGTGAAATGGCCCGGATGGTTCACGACACGACTCGGCTTGTTGGTCCGCGCCGTCAAAGAAGAACTGAAATGGCTCGGTTGGCCGCGTTACGGCTCGGCGCGGGTGGCCTGGTAATGCGTGTCGTCAAAGAAGTAAAGTGAAGGGTGGCTCCAGGCTGAGGTGAGTTGGTGCATTCGACTTGGGCTTCTACTCTTCCCATGCTTCACGCTCTTTGCCTTTCAGACTCGACCACGGTCTCTCACTCCACAAGTACGAAGCGGCCACGACGATCTCGACCACGGCACAAGTGCGAAGCGAACACGGCAAGCGACCACGGCACAAGTGCGAAGCGACCACGGCAAGCGACCACACAAGTGCGAAGCGAACCCCCGACTATAGAGAGGCTGCCGACGAGTCGGCGTCGGACGTCGGCTCGTACCGAGTCCAACGCGCTAGGCGGAGGCGCTGAAGGTTGGCGAATGAAGTAAGTATTCTGCATCATCTTCTTTGGCTTTCAACCGAGTCTAACACTCGATCACGGTCTCTCACCCACAAGTGCGAAGCGGCCACGGGCAATCTCTACCTCCGGCGTTGGTCCATGTCGTCAAAGAAGTAAAAGGCTCGTAGGAACGCGTTATGGCCCGTGGTTCCCGACGTTACTGCCCGGCGGATGGCCCGTCGTCAAACAAGTAAACAGCCCGGCGCGGTGGGCCTGGTAATACGTGCCGTCAAACAAGTAAAGTGCAGGGTGGCACCAGGCTAGCCTGAGGTGAGTTGGCGAGCATTCGACTTTTGCTTCTACTCTTCCCATGCTTCACCCTCTTTGCCTTTCAGTCCTCGATCACGGTCTTTCACTCCACTAGTGCGAAGCGACCACGGCGATCTCGACCACGGCAAGCGACTACGGCAATCTCGACCACGGCCCCTGCGAAGCGATCACGGCGACCTCGACCTTCCTTCTGCTCCTTGGAGACAATTACAAGTAAGTCTATTTGATTCTACTTGCACTGGTGCATCAGCTTCATCTTTCTACATTTCAGAAACATCCACCACGATGTCCGCTTCCACCGACCGGCACGTAGGTTCCACGACACGGCCCGGCCTGTTGGTCCATGTCGTCAAGCAAGTTGAGAAAAGGACTCGGCTAGTTGGTCCGCGCCGTCAAAGAAGTGAAATGGCCCGGATGGTTCACGACACGACTCGGCTTGTTGGTCCGCGCCGTCAAAGAAGAACTGAAATGGCTCGGTTGGCCGCGTTACGGCTCGGCGCGGGAGGCCTGGTAATGCGTGTCGTCAAAGAAGTAAAGTGCAGGGTGGCACCAGGTTGAGGTGAGTTGGCGCATTCGACTTGGGCTTCTACTCTTCCCATGCTTCACGCTCTTTGCCTTTCCAGTGCGAAGCACCGGTCCTCAATCACAGTCTCTCACTTTACAAGCGCGAATCGGCCACGGTGACCTCGACATTTACGCCACTAGTGCCAAGCGACCACGGCAACCTCGACCTTTACTCCACAAGTGCGAAGCGGCCGCGATGACCTCCACCTTCTCCACAAGTGCGAACCGACCACGGCAACCTCTTTGCCTTCCTAGGAAAACCCTTCCTGTGCAAGATCCCAACGAGCGATTAAGCTGCTTGTCTGCAAGTCCCTCGAGAACGCCATAACAAATTATCTCTCTCTACGTCGACGTTCTTGTACTTTATAGAAAGAGTCTTGTAAATATATTTGGTCTGGGCAATAAAAGTACTCTCTTGTCTCTATTTGCGAACATTATCCAAAAGCCAAACTTGCGAATATCATCCAAAAGCCAAACTTGCGAATAAGAAGCTCTGGAGCAAATATCTTTTGGTTCAGCAACAGCTCAAGTGCCAACGCCGTGTGGCCAAGACTTTCATAAAGACCGGGTACGGTCATGGCCACTCCAGTGACGTCGACGTATTGCGCATAGAGCGAAGCTGTCCTTGCAAGAACAAGGTTTGGTGCCGTGCAATGCTGAGTGAAAAACCGACGGATGCGCTTGACGCAATGTCTCTCGCCCTTTCTCCTTTCTCTGCGCGTACCACTAAAGTGCGACAAAGAAATCGCGAAGCAAATTAAGTGGCTTAGTCCCGCGATCCCCTGCAGAGCAGCGCCAAAAGACTGTTTCTCCTTCCTGGGTCCCTGCCAACATTTAACAGCTGCCGATGACAGGTTAAATGGACAGCGACAACCAACATCAATCAAGATGGTATTCAAGAAAATTCACTTTTGTCAACATATATACTAGTCATAATATACAAGTCCCCTGAAATATGGCAGGACGTTTAAACTATTTTCCTTTGTCACCTTCGCGACAGACCATCTACACGGTTATTCAAGACCACGCCTATCCGTTTGGCACAACAATTTGATTGACTTTCTTGAGCCTGTGACCATCGTGACCTCGGTGGAGATTGTCTAGGATACTGTGCTGAGCATAGATTTTAATCTGACTCGATAGCGATCTGTCAAAGTACATCCAACGCATCGGGTTCCCATCGCCACCTATTCGTTCTCTTGTGATTTAACATCCTGATCAGAATCAGGCACCTGTTTAACGTTTTTGGTCTCGTCCTCTGAACAAAAACTTGCGTCTTGTTCGTCATTGCGTGGTAAAGGGGGCTGGCCCGGCAACCGTTTCAATGCAAACTTGTAGACCAGAAATCCCGCTAGTCCCGTTTCGCTCCATGCCTTTTCCACCTTGTATAGCCCGTCGTATCTGTACCCTTCTTCCGGAGCGTAAGGGCTAGGCAATTTGTATCCCCGCACAACCCGAACTGGCAGGCCGTTTTGCGCACTCTTCCATAGCGCAAGATTCCCTCTGTCGAGAACCTGGTCCTTCGACTGTGGAGCTGTGCGCAGGTTCTTTGGGTTTGTTTTAGTTCCCGACAGATCGCGACCGCCCTCACCAGTGTATGTAAAGGCTTCACCAAAATCAACGTCGTCTTCGTATCCTCCACTAAGTGCCACGGAATAACATCCGTCTGGGCCTCCGTGGATGCCTGAAACAGGAGGTCGATGCACTCCATCGTGGCTACAATCCATTCGCATTGCCCATCTCCTTCCTACTGGGACGCCTGGGATGTGTCCAAATGTGTTTTCACTGTGAAAACGAGAAGCTCAGACAAGATCCCATCGTATGGCATATTGGTGGCAAAACATACCGAGGGACTTTCTTGCTACTCGTTCTACTCAATCTGGTCCGGAGTTTCTCTTTCACTGGCACCGAAACCAAGCCATCGTCCTCCTCCTTCACTTCTTCGTACATGTTCTCGTCTTTCAAACTGGGCGTAGGTTTATCCCGCAACCGCCGAGACCGTCTGACTAGGGTTTGATCGCTATCATCCTCAATTACAGCCTCCTCCTTGACGACCTTTACTTTCTTCTTCTTTACCACAGGTGTGCTAGCGTCTTCACTATTGGCTTTGCGTTTGGCCTTGCTGAACGGTTGTGCAGCGGGCGGTCTTTCAATCCCTAAGCTTTGAAGAAGTGCCTGGTTGGCAGCAATCCTCTCCTGTCGCTTTCGCTCGTATTCTGTTGTGTTGTCGGCAAAGCCTAGCATGGTTGGAGCAGCTGTTATGCTGATAAAGCAAATGTGCGCTGAGGGCTGGATACGCCGCATCCAACCTCGACGCGGTCCGAGCTTTTCGGACAAAAAGCTTTCGACCCTCCGTTGCTCCGACGGACCGACGACATTTGAAATTTAGAGGTTCAAAAGGTCTCTCGTCTACATATCTAGCTCCATAGTTCGCAGTACACTGACCACCAATCAGCATCCCATTGCTCTCTTGACAGCAACCTAACCGACTCTACGAGGATATAGGTTTTGTGCTGTCAGTGGTGGTATTGAAACTCCTACGCTAATCTTCTCCATACACACTTTCTGCATATTCAGCAAGCTGTATAATACTTTCCTTTAGAAGGCTATAAAAGTAACACTTTAGTCGCCATGGACAGCATATGCAAATCGCCCCAAAATGTTAGTCAGCAGGAACCAGCAACCGTGGAGAACGTTGGTTGGCAAGCCCACATCCCTGCGGGCGTGCCCTCTTTGCCCTTTACAATATCAACAAATAGCGGACTTTACTAAATGTGTAAAAGTATTTCTTCTCTGAAATGGGATATCAATCTGCCTACTCAGCTCCTCCATACGACACAGAATGGCGCCCGGCCTTGGTCTATTGCGGGAGCTTATAGACCGATTATTGTTGTGTCTATCCATCAGAGTATATGACAGTCTCTCATGCTCCCCACGGGCAATTATATAAGAATATCTGGGTTGACGGGAATAGGTGACCGCCCGCGGGCGGTGCCTGAGGGAGGGGTGCAGGAGTGATGCTGAGTCCACGGTGTACAGTCGCGGGCTCCCCTCACATTTCTGGTAGTTGACCTTGTCAAATGGCCTTTTGCAGCTTTTCTTCGCACATACAAGCATACTGACAGTTTCATGCATACCGGCAATGCGTTCGCTATTGTGCATCGCTCTGATTGCCATCGCCGCGCCTTGGATCATTTCGGCGGAAACTGATCACCTTGTCTTGGTCGGCGCTGGAGGTCGACCAGTGTATATGCCAAGTATATTGGTGAGCCATATCATGGCCTTCCAAGGATGGGTCCTGTTGATCTGATGTGAACACGGTCTTCTAGAATATAAATCTTGGCGACATGGTCACTTTCCATGTTGAAGACGGACCACATAGCGTGACGCAAACCAGTGGTGACAACTGCGATATGTTAATCAACGGGATTGACTCTGGAAAGCTCAAGAGAGGCGGACGAATGGCTGTAAGATTCATCACTCCGGGTATCCGCTGGTTTGCATGCAACATGGACGACCACTGTGATCGCGATATGCGCTTCGCTATCAATGTCATTGATAATGGCACAGATTCGCAGTCTGGTACTCCTGTATCGCAGTCTGACACCCCCGTGAAACCTCTGGTGGAGACTACAGCATCTTCTAGGGTAAATACTCCGATACCTCGTGTCAACATCCAAGCGGCATTCATTGCGGGTGGAGCCGTTGTGGGAGGGGCAATAATAGGTGCAATCGGATTCAAGCTGGTCTTGATATTGCGCCGAAGAAGAGAGAAGAAAATAAAACTTGAGGAGCAAAGAGGCAGAAGAGAGCCGCCGGTGTAAAATCATCAATCATTGTTCAAAGTTTATGGAATGACCGAAATCACACTACATCATGTTAAGTGCTTGTCTAACATTGGCCCTACGCACTTGAGAACATCTTGCTGTGTTGAACCCATTCTTACCTCTTTTCGATTGGATGACGATGGAGACTCTTCGCCTCATCTCTTGCCATGATAACCAATTCTGATTTATCGCGAGAGCGACGGAATTTCACAAAATCCAGGTCCATTATGGGGCTAATGCGCAACAGGTCAATGATCATCAACTTTTGGCTGCCTTTGTTCGAAAAACCTGCAAAAAGGATGGAATCGTGGAGCGATAGAGATATGGTGATCCAGCTTTACTGGCCGATGCTTGAAAGCGCGACCCGCCCTCTAAACCAGCCCTTCCCCCAAGCTAGCAGGCCGAAACTATACACCAGCTGGTCTTTTTGCATCTAGGTATTGTTCATCTGGCATCTATAGATTATATTATATGTTTGAAATGAGCGGGCCCAACAGACTTGTAGTATCCGTCCAATGACGCAGAGTTTAAGAATATTATTGAACATGCTTGCTACGCCTTGCTCTCGACTGTCATACAATAGCTACGGGCGATATCTTATTTCTGCCATATTCTTAGGGATTCCCTCTGACTGCCTAGTGTTCTGCAAGGCATTCAAAAAGGCAACATCCTTGTAGAGCGTATCATGCGTTGGACCTTGGCCAATCGCGGGACTAAGCCACTCGGAACGTCACAGCTGTCAAGTTGCTTCTGCGGGGCTTCCAACGCCTTTTGCTGCCCAGTAGCACAGTCAACCTTGCGCCTCTTTCTATCTGCTGGCGTATAAAAGGAGCACTTTGTCTCTACCCCTTTTGTGATATTTGCCCACCAACTATCGAATCCCTCGTTCAAAATGTTATTCTGTTCGGCTCGCGGTCTTTGTTTGCCAAAACGCCTGTCACTCGCACCCATCTTTCGTATCCACCCCGGTCCACTCCAGATACGTACCGCTAAAAGCAAATGCGCACCACTTACCGCATGTATCCAAATTGGGATGAAAGTATCGAACGTCCCTATTTTGTCCGAGAAGATGGGCTGTTCCCTACCCCTGGAATGGTAGAGCTCGCCTTACCATATTTTAAAAAAGGGGACGACTTTGCTGACTATTTGCACGAACACGATGACGACGTCTCCAACGCTCTACGATCATGGTCAAAGGATCTCAAGAACGCTGCCGATAAACTGTGGTGCACTGCTGACATCTTGGATGAAGCGAAAAAAAACGGAACAGACGATATATTTTACGCCCAAGCTGGCACCCATCATGCTAGTATTAGCGGCCTCAGTAAGGAAACATACTTGCATTACTTAGACATGAGGGGACGCTATGTGTAACATCAGAAGAGTACTGGATGGAAACGCTAAGCGACCTTGAATGTCACGGTCCGGAGGAGAAAAAGAAGTACATCGAGGCACTGGGGGAGTACTTTAAGGATATGCAATTCTTGCTTGAAGAGCCTGCTAGAGATATTTAGCGCTCTACCGTCCGAGTATTACGCTGCTCTTGTCCTTTAAACAATACATGTTAAACTTCTGCGCCGCCGAAAACATCATTTCAAAAAGCGCCGCAATGACCACCCGTTGGCGGTTTTCCCTGCCTCAAGTTGGCGAATTTCTCTTTTCACAGAACAGCAAAGTCCTCTTGATATAGCCAGAGATTTATTGTCTTTCCGTATATGACGAATCGTCCGGCCACACAAGCAGAAGCGACGGCTCAAGTCACGAAGGAAGCTGTTCTCATTCGACTGCTCTACTCCATCACTATTCTAGTTCCCAGAGAGAGTCTTGGGCGGAGCGGTTCCTTTTGAGCATATGCGGATTTTGCTCAACGAATCGACGGAGGGAAGCCGCCCAATGAAGAAATTGAAATTAAACCGCCGGGAATACAATAGACCACCATCCATACTAGAGAATAGCTCACTCTGTTCCTATTCTTTCTTACTGAATCATTCCGTTTAGAAATATCCTCACTAGCTAACAGGCTTCCAACGCCTTTGCTGCCCAGCAACACAGTAAACCGTGTAGCCTCTTCCTGCTGCTACCTGAAGCCTTGTCAAGCATCTCTGGTATCTACACACTGGCAGTTCAGATATCCCTGACCACCCAAGTAAGTCTCCGACCCGATGCAAGTCACGGTTTGGTTTTTACCTCTACAGAAACCAATAACAGCGGCCATTCCATTACTATCTTTCTTCCAATAGATTCGAAGTTTTGCCAACTTCCCCTTTGACCTCCTCACACCCAATAACCTCGCCCAACTCGATGGAATCCTCGAGCCAAATCCGCTTCTCGAGTCCGTACTTCCAAGTGTGAGTCCCCAAGTAAGTCCCCGACCCGCAAGTCACGGTTTGGTTTTTGCCTCTACAGAATCTTACACACTCTACAGAATCGTACACGATGTTGCTTCCCTACTGCAATGGACAGGCATCTCGTTCCACTCGCAATTGAGTCTGATAACCAAGCGTCCAGGGCGGCCGCCGGGTCTGGCATCAAAGGGTTGGAGATATGGATTCGAACTTGTAGCAGCGGATCGACTGTACCTAGTAGCTTCTTACACTATTGGGGTTAGCTGTTTTATAGTACTATAAACAACTTTAACTAAGGTCATCAAGGCATAGCAGTACTGCAGGAGCAAAAAGGGTTTGCTAGGGTCTCTCTGGAACTTAAGAAAATTGCAAAAATGTATCCAGCTAATTAGTAAGGTACTAGGGTAACTGGTCTGCGAATCCCTTTTGTGGGTTTCGGTAGCGGCGTTGGGGGCGATAGGCAATTGGGGATTTGGTTAGTGTGAACCGAGCAGGATTTGGAGGCTTCCGTGCGGGTGATCAGTGCGATGAAATGCTCCGTTGGGCCTAGAGTTAGAGTTGAGAAGCTAGTTATGGGGTTGTATCGTCGCTCTGCCTCGCGATTTACTCTGTTAGACTTGTTCTTATATATACAGGATGTCTCGGCCAATCTCTACGCTAATGACTACATCGGCAACCGCAACTGATTTGTGGCAGCCGTCGAGGCCCAGTATGGACGTGCCTTCATCTGACTAGCGACACGCAGAATCTTACAGTCAGCTGGATGAACACCGGGGTCCACTACCTGAAGCCTTGTCAATGTTAGCTATGGAGGATATTCCTATAGGGAATGATTCAGTAAGAGAGGAACAGAGTGAACTGTAAGTATAGATGCTAGTCTATTGTGTGTAAGAAGTCACCATTGAATATACTACATAGGGGCGCAAAAGAAATCTACAGTACTGTAGTCCTTGTTATTATGGTTTTTAGGAGGTTTCCCCAGACTTCATCTTGCAATATACACATGAACACTTGACAGTGTTCCTCCAGACTTGCGTGCATCCATCCATCAGGATTGTTGGCCTTGTGTTAATCCTCAACGTTTGGGCAATATCGAATACACGTTGCACCCCAAAAGGCTCCCATCGCGCCCTCCCACATTCTTGGTGTGCGGTCATAAGCAACTTATCCGTTCGCAATGGTGAAAGCACCCTCACAGCTTTGTCTGGAAGCCAGTCTTTCAACGGGGATAATGCGCCCAACTTTCGTGACCAGGAGCCTATATACAAGCTTGTTTGTGAGCACTGTACCGATGCAACATTAACTCGAATGGCTGTACTTCACTCAAAGGCCAGGAATCGACTTTGACGACACGTATTCCCCGACCTTACCACTGCTACTCTCAACGCTTCAAGATACACTGTCTCAAATTGTACCACCGGATACTTTGTTGCAATTGATTTTGAAGAAAGAATAATACTTGGGAGTACAGGAAGTTCGTATTCTCCCTCATACCATCGAAACTACTGCAATCTAACATCTTGGTTCCTCTACTCAGGATCAATTGTGCAACATGCTAAAAATATAGCATGTTGGATGAGATGAGAGGAGATGCTGACATACAACTCGTATCAAAGTGTTTACCGCTCACGCATAGCAGCGGGTTTGAACTGGCGTATTGTGGTTGCCGTCATTCAACTATTCCAGTAGGCCATATCAGCAACCTGGTTAACGCACGCACTGCAAGGTTTCTGTCATGTTTGAACAAATAATACAACGGTTGTAGGCCCAATTGCCTGGTTACAGAACACTTTAGGGGATGGAAATGGAGACATATGCTTGTTCCAGGGAGGAAATGAAAATTGCGGCTGATTGCATGATGAGTTGTAAATCAAATAGTATCTTTCAATCGCAAGCTTCAATGTAACGTAAACAAAAGATATATTCCTGCCAGTCGCTGACCACCCATGGCCCTTCAATGATTGCATTATGCCCAGTTACCTCCACAATCAAATGGTGCAGAGGTCGCAAACAAAAACCGTCGTCGTCGTTTCATTCTGTGCGTCGACCGCGTCCATCGCGTACCGCCAAAGCCACGTGCACTCGTAATCCTTTCCGACCCTCCGACCTCCCCGCGTGAAAACCCCCCTCGTTTGCCCCCAAATCGCATCCTTAAAAACCATAATGTCCTGCGTCCGCATTGCACTCTCGTCTGGCCTGTAACTTTGGCATACGGGCAAACGCACGATTCGCCCAGCAAAAGATGGGCCAAACAGCGGCAATGGGGCCGCAACGCGCGGGATACATTGATCTACTCAAGCCCGAGATACCAACATCGATTCCCGCGTCGGACCCGCAGATGGTCGCTGACCATGTTCCCTCTTCCCGCCGCGGCTCCTTCAAAAGACGACATAGTCATTCCAAGTCGCGTGATGTCGCGCTGTGTTGTGGGCCTGTTGTACCGCTTTATGAGCGATTGTTCCAGCCGGCGACGGTGACGACCATGGAGGGGAAGTATACGGTGAGTACGTTCATAGGTTCGTATCGTATGTTTTACAGTGCGCCACTGCGAAAGCGTTGACTGAAATCACACTCTTTTGTTTTGATCTGCAAGCGGAATTCTATTGCACGCTCACATCGCCCTGCTTTGCACTTCCGCTCCTCATCTACACTTCTGTCCCATTCTCCTCTATTCCCCTCCTTCAACATGTGTGCATATTAGGATCTGTCATGGCAGGCGTCGTCTCGACGCTCTATCATTGCACATTATGGAAGATTTTTTCCTCAGCAGATGCAGCCGTTGCGACGTGGGCATTTTACCTGGTATGGTCATCTGAAAGATAAGGTGTATCTCATGAGTTTCACCAAAGTTTATACTCTCTTTAGAATGCAATCAGCCTAAACCGCCATGCACCGTCCTCCCACCCAGTCTGGCAACTGGAACTGACATGGCTTCTTACAACTCTTTGCATCATTGGTCTCTTTGTGTATCACTGGGAACGTACGCATCATATCTCCGTCACCCTCGTTGTAGCATGTATACCCTCCGCGGTCTTTGGATTCTATGCTCTGGAATCGTACGTGGGACTCGCAGCGGGGTTGGCCGGGATATTATGTTTCGTGATAGATAGAAAGGGATGGGCTTGTTTGCACTCTGTTTGGCATGTTTTGGGCGGGATAAGCTTGTTGTGGGGTATATGGGATGCCTGTCTGATCGCTGTTGCGAGGAGGCAGGGAGTTAGAATGGATGGAGTGAATGATATCGTGGTGGTAATGGATGAGAATACCCTATGATAGTGATGGGACTTTCACGGGAGGACTCTGAAGAGAAGTATTTAAAAATAGGACTTGTATACCCAAAAGTCCCTATATTTCCATGGTGCATATGCCCGTAACCGGGACACTTTTCTCTCCTAAACAGAACCGGTACGTTCGGCGAGCAAGCGACCCATGTATCCACCCCAACCGTCCCAAACATCGATTATACGCTGCCTCTTTCGTAAGATGTATATAGATATTCGCTCTCTAAAAGTCTGTCAAAGGAACACGTCGATTCTTCAATCGAAATCCCCAGACCATATAGTTGCTCATGAGTCTAAACAATATAGAGTCAATACTCATCAAAACGCAATGGACAACTAAACACTTTTCACTTACAGAGCCCCTCCAATTCCCACACAAATGACAAGCATTGAATAATTCCAATAGAGTGATCGGTCGTACTCCTGTCAACATGCTTAATACTAATACAATGGTACATGCACTCGACGCCATTCCTCACCTGATACGCAAGGGCAAGCATACCTCGCAACCCCCAACTTCCAGGAACTTGTATGAACACGCCCGCCGTAATAGCATGAAAGGAGAGGTCATCGGTGGCACGAGCGTAGATGTTGGAAGCTAGCCCGATACCGAGGGCAGAAGTGAACGCATTGATCTCGGGAGGAGCGTGCCAGATGCGTTTGCTGAGGTAGGAAATGCCGTATCCGAGGGCGCCGATGAGGGTCATAACGGGCCATTGTCGAAGAGGAGACTGTGAACCCGGTAGAAGACAAAAATTTAGTGTCGAACAAAAAGCGAAAAAGCGAGAGCCCCAGAGCAAAGCATACGCACACACCTTGAGGTAAATATTGTAGGAAGCAATATAAAGCGGCACACATAAAATCAACCATAAATGACTGACTGCAATCGTCTGTTCCGCCGTACATGCATTTTCCACTCCTGGCGGTCGTCGCAGGAACCCATTCCCAACCGCCACATTATAGAATAAGGGCGCAAGTGTCAAACCGTATGCCATAGCCGCCAAGTACACTACCGTATAGCACAAACGCACTGCACCCGATATGACGTTCTTGGTCAGGATTTCGACCACGGAGGCTGTGACAGTGTACCCTGGAAGTAAGGTCACGACTGAGGAGAGTAGCAGGGAAGGGTAGCATCGTGTTGATGAAATGGAGGCTGCGATGACGCTGATGAGGGCACAGCATATGATTTCGTATGTCCACTATGGAGGATTTCACCGGTGAGTAGGTGCAAGAAAGATTCACAAAGATTACCAACAGCAGATATTAACACGTACCCACAGCGATGGAAATCGATTCGCAATCAACCTCATCCCACCTGGTATAGACGCCAACAACCCACTCGCAAGCGCATCCCACCCGTTCCCATTGAAAAACATGATGGCACTCGTTGCAGCCGACACAGGGTACCCAGCGACGATCCACAACTCACTCCACGCATCCCTCATGTTTCGAATATCTTGTAGTTTCTTTTTGGCTCCAGCAGGATTCGTTCTTCCTCGAATAAGATCCTTGCATAGGGCATGGAGAACTTGGAGCTTGTCAAAATCCCATCCACCCCGTGTCTTCACAATGTGCTGCTCTCTCTTTCCGGGTGGTAGCGGACCCAGGAAATGGAGGAGGGTGTACGTTGGGAGGTAGTACACTTTAACAGGTATGTGAAGGCTTTCTCCAAGGGCGTCGACGAGGGCTTCCATGCGATGGGTGGGCGTGCCGTACGCCAACAGTGCATCGTTCAAGTCGATGAGAAGTTGAATGGTGTCGATGGGCGGAGGCGTGCAAGCGGGCTTGGTAGATTCTGCTACGAGTTCTTGAATCGGATCTTGTGCCTCTGGAGTGCTGTAATAAGCAAGTGCAACAAAAAGTTAACGTGTTCTAACACGTCGCTCACCTCCAACAAGAACAAAAGATGACCGGCGCACGGGGCTACCTCCCAACCGCATCTCATCACTCATCCGAGTCGCTGTTCAACAGTTTGAGTTCTCAGCAAAACACACAGAGGCCGACAGGATGGGTACTCACCTGCACTCCTAGCAACAGCCATTGGAATGTCCTCGCAAATGACGACCATTGAGGATTCTGACAACGCCGTTTTCTCTAGGTTTGTATGAGGTACCTGCGACAGGCGAAGAGGAGCCTATCGATGAGGTTTCTTCCAAGTGTCCAAAGCTGCATCAAAGCACACCACGAAACCAAAACACAACAGAACATCACGCCATGTCCAAAAATCCACCCCAATATTCCCCAATTTCCGTCCCGCCAATCTCCCCCAAAAAGAAAAATACAAAAAAAAAACAGAAGAAAAAAACTTGTAACCCGTGAGGTACTCGTCAAAAACCTTAACTTTGAAATCACGTCATTTAGGCGCGGCTTCACGTGCAAGGGGCCCTCACAGGTTATCATCCCCCTTCCTTACTGCCAAGAGTTGGTCCGATGCCTTTCGAGAGATTCCACGCGGGGATGCATAGAGTTTTCATTTAGATTGATACTTTATAGTCCAATGAGTACATGACTTTTTGCAGTGGTAGAGTGGTAATGGGTATGGTGAATCAGAAGGATGGTGGTGATCCAAACCTACCTGGTGGGCACTGCATATCCGTCCCAATGCAAGAAACTCTGGGCATCGCATGCTTTGGACTTGCAAATGCGTACAGTACCGTGTGGTGCACGAGGGTGGCATAAAAACCTCAAAGCGACCATCGCCACGTGGTGCCCCTTCAGCCCAGCAGTACGCAAACCCAAAAAGCTTCATGACGTCTAAATTGACCCCCAATAAAAAAAAGGCGACATTTCGCGCTTGGATCCCCGTTGGGCAATGTTGTAAAGATGGCGGCCTTCCATTTTAGTGTGTGAGAGAGATCTTGGGAATAGGGTCGCGCTGCATATAAATCCTCATGCGTGAATGGACTGCTCCTTCCGAAATCCAGTGCTCAAACATGGTCCTCCTCAAACAGCAGCCGTCAAGAGATTTGGTTCCTACTATTCTCAAACTTCACGCGTCCCTCTCAGAGGCTCGCAGCTTGGACCCTAGTCCAGCCATCAATGCTCTCTTTTCATCCCTGGTTGAATTGTGCGAGAGAAACTGGCCGAGGAGCGTTGTGGAAGATGTTCTCGGGAATGAGAGTGTTCAAGAGGTTGTAGGCAGTTTAAGAAGGTTGTGCTCTGAGGGCGAGTTTAGGTTGGAGATGGAATGGGTTGTAAGGATTTTAGGTACCTTTTTATCCTCCTGCTTTTTTCCAATGCTGGTCCGCTTTACTGACCTGAGCGTCTGATAGAGGGACACGGCGCTATCAATGACTTCCCTTACTATAACAATTACATTGACCTCACACGCCTCGAGCTCAACGCTCTCCTCTCCCTCACACCTCCCACTGCGCCCCCAACGCAATACATCTTCATCGGCTCCGGTCCCCTCCCTCTGACGTCCATCTGCCTCGCGCAGGAACTATCTGAACGGTTCCCCGAGCGTACACAAAGGATCCACAACATGGACCTCTCGGACCGCGCCATCCAAACCTCATCCAAACTCGTAGGATCAAAACTCGACAACGAGCATATCTCGCAGATGATGAGTTTTGAGGTGTGTGATGTGTCCAACGGAGTCCAATTGAATGAATTTGATGTGGTGTACCTTGCGGCACTTGTGGGGTTGGATTCGGGCGAGAAGCGAAAGGTTTTAGAACATGTCCGTAAAGGAATGCGCCAGGGAGCTTTATTGGTGGTGAGGAGCGCGCATTCGCTGAGGGGACTATTATACCCAGTGAGTAATTCTAGAGCTGCTTGTAAAAACCACCTCTTGAAGAGAACTGAACACTTTCTTGTTAGCCTGTGGAGATTGACTCGCTGGAAGGGTTTGACCCCCTGCTGGTCGTTCATCCCCATAATCACGTCATCAATTCGGTGCTGATTGCTCGGAGGGTTTAAAGCACACTTGACTTGCGAAGATAAACGGTCGCATCCCCCATCGAGTGATGATGGTCATGAGACTCTTTTACATATGTAATAAAAATCTCATAAAAAGAATGACGTTGTCAATATTGTTTGAAAGGATATAAAAGCTATATGTTTGGTAACGTTTTTGGCCAAAGCACCCCAAAGCTACTACTAATCACAAAAACGACCCAAAAAAATGTCAGCTTCCACCGATCCCTCATTCTCACCTCCCAATCCCATATCCCCTCTGCCAATTGGTAGCGGGGACCTGTTTCCCCCATCCGGCCCAAGAGACGGCATGATAGTCGATCCAAGTCATCCTCTTTTCACATCAACGCACGTCCAACCAACCCACCCGCACATAGACCCCATTGCTCCGCCCGGCGTAGCCCCGGAACCCGATGTCGATACCGAGGATCTGCCTGTTAGATTGACTGAGGATGTCCCTGATTGGCCGCGGCCGCCAGAGAGGGCTGAAAAGGAGATGAAAGAGGTATACCCTGGGGCAGAAGCGGACGTTAGGCGGCCGGAGGAGGTGGGTAAGGAGGGGGAGGTCCAGCCTGTGAAGAAAGGAGAAGGAGTAAGGGATTGGCCTGGAGTCATTGTGTGAATAGTTTAAATGGCATCTTCCGTGAGCTGCATGGATCGGAATGGTAGTCACATCATTACAACCATTCGGCATTTATCCTCCAAACTGACTGCTGACCCACATTGGCCCACATCATGATCCTCTGCCTTTTTCCTTTAGAGAATGGCCATGTGAAAAGAACTATATTACTGTTTTCCGATGCCTTGATACGATATACTTGACAGTCAAACTATACTCTTACAAACTCCGCATAAAGCCCTCTATTCTGTGACATCACGAGAGATACGTTCGCTAAAGACCGGTTAACCAACCTGCATAGAAACGCAACGAATACCAATGAGCGTACCTTATACCAATGACTGTAGTAAACCAGAACACATGTCGGTTGTCCCACTACAACTCTCATTAGTACATTCATCACCAGCAATGAATAAAAAAGATGAACAAACCTATGGTAAAAGATATCCAAAACATATAATTCCCGATGGTATCAAACAGCTTTTCGTTCCGCCTACGTAGGGGTTCAAACGCCCTCGTTTGGAGTATCAAAGGCAGCTGAATCATCATCCCCCAAAACGCCCATCCATTCACACAACGCGTTGGAACACCAATCAACAACTCATGCAAAATAGCGGAAAAGGTAAAAACGGCGATACTGGCCACCATGGGGGGAACCTTGTGTTTGATAATGAGAGGCATGTATATATGCCGTTTACCCCAGTTGTGGACTGGGGTGTTCCAGAGTCGCCAGTATTCGGCAATGTCTCGTGCGTTCCACCACTATGACGGTGTGCTTAGGTGAGTGAACAATGGATATTTTGAGGAGAGAAACCGCGTACGTACCGTAAGGTAGAATCGTCGATCACCAAACCGCATAACTTCCTACAGAGCCAATAAATAAAGGATTCACAGCAACGCGCCAAAAGAGCAACCTACCGCAAGCATATTCAAAGCACAGTGGAAAAAGCAATAAAACATCAATAACCAGATTACGACGCTGATGACTGACAGTTTGAGAACGCGCTCGACGAGATGAACGAAATCTAGTTTGTCAAGGGCTTGTAGGGAGTTGCGAAGTGTGGGAGCTGCGCATTTAATATGGGTGAGCTGTGTACATCCCCGAAACCCCTGCTGTCAAGACCTTGCAACAGTAGCTCAAGTGTTTGTACCTGCATATTGAACTCCAAGCAGATATATTGCGGCCATCCCGATTGAGAACTCCATCAAGCGTTTAAAAAAGAAAATACTGCGGAACCGAGGTGTGCGCGGGTATACGGGTTGATAGCACTATGCGCCATAAGTTAAACATCAGGCTTGTCAACCTAAACCACAAAGCTGTACATCAGCCACTTACCAAAGTTGGACAAAACACAAAGTACAGCAAATTTCCTAGCGTAATGTTCAACGGATAGGTCATATTGATGTCGAATTCCGCCGTGTTGAGCCTGGCATCCTTGGATGTGAGATCCTCGCATCGATGTGGTACAATTTTCCAGGCTGCTTCACGGCGCATATCGCCACAAACAAGGCCATAAGATATGAGTTTTAGCATAAGAATGGCCGCGGAGAAGAGACTGAGAGCTGATATTGCCTAAGTCCAAATGTTATGAAAGATGCAGGAAAATGAATAATAAGAAGAAGCACGCACCGGATTCCATATTGTATACGCGATCAACGTAGGAATCGTAATGGTGAGTCCAATATTGATAAAATAAATCAACCGGACCATTTTGCGTGTAGGGCGGTCCGTCCGGATATCCCTCGTCGCCCATTTCTCCGTCGCATATGCGGCCAAAACGTTCATCTAACATACATGTCAGAATCATAATGTTGGAAGCAAGCAGTAGAAAGAGCTTACCCCCTGAAAAGCCCAGCTAACGCAAGCCCATTGGACGTCCGAGAGTCGGAGGTTGGAGAATGGATGCGAGAGGAGGAACCCGTATTTCATGTAATTTTCAATAATGAGACGGATGTTGGAGACGGCAAGAAGAAGGAGTGCTAAGTTGAGGAATCCTCTATAGTCTTGTTCAGGACTCTACAGAACCCTGTCAGCACCTAACCAGAGATAATGCTAATATCACACAAGGACTCACCTCCTTGGAAAGAGGAGACGCCCGAATCGCTGTATGGACAACATATGTATGGGAATATGTTGACAGCTTTGCCTGTCTCTTTGGAGAGCCTTGACCGTGTGGGGAAGCTTCCCTCTTCTCCTCCTTGGCTTGCCCACCAACAGTTCGTCGACGCGGCGAGTTATGTGTTTTCATCTCCTCTACGCACGCCTCGACGGCGGGGTTTTCCGGAGTAGTCTCTAATAGCACTGTAGCCATCATTGTGAAAGCCGTGTTAGTTTGGATAAGCTTGCTGCTGCTGCAAGATGGCGGACAAGGCGGGGACGAAGAGGGTCAAAAGGAGGGGATCGACGGATGACGTGGAGATAAGCCACGGCCAGGGACGCGTCTTACTGCGCAGTCACGTGACAGTCGCGAACGGACAAGACTTTCGTCCGACTTTTTTGAGCTTTTCCGTCCAGGCATTTCCATCTGACGTTACTTTGAGGTTTTTTTATTTTATGGAAACCCTCCGGACTCTCTTTGGCAAATGGCTGCCTGCACGCGCCGACCGAACACTGCTTATTCTGGGACTTGACGCTTGTGGAAAGACAACTATTCTGTATCGCTTGGTGTTGGACCCTACCGAGGTGGTGCTAGCCGCGCAGAGTGCACAAGGGGAATCGTTGCTGACAATGCTGTGCAGATTATCACAACCATCCCCACAATTGGTTTCAATGTCGAAAAGACGAGCATAAAGACACGGGCGGGTACGGTCAGCGTCTCGTTATGGGATGTGGGCGGATGCGACAAGATTCGACCCCTCTGGCGACACTACTTTTCGGGCCTGTCGGGTTTGATGTACATTGTCGACTCGAATGATCGCGAACGGTTTCCGGAAGCCGTAGAAGAATTTAGGGCCATGCTAACAGAGATTGCGGCTCTGTCGGACGTTGGTGATCAGCGCATCCCTGTCATTGTGTGCGTGCCGCAAAATGCTACTTGCCTCTCTAAAACAATTGATTGACATTAGTTAAATAGCATTGCAAACAAGCAGGATTTGCCGAATGCCATGGGCACTTTGGAGATTCGAGAGAAATTTGCTCCGACAGTAGGCAACAGGGCCTTTGCAGTATACCCTTCCCGGGCCCTTGAACCCCACCTGAGCCAAACAGGGCTACCGGAAGCCTTCGAATGGCTCACAGAGCAGATCGTCACCCCACAGGCACCAAGTGTCTCACAACCACCCAATCCCTCTTCTACTACTTCCCTCTCAACCAAACTCGAAGAATGGCTCCTACGGCAAGATGATCCCGACGACGTCTTTCTCAGCCAACTCGACGCGTGCACCCTCGATACCTGGGACCATTACACACATCTCCGCATTGCCTATCTCTATCTCACCCGCGAAGGACGACAAAAAGGCAAGAATCTAATTTTTGACAAGATTGAACACTTTATCAAACACAGTCCGAGAACGAACGGAAAGACATTTCATTTGACATTGACTTATTTTTGGATTCAACTTGTGAATTATGGGATACGGAGCATGAAGCCACCTCCGGAAGAGTTTAAGCAGTTTTTGGTCATGAACCCGCATTTAGCAGATGGGAATTTACCACTCGAGTATTATAGCAAGGAGACGCTGTTTATGGATCCCAAGGCAAGGACGGAAATGGTGTTACCTGATAAGAAACCGTTGCCCAGTGTCATTCCTAGAGAGACCGCCAAGAGACGAAGATGAGAGCTTATAAACAAGCAAGACTTTGCTGAACGATGGCATGGGGCATTTGGAGATTGCAGAAATCTGTTCAATTTTGGATCATCTTGGCAGCCTTGACCTCTCCTGCGCGACTCAAGAGTTTGACTACAGTGATCTCTAAGTCAGAAACTACTGGTGCCAGGATCGATCTTCGGCTCCTCGACTGACGTTTGCGGGATGGATATATGTAAGTCAGCGGTAGAATAGAATGGGTCTCAGTGGTAGATGCGTGGTTCCCTATATTAGACTTTATACATTGATTCATCCCCACATCGGGGACTCTCTTTCTGCGTGTCTCCTGCTTTCCCTCTTTTTTTTTTCTCTCCGCTGCGTGATCTCAACAGAAAGCTATTCATAAACCCGTCTTCGGGGCGGAGGTTGAAGCCGCTGTCTTAGATCCGCCTGCGGTCGTCTCTGAGCCGCGTTTCTAGTGCGACACATCTGCGACGCTGCTTATGCAGCCCAAGATGCCAATGCGAGAAGATCCACCTCGGCTTACTTGCTTTGGTTGCGATTTGCCTATTCCATGAAAAAGTCATTGCCTACAGACCATCGCAGTGTCAAGTGGGAGGCAGAGTATCAAGCCCACCGTAGCTACCCAAGAACTTCTTTGAATGATCCATTTCCTACGAGATCTTCACTGAAGCTTGACAAACCTTTTACCATTAAATGTAACGACAAGATAGGCGTTGACCTCTTGACGATCAATCAAGTCTCTGCCTGCATAAAAAGCGTTGAAATACACCACTATTTTTTTAGTGAAGCCATTGGCGAAATAGGAATTACGGTGGATATGTAAACACCCAAGAAACATGGCAATGCCCTCTCTGAACCTGACCGATTTTCCTTTGTACACATCACCACATCAGCGCGCTTCGACTTTAGCTTCCTACCTGCAATTTGTCGCCTTTTCCTCTTTTCGACATGGCAGTTCCACGGGCCACTGAACCCTTGAGCAATGCTTCGTTCCGTTTCATTGCCATACACGGGAGAAAAAATGGAAGGCCCGCTCCCTAGGCTGGTTGACACCATTATCGAGTAGCCACAGCCATGATGAGCTAATTCGTCTCTCTCAAGTGTTGACACAGACCAGCGGCACCACGTATCCGTGTACGAAGTCTCAGCGAGTGCAGGAACCTCAGCCGATACGATACCTCAGTGAGAGATTCCTTGGTCATATGTTAGAGGAAAGGTATGTCACGGATTTGCATGTTCTTGGTTGTGTATTAATTGTTGCAGGAAACGACCAATGTTCCTGTCTTTGTAACGATCATCAGTCATTTTTATTACCGAACTTTCGCGGACGAGAAAAACAACACCATCCAAGTCTTCAGTATTGATCGCCAGTCGATTTCAATTATTGGTGGCAAGGCACAAAGATGCCACCAATGCCTTCAACACTAGGAAGATGTCTGTTCATCAGGGAGAAGAATGATATGGAGATGTGGGTCGATGAGGTCAGGACATATGTAAATGGTTCTTATATCTATAGATGGTTTATATAGAAAAAATATGGGAAATTGTCGGCAACTTTGGATGTAATGGATTTTATGAAAAAGAGACTGTCTTGGGTGAAGAGTACATTATTCCAGTTGGCAGCTGCTGTCAGAATTGACATTTGCTATCGCCCCGCAACCTGTCACTCTTCGTTTCTTGTATTTTGTCCTCTAGACCAGCGAGATCAACACTTATCAAACACAGCCCGAGAACGAGCGGAAGAACGTTTTCTATTTGACTTTTTCTATTTTGGACTCAACTTTACGGAGTATGAAGCCCACCTCTGGTATAGTTTTGAGGTCATTTGGCAGATGTCAATTTAGCAGTTGAGGAGTATATCAAAGAGACGGCTGTTACCCGGCAAGAAGCAGTTACCCAATGTCATTCCTAGGGAAACTCGTCAAGAAGCTGGCAGATTTATAGCATTTACTCGTTAGTGTCCACAAACATGAACCTTTCATCGTATGCTGAATGCACATAACAATTGACACCGACATTAGCAATATTCTATAGAAGCAGCTGATAATGATATGCCAGCGACATTCTCAAGCTTCCAATCCTTATCCATTTGCCGTCTTTGATATTGCGTTCGTAGCTTCCTTCAATGCCAGTGTGTTCCAAAAGTCAGATTACGTGAGCGAAGAACGCGACAAGCCACACAAGCCGCACTCGTCATCCAAGCCTCAGGTCGCGAGAGATGCTTTTCCAACTCGTCTTTTATTTATTTCATTTAAAAGATGGACTTGCTCGTTGTTTCTCTTCTTAAAAATGGTGTCGGCCATTCTGAAAAAACTATGGGAAATCGTCAAGATTTACACGCCATTGGGATACATTACATTTGGTGGACCCAACGCTGCCATCGCCTTGTACCATGAAATATTCGTTGTAAGGAGAAAATGGCTATCGGATTCGGTTTTTGCAGAGTTGTTTGGGATTTGTCAGGGTGAGGGTTGCCTTCAAAGGATGTAGAGAGTTTTGGCAACGTTTAATCTGGTTGTGTATAGGATTGCCGGGGCCGGGATCTGCTCAAATGAGTTTTGCAATTGCGTTGATACGAAGTGGCATCTTTCCTGCTGTTGTTTCTTTCTTTGTTTGGTCGTAGGTTCTTACTTGATTGTTGCATACGCCTTTCCCGCTTGCTAAATCACGTCATGTACAGAACACCGGCAGCCATCATCCTCTTCTTTGGCGCCAGCAGCATCGCCAAAGCAGGTGCAACCCTTCCACTCTGGCTCTCCTCCCTCCAAAACGGTCTCGTATCAGCTGCAGTCGGTCTCATTGCCCTAGCAGCCTACAGACTATCGACCAAAATCATACGAACCGAACTCCAACGGTTTATTTGTTTGGCAAGTGCGATCGCGTCAATCTGTTCGAGCAAGCCGTTTGTCCTTCCAGTTACGATGGTAGCAGGGGGGCTGTTGACTGTTTTCTTTGAGTATTGGGGGCAAGATTGGGTGGATTATGGTGCACAGCGGTGGGAGGAAGTGAAGAGACGACGGGGCTTGAAGGGAGATGATCCTGCCGTTGAAGACAATGGCTCAGTGCACTCAGAGATATGTACCTCCGAAGGGGAGATCGCGATGGCGGATGTACCGTCCAACAATCAAGAGGAGCACACCACAATTGCGCCTATTCACTCCTCCATCACCATCGTCCCTTCCACTCGAGAGGACACAATATCTACCGTATCCCGCCGCCGCGTCCCCACCGCAGTACCCAACACGCTACCAGAACCCGAACCGGAGCCCGCCCCACTAACTCTTACCTACACACCTCGAATAGGTATTGTGGTGCTATTGGTGTGGGGCGCCATTTTAATTGTATCTATCGGTGTCAGGTCCGTACCGCGGCTACCAAGAGCTTTAGATATTTTCTTCACGTTCTACCTTGTCGGTATGATTGCATAATACCCATTTCCTGCTGCATGTGAGCGCCACGCATGATAACATGCATCTCAATTCTTTAGGTGCCATCACGTTTGGAGGAGGGTGAGTATTGCATTCTAAAGAGTAACAATTCAAGATGGGCGCTCATCAATAGGATAGAGCTGTCCTTGTTCCTCTCTTGCAGACTTGGGTTGTCGCGCCAGGATGGCTCACAAATCAAGAGTTTCTTCTCGGGTTCGCACTGATCAATGCACTACCTGGGCCCTTATTTAATTTTTCTGGCAAGTACAATTTTGTGTGTGTTCTTAACCAACACAAATGATGACACTCGCTCTAGTATACGTTGGAGTTCTTGCCTATCGAAAAGAATCTTCCATCCTCGGCGCCCTGCTCGCTTGGGCGGGCATCTTCCTACCCGGCATGCTCCTCATGGTCGGTCTCCTCCCCATCTGGAACACTCTCCGCGAACGTCGCATTGTCCGTGTGATCTTGGACGGCGTGACAGCCGGAGCAGTGGGGTTGGTATACACAGGGACATGGATCCTCTGGCAAAAAGCCATCTCGAATAAACCGAGTGGAGCGGCTGTTGGTGCGTACCCGTATTATGTGGCAGTGGTGGGATTGACGTTTGTGACGGTTGGATTTTGGAAGTGGCCACCGATTGTACCGATTGGATTGGGGGGTGTGATTGGTGTTTTGCAGTGGGTTGCTGCTTCATAAAAGATTGATCTGAACCAAGTGTGGATTCCAATCTGTGAGGACATTTCAAAGACTTTTGTCATGCATATCACAGTATATCCTCAGCCAATTGGGACGTCAAAGAGACGATTGGGCGCTCCTCTCTTGTCTGTTTAACATTTCAGATCATTTCATTATAAACAAACTGGCATCCTCGTCTGACATTCGATATTACACTTGGGAAATGAGTTATTAACTTGCGTTATGAGTACGGTAGAACGACTTACTAAGTAGTTCAAGTAACAGGAACCTTGGACAAGGGCGGCATGTTAATAAACATCAGAGGCCTTTGCTATCCTTTCCCAATTTTCCATGCCAGCTCGCTGTATCCTGTCTTCGAATGTATTCAGCGACTTACAAACAGGTTTACATTAAAAGTTTCCACAATTTGGTATTAATACTACATTGTCGAGTATCCAGCAATATCAATAGCGACCATCATCCGTCAAACATTTCATTCAGAAAAGAGATACTCTATGCTTGTTCTCGATTGAGCGGCACGCACTTGATTCACATCACAAAAGCCAAACCCAATGCAAGCAAATGAAAACAAAACACTATCATTGCATGTAGGTCTGTTGGCCCAAATGCCACTCATTTGTATAACGACGAGCAAAAATATGCAAACCAATCCATACATCTATACTTAAAAATACACCAAAATCTCCATCCGCAACTGCACCATTCTCCATGTATTGGCAGCTTTAAACAGCGGAACACTCAATCAATTTCAATCACAACAAAAAAAAACAAAAACAAAACATCTTGCCCTATTCTATGTTTTCATTCGATACTTTAACCCAACCTCCCCAACTCCCTTCCAAACACAATGCCGAACAGTCGCAAGAGTCATATCTGGCTGCAAACACTCGTCTCCACACCAAATTTGCACAAACTCTTCTGGCTTCAATCCACTCGGTACATCCAGTCCAAGCCTCTCAATCACATACGCTGACAATTTACGAATGCGGAGCATGCGGTTGGCAGAGAGACGCGGGTTTCCACCTGGTAATTCTTCCATACTGTCCATCGGGGATAACCCAAAACTGAGCTTTGAACTTTCTTTGATGGGGAGGGGTTTGCCTTCGACGACGGTCTCAAATACCCAGGGTGGTAGGGATTTCTCGACACGAGTGAGTTCCTCGACCCAGCCCATCGCGCCGACCATACCACGGTAAATATCGAGGTAAGTGGCAGCTTCGGAAGATTCTTCAATGGATATGAGAACGGGGAGTGCAGGAGGGAGGCGTAGGGGTGGAGTTTCGGTTGTATTTATGTGTGAGGTGATAGAATCGCTGCGGAGAGGAGGGTGGGGCAGCGCTGGTAATGGCTCACGGTTCTGTCTTTCGTCCTGCTCCCGAGAATCACCATTCTCTCCTTCGTCCTCCCGCTTCGCAGATCCCATCCGACTCCCCTTTGAGCCGGTCCTATCAAGCCACTTTTTCTTCCCATTCTCAAGCTCTTCGCTCTTGCTCGAACTTGTTCGTCGCCGGACGTGCAACTTGAATTTATCCATAAACGATGGTGTACGGTCTCCTGCTGACGGCGATGGGGGAATTGAGGGGGGCGTGCTGGGGCGTGACGGGGGAGAAGGCGGGATAGGCGGTGGGAGGGCTTCCATGTCCGGTGGAGCGGATTTGGGTGGTGCCAAATCGGTGCTAGGGATGGAGGAGAGGGAACTGAGGGAATTAGCGGAGCTAAAGGCGGCGGGTTGGGGAACAGATTCAGGAGGTGGTGGGATGGACAGGACGGGTTCCGAGCGGACGCTTTTCGTAGATTCCGTTGTCAGACTGGCCGAGACAGATCCAACTGTATCCAAAGATTTCCGCATCGGCTCCCCGTCAAAATACCCTGTCGTGGCCTCCATAATGGTAGGACTCACGACGGACGGCGTCATATGCACCCGCAGCAGGTCACCCTCAAATGTTTGGGAAGGCATGGAAATGGTTGAGGGGCGTTCATTGTCGGGTGGACGCGGTGGTGATGCCCCAGTAGCGTCGAGCGAGGACCGGCGTGGCGAGTACCATGCATTAATGAAATTGCGAAAAAGATAGGTGAGGACCCATTTTCCTAGGTTGACTGCAGAAGGGATAAGTATGCGGTAGGTAAACAACAGCTACTGAACCTACCCCTCTGCTCCTCATTGGGCGCTTTGGCAGATACGCCACATTCATCGTGATATACCTCGGCTTCATAGCACTTGCTTTCGTCCAAATGAATGGTCAAAACCTAATTAAATGCCACTCCATCAGCACTTTATCCGAATATAAAACACGCACTTTAAACTGCCAACTTACCCCATTATGCGTATCAACACTACACCAATTCGCAACCCACTCCACGGTATTCGTTCGCTTCACTACTTCCTCAAAGTCCAACTTTCCAAAATTTTTTAGTTTGACGCATTGGATGATATCCCACATTGCCACCTCCCCTTCCGTATCCAATGTAATGATATGTCGCCGATTGTTAAGAATGGTGCATTTGGATATACCCGGTGCACCTATAAGCGGATTAATGTTGGCCTTTGAGAAAAGGACGGAGGGTGGGACCTACCTTGAACGATACCATCTGGCTCCTTCCACGCGGGTTCAATGGGTGGCTCCTCCTCGTCTTCACCGCGCAAGGGAATGAGAGAGACACCACCAGTAGCAAACGTATCCACCGAATAAGTCGAGAAAGGGCGATAACTTCGCATGGAAGCGGCGTCGTCAAGGGCTGTGGGAGGACGGATAATGGCGTTCGAAGGAATGATGACAGGATCCGTTTCATCGGTGGTATCGTGGACCATGCCGGGCTTGGCGAGTTGGACGTGTTGGAATGGCACGTCGCGCTAGAATGAGATTGAGTATAGAACTTTGGTCATGGAGGAGATGAAAGGCACGCACCCATCGTTTAACGCTAGAACTGGCGGTGGCTGTCCAAATGTACATGTCATTGATTGCCACAATCTGAAATCGAATGAAATCAACAAAACGCACCGGAAGCGACAGAAAAAGTGCAAACATACCTTATTGACTGGTCCTGTCTCTTTACAAATCGCAACACAATCCACCAACTCATCATCCACACTCCGCGATGAAAGCGCACTACTCTCCACCATGCGTCTCCTCGACAATTTAGTGACCCATCCGTCCCTTCCCCCTGCCCAAAACGTGTCCAAGTCGGGATGAGACGAGTAGAGACAGTAAACAGAGTCTTCGTAATGAGTGTAGGTCACCATAGGGCGGTGGGGCATGGCGAGGGACCAAAGTTTGATAGTGGCGTCGGAAGAGGCGGAGAGGACCTTGATGGACGTTTTTAGACGATGAATGTGCAGTACGCCAACAAGCTGAGTTTACCCATTTTCCATCGTCGCTGACAAGCGCGGATCGAATGTTCTCGGTATGTCCCGCTAATCTTATCACATTCTTTCCTTGCGCAAAATCCCAGACTCTGACAATCTAGAAAGACGCATCAGTGGCCTAGTCCAAACAAGAAACACGTATGGTAAGCAGTACCTTGTCAGGCGACCCCGACACTAGGACATTCCCCGCAGGATTACACGCAAGAGCGTACACAGATGTCTTTGGTGACGTCTCGTTCAATACCACTGCGCACAAGTCAGCGACTTACCAATCCGCACAAAATTTCAAAATCACATTCATTTACCTTCAGCGGTATCACTCACGCTCAGGCCCCCCTGGAGTCCTCTCCCCTCTCCCAAATCCCACAACAATATCCGATGATCGAGTCCACCCGAAGCAACCCAACCGCGATGCTTTGAATACGCCAGGCACTTTACATAGTCGGAATGATGTCCAATCATAATGGGAGAGGAGGGTGCGATTGTGCTTGTTACGTAGATGGTGCGATCATTGGACGCCGAGATTACTGTGGGGATGTTAAGAAGAGCATAGATGCAAAAACCACAATAGGTCATACTGACGATGTTGGTTATGATTGCAGAGGGCAATGTCATTGACCCAGTCACTATGGTGTTGAAAGGAGCGTCGGAGGGTCGCTGGGGGTTGCTGGTGCTATTCATGAATGTTCATTATTGCACATTAGCCGGGAAAAATGTTGTGCAGGTAACGCACCCCATTGCCACGAGCAGCCAACACCCGATCAATATCCATAGAGGAAAAGCTCTTTGGAACGGCAGGAACTCCACCTTGCATTATCAACGAAGATGACGACTTTCCTCCAAATGTCACACTCCTCGTTTTACGCAAAAATCCCATTTCGTCTCGTTTGAATCCTGGGTCATTTGGCAGGTGATTTGGGGGGAGAGGCGGCCGACCTGTTTCTGGTGGAGATCCAAAGACCATCCCCTCGGCAGGGGTGTCCAGTGGAGAGTTTGCAGACCCAGGTGATTCCACCATTGATTGTCCAGCCTCGTGGTCCAGCATGGGTCCATGATGATCATGGATATCTTCGTCACTCGACCCGGGTTCCTGCACCAGTTGCAACCCTCCCGACCCGTTGGGTCCATTAATCACGAGAGTAGGGGAGGCACTATCGAGACTCTGTCTTTGCGGGGATAAGTAAGAATGTGGGAAAGGCGATCGAGGTTTTCGTCCTGTATTGGACCGTGACCTATGCAACTCTCTTGAACCTCCCAAACCGGGAACTTGTAAGCTATCATTGCGATACGGCGAATGAACATGATGTTGCATTCGCAACTTTATTTCCCGCTCTTTGACCACTTTATCATATCGTTTCTTATCAATGTGGCATTCCCAAACATTGACGATGGAATCCCGTCCCGCCGTGTAAAGTAATCCACCTGCCTGACCATCTAGTTCGGTCGGTGTCGTCTCGTCTAACACGAGGCTGTTAATTCCAGCGCGGTGCAGTTGTTTTTCGCCATAATCCTCCTTAATGATGTACGACACTCGGTAACGTGAGCTGCGAGGAGGCATGCTCATCCGTCGTCGTTATGCTGCAGGGTGGTGGAAGAGCGAATTCCAGAGTTGCTCCCGGACGGTCAAGGGGCTTTGGCATGGAAAGGCCAAGAGAATAGGCGGGTGCCTTTTGGAACTGCTGAAAAACGCATGTTAAACACTGTTCTGCACTCCAGCCGCGATCAGTTCCAACCCAGCATCCCCTCTCCACCAATCCTCAATCGGTCCAATTCCTGCAAATCGAACGCCTCCAGACGGCAACTTACCAGTAACCACACTACACCCCCAATCCTTTTATTGTCCAAACGTTCCCAATTACAAAAAGGAAAAGCCCGTCAGGAAATGCAAAGCAGATCTGCAAATGCGTTTGTAGGCCGTGTGTGCTTAGCTGATCTGATACGCCCATCATCGCTGATGGAAATATAAACAAGAATCTTGAACAAACTATTGCAAGATGGCTGCTGCGATGACGGGAAAGAATTGCCAGATGCAAAAAGTCAGAATGCATCAAGTTCCCTTCTCCATGTTCTTTGTTTGCTTGCGTTTGCCCGATTTCCCTTTTGCTGCCTCTGCATCTACCGCTCCAATTCCATTCAAAAGGAAAAAAGCCCAAAAGCACCATATACCTATCTCTCCATGTGCATGTGTGCTGTCTGCCTGCATGAATGGCCTTGTTTTATTCAACCCAAACGTATACTTTTTGTTCATCGTTCAAACGATACAAGTTGAACTTTCAGATGCTTGGTCATGTGATTACAAGATCTTGGAACGTCGTCGATTTCCTCCCCAACGAGTAGCGTTTGATTTTTGAGGAATGACTTTTGCAAACGAATACAAGGGCTTCCACCCGCCTTCGCCTTCATGGACACCAGACCGCATTGACCCCAGCACCACCACACCCCAAGAATTCTTTGAAAAATACATTGCAACGCGCACTCCTTGCATCCTCACTTCACCGATTGCAGCTACCAACTGGAAAGCATCGACATGGACCGCAGATTACCTCAAGCGACGCTCAGGGGATCTCACTGTCAAAGTGGAACGCAAACATCCATCGACAGGAGGATTTGGATCTGGGCTAGATAGATTGGAAATGCGCTTCTCGGATTTCTTAAAACGGCTCGAAAATGGGGAACGTGATCTCTACATGACGACGCAGTACGCAACACATGAGGACAAGGACGAAGCGATGCAAAAGGTTTTGGAATTCCTTCCGCATCCATTGACAAATCTGGTGAACGATTTTCCCCTTCATCCGGAACTGATGGGACATCTGGTTCCTCAAATGGTTAATCTTTGGATGGGGAGCACGGACCCGGCATCGCCGACATCATCCGGCCTCCACCATGACTATCAAGACAACTTGTACATCCTCCTTCGAGGCAAGAAGCGATTTACTCTATTTAGCCCCCGAGACGCGGAGTACATGTATCTTCAAGGCGATGTGGCCCGGGTGTGTGCGAACGGGTACATTCTTTATGATGGTATGCACAGGAGGGACGATGGGGCGGGCATAAGGGACGTGGCAGAGTGGAAGGTGGGAGTTGCAGAGCGGCGGTTGGAGGAAGCTGAAGAGGCTGGAGAAGGAATTGAAGAGGCGGAGAAAGAGTTGGAGGCGGCCATGGACGGGTTGATGGTGGTGAGCGGGGAGGATGATGACGTTATAGATGATTTTGATGATTTTGAGCTACTAGACGATGAAAACGGGGACATAAAGGATGGGGAAGAAGAAGAAGAAGATGACGAGGATGAGGACGAAGACGACGATAATGGGCCGACATTCGCACGTGTACCGCAAAAGCGTTCTGCACCTCCACTCTCTCACGCCGCAAAACGGCCCAAATCTCCACCAACCGACCCCCCAAGCTTCAGTACCATTCCCATATCTGAGCTCCACGCACCTTCCACCAAATCTCTCTATCCCGCCCTTCAGAACGCCACTAAAACATCTTGCACCCTCGCATCCAACGAAATGCTTTACCTCCCTGCCGGCTGGTTTCACGAAGTTGGCTCTGCCGGTGATCAAGCGGGACTCCATACGGCTCTGAACTATTGGTTTGCACCGCCGACCCAGAGAATCTTTGCTGCCCCCTACGAAGACGGATTTTGGGAAGATGGATTCCAGGATGTTAAGAAGGAGCTGGAGACATTAAAGTGATTGGCACCTCCACCAACAGATTGAATGACAGAGCCCTCTGCACCATGTACCAGTTCCTCCGTGGACAGTCGTGAATCCACTACAGCTAAACTAAAGAGTGAACTCCCCCATCTCACCGGTGCGCGCAAGAAAATAGAAGGTGATTTCAGGAAGCCATGCATGGAGCAAGGTATCCTTCTGATGGCCATTGATGAGGTCAAGCAGAGGATGAGAGGAAAGAAAGCTGGATAGTTCCTATGATGACATGGGAAATGAACAGAGTATGTGGAGCAATAATATCTGATACAGGCATGACTTGTCCAGGCGTTGGGGATCTACCGAGGATGTATCAGAGTAAAAGTCCGTCTCTCAACTAATGCGATTGAAATGATGGCTGCAGACTTGCTGCAGACCGATCATTTGATCAGAAGCACATATGGAATACTTGTACATAGCAGCACATTTAATAATCTGATTCTGGTATTCACGAAACAGTTGGTTTTCATATCTAACGAATCCCAGAACTATCTTTCGTTTACATTGCAGACCAGCCCAGACCAGAGTCCGCCCATTTTTAGAAGAACAAACGGGAGCAGGAGCAAAGCGTAATGCTTCTTAAGATCTGCATTAACAAAAAGCAAAAGCAAAAGAAATCCAAAGTCTTTTGGCCAAGTCCTGTGGGCGGAGGGTTTCGCGTCTGTCGCGTCATCAAATCTCTTGACAAAACAGCTTCTGGCCTTTTTACATAACAAACACATCTACAGCCAAATAAAAACCATCTGCAAACAGCAATTGTCTTTAATTATAAAGACCATGCCAAACAAGGGCGTCATATCACCTGGTCTGAAACCCCAGCACGAAAGCCTAAGTGTCCAGACAAGCCCCTCGGTGCGACCTGACACTCTGCCCCCAATGACTTTGTCGCCTTCCATGACCGGAAACCCAGGCCAGCCTTCGATAGAACTGCCCAAAATCCAGGTATGAGTAGGATGGAGGAAAGGAGGGAGCCTACGGGTGGTTTTGACGTGAACAAGGTCCCACGCGGGGGTAAACTGTGGGAGGAAGAGGCGGGGTTGTGTGGAGGTTTATTCGCGGGGGCGGGCTGGGGGCTGTTCCCCCTCGTGGCAGGTTTCCCATACCTACGATTTTGCCATTGGATGCAATGGAAAAGTGGAACGTGGCTGCTTCTGTGCACCAAACGATTTTGCTGTCGTCAACCCATTGACTCTCCGCTATTGATCACTTTTCTCACTTTCTTTGTGCGCTTTGCGCGGCTTGTTTTTCTAAACCATAGGTGCTCGAAGAAAAGGACTACATACGAATGCCCTGGAAAAATGGTCTCGGAGAAACCCATCAAATCGCGATCAGCCCCCCAAGCACGGATTTTGAAACCGAGGAATTCGTCTGGCGCCTGGCCCTCTCTGAAGTTCGAGACTCTTGTTCCTTTTCCGTTTTCCCCGGCTACGACATTGCTCTCTTTCTTCTCCCAGATGCACATCCCACTGTGGCTCATACCCGGCGCAACTCGCTCACTAATCGCGTAGCATTGCACCACAATGACCAAGCTACTCCCGTTCCACTTCGTCCCCTCATCCCATATACCTATAGTGGAGAATGGCCGACAACCTGTCGCATTAGGTCAGGACCTATTCGGCATCTGACATTCATTGCAAACAGGGATAGGGCGCATGTTACCGCTAATCTAGAGACGATCTGCTTGCATGGCCTAAGTGATGACGGGGAATGCAATCACCATCCACATGGTACGGGACACGAAAAGAAAGATTCGAACGGAGTGGGAGTTGCCAATCCGACAAGCAAGATGCTCCTGGGAAATTTTACGATTGTGTATGTTGTCAGCGGCGGAATTAAGGTGGCTGTCGAAGGAACATTGGAACCCCAAATTGTGTTGACAGGCCAGACATTGATTTGCGAGAGACAAGATGAGTCCAGTCCGACGGACTTTGCAATGACACCAGTAGCCAGTGATGGGACGCCTTTTGAAAAGGATGAACATGGACCTGACGGCAAAACGGGTATGTGCCATTGATGGAACACTTGTGCATATTATTCAACTGGTGCTCAACAATGTCGTCACTGTGCAGACCACCAGGATGCAACTGTCCTAATCATCCAAGTCAATCTTCTCCGCCCCGAACGCCGAGCATCGATTGTCGATGTCACCAGTCCTCGTCCACGCGGCCGAGCCGGCTCTATCATTGTGTTTGACGATCAACCTTTCCAGCCCTTCTCCCAAACCTCTTCCACAAATCTTTTACATGATAACTCCACAGTTGGCTCTCCCTTCGCCACGTCACCCCCAGGTGATTCTGCCATTAATGCGAATATTCCGTTGAAACATTGGGATTCAGCGCGACATTATCGGCCACCTGTCTTTTCGGCAAGATTTAAGAATGAGAGTGATGTGCCACCTGCTATTGTGAGGGATAGGCTGGCTATTGAAGAGTTCCCAGTTGGAGCCATTAGTACAGCGTGGATCAACATTGCCAAACAGGGCCTATCGGAATGGTTGAGGATTCCCGTCATTGTGGCGAGGGGAAAAGAAGATGGGTATGTGATTAAGATCGATCTCTTTGGTAAAACACGGATATACTAACTGTTTCTGGATTTTATCGCATGTGCCATCGAATAGCCCTGTGGTAAGTAGCGTGATAATTTGCGTTTTCAAGCACGTTCAGTCCTTTTAAAACCTGTGAAAAGGTCGGAATAACCGCGGTAGTTCACGGCAATGAGCTCAATGGCGTGCCGTGTATCCATCGTGTCATATCAGACATTGACGTGTCACAACTCAGAGGAACCGTGGTCGCCGTCCCATGTGTGAATGTTCCCGGCTATCTCCGGTATTCAAGAGAATTCTCTGACGGGAAGGACCTGAATCGTCTCTTCCCTGGACAACCGGAAGGCACATCCTCTCAAATATATGCGTTCAACATTATGGACAAGGTCGTCAATCACTTCAACTTTTTGATTGATCTCCATACGGCGAGTTTTGGACGGGTTAATTCCTACTATGTCAGAAGTGACATGAATGACCCGATGGCGGCTGCAATGGCAAAGCTGCAACAGCCTCAGATCATTTTGCACAACAGTGGACAAGATGGTGAGGAGCTGCTATGGGAAAGGGAGAATCATGTAACAGAAACTAGTGAATTCGTACTAACACATCAGCGGATAGGTGCACTCCGCTCAGCCGCCATGAACCGTGGCGTCAAAGCGATCACTGTCGAAATCGGCAACCCTCAGCTTTTCCAAAACCAATATGTCCAATGGTCGTACCTTGGCGTTATGCGCATTCTAGCCTGGCTGAACATGTTCTCCATGGACCCAGAGAACACCGTTCACGGTGGACCACCCCCTTCTACGATCCTCTGTTCAAAGGGCTTCTGGATATACACGAAAACAGGAGGAGTGCTTGAGGTGTATCCAAATGTGAATACTGTGGTTAGAAAAGGAGATTTGATTGCAAGGATCAAGAATATCTTTGGGAACATTGTGGAAGAGATTTATGCTCCTTCTTCCGGGGTGGTGAGTTCCGTCTGTTGCTTGATCAAAGATGATCATCAGAAAGCTGACAGTTTACTTATTCTCACCAGACAATCGGACGTAGTTCGAATCCGGTGGCCATGGCAGGAGACAGGGTATTACATTTGGGCGTCATCAAAAAGGAAGGGGAAGTGCTTGCTAAAGAGGCCAAAGAGAATTACTGATGGGAGATGGTCTCCGGAGGTTAGACCTTCCTAAAACAGATTAGATAGCTGGGCATTGATATCGCCTAGAGTCCTATATCCTTCTATTGCTTGTGCAGAGCTTCTTGGGAGAATGATATTTTTTGGTCTCATCCTGTCGACTGGCACACAGCTTGATTAAATCCCCTTTCTTCCAACATTCTTGTCTCGAAAAAAAGTAAAAGGTATCCTATTTCTTTTGTTCATATATATACCATCAATAGCACTCTAGGTCAGACCCACACATGTTGCCGAGCCATACATCGTATTGTACACCTTTCACCAATCGTTGTCTTGCCATCCCTTCTTTGCGGGTGCCGGACGAGCCGACGCCTCTGCATTCCAGCGAGCCACTTCGATATCGTTCTCTCGCCAGCCCCAGAATCGGACTGAAAGAGATTCTCATGTGAGATATCTAAGGCTGTTGACTGGATGAATAAAATGACTTACAGAGGGACCGTTGAGCGGCAAACAAGAATCCACAGGTAGCAAAGAATGGGATCTGGATGGCCATAACGCGCGGCATGACTTTGGGGTGGAAGGAAGGGTATGCACGTTCTATAAGAACAAAATATTGGGTCAATATAGCGAGTCCTTGTACAGCATCGGCCGACATTGTCCTTTTCATTTCAATCCCCTCATTTCAAGTGGGGGCAGCAGCATCTCGCTTCGGCTGCGGCCCAGTCACAGCTCAAACCAACCCCAAAGGTCAACTCACCCCAAGCAAAGTGCAATGCCGGGAATCCAGCGGCAATTCCTCCCCAGAGCATCAAATCGTCTTTCCGCATATAACGAACGATATCCCGCACATGTGGCTCATCCGTGATGAACGTATAGGGAACATGGTCCGAGTCGGGGAGGTTGCTGAAAAACTTGACCATTGCGAGTGTTGAACTTTCAAAAGGAACGAGGTCGACCTTGTCACAAAACAAAAACTTTCTTGGTCGTCCCCGTCGTCCGTCGTCCGTCGTCGTCGTCGTCGTCGTCTTTCAAGTCTTCTTCTCACAGCTGGCGAGTTGCCCGAAGCCTCGCGTCTCGTGAGACTCACGTGCGTGGCTTATGTCTTGGAAGAAGTTGAACCAACGAAGGGAATGGGCAGCAAGGCAACGAAAAACGTTGATTTCCTAGCGGCATTTACGGACGATAATTTACGGACCATGCCGACGTCAACTTCCTTTCTCCACCTCCAGTTTCCCCCAGCGTCCCTCGGTACGTCCTCCCCCTCGACATTCTCCGTCTCCGTCGGTCCCGTTGTCCTCTTCTCCGTTCTCGATCACTACCTCCGTCGTCCGGAGCAACAGCCACGAGTTATCGGAGCTCTTTTGGGTGTGAGAAGCGAGGATGGGTCTGAAGTGGAGATTCGAAACTGCTTCCCGTTGAGCCATAGTGAGACGAGTGATCAACAGGTAAAGGATCTTGCTGATCGGCACTTGCGAAAAGATGTTGATATTGGCAGCAAAAGGCAGCCGTGGGACAGTGTTGAAGTACTTGACACTAAATTGCCATTCCCACTAGGTCGTCGTCGACACTGAATATCTCAACCAAATGTACAGCCTCCACCAACGCGTCAACTCCAAAGAAACCATTGTCGGATGGTATGCTACCGGAACGGAAATCAACCCCAACTCTGTTTGGATCCACGAGTTCTTTGCCAACGAAACGGCCCCATTCCAACCTGTCCACCTCCTTGTTGACACAAAGCTGTCGAATGACAAGATGGCATGTAGAGCATTTGTCAGGTCAGGAGATGATTGCATCGTATTTCTTGCCTGAGGTGGTTATGCTGATATGCTGGTCATGTAGCTCTCAAGTTGGTGTACCGGGAACAGATCATCCCGGAAGCATGTTCCTGCAAATTCCTTGTGACGTAAAGTACTTTGACGCCGAACGGAGTGGATGTGAGTAGATCGCGTTGGGGATGCAGTGGAGACGGATATGTCTGATATGGTTCTGTTATAGTGGATCTTATTTCCATGGCCAAGGACACACCTGACCGGACGGCTGGCCTTCTGTCGGACATGGACAGCTTGGAGCGATCGGTGCTTCAAGTACAAAACATGATTGAGACTGTTTCAACCTATGTCAACAGTGTATTGGTAGGTTGCATCTGGTTGCGGAGAATGGCTGTCCTTTGAGCAGCAATGTTGAATGGAATCGCGCTTGTAGACAAAGAAGGAACAAGCAAACAGTGCAATCGGACGATTCTTGATGGACACGGTCTCTCTTGTTCCTCGTATTGATGCTGACGAGTTTGAAAAGATGTTCAGCAGTCATCTTCAGGTACGAGAGTTGGCAAATACACTGGTGATTTGTTTCCGACTGTTCCTCATCTCTATTCTGTCTCCAATGTAGGATCTTCTCATGGTCGTCTACCTTGCCAACCTGACCCGAACGCAGCTAGCCATTGCCGAGAGATTGCACAAGATGATGTAGTGCTCCAAAAGAGACATGAAATCCCTCGCAATGTATTCCCCTTGGTGTGCCCATGTTTACAGCCCGTACATACACAATTCGACATACGCTAGTTTTGTAGTTTCCCATCAGTTGTTTGGTAGTTCTTTAGGGGTTGATGGTGCCTTTGTACTTAATTGAAATATGCAAAAAAGAAGCTGTTGCGTTGAAAGGTTTTTTTATTTGGGAAAGTGGACTGTCGATGAATGAGCGCGTCCATATCCGATCATTTCGGGATCGTAACCTGATCTACAATGACCGCCAGCAATCTGAACGTTGATCTCCGGTAAGCCCGGAAACCACGCCATACCAACCTTTGTACCCGTCCCGTCCCTTCATTCACCTCCAAACCTACAGCTATCCAACGAGCTCTGGTCCATTGTATAAAGTGCGCTGGTCTCCCACAGGAGATCCCAACACGATCTACTTTGCAACAGGAACTTTTCAGAGCAAAACCCCACAACTCCAAACCTATGCCTGTCGACTCCCAACCGTCTTTGAAACAGACCATGACGAACCTTCCCGTCGGAAATTCACTCTGGATCTCGTCACATCCCTTCCTCATCCCTCCCATGTCACCGACATATGCTGGTTACCCGATGGCCAAACTCTTGTAACAGGGGGAAATAACGGCATTGTGTACGTTCACAGAGGGAAGAATGGGATGTTGAAAACAGTGAATGAGACGAAATTACATCGTCGCAATTGTGTGGGTGTTGCGGCAATAACAAGGAATGATGTGGAAATTGCTTCTGGTATGTTGGCGCGAGATCTACGGTGTTCTGCAAAAGTTGCATTGGAGTATTCTTAAATTTGATGTTGGAATGTAGTGGGGAAGGATGGAGAACTGATCGTCAGTACGCTGAATGGAGAGAAAATACACGAAATTCCCAACGCCGACTGTCTGGAAATCACTGGAGTCCAGTGGCGGACTGTTAATGAGATTGTAAGTGCTGGTGCACCCATTCTCGCCATTATGTATGTCTTCTCTAACGCTGTCGTGTTGGGTGTCGTTTTGCAGGTTATTTCAGGCAGTTCAGGGCATCTCACATTGTTCGACTGCCGACAAAAACCTCCTGGGAGATTACTAGCAGAGTAAGCACACATCGCCACATGTCTACAGCTCATACTTCTCACGTTCCAATTACCGTCAGCCAAAGCCCAACTCCTGTACGTCTAAACTGCCTTGCCGTCAGTCCAACCCTGGTAATCACATTGCCGTCCTTAGATATTGGCATACTTCCCATCATTTGACGCACTACATTTTCACAAAAGCACGGTAAAATAACAACAGGTGACCGACTCGGCAACGTAGCCATCTGGGACCTTCGCAACCTTTCTAAACCAGGCCTGTCCAAAGCGGCTGCCCACTCCGCGGCCGGTAAGTCGCGTCCCCTGTTTTCGCAAGCTCTTTGCTGCATGTCTGACTCTTACTTGATTCAGTTTGGGACGTTCGATTTCACCCTGATCGACCCGGGGAAGTGATTAGTTGCGCTGAAGACTCAACAATATGGTGAGTAGGCGTGTGTGGGTCGTGTCTGTCGTGTCCCGAGCTGCAACTATAACCATGGACCATGTGTATCCTATTCAGCTTTACACAATGGAACTCGAGCGTACCAGATTACTTTCCTGAGGTGACGACAACGGCCTCGCTACGGCGAATGCAGGTTGGTAGCGTACTCGTATGCGGTTGTCTGGTGGAAACCCAATTGAATGCAAATTCCCATTAGGGTCCCACATCGCTTCCCTTCAATTCGATTGACTGTCATCCTGAGCATAATGTATTGGTTGGCGTGGGCGACGCAGGCACCATTTTTTTGAAGCAAACGTGAACGGCACATTCGCCAGTGGACGTTCTGCTCTGAGGCTTCACATTGAATAGTATTGTATTGTAACACCTCACTATGCACTATATATATTTTATTTTACTTTGACGCCTCCTCGGCATCATGTCCTCCCCCGTCATGGTCTTCCTCTCCTTCACTATCATCAACAATTTCCCTAAAACAGGAGAATTCCACCTCGGTTGCCTGCTTTGCCTCGGCCAAAAACATCTTGACCTTTTTCAGCATATCTTTCATCGACTCACGTCCATCTTGTGCCGTCTCAGCCAAAGCGAGCTCGTGTTGATCTACACCCCGTTCGAGCGTGTCGTAAATGAGGGTGAGGAGTGCAGCAGAGGCAGGCGTTTCGTATGCTGTAAGAGTTTGATGGAGGAATTCGGTTTCGAGGGTAGCTTGGAGCATTCCGCCAGGACTGAATTTGTCAATCGCTCGGAATGTCAACAGCAGGTCCTGAGCTAAATGGTAAAAGAGTTCGGAGAGTACTCGTCGCACTAGGAGGCGTGACACCTCACTGATCTCAGCGTGCACCATGACCAAGGTCAAAAGAACGCGGTAGCAATGAGGACGAACCTCTGCGATCCAGCAGGATTAGTAAATTTGCATTTCACCTTTCATACGTCGAGACAAACATACCTTGGGGATGGGGAAGACTATTCCAATCAAGCCCCGAAAATAAAATTCCTTGTCGGACAATGTCGTGAACCTTCCTAGTAATTTTTCTCATGTAATTATGGAATAACAATGTGTCCAAGTGGTTGACAATGTCAAGAAGGTTCTTGAGAATGAATGCCAAAACATGAGTTCTTGCCCTGCATTTGTTTACGCAATCGTGGCAAAAACAAGGGCACTTACGTTTGTGTCAGAAGTAAGTGTGACCCTGAACTTTTCTTGGAAAAGAGCGACAAGTTTTGGCACCACTGTCGTCCGCATGTAGGCAAGATTGCTGATTATGATAATCACGCGAATGCTCTATACGATCCGAAACGAAGCAGATTGGTCATCGCCGATGGAGATGGAACCCGTACAGTAAGCTTACCGTTTGACGGACATCGACCGCTTTTACTTTTCTTCTCCACACTGGGGCGTTCCCCATAACCGCTCTCACCTCCCCGCCAAACGACGATATCTGTAGGTCTGTCCCAGGCAATATTGCTCTTACGGGCGTGTCGCCTACCATGCCGCCAACGCCTGTCGGCATGCTTGGACTTGCTACAGCTGGGCATTTCCATCCGGTGGCTAGCCATTCGAGCCCATCAAGGATTGCGTACTGACTATCGTAGAAAGCTAGTCGGATCTGATTAACTAGAGTCGATGATACTTCCGGCTCAAGAGTTTGCGAACGGCTGTCGCGACTTGCAGCTCGGTCCATCCCTGATGCAGCCGTGTCACGAGAATCCTGCTTGCTTCTCTCCGGACCACTGATAACTGGCGCAGAAGCAATTCTGTGAAGGCACCGAATAACATACTTGTGCAGTCGATAGAAAAGCTTAAGAAGTGCCGTAGAATCCGTTGCAATAGCGGCATTTGTCGTCAGCGGCCGCGATATATCCACAGTAGCGTTGTCAATTTCAAAAGACCAGTCCTCGTAACGGTAGAATTCCCGGGACTCTGGAGATACATAACGTATCGAAAATGAATAACGGTTTAAAGAAAGAACTGGAGTTACCGTACTCACCTTCCACTAGCTGTTCACAGATAACCTCAACCGCGCGTTGCTGAATTTTGGCCATTCCCATTCCCAATAGAGGTATTAGCTTGTCTTCTCCAATGATCTTGATGGCTCTGATTTCACTGCAGCATTGTGCGAATTCCGACATGATTTTGATAAAATAGTAACAAGCTACCAACGGGTGTGCGGTAAGGAATGTCGAATATTTGTAGGAAATTGGGGTAGGTGGTAGAATGGCAGTCACCGGAGAGGGCCCAGCGTCACTTGTGGTCACGGACAGGGGGCTCTGCGCAGAACTAGCGTCGGTAGCCGGAGTGACAATTGTAGCAATCTCCGGACTTGCTGTAGAACTTGTCGCCTCACCTTCTCCGGGAGATGCAATCGATGGTCGTGAAGGCGGGTCTTCTTCCTGGGGTATGGATTTCAATGCCGCCAGCGGCGTGTCGAGGAAGAATGCTCGGGCCACCAGCATTGAGTAGAGATCAATGATATTTGCAATCCTTTTCTGGCATTGCTCCATTTTCCGTGCGTCTAAACGACGTTTAGAGCGTTGCTGTCCAAGTTCGGCATCTGCCGTTCGCGTCTAAGTGACAAATGAGTTAATCTAATTACCTTGCCCATATCAACCTTTTCCCTACCTTTTGCAGGCGCCCTTCGCAATATATACGGCAAAGTTTCCAGAAATCAGGAAGGCAGTCACCAAGAATATCACATAGCGTCCTCACAAGGCTAACAGTAATACGGAAGAGCTTCACATTCATGTCATAGCCTAAACAGTTTCACCATGAATGAGCATCATCCAGCAACATGACAGAACGGATTCTCCTGACCGAAAGTTTCTTCAAACTCTTGTGACTGGACAGAATTCAGGGCCTTCCGGAGTTGGCTAACGGTAAACTGCTGTGGACGATCGCCCTGGCACTTGTTTAAATCTGCATCCAACATATTAGCACAGAGCCTTGACTTGGCGTAAATGTGGACTCGTTTGTACCGTCCAAATTCCGCAAGTGATTATCGTACGCTTGCCTCAATCTACTTAAAATCCATTCATACTGTTTTTCCACATACAGCTGAACAGGATCCGGATCCGCATTCAACTCGATTAGATATCTGTTGTTACATACTCGAGTGAATAGGCAGCAGCTTCTAATTACTCGACGATGACTTACGTCATTATCCTTTCTTGATTTTCCAATGGTACCCAGGACTCTCCGAGTTGCCGGAAAAGCTCCCGCCGGCATTCAGAGACAATGTTTTCCGCTTCATTCCACACCTTTTCAAAAACTTTTTGGTGGGCTTGGGGAAGAAGGGCATCCTTTTCTTTGCCTGTGGCTTTCACTCCGAGTCTTTGACTGTTGCGGCCAAATGACGATTCCATGAGGTATTTTCCTTTTTGGTAGTCTCGCACAAGCGCGTCGTATTTGGCCTAGCGAGAAATGCATTATGGAACAGATCGTCTGCAACGCATTCCAGGATGGCTACCTTTGAATGGTATCCCTGCAAGACACTGGGAAGGTTGAAGAAAAACTTCCATTGACCTAGCACGCTCAAGGTTGTCCTGATTCTTTCAGCCTTCAGTCTCCGTTCCAAGAGCGGTGTATATAGTGCTGAAGCATCCACTTTCAAGGCTAAGGCGATACAATTTTGAGATGTCACACCAGCATGCGATCATGATGAGCGTATGCAAACCTTCAATGGATCTTGCGAATGGTGCCACACCATAATCCTCAGACGAAATGAGATTTTTGGTTCGCATTTGCTCGTAGAAAGCTGAGGCCAAAATAAGTGCCTGTCATACATACCATAGAATACCCATCGTGCAAACCTACAGTCTATGGTGCTTTTTGCGCTCACAAATTTTGCAAAATGCGTCTTTACAAGATTTTTGATAACATCTTCTCGATGATCGATGGCCGCATGTAAGCGGTCTGCGCCCAATTCCAGGTCTCGGTACGAAGTGGTTTTGTGAACTTCTCGGAGGAAATGCTTTGCGTCAAACTTTCTGCTGGTAATCAGCAGCGCTCCATCTTCAAATATGTCAGCAAGGTCTTGAATCTCTGGTTACGCTTTCGGCTCACGAAGCTTACATTGTTCCGCTTCCACTCTTGATAGAGGACCTCGACCGCGCCTTCCACGCCTATATGCGCATTACAGCAAATGTTACTGAATCTCAGTGAGCTTTCAGCACCCCTGCTGTTGGCAGCCCTTCCCTCTGATCATGCCTACCCTAATATGGAATCCCTGATGCCAAGTGGGTCCGATGTATCTACTGGAGTGTCTGCTTCGTGAGGCAACGTTGGAATATCAGCACTCGCTGGTGAAGCGTCCCCTGATATGATCGAGGTAATGGTCGATGGTCCTTTTTGAGGTTCGTCCCGTGTTTCCCCCCACGTTTGCGGGAATGCATTTTGCAGGCCATAAAACGAAAATACTATGAAATTCCTATTAGATCTCGCATATGATAACCCTCAGTACGGAAAGCGCTTCAAAGCATAGGACGTACTGGCAGTCTGCTCTTCGGACGTCCAGCGTACGTTCGGTCGCTTCAGGTCATCCGCATCATTGTCAAGTTCATCCTCATCGTCCGAACTTGATGACGTTGTCGTTGTCGTTGTCGTCCCATGCTCTTTGAAAATTCTGTCCCGCTGCGGTACTCCACTCCGCGTAGCGACGCTCGATCGCGCCGAACTCGCCATGGTTATGGTCCCAGATGAGTTGGCAAATGCGTGTTCAGTCGTCCCCAGCGGACTGTTCAGCGACCGTCACGTGCAATGCTTACATAATAAAACATCACATGCGCGGAATTGCTGGTCATATGATCTGTTGCTATAACAACATGCGCCACACGTAGGAAATCCTTCCGTACGCTTCTCGTAATGGCCCGACCTTCTGCTTACTTGATTCCCGCTGGGCAAGAAGGCGAGGAAAGCGCTTACGGAACTGCAGCAACGCGCTGACGCTACGTTTCTGACTCAGGTATCGCGAACACTTTCTTCTGGGCAACGACTGTTGAAAAGCAATTGGCAAGAGCTTTTTGAGGGACTGTCTTTTGCCATCGACAGCCCCATTGCACGCCTTTTTGAAGCAAGTCAGATTGGTCAAAAACTCGACCGATCGGCTTCTGCAAAGACGTGGACCACGTCGCCTTAACCGGACTTTAGTCTTTACATAACCAAGCGGCAATAGTTTCGTAAGGAACGCCATGAGCGCTTACGCGACTCCTACTGCATTACCCCCAGCCCCACCAGTTGGTCTCAGCGGCCCGGGTGCTTCTGGGCTTCATATGCCCGGGAGTAGCAATTCCAAGACGACGTCACTCCAACCAAAGCCGGACGACTCGGGAAATCTCTCTTCCAACTCGGCCGACTATGATGACCGGGAACCTGGTGGCGGAAAGGCCCCTTCACGAGTTACTGCGCGTCGGGCCCAACAAAATCGTGAAGCACAACGCAACTTTCGTGAACGACGCAAGAATTATATTAAAGACCTTGAAGCCAAAGTCCAATCCCTTATATCCAAGGACGCGCTCCTACAAAAAACAGAACAACAATGCCGCGACTTCCAGATGATAGTTGACAGATTGAGCGCGGAGAGAGATGTGTGGGTTCGCGAGAGGGAATTATGGTGGAGGGAGAGGGAAGAGATTTACAGAGCTGTTGAAGCACTTCGGATGGAGGTTCGTCAGAGTCAAACTGAAAACAGACGACTGAGAGAAATGGCTTGGACTCTTTGGAATGACGTTGGTGGGCGCAATGGAAGCAATCCCGCTGGAGCTGAAGGGGAAGCTGCAGGTGGAGTAAGCACAGGAGAGGGCGAGGGAAAAGCAACCGAAGCACAAGCAATGGATGCTGATGCGGATGGAACCGCGAAAGCCTCAGATGAAGCCGATGGCGCTACTGCCAAGGCTGCCTCAAACGACATTGCTGGCAATGCCGCTGGAGGTGCCATGGATATCAGCGGATCGACCAGCTCCTCTGACGCCACCTCAACCGCAACGGGTACTAAGCCCGGAGCCGCTTCAGGCAACCCAACGTCAGGAAACGACATGGAGGCAACCGCGGGAGCACTGCCTGCCACACCGTTCGGCGACCTCTCAATGCTGGCCTCGTTGAATCCGCGCATGGCAGCAGCAAGTGGTAATGCGGCAAACGGCCCAGTTTCTCCGACCGATATTGCTCATGATCTGCTTGCTTTGTCGCGAGCGTCGTCGCCATCTTCTCGACATGCTCAACCGCCTAATACGGCAGCATCCTTGGATCAAGCTGGGAATTCCACAACCAGCAACGCTTTGGAAGACTTGAAGACTCGAATGTCATTCTGGGATGCCGAACGCGAAAATCTGTACAGGGCCGCGAGCGACAGAGAGCGTGAACTTCTCTTGTCCTCTCTAATTCCGGGTGCACCGCCTGCTGCCGGAATGAACCTGGCTGGAGCTGGTTTGAACGCAATGAACGCCGCGCAGCTATTTGCAAGGATGGCGGCCGGCTTGTGGGGTGAGCAACAGCAAGCTTCAGCTCAACAGCCTCAGCAACCCCCTGTGGGTAACGCTGGGGAAGCTGGAATAAAAGACCAAGGAACTGATGGACAAACCGAAAAGGACGGTTCTTCAGCAGCGGTTAACCCTGCAATGGTTCCATTCTTTATGCAGGGTGCAGCTCCTGCTGGTGGGGGTGTTCCGGGAGAAGGTGGGCAGACAATGTCGTCGTAGAAGGGGCAGATTTAAAAATGCTTATTGTTTAATTGGTGATTGTATTGGGTGTATGTGGTGGCTCGTAGGTGAGGCGGTTTTGGAAACCGGTTCCGCTTGTGCGGAAATATGGTCTCACCTATTCGAAGCAATACTTGTGGTAATTAACCCATTGTATCTTGTACTTGTTCGTACGACAATTTTGCAAAGAAATAGTTCGGTACAGCGAGTGCTCTTTATTCACCGTCTCGTTGGTTTACACCTGGATTGCGCCCATGTCCTGTTCCCTTCGTCGCTTTGACTCCATCTCCATTGTCAATTCGACGACGAGTTGCCAATCGTCATGGTATCCCTCTATGCAACGGCTCCAACTGTCAGATGATTTAGGTCCACATAAAAACCTGGCGACCACATGCCTTTTACGCATTTCTTGAACTCTCTTAATGCTTTTTCAATCTCACCAAGATTAAGAAAACAGTACCCTAACAGATGGCGGCCTGGAATAGACGCGCCAGGAAGCGTTATCTGCAGATCGAGGGTCAGCCAACGCTTGATCCGCCGGGAACTCGAGCAATTTATTTAGACAGGATCTGAAATCAATGCTCACATACTGCTGAAGGCAGACCAAGGCCCTTGAATATGCACCCAGCTGATAAAAGTCTTTGGCAACCTGTTCAAAAGTGTCCGTTAAATATGACGAACGAAGACTTTAGACAAATATCTTACCTTGTATATGTCATATGCTTCAGGAGGGCGATTCAACCGGCGTTGAAACCAGTCGAAAATCTCCTCCCGACTCATATTTGGCCGGAAACTCTCATAATCTGTAAAGTCCATTTTGACGTTCTGCTGGAGAACCGCCGGCGGCACAAGGTTAACAGCAGCTTTCCAACTGACGGACGCGTCTGCTTACGCAGCAGCCTGGGGCTCACGTGCAAGCCTTCGCATCCCAACGCTGTGACGAATTGCCAACCGTCCGGCATTTTGAGCAATTGAGCAATCTATACCTTTTTCATCCGCTGTCATTCACGTCATGGTGTCCAATACACCTTCTTTGCCAACAGACCCAAATATTGCACAAGCGACGCAAGCAGTTTCTGGCCAAAATGCTAGTGCCGAGGGTGCAAAATACTCCATTTTCGACAACATTCTCAAACCCGACCAAGATGATAGAGGATACCGCATGCTCACACTTGAAAACAACCTCCAAGCTTTATTGATATCTGACCCACATACGGACAAGTCTTCTGCGGCGCTGGATGTTCATGTGGGCCATCTATGTGATCCTGACGATGTGGCTGGGTTGGCGCATTTTTGCGAACACTTGCGTATGTACTGATCGCGGCAGATCCTGGTGTAAATGAGCGCAGCTTGGTGGTGATGCTGGAATCAATGTATTGGTACGGTCGTACTGGTATAGAGCATGGCCAGATTCTGCCCGCCGAGCAAGTTTCACGCAATGATTCAGTTCTAGCCGATCGCTAACATATTCTGTCTTTCAACTCGGGCCGATAATCTTGACATCCAGTCTTCATGGTAAGAGAAGGGTCTTCTGAGATACTTGTCACAGATATTACAAAGGTTGCCGGTGGACATAATCGCATATTATGCAATCACGTTGGCAACTTGGATTTGCAGTTGTGACGTTCTTCCGACAAACCTTGATGTTTCACATGTTATTTGAACTCATGTTTGCGTGTACTGTTCACTACAATATAGGGTACAGAGAAGGTAAACTATTTGCGGGGATCACAACTTCCGTGGGTCATCCCAATAAACTATGCTCTTTGTTTATAATTGTAGTATCCAGTGGAAAACGATTACAATCAAGTAGGTTGGATAGCCTAGCTGCAAAGCCTGCTCATAATATGTAGAATCTGCTGCTTACCCGACGTGCCATATTTTATAGTATCTTTCTGAACATGGTGGATATTCAAACGCATTCACATCTGGTGAGATAATACTGTAATCCCCGGGCGTCTCGTTCCTCCCATATTCCTAATTGCCAATTCATTTTAGTTGAGAACACAAGTATGAGCTTTTTTGCATAAAAGGGTGTATCCGCTACATGATGTTCATGTGGAACCTGTGCAGATTATTATTTCGAGGTTACATCCGATCACTTTGAAGGCGCCCTGGATCGGTATGCCTGATGTCAAGAAGGACAGAATCACGCGGAGAACGCTACTGACGCTTTTTTGTATAGATTCGCTCAGTTCTTCATCAGCCCCTTATTCTCCGAATCTTGCACTGAGCGTGAAATGAATGCGGTCGACTCGGGTGTGTATGGAACGGTGCCGTGGGTGGGAATATTGATTTGAGGATCAAAGCTAACGTTGCCGACCTACTAGAGCACAAAAAGAATCTGCATTCCGATAACTGGCGAGTTTATCAACTTGAGAAAGACTTGTCGAACGAAAAACATCCTTACCGCAAGTTTGGAACCGGTAATGCTCGTGAATGGATGACACCTCGCAAGGTTGCGAATTGATCGACTTATGACTTAATGTAGGCAATCTGGAGACTCTACGAGACATCCCCGCGTCAAAAGGCCTCGACATCCGCAAAATATTGCTAGACTTCCACAGCAAGTATTACAGCTCCAATATAATGAAGCTCGTATTGTTGGGAAAAGGTTAGTCATCGTTATCGTTTTGCCATCCCTCGAATTTCTTCCTGACGCGTACCTCTACCACCAGAGCCCCTGGATCAGCTAGCTGAATGGGCTGTTGAGAAATTTTCCGCGGTGCAAAACAAGGCCATTGACGTACCGTCCTTTGAAGGACATCCACTCACTGCTGCGGAACTAGGGGTAGGAGATTGGAAGTACTTGCTCACCCATGTGTATCGCTCGAACCTAAAGATCATCCGTTTTACCAGAAACAAGTGCTGATCAAACCAGTAAAGGAACTACGTCATCTTGAATTGACATTCCCATTTCCTGATACCCAGCCGTACTACAAAGTCCAAGTACGTTTGTCAATGCAAGGGATCATCTCTCATGCTTGCTGCTTATGAAGTTTCTGGCTGCCTCTAGCCAAGTAAGTACCTAGCCCATCTGATCGGACATGAGGGTGAAGGGTCACTTCTCTCCCTGCTCAAGAAGAAAGGTAAGATTTACTGTTGGGCCATATTATCCAGGTATCTCATTGGAGTGTATAGGTTGGGCTTTGGCGCTGTCCGCTGGAGTCACCCATGGTGGCATCAATTTTGACTTTTTCAAGGTCTCGATAGACCTTACCTTGTCTGGCGTCGGTGAGTAACGGGCCAAATCAACTACACGCTAAGCTGTTTAATCATATATCTTTAGAACATTACGAGGAAATTGTCCCAATCGTCTTCCAGTATATCAACATGGTGGTGAAAGATGGGGTCCAACCTTGGATTTACCACGAGGTCTGTCTGCAGTCACGCTGACTGTTACGTCTCTACCATTGCTCACAAAACTGTAGTGCAAGCAATTGGCGGAAATGACATTTCGCTTTAAAGAAAAGTCCCCTCCGGCATCCTACGCGTCTCGTGTTGCTGGAAACATGCACAGATACGATGCTCCAGACATTTTGTCGGGTCCCTATTTGATGCATCAGTACGACGCAGAGAAAGTTCGCATGTGTCTTAGTTACCTGCGACCAGACAATTTCCGGTAGAGCTTGTTTCTCATGTTAGCCATATTACGGCAGTGATACTTACGCGGAATGATTCCTTGTAGTTTGACTGTGGTATCTCCGCATCATGACACTACTAATTTCTCAAAAGCGCAGTGGTACGGGACTGAGTATACAGTCGAAGACTTCAGTGAAAGCTTGAAGCAGGTACGATTAGCCTGTTGCAAATTGTGATTACAGCCGAGACTAACCCACATTTGCAAAGGCACTGGCCAATATCGGTCACAATGCTGAACTGCATTTACCAAGCCGAAACGAGTTCATTCCTGAGAAGTTTGATGTGCGACGCTTTGATGTTGAAGAGGTTGGGATCTTGCTGTTCGTATGGGTCATCTCTTCAGATTCTGATGTTTGTTTCTGGTGATCAACAGAAAATGCGATCTGCGCACATCATCAAGGAGACGCCTCTTACCCGAATGTGGCATAAGAAAGACGACACGTTTTGGGTTCCCAAGGCAAATCTCTGGTTCCAATTGAAGAGGTGCGAATATACTGGACGCCCTCAATGCTGATGATTTATATTTAAACGTGCACTGTCTTCAAGCCCGTTGTCCTATGTCTCACCGCTAAGCTGCACGCTGTCGAGACTCTATACTGACCTTCTCAAGGACGCACTTAATGAATTTTCTTACTACGCGGAAGTTGCGGGACTATCATATAGTTTGGACAACAACACGGACGGCATGGTGGTAAGTAAGCCGAGAAGCCAGTACATTTGCTAGACCCATCATACTCAGTTTTTTATACTTGTTAGCTCGTTTTGGCGGGTTACAATGATAAGCTCCCGACGCTATTAACGAAGATTGTGGAAAAAATGAAGAATCTCAAGGCTGATCCTGAACGATTCAAATTCATTAGTGAACAAGTAATGTTTATACGCTTGACTTGCATGCACGATGACGCTTACCCAGATCTGGACTTTATAGGTGTGCAGATCGTACAAAAACTGGGCAATGGAATCACCACATCAGCATGCAATCTACTATGTCAGCTACTTGACGCAAGAGAAATTGTGGACACATGAGGAAAAGCTTGTTGAACTTTATGGTTGGCATACCTAGATTTCATGTTTGCAAATGGGGCGATTTGTCTTATCATTGATATCTAGGCATCACGCCTCAGCAAGTGGAAGAATTCTACCCGCATCTGCTTGAACAAATGCACATTGAAGGGTTGGTGCATGGAAATGTTGAAGAAGAGGTAGGTTGTGAGAGTCAGATACGTTAACCATGAACAACATTCACAATTTGTCGTTGGTTGCGGGTAATTAGGAAGCACTAAAGTTGGTGTCCATTGTCGAAGACGCATTCCATCCAAAGGCCCTTCCACTATTCCAGCGCGCACAGACCATGCGCACGCAGCTTCTAGTTCCTGGTACGCATGTGTATCCGTTAAAAGCTCAAAGCATATGTTAACCGCATTATTTTTTACAGGCATATCATATATACATGTGCGTGATGTTCCAAACGCCGACAATGTCAATTCCGCCATCGAGTATTACATTCAGGTGGGCGATTTCACCGATGCAGAACTACGAGCAAAGCTGAACTTGTTCAGTCAAATTGCGCATGAGCCCGCGTTTGACCAGCTCAGAACAAAAGAGCAGCTTGGTAAGTGTCTGTCGGCGATCAAGGGCTGGTGCGGATACCAACGAGAATCCTAAATTCGTGTAGGTTACATGGTGTTTAGCGGTCTACGCAAGTCGACGGGAATAATGGGATTCAGGGTGATCATTCAAAGCGAAAAAGACCCAGCGTACCTCGAGAGCAGGATAAACTCGTTTTTGGCATCTATGCGGGTTGGTACATTTGCTGCGTATTCGATAACATACCGTTACTCATCTACTGCGTATCGTTACAGTCTGTCATTAGCAAACTGACAGCAGATGAATATGCAAAGCATCAAGCAGCCCTAGCCGCGCGAATGTTGGAGAAAGATAAGAACTTGGGACAAGAGTCACACCGTTTGTGGACTCATGTTTCTTCGCGGTACTACAATTTTGAGCAGCACATTGAAGATGCTGATTTGGTATGTCGCTGATGGAAGACTGACTGATGTGAATCAGAATTGAACGCTCTTCTTGTATTTAGGTCAAATGTGTCACCCAAGACAGCCTGCTAGAGTTTTATGATACATATATTGCTCTCTCTGCTCCTGAACGACGGAAACTCAGTGTCCATGTACGCAGCCAAAAAAGCGGCTCCCCAGCGGACGAAGACGCCCAGGCCATTCTCGACGACCCCAGGAATATCCTCATCATAACAGACGAGGAAGTAGCAGAAATCAAAGCTGGATGGGAATTGAGCAAGGGAGCAGTGCCTGTTCAAAAGATTGAAGAATACATGTCCAAGAAGGGGTGAGTAGTGAGTAGGGATGTTGGGAGCATTTGAGAGATAGATGCTGTCAGTCGAAAAGATAGAAGGGGACAAAAAAAAGAATTGGCCATTTGCTAATTTTTTTAAAACTGTGTGTGTTAAGTGCCAGTCGGGTTCCGGTCGTGTCCCAAACTCCCAAGTTGTGATTTTTTTGTTTCAAGTACATGTCAGGCAGCGAATATCCGTTCAACTATGTAATGCTTAATGATCATCATTAACCTATCTACAAGAATGCTATATACAACTCTACGAGCTGGGCAACATGAAATGGATGTGCGGTTGTTTCCTAGTCTTCGCTCTGTCCTTCCCAGTCTTCAAAATCCATATCCTTTGGCTCTTTTGGTTCTGCGTCCTCCCCGTACTGTATGGCGTTATCCACATGTGATAGAACCAATTCAACAGACTCTTCGTCCTTGATATTGAGTGGGACGAATGTTACCATGTTGTACTCGTCAATCTGTCAGGTGTGGAAAGAATCAGATGTGATTTGTGTGCATACAGTAAGGTAAGAGTGGAGACACTTGCCAGTCGTACGAGAGCTTCATTGAGATCACGGAACTTTGGTCGGGTGTTTTGATTCACGTCTTCCAGGAGGAGGGTTGGATCTGGGTAGAGGTATCTGCGAACAAGCAACAGCCAGGTTGAGTGTGCATACGGCAAGTTCCTTCATGCTACAGATCTATGCAACAGACCGTTCAATATCCTGGGTTTTATGCCGCTTGTCGATCAAGTCCATTTTAGTCATCACATTGATATGTGGTATCTCCAATTGAACCATGGCACTCATGGCGCTCATGACCCCAGCAAAAAATTTGCTAGGATCTTCCACAAATTGCGAGTCCAATAGATATACTCCACAGACCCTATAATCCAGTCGTTGAAGGGCCTGCACTATTGTCTTCATGATTGGAAAATGTGTGTACAGCTCAATTTGACCGGGACAGTCAACAATGAGGTAGTCATCGTCATGGTCGCCAAGCTCTTCCTCTAAAAAGTCCAGGTTGTTTGTGAGGAATTCGAGGCAGTATATGAGTCCACCATTCGGGCCGTATCCAAGTTCTTCCTGAACGTCTTCGAGTGTGATGAGATCTCGGATATCTGCAGGGAGTTGCGAGTGAGTCTGTCTTGTCGCTAGTCTCATTCACAGTGTAGATCCAAGTTGTTGGCGTCCCACATGTGAATTCTGTCTAGCCCAAAGCTGTTACCTATTGTTGGTTGATACGTAAATCTCTCTGCGGCGGGATCGAGATTAACAAGGTGTACCGTCCGTTTTATCGTCTCACAATGAGTCATTATTGTTGAGCAATATGTCGACTGCCACACCCAGACATTGTCAATCACTTTTGGAGTAATTGAATGGTATGAGATGCAAGATTATACCTTTCCGCTTCCAGCTGGCCCCATGACGATTTGACACATTTTCCCCCTAAAGTTGACCATTAGATCCAATACTGAATCTCACTCGTACAAAAATAATGCCCCAACCAACCGATGATTCCTTACATCTTGCTCAATGTTTCTGCTTCCAGAAAGCAAATAAAATCCTCGTCAAAACTAATGATCTTGCAAGTCTCTAGTCTCAAATAATAAAAGTCACTAAAATTATTTGCGCCAAGCAGCTGACCTAATGCGCGTGTTGCTGGAAAGCTCGTCCACGTATTGTGTGGTCCAGAGAGGCGCTTCTTTACCCCAACTCCGCTCCTTGCCCTTTTGCTTTAGTGTTTTGCATCGCTTTCTTGTGATCGTATCCATCAGACCTACGATAGCTATAAGCACGCTTTCGATACCCCCCATATTGCAATAGATTTGCGAATCACATACCAACATTTGCACAATACCACGCCGACTAATCTGTGGGAGCCGGAAACGAAATGTCGGAGCTCAAATTACAGAAACTGATTGGTGAGTGTGTAGAGCGTGTTATAGGGCAAGCGCAGATAAACCTGCTGCAAGCCACAACCGTTTTGTGCTTGCCCTTGACAGTATGGCTAAAACTGTCACAATGTAACCACAGCATTGAATGAACGTCTCAGGCAAGATGAGGAATTGCCGCGAGTGAAAGTTTCGGAAGCAAGCAAAGCGTGAGTATCTCCTCGAGAATGTTTCCTCTCGGCGATTTAGATGAACGGTTGACTGAATTGTTCGACCGCTTCATCTTCATAGACTGGTGACGTTTGTAACATCAACCTCCGAACCGCTTACATCAAATCTGAAGCCCGAAGAGAACCCCTTCACGAGGAAGCCAAAGGGCGGTGGTTGTACAATCTTGTAAATGAAGCAGGCGTCCGAGTCGAAACCGTATAATTTAGAAAAAGCGTATGTCTTGCGGGGAGAGAAAAATATAGACAAGTTTTATTGGCACGTATTATAATTGTTGACGGCTGCGTGCGGGCCCACCCACTCTGGAACAGCAACTCTCCTGCCCACATTCTGCATCGGTGCGTGGCACTCCCAGTAGCATTGATATCAATGTGAGGACAACAGAATTCACAAAGCGTCAATCGAATGGGGCTACCTTCTCCAATGCACTTGTTTCTTCATCGGGTCAGCTCTGTTATGAATGCATTTACAGCATCAAGCCCATTCTCTCCAATCTTATCATCACGAATCAAGCTACATGAAATAAAGGATATAGCATTTGGTAGATGCTCAAACTTGAAAGGTTCACCCTCGTTCCCTATAAATTCGTCATCCTTTTCTTCATCCTGACTTTGCACCTCGGCAGACCTCGTCTTGCGGAGGTTGTCACTTGAAAATATACAAGGGTCATCAGAGACAAGCCTCCAGCTTGCAGAGAATGCTTGGGTGTTTACTTACATTTCTCCTTCCAGCATTGTTTGAATCTTATCTTCCTTCAACGCTAGCAGCATATCGTTCTTATTGCACAGTACGAGAATCGGAATTTCATTCCTCTGAGTGTAGCGATTTGCTAAAATATCGTACAAGTATTCCGCTGCGGAGCGAAGCTGTCGCGGTATTGTGGTGCTGTCAACGACGAAAACGATGCCCGCCGTGACAGGGAGGTATTCAGTGTATTTAAATCGCAACTTCTCATGGCCCGGTAGATCGACGACATGGACGGGACGCTGTTGGCTTTTGCCGTGCTATTATATAGATACACAGAATATGATGAGTAATGCTTCATCGTTCGCCACAAATCTAGTGCTCACCTTTTGAGATATTGGTACAAATCGTCCCTCATTTTCCGTCATAGAGGTATGCGTATCAACCATCTGCCCATTTCGAAGCTGTAAACGAAAGAGGCATCTGTTACGGCGGTGCAAGCTATATATCACGAAGGCAGCTATCGCAGACGCACCAACCTTCACGTAGAGGACTGTCTTTCCAGCATCCGACAGACCTGCCAGCAGGAATGTGTCCCGTTTATGTCCTCTCGTCTTTGAAAAGACGATAAATGTACCTTTTTACGTTTGAAGGTGCGTGTTAAGTGAAGCAACTCAAAGGTATTCCATGCGCCGGGTACATACTCAACAACAAGACGATCACCAAGGCTGCCAAATAAACCACGGACAGAGGGTCGGTTGCCTTGAGTAAAAGCCATGGTGGCAAGCTTTTGGAAAGAGCAGCAATAACGCTGTCTTGTGACATTTTGTAACAGCGAATGGAGATGCTGGGAATGAGGAAGAAACGACGCCGAGTTGAAGGGCCACGACTTTGCACTTTACGCTATTTAGCCTTTCTGGGACACGGCCAAGTGAAGAGATCGCTCGCTGGCAAAATGTTTGAAAGACGTTTTGAGCCAACGAAGCAACATGACACTCTTCTTGGTCTGATAAACGTCTAGTAGGTTGCGAGAAAGGACATTTCTGTAGAGCCCCAATTTTGACCTGGGCAGCCATTTGCGTTCTTGAGACGAGAGCAGCGCGTTGAAAAGCTCTTTTGCCAAGCGCATTGCCCCAACCTTCTCAATCCACACTTTTATAGACGGAATCTTTTATCTAACCTGGTCAGCAATCTCACAAGATGGTGCAACTTAAGCTACCGCAGCATCCTCCCAAGGTTTTGGTTTTCTCAGACTTTGATGGGTAAGTCAAAGTACCTTACTGGTTCACACAAGGCCTGACTCGCAATAGCACCATCACCACACAAGACACGGGAACGCTGTTGATTGACCATTGTATGGGCTATGAGAATCGAAGAGCATTAGGTTGGCCTCCTTATCTTGTTATTCCCAGCTATAACATTTAACGTCCATGTGCAGATGTCCAGATCCTAGACGGAACACTTTCATTCCGAAGTGCCGTAGCTGAAATGTGGAATAGGTGTGCTATAGTCCTCTGAGCATGACAAGGTCACTTGAATAACACCAACAAACAGTGTCGACCTGAACTGGGAGGAGGCCCTTAGACTCTTGAAAGGTGGGCACAGAAAATCCAGTGTGTATCCACATGGCTTATCGAAATCAAACAAACAGATGTCAAGATTGATTTAGGATTTGAAGAGTTTCACCACTTTTGTAATATACAAAGGATTCCATTGGTGGTTCTCAGCAGGCAAGCACCATGTAGAGTCAAACTAAACCGCCATCATACATTTAATCTCACCCCGTCTGGTCGATAACAAATCCAGCGGTCTGAGCCCATTAGTAAAGATGTTCCTTCAAGGATATGCGGAAAACAACGATCTTATGGAAATCCTGGCGAACGATGTTATTATTAGTCGGACAGGAGACACCTCCAAGTGGGAAATCGTGTATCGTGATGAGAGGTAATTCGGTTATATGAACCATAGCTGACATCAACTCCTATTTACTGTCCGTGTCGCTGCCCATAGCTCTCACGGACACGACAAGAGCTTGGCCATTAAAGCCGCCAAAGAGCAATACACGTCAAACCCGCCCTTGATTGTATTCGCGGGTGACGGAGTATCGGATATATCTGCAGCAAGAGAAGCGGACATCGTTTTTGCCAAGAAAGGGAAGGATTTGGAAAAGTGGTGCATCAGAGAGTCAGTGGATTATATTCCGTGGGAAGACTTTAGGACCATTTTGCATGTCGTAAAGGCAAAGATCAGCGCATGACTGTAGAAACAGCATCATCTGCACTGTGTGTATTTAGACCCAACTAGTGATCTTTGTCCGCCACAAACGTGGACAACATATCAGCAAAACAGACACCCCTCTATTCGCCTCGGGCTAACATTTCGGCATATCGGCTCATAGGCACAAGGCGATTCAGTTGAAGGAAAACTACAAGAGTCATCCACGCTAACGTCTCTGCTCCCGCATGCGGAGCTCATCGTCAAGATCCACAGCACCCCCCATATAGTCATCTTCTTCACGTGCTACTGCGACTACAGCATCGCGCGTTGGACCAGGCAAACTAAAAGAGAGGTTCGTTTGGATGAAGAAGATAAAATAATGACTATGGAAAGATTATACCTTTCCTTTGGCCTGGGTAGAGTGCCGTTAACCTGTTGCAATTTCTGAGCTTTGAACTCCATGACCTCTTGCGCGATCATTTCTTTGAAGAGAAAATCAGCCAATATTCAGGGTTACGCCAGAAAAGTTGACATTGATATTACTTTTCATTTCCTCGACAGATTCGACGGATTCAAACGAAAAGTCAAATTGACGGTCGTGGGAAGGCTAATGCACCAGGGCTAAGTAAGGTCACCCTCGTCTTGCAAGAAATCACAACCCTACCTCGTCCTCCATATCATGGTAGGCCTCCAGATATGGGTGAGCCAATGCCTCCTCAACTGTTATCCGAGCGGCAGGGTCGAATGTAAGAAGTTTCTCAAGTAGATCCAAAGCTATGTAGATGGACTTAGCACATCCGAATGCTACTTCAAAAGATTGAATTTCCTTGAATACCTGCTGGACTCGCTTTGGGGTACAGTTGCGCCCAAGGAATTTTCTTCATCTTTGGCAAACTGCGAATATACAGTTGCGCCCGTTCACTTCCAATCCTCCTGAGTGTTGCATCATCAGGTGTTCCAAGAATACTCAAAATTTGGTTTAGTTGATCCACATCTAAAAATCAGATATCCTCGGTAAACGCTCGATCCGCGTGGATACAGCAGAAATGGCCACTCACAATCGCGCCCTTTAAAAAGCGGCTTTCCACCACATAGCTCTGCAAAGATGCATCCGACAGACCACATGTCGACTATCGCGGGAGTCATGATGAGAATGTGACACTATTCGTACGGCGAGCATAGGCCACTCACTAGCTTTGGTGTAGCTCTTGAAGGAAAGCATGATCTCTGGGGCACGATACCATCGCGTCGCAACATACTCCGTCATGAATCCAGTTTGTGTGTCAGAAAGCCCACGGGCCAACCCGAAATCACAAATCTGATGGAATGGTTTTAGTGTAGGTCACTAAACACCCCGGCAAGGTCTACCATGTCCCCACCTTCAATTCGCAATCGGCATTCACAAGCAGATTCCCAGGCTTCAGATCTCTATGCAAAACGTTGGCTGAATGGATATATTTCAAACCACGGCAAATCTGATAAATGAAATATTGAAAATGCGCGTCTGTCAAGGGTTGCTCGGAGCGGATGATTTGATGTAAATCCGCCTCCATCAGTTCCTGCACGATATACCTAGTGGCATTCCCAAAAATCCAGTCAGTACAAAGTGATTGAAACGCGGTCGCCTACTCAACACAATGAAACTCCATACACTTCGTTAAAGTTTTGAGGATCGGTGACGTCCATATCCTGCAGCGACGTTATCTACGTTGCATACACGGTGAGCGAAGCGTCCAACGCGTCATGCAGCATATTTGGCCATCCACCTACATTTTCATGACCATTGAAATGGCGCAAAAGCTTAATCTCTCGCAAAGCCCGCTTGGCAAGGATCGATTTCTCAAACACTTTTTGAACCTTTTTGATGGCAACTTCTTGCCCAGTTTCCAAATTCTGAGCAGCGCTATTATCCATACGCAGAAACAATATAATAACATAGTATCAGTCGTTGAAAGTCATTATCCAGCACTCGTTATCACAGGGACATGCGTCCTTGCACGATAACATCGCCGAGTCATCTACACAGAAACAGCGCAAAGGATAGCATACCAGACAACTCCATAAGCACCCTGTCCTAGTTCGCGAACTAGCTTATATCTCCGCTCCATAACAGGCGGGAGCTTCAACTCGAGCTTGGACATTTTGTGAAACTTGCCAATCCTTGGTGTTCGTGGAAACGGAGGTGTGCTACGCTAGGATTCCAAGAGTTCAAACACGACTCCCGCAACGCTACACGTAGCGAAGACTGTCGACGGATGAAATATGCGAAATGGCAGTGAAAGCGTGAAGATGAAAGGCTCCGATGGGCGTTTGGGCTACAGGCGAGACAGGATTGGGGCGTGTTTGCGTTCGCCGACTTGACGCTTACCGATGCCCTGGAACGACTGTGCCACTGTCACGTGTGGCCCAGATACGCGGAGAACGGAAAGTCGAGTTTGGGGATTTTTGCTTGCAATCGTCCTCATTCCTCATCAACGACATTAGAAAATGGCAGGACACCATCACCCAAAACCACCCGGTCTCGGGTTTACGGCCCCTCGTGTACGCGGAGTATGGGCTACGAAGCTCATGATGGCTCCCGTATGGTTCTTTGTTTACTACCGAATGTACCACGATGGACCTCACCACTTTGTAAGTAAAAGTTGAGTTTGCGCGAGGTCATGGGTTGCTGGAGCGACAACGAACATGCCCGCTGTATAACACGAAAGCTATAGCAAGCGTGGCGTTATCAGCTGCAGGAATACGAGCACCCGTGTTTGGATCCCTGTTGGCACTTCTCTAACCGTTGCATTGCATTTCAGCTTCACAAACACTCTTGGGAGGAGCCAAAGAACATTGCATATCTCGAAGAGCTCGATAAGAAGTACGGCACAAACTATGCGACCGCAAATATGCACCACCACTAAATCGACGGAGGCGAGGGCTGTAATATAGAGACGGATGCGATGGTGTCTAATAAACAAATATGCTTTACTTGCTGCTGTGTGGATCAATATTTAGGCATCTATGAGGGTGGCCTGGCACGATTCGGCGTATGCTTAAAATTTCCATTGAAGAGCGTCTTGCCAAGGCATTGCTCGCGACTGATAGTCTAACTTAGATGCTCCTCATTATCGATGTATCAGTTCTACTCTCTTCGTTCTAAGATCCGGATTTAGTCTGTCCCATTCCCTTCTTGCCATAGCGAATCCAGTGTCTGTTATCAATATCACTTGTGCCAAAGCAAACACCAGCGTAATGGCGTAAAAGAAGTTTGCGTTGCCACTTCCAGCATAAAGCCACAGATAATAGAATAGCGGGCCCAAAACGGAGGCGAAGAACAGTGCGCTAAAGACAAGGAAGGAGTGGCGCATGTCTAAAGAGAATCGTCAAAATATGGACCATGCGAACGATTGACGTCGGATGCTTACATTTAAACAACTCCCGGTTCATCGATAAGAAGGTGAGATATAAAGCGGTATCACCTAGTGAAGGGTACGACTTAAAAATAGCCATGATGGCTGTAAGCAGGAAGGCTACGAAAAGCGGATGGTTTCTAAATGCAGCAGGGAGCAGGGATGAAGTATCACGCACGATTAGATCGCGATTTTCTTTCGCAAAAATAGTCGCAGCGCACATACTTGAACACCATCGAAACTGGAACGACGAAGATAAAGACCAATATTTGGAATACGCAAAGGAAGAATGTTCGGAACTGATCAAACATCTCAATGAAGAAGTACCAGAACAATCCAATATTTGGCGTCAAGTCAGGAACGAACAAGCTTGATGAATACCATACGATTAAGAATCTAGATTGAAGAACGATATTTGCCAAGCAACTTACATGACTCCGTAGGTGGATTCCAAAAACTGCCATGATCCTATGAGTAGGTACGACAATCCGAGGAGTGCAACAGCGTAACCGATAAAGAGAGGCAAGCTTGTCCGCATTTCCTTGGAAATCTAGACCGGCAGTTTGAGCAACTCCGAGGTGCTTTCGAATCAGATCGCGTTTCTTACCCCGACATGGCTATTGCGAGCTAAGATGAGGACCGCAGGTGCGATCATCATTGCCGGATAAAGACTAAGGTACGCTGCTATTGCTATGCACAGCATGGAAAGACTCCTGTTCCCTGGGTTGCCAGTGGATAAAGTACATTAGATGAAATCTTGCGGCGACTAGCAAGAATAAAAGGTTCGGTGGTGCAGCGTTACCTCTAATTGCAAAGCGGAGCCCATGGATGACTGCTAAAATTGTAAACAATAAGGTGCTTTGAGCAAGGCACGTCATTACGCTGAATGGATTTAGAAGGTAGATCGATCCAATGTCTTCTGCTTGGAGTAACGCATCCACTGGTCGAGTAACATCTTGCGGTTGGGATGGAGTCTTCTTGGTTGCTTTTGGCCTCTTCTTCGGCAGGAGAGTAGCAGGATCATCAACCAGCCAAGGTGGTATCAACGTATCTCCTTTAGGTGCTTCTTTTATCTGCTCTGTGTGAGCATCCCTGTTCAACCCGGCCGTTTCCTGATTGGGGGTTTCCGTTTCTTCTTCATCGCTCTCTTCCTCCAAAGGCGGTGGCGCTAGTAATGTAGGCTTCAATGTAGGCTCGGGCCACACTTCTTCCTGTAGAGTCTTCCGCTTGTAGCTTGCAATTTCCACCAAGCCGCGCGCTATCCAATAGTCTAGTGCCACGAAAAGGAATGGAATCAAAATTGGAGGAAGGAAGTTGAAAACGGCTAGGAGCAAAGGTGCCTATGTAAACAAGATATAATCAAAACCGAGGCGTGTCTTGGGAAGCAATAGCATGTCGCGCACTTGGTGGTAAACGCCGCCATCATAAGGTGGCAGTCCGTGCTGGAACAAGTGCAGGCCTTCCTGAACTACAGTACAGCATTGAGTCCAAAAGGTTCAAGCATAACATATCTTGGTAGTGTATATACATCTTTTCCAGCTCGTCACCGGTGTACTTGTTTCCACTCGATGTTTGAAGAACGAGGATGCATCCGTGTAGAAAAACAGCGCCAACCGGAGTGCGATCCCGGTCCAAACTGGAATGCGAACAACGGGGTCCTCGTCTTCATGATTACTGATATCGGGAGAATCCTTCTCAAAGCTTGTTGACGATGGTTTCGACATTTGGCGATCTCGAAAGACTCGAAAACGGAAACAAGTGCGAGGTGCTTACCCATCCTGCTCGTGTGACTCACACCTCCAGATCAACCAACTTTGCTCAGTTCCGTTTGTTTTTGACTGAAAACATTACAGATGCTGCCATCACCTACTACATTTGCTAGGGTTTTACCCTACCGAACGCTTGCAATTGCGACGATAGCTGAAGCATTTTCAGTCTCCAGAAAATCAGCATTCTCAACTACCACATCCGGCATCAGCGAACCTGAACTTTGCTTCGACAATGTCATAATTGGGGCAGGAGTGGTAGGTGGGCAACTTATCGGCCTCGCTTCCCCCTTACGTTTTGTCTCCTTGTCCTGATATCTCAAATTACAGGCTTGGCCATTGCCGAAAGACTGAGCCGGCAGCCCAAAACGACAACTCTTGTGCTCGAACGACATGCGTCATTTGGAATGGAAACATCCTCCCGCAACTCTGAGGTTATACATGGTAAGTACGTTTAGCCTGGAGCTCTTATAATATGAGACTAATTTTCTGGATTCGTAGCTGGCATTTACTATCCTGTCGACTCGCTGAAGACCCGGCTTTGCACCCGCGGAAACCGTTTGCTCTATTCTTTTTGCTCCCAACACTCTATTCGCCATGCACGAATAGGGAAATGGGTCATTGGATCCGAACCAGATCAGTTCTTGTATCTGAAAAATATGAAAGACCGCGCAGAGAAACTCGGTGTTCCAATGCATTTTCTGTCAATGAAGGAGGCAGCACACCAAGAGCCGAACGTCATTGCAAAGGAAGTCCTAGTCAGTCCTACTACAGGAATAATAGATTCACATGCTCTGATGGAATGCCTAGAGGTCAATATAACTGCTACAAAGATCTCCTTTTTCCCACACCGCTCTGATCTGAGTTCCATTGCATCCAGGCCAAGATCCAGTCTCGTGGCGCTGATGTTGTCTATCATACTTCTGTCATTTCGATATCCGCCACTTCTTCGGGGTATCGCATCCGTACCTCTGACACACCCCCCACGATCATCCACGCACGCAACGTCATCAACAGTGCTGGACTTTACGCAGATGCTGTAGCCGCCATGATCGCACCAACATCGCCATATCGCATTTACCCATGCAAAGGCGTTTACTACACGTTCGCCGGACGCTGTCCGCCAGTAAAGCGTTTAATATATCCCACTCCTGAGAAAAACCTTCAGGGGCTGGGTGTACATTCCACTGTTGACCTTGCTGGCAGAGTCAAATTCGGTCCCAATGCTTTTTACGTGAATTCAAAAGAGGATGTTGGTGTACAGGAGGATGAAGCCATGAGCCAGCAGTTTGCCGAAGCGGTTAGTAAATATTTAAGAAGAGTGAAGAAAGAGGATTTACGGGTCGATTATGCGGGAATAAGGTGAGGTAACGAGTGATGGCTATTGTGATATCTATTAGCGCTCTAATCCTTGGTACTGTTCCGCGTAAACAAGACCAAAACTTTCGGGACCTGGTGACCCTTTCCATGACTTTGTCATTGAATCATCGAAGGAACACCCTGGGTTCATTAACTTGCTCGGTATAGAGTCTCCAGGGTTAACCTCCTCCTTGGCAATAGCGGAACATGTAGAAAAAATGTTGGGATACGATAGAGTGGATGATGGATGGGACAATATCTAGAATGCCGGAGAGTTTGATCGCAGCTACCGCCAGATGCCGCAATTAATATCTTGCGAGTGGTGAGGCAGGCGCTGCGGACTGTATCGGCTGGATCGCAAGTGCTGCCACATTGCATCAATGTTACCCAACTGCACTGTTGATAGGCTTAGGATTATCAAGACCATTTTAAGAGGTAGACTCTACATAGCTAGCTACAAAATACATGCTCCACATGGCTTCAGTGCATGCCAGTATATATACACATTCTATTTCCAAACCTTCACCACACCATCCCTACCCGCCGTTATGAGCATGGGAAACGGTAGAACCGTTCTGGCCGCATCCACAATTGCGTCTCGATGGCGGACTAACGTTGGGCTTGCTACCATTCCAACACCAGAGCCCGTATTTGTGGTGCGTGCCTGTTGAGAGCTACTGGCGGTCCGTAAAAGTCTCGGAGACGACACAGAACGTGAGGCGGACGTGCTTGCGCTTCCAGAGACAACGGAGGAAGTTGTTGGCGTAAAGTGGTGTGTTGGCGTATATTCAAAGTGAAACTGAATATCTCCGAATTGGTGTGAGCTGAAATTGACAAGAGGAATTTTAGATCTTGGACGGCAAGTATCCATAACGAGTTATCGTCCGTCAACGAACCTGTATCGCGGGGGAGCGTCATCCGGCTCCAGCCCAGTTACGACATACGACGCTTCAATATCGGTAAAGGACCATAGACGCACTTTCCGGTCAGTGCCAGCAGTCAGCATGTAAGGTGCGTCCGGGAAGGTCAGGAAAGTAAATACGCTGGTATTAGCACTTGCGGATATCGGTGTGGTATCTGATGTCGTGCTAGGCTTGGTTCCGATGAAATCATCAAGGTCCGGTGGATGCACAGCCTAAGTTGCGACTGTAAGTCATTGGATAACACGAAAGCAAAAATCAACACGCCTAAAAGTTGCCATACCTTTAAGCCGGCACCATACACTTTATTCATTTCCTCCTCTATGTCGGTTCCATGCGGACCCGCCGCGACCACACACCACACCTGCTGGCATTCACTAGAATCCACATTCCACACTGAAACTTCCTGTGTGGGTCCGTCAACCGCTACGGTAATGAACAGACCTTCAGAGCCACCCCATATTCCCATCCGATGGATCGGTTTTCGAGAAGGGTGCGCCCAAACTTTCACCTGTAGTTTGAATCGCAAGTCCCAAAGCGTAAACACTCCGCGGTGGGTTCCCGTAATCAAGAAAATCTTCTGTTTATCGAGCACCATGGCTGTAACTTTGCCATGTTGGGGAGGACAGTCGAAAGACCAGACTTCAGTCATGGTTCGCAGGTCGATGCCACAAAGCTTGCCCTTTGCCGTAACGTAAACGAGAACGGAATGTGTTTCTAGAGGCAGATATTCAGTGATTAGTACGAATTTCATATTCAAGGCCAATCTCGTTTAACTTACCGGTATCATAGTGTTCTAGAAGTTCCACATAATCGTTTTCAAGGTGCATGGTGCGAACAGGGTGGTATCCGATATACCGCCAAGCGCCGCCCCTGTTGACACATTCCACCCTGCGGAATGTCTGTTAGCACCTGATGTACAAGTGAGTTGCCTTTCGTAATTAGTTACCTGCAAACATGGATGGCCCCATCTTCTGACGCGGAGGCAACGCTATGTGTGTTTTCACAGAAAGTCAGCGCCTTGACCTTGCCCTCTGCATATACAGATCCTGGTCAACAATGAGCTAGCGAGCCTTGTGCGTCGGCTTACCATGTCCCGTGTATGTCAATCTCGCCCGATTTGTTACGTTCTTCTCTAATCGCGCGGTATCCCAAACTTTGACAGTCTTATCGTCGGAGCAAGTGACGAAAAAGGTGTTGTCCGCCGAGATTCGCAAACAATTTATAGGTTCGCGGTGTTCAGCAAGGTGAGCAACCAAAATCCCTTCCGGGCGCCAGCCACTCCAGTCGTGACTGAGAGTCGAACTTCCTTTCGCACGACGTGGCCGCTGGGCAGGTGCATTAGCGGCAGTTCGTATAGAAACCTTTGGTCCTAGCTCTAATCACAATGCAAACAATGAATGGACAACGCTTTTCATCCTTGAGCACAATGGGCGGTACCTGGAATAGGAGGAGGAAAGTATTCTCGTACTTTCTTGGCCACTAGCCGTCGAATATACTTGTCTTTGCCCTCTATGTCATCAGATAACGGAGGTGACGAAGGTGAGCGACGGACGGCATATAGACTGACTTAAGGATGAAAGTATACCAAAGCTATTCCCCATCATCCCACTTCTAGTGCTTAGTCCAGGGTGACCATCGCCAGCCGTCATAAGAGACACACGGTCCGATACACTGGCTGCATCGTCGTTGGTTGTTGAGGTTACTATGCTGCTAGCATCACTTCCTGTTCGTGAATGACCTCTCCTTTTGCGATTATGCGGCGCAGACACCATTGGTGAAGCTCTTCCCGGCACTGCCAACAAGCTATCGAGACCTCCTCCACCTACAGAAGGGTGCTTGGTCCTGGATAAGGGCACTAGAACATTGGCTGAAGCGCTTCGGGGCATAGGTGCAGAGCTGACGGTAGTGGATGTAGCGTCAGTCCCCGTCTCGCTGAGGCGTTCTGACATTAACGAGGTGGGCGAAGTTGCATAAGGCTCCCCCATCGCCGGTGAACGTGCCCTAACGTTCAGGTGTTGCATAAGCGACGTGTCGGAGGCATTTCTTCGATGCGTCGGACTTCTGAGCTGTTTTACGGATGCAGATACAGGAGACAAGCTGCGAGTGGGATCGAATACTTGGGAAACATTCGAGTCGGAGGGTGCGCGTGACATCCACGGTGCATTCGGCAGAACAGCGTCAGAAACCTTCATTAAGTGGACATCAGTACCACTTGGCGGCGCTCCGTCTCAGTAGGGACTTACCAGGAAGCTGGGCCGGAAGTCTTCGTTTGGAGAAAGGAACAATGTGTGTGGGGTGATTCCAAAGTTTTTGAGGGCTACCAGATCAGACTAAACAATTAAGAACTTTAGTAATAGAACCTGAAGGTGATACATTTTACTGCCGATTAAGTACCTTTCCCTCCAATTCATCAGGATATGCCCATTGATACTGCATATCCGCTGCAGACTTTCTGTTCCCATGATGTTAGATTTGGTCTGCGTAAACAATCATCCTCATAGATTCATCTCACCTCAGACGCGACTGCGTTGCTTTCGAAATGTAATATTTCATTGCAAAGAGCTTTTCCTTATCTTCGTCAGTCATTCCGAGTTCCCTCAGTCGCTGCAGAAGCTCATTGCTATGTCGTGCAATTTCAGCCTCCGCATAAGATATTGATGTGGAATCATCGAATCAATTCACCTTTCTGGACCCTGGCTGACTTTTCCTCTTTCCGTCGGACTGGCAACATCGACGACACCATGTAGAGGCCTGTTGTATTCCATTCCTCGATAGCTACCACCCGATAAGACGCGTTCTCGATCCCCGGCTGCAGCAGCTTTTGATGCAAACGCCAGCGTCTGATCATAGAGTACCCTACTAATCTGAAGGTTGCGATTAACATTCACGGTGGGGATGCATTAAACGATGCCTTCTCAGGAGGCATTACCGGATTTTTCAAACTCTCCAACAGATTGACTTCGGTGATGTCTGCGATGTCAGTCTTCAAAAAAGGACTGATGATGGGATATAAGATACACCGGACATCGATTTGCGGCAAAAGGCGTGCGGCGCACGAGATAAATGCAATAGCTCCTAAATACGCGGGCGAACACTTCGGTCAGTGCTCGGATACCCAAAACCATCTACGTCTCTCACTTACCAAAGCGGATCCATGTATTCGGATGGCAGACTAGAGGGACAACGGTGCCTGCTAACTCTTTCAACTTTGTCTTCTGCAAGAGACCTAGCTCTGCCAACGATGTTAAAGCGTTAAGGACTTTCTCGATCACAAATTCCTCAGCATCTTCAAAAAACAGTTCCATTAGCACAACCACAAGGCTGCCACAGTTTTGCTCGCCTCTTACCTGTCAGCGCCTGCACCATCAGAGGCAAGATATATTCCTCTAAACTTCGCCCACCAACGAAGGTACCGACACCCACGATGCTCTCAAAAAAAGCACTGACCAGACAAAATTAGCGTCGGAATTGCCAGATTTTGTTTTATATGCCTACCTGCGGAGCTGCCAATCGGTGTCGTTTAAGTAGGTAATCATATGTGAGAGGAGAACATCATTGGCCTTCTGTCTCCCGAAAATGATGCATAAGCGGGCCATTTCCGATAGTAAGGTTCTTTTGACGAGAGGATCGGGATCGATAAGTAGAGTGATAACCTCCTCCTGTATAATCTCTTGCAGATCTCGCAGACCGGAATCATATGTGATCTTGGTACAATGCGTCAATTTTCAACTCAGCAAAACTCGCAATGTGGTTAGCCTCTCATACCTGCTGGTATGGGTCGCCATCAGCTTCGAGTTCGGAATGACTGTTATCCCGGAGCAGCTGGGACAATTCAAGGAAGCGCAGCGCCGTTTCCGCTGCCATTGTGTTTCAGTATAATATACGTACAATTTTCTGCAGTTTGTGCTTACCTATAGCTGGGACACATTGGGCATATTTGGCCCGGACAAATGCATCTGGATCACTCGAAAACCTTCGCAGGCTAGGAAGAATGTACTCTGGGAAAATATTCGCATCTGGAGGAGTAATACGCTCTATCATGTTTAACTATTCCAGAACAGGGATATCAGTAAACTAAAGAACGGGTAGTCGCCATACTGCTGCCTACCAGTTGCGTTAACGTTGTCACTGCAGTTGCTCTCACATAGCCACAATCGTCATCGAGAAGGGCTACAATGTAAGGTACAAGACGGTCCAGTCGCGGCTCGTCGGAGAGATGCACTGCTAGTGCAAGTAGCAAATCAAGGGCGAAAAGCTTGGAAGACGGTTGCCCTACGTTGCGCAAGGCAGAGCAGATTATTGTGGTGAAGATCAAACAGCCATCACCTACCAAACACAGGGCATAAAAGTTAGAGAATAAAGGACCAAAGTCTTGAATTGACTGAGCAAACTGACCTGCGCCGGAGCCTCGTGCAATTTCGCCGCACGTAATCGGGAAATTCGGTATATTCACGGCAAGAGACAAACAGCCCTGAGAAAAGCAGTAAATGCCAACGATCATGAACAGATATAGCAGGAACGAGGAACTTACTGTTAGCCACAAGGAAGTCACACGTAAAAATCAAAAATCTAGTTAGTATCGAACAGAGCGCAAGTAGGATAAAAGTATTATGTGTCCAAGTTTTAGGCTGATACAGACCCACATGCCCGGACAATACAGCTCGTCCAGAAGGACTCTCCCGCTCTGGCAGTTCGCTTACTTCGTCTTGAGTGGATTCGTTCATGATTTCCAAAGCGACGGCAATTTTGTCAAAGTCGTGGTAAATGCGTTCGATTTTTCTGTCTGCCAGGGGATTAGCTGATACTGTTGCGTCTCCCAACGAGGCAACATAGTTGTGAAGAAATGTGTAGAAGTACTCAGGAAAAGCTTTCCCAGCCCTGATAAACATAGTAGCGGTATAAGTGTTCATTCCAATAATATCACTAGTACTCCATCATGATCATTACCACTCAGCAAGATACGTCTCGGCTGTCTTCCTATTAGCTGGATCCAGCTGAATCATGTGTTTTATCATGTTCTTTCAGTGAAATGTTAGTCATATGCTCATGTTGAACATGATTCTCCAGTCCGCGATGCTCACTCTTATATGAAGGTCATCAATCCTCTCCAGTTCCGGTGAGGGATCGTAATCCCCACTTCGGTAACGTAGCAGCTGAGAAAGGGAGAACAGTGGGGTTCCCTCTAAAAAGAGCTCTGCGATGGTACATCTATCAATCAAATAGAAAATTACTCGCGTGACGTAGAACTCATGAGATAAAGGACTATAATACCCTAACGAAAAGATATCCATGGATTCACACAAGCTCCCATCCTTGTCGCTAAACAACGTCTCTCCTGGTGCATAGAAGCGTTCCGGAGCAAGATAACACACACGGCGCGAGGACGTATCGAAGAAGAATGAGAAATCTGCTGGGTTATCCTGCATGATTTTAATCAAATGATACTCGCAATCATCCATTTTTCAGCGTATCTCACCTCGGGAAGGAAAGTTGGCTTGAAGCTGCTAAAGTCGGTCAAATATGCCCAATTCCAGCTGGTAACCAGAATGTTTTCGGTTTTGATGTCGCCGTGATAGATCTATCTCACAGGCATTATTAGGGTGTAATCAACTCGTTACAGTAATAATCGCCTGGGTCATACATGTTGAGCATGGGCCGCTGCCAATCCTGTCAATATCTGGTACGCTATCCACTTTTTCTCAATTGAAGCCAAGAATGGACGAGTACTGTACGGCCCCAGCGTTTACCATTTGGGATTCTACGTCAAAAGGGTGTAGTGTGTGCTATACCTTATACGGTCATATAAGTTGCTGTAAAGGTGCTGCCTAATCATATACGCCGCTCGATCCGTCTCGATGATCCTTTGATAGGGGAAAGCATTCGGGATGTCGAGAAGAATATCACGCTCCGCTATTTTTTGAACATCTTTAATATGCTTTCCTCATTTACCCCGCTAGAAAGTTTTCCACGCGGTACCTTTTAGTTCTTGGACGTACTTTCGCAAGGAGATGCCGGCATCAGGTTTTATAAAAATCTTGACAACAACGAGACCTTCACGGTGTTTGCATCTTATCGTCTTCATAAAATGACCACTTCCCAAGCTTTGATGATAACGTACATATACTAAAGTTAGCAGCAAGACCCATGTATAGAACACTCATTTCTTTATACCTCTTCTCGTATCTGACGTCCGATAATTCACTGACATAACTATCAATTCCGGCACTCGCACTTCGCGGCGTAGCGCTAGAGACTGTATTACCCATCCTGCAAGAGTACCAGCCCCTACCGAATATAGTAAACTCTCAGTTTCCCATTTGTGAGCATTGTAGATGGGCAAACGACGTAGCGCTAACCGCCGACCGACCTCGAGATGTGCGCGGATGTGGCACAGTCGTTATCGGTTCTAATGTCAACCGGATGCAGCCATATCCGTAAGCAACAATCCGCACATCCATCGCCGATGAACTTCTAAACGTTCAGGTCGGGGTGGAATAGTTGGTATTGCAAGGATGAAAGGGCGGCACCGCATTGAGAAGACATGGTCGTCTTCAAAGAATCTAATAAGACAAGCATTTGAACAGAGCTCGTCAGGGTGTGATGGCAAGGCAACTCATCAGAGTGCCAGAATTTGCCGCTGCAGTGACAGCATTTGCAGCTCTTTATCCCGCTACTTGGTCTGCAGACATCTGTTAGATTTCAGCCGGGGTCTGTAGCAATAAGAATAACCTTCCAGGGAAGGGTCAAAGTGAACACCTTGTAGAGCGTCTTAATAGATTCTGTTGCCCGCTATGTCTTTGCATTGTTCAACCGTAGGGTGCATTTCTGGGTTGGCCGGCCCGTACAGCTCAAGCCAAGCTTTCAGTAAGGAATGTCTCGTCATGTGCCTTTCGGTATATAAACCTTGTTCAAGCAGTTAAACTCAGCGTATCGGAAGCTATACTACATCTATAGAGAACTACATCTATATACGGGCTCTTGTGGCCGTTACCTAGCACACGCTATGCTCAGGTACCTCATCAATTATATTCATTGAAGATCCTCTCCTAGCATGACGGCGAGAATCGCACCGTCCGGTTAGATTAGCAGGCTGTGGCCATGAAGGCGCTTCAGGATGATCCGGAGGTGTCAACATTATCGTGGATCCCGGAGGTGAAGAGCCCGTAGAACTGGTTCGCGGGGTTGCCGACACACGCAAGGGAGAGGGAATAAATGGAGCGGGCAACCCGTCTAATGATCCCTGTTCTGCAAAAGAGCGTGATCTCCCTTGTAGATTTGGATTTCTCTTGGTAGCCAGTCCAAGTCCTGGGATAGCTCCAGGCATTCGATTTAAGGCATCTACAGATGCGGAGATACGCATCCGATTTGGCTTTCCCTCAAAATTCTTCAGTAGTACGCTCGGTAAAGCACCACCAGTTCCAGCATGTGTAGTTGAGGTATCATTGGCCTTCCCGTTGAGCCGAGCACTCAATTGGGGCTCGTCGTACAGTACCCTTCCCGATCCCAATCTCTGCGCGTCCATGTTGCCCAATAGAGGAGATGATGAAGAAATGTCTTCCGCGGCTGGTGTTGGAGGTGCCGAGACTGTTCTACAAGTCTTTTTCCCGCCCTTCCCTTTCAGTTTATTCATGATCTGTTCATTCGATGTGGTCAACAATGTAGTCTGGTTGTTTCATGAACTGTCCGACGTGCTATATCTACCTTGGTCACAAACATCATCGCAGGTTGGAATGCATTCTCCACTTCCTCCGGTGTCACTTCCTCAAATACACAGTTTTCTTCAGTCGGCAACATTGGATCTTCGCCATCTTTCGTAATCCAAGGATGGACCCTAATATCTGCGAGAGTGATTCGATCATCGGGATTCTTGCGCAGCATGCGATATAGAAGGTCCTGGAGCGACGGAGAGAGAGTGCTCGAGATCTCTGCGCTAGCATTGATTATTTTGTCATAGAGCTGAAGAATGCTCTCTTCTTGCCATGGCGCGCGCCCGTGAACTAGACAATATAGAGTAACTCCCAATGCCCATATATCTACAGCAAAACCCTTTAGCTGCTTCGTATGACCTGAAAAAAGTCGCTGCATTAGCAAATTATAAACCCATGGAGCAGCATGAGTAGTCAAATACTTTGACAAGCTTCTGGAGGGCTGAAAAGCGGTGATGCATTCTTGTCATCAAGCACAGGTTCTTCCTCTCCATCTTCGAACATGCTCGAAATGCCGAAATCTGCGATCTGCACCACACCTAAAGGTGGGGCCGCCTTCAACAGTAGATTTTCAGGTTTCAGATCTCGGTGAATGATTCTTTTCGAATGCACTAATCACAATGACGAGGTTAAAGGCAACCCTCAACGCGACGACTATACGAGACAGCAACTTACGATACTCTAAACCCAGGACCACATCGCGAAAATATTTCCGAGCCAAGTCTTCGCAGAATGGATTCACGCTGTCCTTCAATTGAAGCTTCATTATCGGACCGAATTCACAAAGTTCAAAGACTGATATCCGCAGTCAATTGGTTGCCCGTGTATGAAACGGAAATGCATAAAATCACGTACTCATATATAAATTGTCCTCTTTTCCGTCATCCAAAACCTCTACCAGCGCATTGATGTTGGGATGTTTCGAAAGCTTTTTGAGGATAGCTACCTCCCGCTTGACGCTGGCCAAGTGATCCATTTCTGGGTCCCCCCCACTTGCGCCAGCGCTGAAGCCTGTGTTTGACCATCGAAATTTCTTACGTAGTCTGCTTTTCGAAATGATTTTGCACGCATAGTATCTCTGATCTTGTTCGTTTCGGCATAGCACAACTCGCCCATATGCGCCCGACCCAATGTCCCGAATAATGTGGTACTGATTCACCTTTCCTTGAGTTTCTTCAGGCTCGCCTAAAGGGCTGACCAGGGTATGACTAGTTTCATGCATCGAGTATATCGTTGAAGTTTCAATGACTTGATGTCCTAAGGGACGTCTACGATCGTACTGGTTCCTGGACGCCGGGCGTTCACCCTTATTCAAGTTAAAGTCCATTGACCGGGATCGCTTACTTGCAAGGACACTTGTGGTCGAAGTCGGAGGGAGGGTTGCCAATTGGGTTGGCAAAGAAACAGACGTTTTTTCCGGTACCGCATTGGGTGATATTGACGTTGCTGGACTAGGATGTGGCTCTACTTTTCCGTCCGCATCGTCGGGGCCCGAGCGTTGTCGGAACGACATTGACCAATTGCTTGATTCCATAGAACGAATACGCGGGTTTGATCGAGAAGGATGCCGGCCGAGTGTCCCAGTCGAGGTCGTTTGCTCCCCAAAATTTCGAAATGTCACTCCTCCTCGTGAGCCAGATCGTGGCATGGATGTCCGAAGGTTTTGAGAAGGTTCCGTGTTACTTCGGTTCTCTAGTTTAATATCACTGTAGTGCCCCAGGGAAGAAGTAGACCCCGACACTTTCATTGGCAAGCTAGCATTACTCCTGTTGTTGAAAATGGACGACCCCAAAGAGGCCAGGCTTCTAGATATTCTTTTGAGGGAGTTTGAAGAGGGGGACGGGGTGAGATGAGCGGCGACGGAAACGGCAGGTTCGGAAACATGGGCAGGATTGGTTGAGAGACTATACAGTGACGAGGATGCTTGCATACCACTATTCGAAACTGGTGGGAGACTCCCTCCTTTCGGTTTCCGTTTCTTTTTCTTGTCATCATAATCTGCCACTTCTGATAGATAATCTGGTTGTATAGCGATAGGAATAAATGTATGTATGGTACGAATCGGATCCAGGATGAGGGAGCTTTTTGAACTGTCACCGCCAAAGGAGCTAGTCGACGGACGTGAGCTGGAGACAACAGCCGACGAAAACGATGATTGTCGTCGCTCCAAATGGGGGCGCTGTGGGTCATTGAGCTGACTTCGATGATCCTCCTTACGTACGCACACGGTTCCCTGATCTAATTCAGAAACCCTGTCTGATGAAAAGCTTGGCCTCAATCCTAAGGCTTCAAGCACTGGCGCAGCGATTGCAGTTGTCACTATAGGAGTTGAAGGAATCCTTCCTTCAGAGGAAGGAGCAACTTCTCCTCCTTCCTGGAGTGTAACATCAGATGGAGAGGCCACAGTTTGCTTAAGCTTGCTTGGTACTTGCTCCGCAGGAATGACGGCTTCTGCCTGGGCCTGGTCAATCAACAATCTCGCGTCGAGACCTGCTCCAGTGTGGGATGCCGCTCGATCTTCATCTTCCGGCAATGTTCGTACCCAGCTCTTTACTCGAAGTGTGGCACCATCTCTGCTAATTCCCTGCAGCTTGCGGCCCTTTTTTGCGGGTTTGTGGTCTGCGGGCTTGTGGTCACTACCTTCATCTTCGACCGGCCCGATGCGTTGGTCTGGATTAGATACAATATCGCTTTTACTATCGCGGCGAGAGTCGGACGGTGTCGCGCGTTTGAATTGCTGCAGAAACTTATCAAAGAATCCGCTAGTTCGACGACGATTTGATGCTGCGAGAGATGCTGTGAAAGCTCCAGCTATGGAAGCGCGCCGACCTTTTGCATGACCGGTTGCGCTTCCGCCAATTCGAGGGCTAGGTACAGGTTCACTGCTCTTTTGTCGGAAGCGCCAGTTGTCGTCGACTGTAGCACGACTGGCATACCGTCCTGTAACTGAGTCGGGTGACCGGTGTTCGTAGTTCGTATGCATTCGGCGCTCCAAGTTGAGAACAGATGTAGGTGCTTCGGCAGTTGCTGGCATGGTTCCCGTTGGAGAAACTCCCCCCGCATCGACGTACGTCAGGGGACGGTGCAACCCCGAATCTTGTACTGGGTTATTCCTTGATTTATCTTCAGAGAATCGTAGTAAAGGCGCAAGAAGACGCGTGAGTCGTCATTCCTGTCTCCCGTACAATGTCAATACAATCCTCAGCTTTGCCCATCGTTCCTGGCAAAGTGGAACCCGATGAGTCGCCACAATGTACGGGTGATTGCCTAGAACCTTATCGACCCGGCTTAACGCTTGCGACTTTTCCAATGAAGCCCCCTTTTTTGCAGCATTGTTGCTCCCCATATATCCCAGTTACTATTTTTATTTTGAAGTAGGGTGAAGCGGGAGAAGGGCGGAGAATTGCTGACTCAACATGGCACGTGATAGCGGTTTCAACCGGCCCATTCGATCCATTTCGCCTGTCGGACACGGACAGGCAAAACGAGGCAGCGCGTCGGAAAACACGGATTCCACATCGGCTTGCCATTACTCTTGCACTCTGGCCCCATGCGTTTGTCGAATCTACAAGGGCCAGAAGGAAGTAGCATATGAGCACAATAGCGATACAACTGTGGAAGCGTGTTGATCTGCAGAAGCCGTGCAGACCTTGCCTAGGGGAAGGACCCTTCTTACGACGATTCGCCGATCTAAAGACTTAAACGGACACGCTAGGCTTGATCCACATAGAAGCGAAATCCTATTCCTAATAGCGCCTCTGGGACACACGAAGATCGGTCGGAAATCCTCTCTGCAACCGAACTATTTTTATAGCTGTAGCACTGTGATCTACCTAATATTATGCTCACCGAGCACCATCCAGCGGAAGCGGATGCAGATGTACCTGGCCGGAAGGTTCGCGTTTGATTGTTTTTTAGACTGGTGCATGTCCTGTATGAGCTAACCTATAATCTAGGCGAGATGGCAAAAGGATCCACGACCAAACAATTATCATGAAGTTGGAGTCAAGGGCAGGTGGGTTCGCCCTATTGTATTTATACGAAAGTACGCAGAGATGGCCATGCAGGATGTTCACGACATCCATCCGTAGAAAAACCGGTGTAACCGCGCCGAAAAACGTGCAAACAGATGCAAATGGGCTTATGAGTGTGGACGATTGGTTTCGTGAAGATGAAGATGAAACGGATGAGATTACCAGAGGGCCACGAGAAGGTAAACGCGGAGTTATTCTGGCTATGGGATATGCGGGTGACAATTGTAACGTTATCTGGTCTGCTCAGGAGTGTCGGGCAGGATGTCAACTCCCAGCAAACCAAAGTATGCAAAAGGTTGTAAAAGGTTGACCCTGATTTATGATCCAGCTAGACCTCACCATGTTTATTTTCCGCACAGCCGATTCAGCTTCTGACGTAGAGCCATACCAGCAACCACCTCGACGCGTATCTCCGGCCACGGGGTTTACAAAGGAGAAGACTCCTGGGACTGCAACACGGAATGCGATATCTCGCCTTCCGCGTCCGTCTATGTTAGAAGGTCCATTGGATACAGCCACGAAGCACACCCCTCAAAGTCAGCGGAGTTCCAAGGGTCAGTTTTCGAACATATCCAGTGCCTACATCGTCGACGAGGATATGCCATCACCGCGCACCATTCTCAGTCCAGCCGCACCTCTTCGCCTTGAACACCCCGTATCAGAAACAACCCCAAAAAGTCAGCTCGACGACAGGCGACGAAGTAGAACCAGCGGCAGTCTTACGGTGCAGCTGCCACAACGAACTCGTGAGCCTCTTGTTGAGGGGTCCAAGACATCTCGAAAAAGTGTTGGCGGGCCATCATCATTTATTCCTTCGAGGTTGTCGCACGTAGCGAATGTGGACATGAGTGGCGGTGATGATATTGCTAGGGGGGCCGAGCTTTTGGAAGACGGCTTGGTCGAATACAGACAGGAAGAAGCCTTTTGCGCATCAGTGACAAAGACTCTAACCAAATCTTCAGAAAATGGTTCGGATGATGGGGCAGGACGAGCAGGTAGCCCTCCATCACCAACTCCTGAAGCGATTACTTCAAAAAAAGGCATTGTTCGGGAGGACATAGCGGAACCTGATGAAGAGAACGCTGTGTTGGAAGGAAAATTCAACGAACCGAGCAGCGCGCGGAGGTCGAGAAAGCGCAAGGCTGCCATACCTACGTCAGATGCCGAAAGCGACCGGGATATCATTCCTTCAATGCGGCAGGCGTTACCTGATTCGGATGACGGAACTCCTCTACGACGAGGCAATGCCGCTTACATGGTAGGCACGAGTAGAACGATTAGACGTGGTAATCAGCCCACGCAACATGAATACGAGACATCTGGTATTATAGATGAGCCGATATTGGCGTCCGCAAGAAAAACGACTGCAAAACACGCTGTCAGGAATGTACATGATCCTGATGACAGCGAGGTGGATACGAGAAGATACGGCGGTAGCGCTCGTAGAAACCTGTCGGAAGAATTTGAGAAGTCCACGCGAAAGGCAGAGTCTTCTATAGACGGCAGAAGCTCTGTGGAAAGCCGTGAAGATGTTGAAGTCGGTCACGACGCTGCCCTTGAACCCATTGAGGCTGTGGATGAGACTCAATATTTTGCTGATGCCAATGAAGTGAACCACGAAGAACTGTCGGACGAAGGTGGGGAGAAAGAAAACGAGATCAAATCCAAACGCCATCAAAATGCGCCTGCCCGAAAAGGCAAACAGACTGCAACTCGAACTCGGACACGAAAAGCAAAACAACGTGCGTTGATTTTCAATAACCATCTGCATCATAATCTGTTGTAACGATATTCTTGTTCACAAATAGCTCGCCGCGAACTCCCTCCAGAGGTGACGGATGCTGTATTCCAATTGGATGACCAAGATGAAGACGAAAATGGAGCACGACGCAGCAAGCGGATGAAGATAAAACCGCTGAAGTATTGGGCTGGGGAACGCGTGGTAATTGGAAGAAGGGAATCAGGTGAGGGGCCACAAGGTCCCACCATACACATTCATTCGATTATCTAAAAATAAATAGGCTTCTTCCCGGTGCCGGTAGTCAAAGAAGTCATTCGTGTCAAATCGGATGACGAGTCATCAAATTATGGGAAGGGGAAGCCCACGACCAGAGTTAAATCCGAGCCAGCTCCGTTAGTGCAGCCAGATGTTCCAGTGATCAACATCACAACTGGTCAGGAGGAGAATCAACGTATGTGCATGTCAGAGTGAGAAGTAGTATTCCGGCGCTTTAATTCTAACCCGAATGCACCATTTATCAGGTATCGTGGCTACCCCAGAAATGCTCAACCCCCGTACGATAGGAGCGGGCGACTACAAGTTTCAGAAAGTGTTTAGCGAAGGTGAATTCATCGCGTCTGGTATATTGGTCATGCCCAAAGGATCGCAGAAACCCAACAAGAATTCTAATCAATCAGCAATGGTATGTGAGAGGGATATGGCATGTTACATGGCCGACGTGTACTCACGGAGGTTTTCAATCCAGATTTTTTATGTTGTATCCGGCGAGGTTGAGGTACAGATCCACAAGACTATCTTCGTAGTAAAAACTGGATCTCAATTCTTCGTTCCTCGAGGTGAGTTCTCTGTCGAAATAAGGTTCAACTGGTCCTTCCACCAACCCCACAATCTCCTAGGAAATCAATATCGCATTCAAAATGTAGCAAGTCGTGAAGCCAAACTGTTCTTTTGTCACGGTAAAGAGGTGCTTATGGAAGCACCCGCTGGACAGCGGTAACATGTTATTTCGTATCGGTGGAGAAAGCATACTGCTTTATGTGGCATTGCCACTCAGTAAGTGTAATTGGGAAAAAGTAGCACTATGTTGCCTTGTAAATATAAACGAAACCATATTATTAAATCGCTTAAGGGTCCTTCTGTCAGCGTTTTTCAAAGTTGCTATACTCCAGTTTTGCAATGGTCGCTTGTGAGGTGTATTCGCAACGGTCGACCCTAGATTTGGGGGAACCTGTCTTTTGATATCATGAGTAATTTTCAGGCTTGTGGACGTATCATGTCATGAGCCTACCTTTAAGCGCTGCTTGCTTGAAACAAAAGCAAGCCGATGGTGTGAGCGCCATATACATACTAAAAGCTACATATCTGGGACACTCACAACACCTCTACCTGATCTATAGGTCCAAAGGTCAGACTTCTGTTTGTTATTGCTTTTGAGGGGAGCACATACCTGCTTCACCCTGCACGATCCCTTCGACTGTTCCCCGGTCTGTATTTCGGACCCATCCTACAACTCTGAGTTTGTTGCCGTTCTCGACGCAGTATTTCCGGAACCAAACACCTGTGTCAGAGTAGTGTTCCGTTCAACAGGGAACGTGCCATGTATTTTAACCTCACAAAATTTCGATATGGCATGTTGACAGCCCAGCCTGGTCTCCAGTTATAAGGTACCTTGTACTTTACCAAACACCTCAAAACCGGTGCTGACGATAGATGGAGTAGGTGTCATCCTGGGGACTTGGAAAGCAAACGTCGAACTTGGACCGCTTACCAATCTGTGCGACCGTGCAGATCTTTCGCGGCTGGAAGCGCATGCAACGAGTTCGGCCACCTCGACACCATTGAAAAGTAGAGCGGGTTTGTCTATGTGATGTTAGAGAAGAGAAAGAGGGCAAAGCTCGTGTGCGTGGGGGACGAAGGAGTGGGCAAGACAGCATTGCTATTAGTGTACTCTGGAGGTCAGTTTCCTGAAAAGCACCTTGCAACGGTTACGGAAACGTACCTGCCAAAGGACTCGCCTTTCGAAATCTGGGACACGGCAGGAGCGGCAGAGCTTGACAGGCTAAGACCTTTTAGCTATGATAAAGCGGATGCCTTTATCGTGGCTTTCAGCGTTGTCGACCACCAGTCTTTTCAAAATATTGAAGAAAGGGTATGAGTACATTGCGGTAGATCTTTTGGGACAAACCTTTCAGATAGTTGACAGTCTGCGTAACCAGTGGATTCCCGAGATACGATATTTTGCTTCTAATGTTCCCATTTTGCTTGTCGGGTGTAAAAGCGATCTCCGCACGGACCCTGAAACGTTGGAAAGTCTGCGACGAATAGGCTATGACCCAATACGATACGACGAGGTAGAGCATCATAATCCGGCTCAAGTATTCTTTCTCTCTCACCGTTCAGCTTGTTGCAATAGGGTGAACAAGTTGCTAAGCGAATGGGTGCCTACCGGTATCTTGAGTGTTCGGCTCGCACAAGGTCGGGGGTGGCGGCCATTTTTGAGGAAGCGGGACGATCTATCGACTATGATAAGGATTTAAGACATATTGAAGCTGTTACAAAACCGTTTGATAATATTGCTGTCATTTTGAGACGGCAAAGCTCGTTATCGACCGTTACTACCGCCGTGACGGGAATATCACGACCTGATTGGGATGGGGAGGATTATGATGAGATTTCGCCAGGGCACAGTATCCATACAGTGGCCATTGGCGAAATCAGAGCCAATGTGGAAATCTTGGAGCTGCACAGCCTGGAACCTAAGGATGACGAAACATGTCATGTCGCGGAATGCGATGAAGCTGAGAGTGGAGTGATAGGAATTGAATCTCCTGCTGCAAATGAGGAGGAAGAAATGGAACGGGACAGCAAGAATAAACCGAAAAAGTTTATTTTGGGGGGAGATCCACGGAAAGCGCGGGATCGTGTCCGTATAGGTGGGGGCGGCGGTGGAGGCGGGGGCGGTCCTATCATTCGGCGCGCATCCGCCGAGTCGTCTTCCATCGCCTCTGTTAGCACCGCATCTGCAGCTGTTCTACCAGGAGAAGTGACAATGGCCAAGGAAGCAGATGGAGATACTCCTGCCGTTGATGCACTCCGTCCTACAGAAACCCCTGAAGCAGTCGAAGCGGTTTCTTCCCCATTGTCTCTGATACCATCAAAGCCGGCTATGGGTCCCTCCCCATCTAGGATATCGCCAATGACCATGACGGCAGAGACACCTATCTCGTCGTCAAAAACACGCCAACCAAAATCAACTGCCGGATGTCAATGTACCATACTCTGACTTTTTTCAGACCATTGCGGGCGATGGACGACTTTCCACTTATATTTCTATGTATATATTAGTAGACCTATATTCATTTTGATACAATGTAAATGAGTACGCAACGAACGGGACAGTTCAACATCTTCCAGTGGATCTTTACCCAAGATTCGAATCGCTCTATGGGAGTCGAATGTTTAAAGTTAAAGGTGGATTGATTTCTGCTTTGGCTCTATCGCCGATGTATTGAAAAGCTTCCAAATAATGTAGTCATCTTTGACCATTTCTGATCGCAGATGTGAGTACAGTAGGAAGCGTGAAATCTAAAGGACTACATCAATCCTGTAACATCCTGGTATCTACTACTAGGCAATTATGCACGCAATACATAACAGCTCTTCTAAACCGGATAATTTGCCCACCACCTCAAGAGAAATCCTACTTGCCCTTTGATTCCGAAATTCTTGGTTGGAGGATGTTTCAGATACTAGTAAAATCAGAATTAGACTGGGTAATACATGCATGGGAAAAATCATATTGATATACCTGCGATCGTAGCAATATAGTAGTAGCAGTGTTTGCAAGGGGTTATGTTGTTGTTGTCAGGAGGGCGAGGTCCTCGGCACCAGAGTGGCATTCTCATGATGGACTTGAGAGTTGCTTGAGCATTGGGCAGATGCTTTGAGTTGAGGGATAAAGAACAAGATGGGGGAAGAGGATGAGGGGGGGTTTATATAGAAAAACTGAGTCGATATATTGAGTCATGCATGTATGCATATGGCAACTGCGAATATTTCTCTCATAGATGGCTGTCAGATGGCCGCAAGGGATAGCAATCAATCCGTTCATGGCCGCAGTTATTGGACCTGTTTTCATACTGGCCACACATATTGGACCCGTTGAGCATCTTTTGTGCATAGTTCATTTGCCGAAATCGAGGGAGGCATCTTGCATTTCATCTCATTCGATCCAATGGCCGGCTCTATCGCCGTCGTCGCCCTTCCCTTCTTTGCAGACAAAATGAACCGAACTCCAAAAGAGATCCTGTCCGCATGGACAAGTGACCGGTTTGGGTCTGAGCCCCGACGGCAATCCACAAATATCTCCCGGCAGCGTTTGAACGTCAACTTTTGCGTTGCTCTTTCCCCGTCGTTCGACCCAGTCACGTACACTCCAAGGGACCAACTGATTTTGAAGAGCCAGTTCCTCACGGTAGTCACCTTCCCGGAAGAAACCAGTGTCAGAGAAGTGAAGAGTAAAGCTTTAGAAACATGGCGAGAAGTAGAACAAACAGACTATGAAAGGACTGTGGATCCGTAAGTTTATATATTTGCATTTTCGAATCGTGTGTGAGTCCAGATGGTCTTATTATGTAAAATTAGCTCCCGCATCCGTCAGCTTATATTTCGCAACTCAGATAACAGCACTGTTCCGGAAAATCTCCTCGTAGCGGAAGCATTCGACGAGCGGGAGTACGTCCATGTTGTGGCAGTCGTGAACCATGAGGACAGTTATGAAGATATTGTTCTGAAGGAAGGAATAGAGAATGGGGTACCGAACTCTCTTGAAAGGGCAGAACGACCGCCAGCAGGAAAGGCCGTGACGATAAAACGTTTCCGTAGTAATCTTTCCCCGAGTGTTGAGAGCGTTAGTGGTGACGATCTTACGCCTACAGTGAAGGCAGCATCCTCCAAAGATGCCCCACACAACAAGAGGCGGCGAACCGAGAAGTCCCAGGATATCCTTCTCCTGGTAAGTGAAGGAACGTTTTGAGCTATTCGGGAGCCCGGCCGGACACATCAGCTCACGTAGCGTTTGAAGGACGATCAAGATAATAACACGCGAACTCTCCCTAATGGAAGCAATCACAGTGTTATAACGCTATCGAGTCTCTCAGTGGAAAACCATTTCAGTGATAGCCCGTCCAAAGGACGTGGGACAAGCGTGTTTAGACGCATTAATGATGGTGCAGATGAGGCTAGTGCAGTTGCGGAAGATCATTCTTCAGATGCCAGTACACAAGACGCAAGGAAGGAGACCTCTTATAGCGGCCATTTCGCACAGAGCGATGTGGTTGGCGTGGACGCAGAAGTTGCAGCTGAAACTAATCCGGCGCACCAAGACGAGGAGCCGAGCGACAAAGACGAAGATTCAGATTCAGGATCTGAAACAGAGGCGGAAGCAGAGAAAGTAGATCCGAACGTCAAAAACGATGATGATTTGGCAGCGGTAAATGAAACAGAGGTGAAGGACAGCGAAGACAGTGAGGAGGAAAGCGAAGAAGAAGAAGAGGTGAAAGGCGAGGAAGCCGAGGTGAGCGACGATCAGGAGGAAGAAGAAATGGAAGGCAACGAAGAGGAGACGGAAAACGAAGCTGAAGACGAGGTGGACAGCAAGAAAGCAGATGAGGACATAGATGAGAATGAAGATGGAGATGAGGATAGAGATGAACACCTGTCGAGCGCGATTTCAAAGAGCGACGCTAAGCGTCCGAATGTGAGTGGAGAAGGATCCGTTCCTCATGCAAATGGCACGTTGTCAGTGTCAGGTGCACAAAACGAGCGTGATGAAGAAGAGGATGTCCATGGTGTAGTGCCACACAGCCATGATGGCGTCAAAAACATAGAGGATCAAAACGGTGATCTAGGTTCACGATCGGAATCCAAGTACCGCATGCCCAAGCCCAAGCATCCACCCAAGTTGTCACCACGGCGTAGAAAAATGCTTGAAGCTGAAAAGAGCATGGAAGGAGCAAAGAACAAGGAGGTTGTCGAGGATCAGAGAGGACGTAAAATTGCCGATAAAGGCAATGCAGAAAAGAGCAAATCCATGTTAGACGCACCCGTCAGTAATAGTGTGGCTTCCCCGGGATCCAAGGGTCACACCGCGTTGGTTTCTCCCCCTGCTTCCCCTCGCAGCCGCAAGCGCAAAGGTAGTCCAAGTGATGAGGTATCATTAGAGGAAAGCACAGCGAATAGACAGACCACGACCGTAGGCCGAGGAAATTGCGATTTGCCACTCTTGTCAAATGTCACTGCTCCACAAGAAGATGAGCAGAGCGATTCAGAGTACGAAGAGGCGACGTTTTCGCAGCTATTTCCGAAATCACAAGTAGAGTCGCCTACTCTCCTTTCCCAAATGCCAATCCCCGAGCGCAGCGACGATGAGCTTCATCCTCCTGGGCGCAACATCCTTAGTGCCAAGGATACCGCGGTATGGAGGGAATCTGCTGACGATCGGTCGTCATTGACTCAGACCAAACATCGCAAGATACAAAAGTCAGAAAGCCGACTTAGTGGCATTTCTCGTCTTCGGACTTATAACTCTCTCACGGAGATTGCTGCTTCTCAACTTTCATCGTCGAGCCAAAATCTCAATGGTTTTAATTTTTCTCAAAATTCGACGATGAGTCAGAGTTTCCTTGGCAGCAACAACAGCGCTAGCCTAGACGATGAGGATGATGACGAGGACGAAGACGAAGACGAAGACGAAGAAGAGGATGCTGGCGACGCCAGTAATGGCAGTAGCTCGGACAGCGATTCCAGTGATAAAGGAGAGGAGAACCTGGCGCCATCACAACCTGCCATACGATTAGCAGGACAAAAGAAGAGAAGAAAGCGCAAGTCGGTATTTCTGGAACTTGCCGCTGATGGTATGTATCACTGTTGTCGATGGTCTCTATGATGTTTGACTCACAAAATCTGCAGTTGATGGACCAAAGGCTCGCAATCCACCCAAGCGAGTGTCTGCTCCCCTGACCCAACAAACACTGCAGCGTTCTCGGTCTCAATCATCCAACTTTTCTTGGTCGCAGCCGCTGCCGGTAACCGGAGTCCATAAGCCAGCCAAATCCGCAAGAAGAAAATCAAAACCTATTACCACAGATGCGTTGCGCAAGTCAGCGATGCAACCCAAAATAACTCAGTCCCCAGAGGAACTTGCAAGGGAGTTGGATGGGGTAGATAGTGATTAATCGAGCAGGCTGCAATAATTATTATTTGCGATATTTTCTTGGTGTAGATGTGAGCATAGAACAAGGAAACATTAAGCAGTTGCAATCCTAATATTTACTGTATGAAATCAGATCCTCCTAGTCAAAGACCGCGCGTTGCTGATTTGTAGACCACGACCCCATCCTGCATTCATGTGCTCCTTTCAGAGAGGAACAAACTAGCTCAGGGCATCTTGATGCAGTGGGCTCAAATCATTTTGGACTCACTCCCTTCGACTGGGCAATGGAATGACAACCACCTTCATGCGTAAGTACCATCTGTTAGTTCCACGGTTTCTTTGCCAAGAATATCACAATGCCTGTTACGTTTTATTAGTCTAGCTGTCGTTTTTAGTCCTTCCATTGCTATTGCTGCTTTGAACCTCTTGGAGCGGGAAGCCGGTATGAGTCTGCGTGCAATTGTGCCTCAGCGAATTGCTCATGCTGACACGACGCTGTCCTTTTAGTAACCAGAGTTGACGGGCCTTGCGGACGCAACTTTTATCAGGTTAGCCGCCTTTATGCCATCCCTGGAAACCTGGCGATGCTCATACAGAGAATTACAGGTTGAAGATGACCGAGACTTTTTGACCTGCTTTCCTTCTGTTCCCTATTGTACGTGTGTGGGGCATCGAGAGCAGCAGATGGTTTGTCAACATATCCTGGCTGTTCATCTTGCGATACGGACTGGAAGGTGCAATTGGAGTAAATGGAATCAGATGGATTTTTTAAACCACCTCGCAGGATGTTAGCACACACCTAAGAATCAATATTTGGGCGGAGTAGTACATTGAAAATATCTTCCATTGATTCACCCATCTGCGTCTTTTCTAGCTTGCTTTTGGATAATTTGTGTGGGATTTGCGTACAGATTGAGCTTTTCGCATAAGTTCGGCATCAGGCAGCACGACTTGGTTGTAATGGGCATCAAGAGTTGGTCGTAAAATAACATTGTTGGCGTCTTTGCTAGATCGCCGTCAACGCCCAGTTCGATCACAAATATAAAAAGTTAAAAGAACGGCACGATCCTCCATTTCTCTCACATGGTACTCTTGAAACTAAGAAATATAATAGGTCCGACTAAAGTATATCACGAAATAGGACACACGGTGTAAGGTCCGTCACGCCGGCGGCCAGCCAAACAAAGCATCATCAGTCATGAGAGCAGCAGCGAAATCTTCTGAAGAAGTGTCAAACGCCGCTAAATGCCTCCGAGAGGCGCCGGCTTTTGTCGCCCGGACAGATGTAGCTCGTCCCATCGCCTTCTCTTTCCGAGATTGCTGCAATGCAAACCAATGACATGTCCGTTCAGGCACAACACCGGGCTGGCCCATAAACACTTACTGTCGAATAGACGCGTTGCGTTTTATGAATCGTTGTTGTTGTGGTAATGGAGGTTTCTGCCATGGTTGGCGATTTAGGAGTGCCCATGCGCTTTCCTACCAGTTGAGACTTCCCGGCACGCTTGGACTTCTCTGGAGAACAAAACTCATCGGTGTCAGCCTTGCTTGGAACTGGTTGACGTTTCTTGGGGCTTCTTGTGGGGCTCTATAAATGAAAGTAAACGAAATTCACAGGGACGTGAGTTTTTGTTTGAGCCAAGTGAAAGCAATGACTTGCCTCCGCGAGTCCGGCTTTGGGGGGCGGCTTAGGTGTTGTCTTTCTGCTTTTTGCTGCCCTTGCTGGTCCTGAGCGACTGCTCGACCAGGACGGTGACCGTTCTGCTCTCTTTTGTCTCTTTTCTCGGCCTCGTCTGGGTTCTTCAAAAGTTGAGTCATTATCATTGTCCTGCTGTTTTCCTCCGATAATATTGAGTGTAGAAATTCTTCGCTTTCGAGGATTGCTTGCACCCTGCAGTCGCCGAGTCATCAGGTTTAGTGAAAATACATGGGTATCGGAAGATTCTATAACTTTCACCGCCATCGAATGACCTTGGAAGTCTTCTTTGGTTCAGCCCTTTCGTAGCTAGATAGCTGGGCCGACGATGTACCGGGCCTTGATCTGCGCATTTCTTGCCCCGAAGGTTCATCATCAGAATGAGTCTGTTCAATGTCCACTGGCTTCTTTGGAGAATTGATAGCCTTCTTCCTCTCTGGGGATCTCACGTGGTCGTTAGCTACATCAAGCAGATCACTGGTCGACTTGCTCCTCGTATTTTTTTGTGGATCTTTTGGAGGGGTTGTCAAATATTCCACACCCTGTTCAACAGTCGTTTCTTCAGCAATTTCACTAATGGCATTGTCCGCATCCATAGCCTTCATCAAGTTTAGTTGCGTCGCATGAGCAAGTTAGTATCTAACGTCCTTACCGCAACCAACTCATCCAAGGCAAAATTGTCCCCTTGATCAATACGATCATTCTCTTCATCCTCGTCCATAGTTTCGATTTGTGAAAAAGCGGAAAAGGACATTGCTGGTTGCAAAGGCGGCTTCTTCCATCTGCCTGGAGGTGTTTGCAGTTTGTCATTCTCGTTGACAGCCAAGGAAGGTTTCGTAGGAGATTTGCGCGGCTCGTCAGTCTTTAGAGACGAATTGGATTTAGGAGGAGGAGTCTCCGCCGGATTTTGGTCTACTTGTTGTTGTGCGGTGTCAGATTTCAGCGTCAGATTTGAGGCTGTCCTGACTGGCGACCGGAACTTCTTATGAGTTGGTGTTTTCTCCTTGGAAGAGATGTTAGAAACTTTAGTTCCCTCCTTCGTCACAGGGTCACAGGATTTTATCGGCCCATGTGTCTTCACATTATCCTTGTCGGCGTCTGTGGTGGCTCGCACTGGTGTGCCTTGGTCACCGGTCTTTGGTGCTTCTTCTGCACCGGCTACCCTTTCCCGTCGCGAAACTGGTATATCATCTTGTGTTGCATTGAGCTCCACATTTTCATATCGAGCTTTCCGCAATGAACTGATTTGAGACAGTAAAGCTTCATTTTGTCCAATTTTTTCAATGAGATGACCTTGGAGAGTTGCCTTTTCAGCCTCAAGCTGCTTGCTCAGAGAGGATAAAGATTCCTAATAGAATGAAGGGATGCCTGAGTTGCCACCTCGCAATCCGCCATCGGCAATGCTGACTCACTTTATCGTTCCGAAGAGCATTGACCTTGGCTTGCAAATTTATCTTATCACACTGTAAGTGCGTCAGCAGTTCACTTTAAAAACAAGCAAGTATGGAAAAGCACTTGACCATGACTGGTAGCAAGCCTCACCTCGCGGCGCTTTTCAGCCGAGTCAAACTGCTGTTTCAATTGGCTGATTTCATCATCGTTCTGGAATACTGAAGTTGAGTTTTGATCGCGGAAGTTACAGTCACCTCATTACCTTTGATTTCTGATCTGACAATTGCCCTTGCAGTTGTTTAATCTCCTCGCTCAATTTCTCGATCTCACCCATTGTTTTTTGTTTATAGGCCTATTGCATATGAATACACGAATATACAGACCAGATCGCAATAAGGAACTTACTTCCAACGACTCTTTGGCGACAGTCAGACAACGAATCTCTTCATTCATCTGCTCCTTGTTTATTGCGAATTCGCTTTCCCGCTGTGTGCATTGCTGCCGCGTAGTATCAACCTCCTGCTGTGCTGCACTGAGATGTACTTTACAACTAGCCAGTTCCTGCTCCAGTTCCTTCACACGTTTTGCTAGAGTGGCCTGTTTCGGTTTCATGTCAAACAGTTCACGATTTACAGACTGTCAAGCGACATGTGTCAGTTATTATCAGTCACAGCGTTATAGTAATAACCGGGTTATGTACCTGGGCTGTCTGATATCTCATCTCAGTTTCGGCAAGCTGAACTTGAACTTTCTTCAGTTCCTCCGCAGCTGAGGTCTATTAACTATATCAAGGGCAAGCAGATGAAGGTGCATATTTTCGTTCCGTACCTGCTCGCGTCGATGCTGCTGAGCAGTTTCTTTCAATTCCTTTTCATGGTGAGAAACTAGCCGCGACTTGTCTTTTTCTACAGCACCCAACCTATATATCGGGGCATAAGTCAAAGGATAGCACTCGAAAGAAGAGTTTCAACCCACGTACAATTCTCGCTGGCTAGCAAGCTCTCGCTCAAGATGTTCACGCTGAAGCTCGTGCTGACGGCGCTTCTCGTCAAATTCCAATTCTCGCTGCCTCGTACTGCAGGGCTCATGAGATTTCCATGCACAGTTAACGATACTCTTGCAACTCACTTGCGTTTCATCTCATCCATAGTGCGCTCATGCTCCTCCTCCAGTTTTAGACGTTCTCTTTGTACTTCCTTTATCGAACGGCTTAACTCTTGGTTACTCTCATTCAGTCTCTCCAGCTCACGCGATTGTGATTCTCTAATTTGCTCTAAAGCTGCAATGTTTTCGGCGTGCCTAAGGGACTTTCGTCAAGAGACTGCCATACACTTCTGTGAGACAGCGACTAACCTGCCGTCGAGTTCTTGGACAAAGTTTTTTAGTGTGTTGACTTCAAAGGTAAACCTCTCCTTTTCATCTGTCAGCTCTCGTCGAAGTCGCTCTGCTTCCGCTTCTGCATCCCGTGTTCTGGAGACAGATGTCAATGTCAGGAAGGGATCCTAGGTCAGATCGCACGAACCTCTGTTCAGCATCCTGCGCTGCTGTTCGCATCTCATGAAGCTTCGATTGCCATTCTTCTTCTTTTCTTTCCAGTAATTCTTTGTTCTGTTGGAGGGAACTGAGCAATTCTGCATAACGTTCGTCAGCCTTTGCAGCAGTTGTCTCCATTTCGAGCACTTTTTTGGTAAGCTTGTGGATCTCGTCTTCCAATCGGCCTTTCGTGCCGAGCAGCTCGCCTTCGCGTGATTCGAGTACACTGATTTTTGCTTCAAGCGATACAATTTCAGCTCTGTTGTTAGCAACGAGGAGTGTAGATTCTTCTTGGTGTGACATATAGGTCTGTCTCAGCTCGTTCAGTTCCCCCTGAAGGCGCTCTATTACGTTGGTTGAGCATTACAAGCCATAGTTAGCTAGCAAGTTAAAAAATATCTCGCACCATTATCCTTCTCTAAGAAATTACGGTCGATATCGTATTGTTCTTGTTTTCGCTTAAGCTCGACGGCGTGCTCCTCTAGTTTCCGCTCGAGTTGCTCGCGCAGAGACTTGCTTTGATCAGTGGACTCTGATAGTTGACCAACTAGCCTTTCATTTTGATTCCCGAGAGCATCGACTTGTTTCGAGAAAGATAGCTGCATCGCGATTGCTTATATTGGGAATACATAAACAATTTCTGGCATGACATCAAAAAACGGTTTGCTTACACACCCGCTTCTTCGCTTTTTGCCAGTTTCTCCTTCAAATCTTCACGCTCGGCATTCAACTTATCATGTTCTATCATCGTACACGTCCGCTGAAGTGACGTAAATCTCATTTCAAATAAAATGACCTCTACCTTTCTTGTTTTGCTCTAATTGACTGACTATCGCAGCCTTGTCAGCTTCCACTTCCTTAATAACCTTTCCGAGGTTTTTGATGGTCATCTGCGGCAAACGTTGACGACAATCGCTTCAACTTGAAATCCACTGATGATCAACTAAGCGCACCTGGTACAGTTTACAAGACTTTTTCATTATTTCAATTCTACGCAAGAAATAAAATGAAGATAATCAGCTACAACGGAATCATTTTTCGTCTGGACCATCTCATTGTACCAAACCTGTCCTGGTTCAGCTGAATCTTTTCACGTTGTCCTGTGATAGCCGAGATGACTACTTGACTATTTTCCTTGAGTTTTGAAATCGTTTCCGCCTGCTCTTGCATACAAAGTCTGGCTCTATTCAACTCTTCAGTCTGTAAGAATCAAGATTAGCTTCTTGAATGAATTGAATGCCATCTGCTTGATCACCTACCAACTCCTCCAACTTTCTCTGTCTACTCGAATTCTGCTGTTGAATATGGCCAGCGAGGTTCATCATCGTTGCAGCGAGTTCATTTTCCACTTCAATGTTTCCTAGAATCCCCACGTCCGTTCCTCGACCATTCCTCCCAGCTGAGACCATTTTCCGCGAATTGGATGGTGGAAGGAAGACGAGAGATTGATCATCGTGCATCTGGCCTGAGTTGCTGGGAGATAAATGTTCAGAGGCATCTATGCTTCCATCTCCAGCCATCATCCCAGAATAATGATGTGTACGCGATGGTGTGGGTGATTCTACTCCGCGGTTCTCACTTGTTCCATGTTTCTGCGTGGAAGGCGGCGGAGTAGGAACCAGTCTTCGTTGCGGAGGCATTAAGTTGGTCTCTCTTGGGCCAGTATTGGTATCCTGCTCCCGATGGGGGGCTCTTGACACCATGTCTCGCGTAGCAGCTGCACCTGAGTCCTGGATTGTCGAGGGAGCCGGTGCTTGAGGTGTGTCGTTGATATACGAGGAAGATCTCCTCATAGAACTTCCAAAGGAGAATGGCAAGCGAGACGTGGACCTTCCTTGGTTTAAACCACCACTGGAAAAGAACCCTCTGAAAACACTGCTGTTATCCTGATGAGGAGAAACAGGCGAAAGTTGCGCCATGCTTTGCTTGACTTGTTCTAGAGTTTCTGAAGACTGCGGCTGCTTGTCCAGTACGTCGCCTTGGTCCGCCATTGTACATTGATGTTATGCAGTGGGAAACGCTCTTCAAGGAATGACACACGCATGCACAATGCAAAGGCTCAACCCAAGTTCTGCACGATCAGCCTAATTATGAAGACCTATGATATGCTGTGTTTCGCCGGGTTCGCTGTAACAAATGGCCTTTGGGTGTGCAAGTGGAGCTCTAGATGAGATGGTGTGAAAATGTGGGAAGGAGCGCCAAATGGCTCACGCAATCAAGACCGTCAGTGGCTGTGTATTTAATGCATAACCTATTTTGGCCAGATTGACGACGTTCTACTATGAGATCCCCCCAGAAACACGATACATCAACGCAATTTATGGTACACTAAGAAGTAAATCCCTCGCACTTGGATGTTCATCGTCCACCAATCAAGGATGAGCGTTCTCCTCCCTAAAATACAAATGAATGGGAATCCGAGGGACGACACGGTGATCATTACTCATGAAATGGACTTACCACTTCTGGGACGCCTGGTGCCCTAGCCTGATTTTGTTGAGGCTGATTCCATGAGAGGTACGTGTGGTCACCGAGTTTCCTGATGAAAGATAAGTTAACATCAGATCAGCGAGGATAACATAAACCATAGAAACTTACCTGGGCTTGATCATGTGGCGAATCAGGAAAACGATGCCCAGCACCCAGCAAATGACTCCAACAGCCATGTATGCTGCTCCAAGGAATGGGTTCTTTCCGCCCAGAATGGACACGGTTGAAATGACAATAGATTTTGTGCCGCTGAATTTTGCAACATCGAAAGCTGGAGGAAAATCGCAATTAACATCCGCGAACAGAGTGCCGGAATATTGACTAAATACTCACTATCCCGAATAGAAATTTCCCATAGACCTGGTGGAAGGGCACTGCCACCGCCTGTGGTCCTTGCGTATAGTTTACGGAAGGTGGGCAGCGCAGCCGTTCGCATCCAAACTTGAAAACGCTCCCACTCGTGCAGATTCGGGAGGTTGGAAAAGTTATATCCGTCCTTCCACTGGGGAAAGGCCTCCCGCCACAATGGAGGCGGAACCAGCGTTGTCGCTATGGTGACATCATCGGCCCTGTCCTTCCATTGTGTTACACCGTACTTTTCTTTATCGCTAGGCCACGCGATTCCGCTTTCACTGAATGCGTACTTCACGTTGGCGCATGTTTGCCCGTCCGGAAACCCAGTAAAATCCGATTTGATACAGGAGAGATTTGTTGATATTTCGTCTGACAATGAAGGAGAACCTTAGTATAGAGCGGTGGCAGGTTTGTTAGCCGCATCTGATTACCAACCAGAAAACATGGAATTCGCAATGAGCCCACAGGGATACACCTGCGCATCTTTCTTTATCTCCTGTGGTCCACCGTTGACAATAACGGTCAGATTAGCAGCGTATACTTTGGCAGCTTCTCGGAGGGGGTCGCAGTTCGTCAGCTGTTTATCGAGATTCTGCACGCCGATCTGATCCCCCTTCAACTGATTCGCATCAAAGGACTTCACATAGCGTCGATGGTTCTGATAAAAGTTGGTCAATCGATAATATAGAAAGACAGGTGGAACCAGAATTTCGCTGATTCGGAAGTGGATAAAGCAAGTTTGTCCATCCCATCTCCACTCTTCAATGGGCGCACGGCCAGGGGTACGGCTGAATGTTGCGGAGGGAGTTTGTGCCTTGCATTCCGTGTAATCGAACATGACTTCGTTAACCTAAAGGGTTTCGGCAAAATGCACAAGTGGTTGGTTGGCGAATCAGGATTCCACATATTCCTACGACCAAAGTAAGGTTCTTGGCAGAATATCAATCACACACCTTTTCTGACGCAATATAGAGACCGATACCGAGAGGCACGAAAATTAGACCAACAATAAAGAACGCAGGAAGTACCGTCTTTGGCGTCAGTATGGGCTGCCATGCTTTCAGCCGCTGCTGCTTAAAAGCAGTGTCTAAAGGCGTCAACAATTGAGTAAATCAGACGACAGCACACTAGATTGACAAAGACGCAGAACGCACTTGCTGGCCTCTTGCTCTTTGGACGGTCGTCCGACATGTGTCACAGGAATCTCCAGTAACGCAAAGGAAGAGAAAATGTGGCGATCGTCTAATGACCTCACGTTCTGGCCTCTTGACGAATTGCGAGTTGAAGCTGCTGGCGGATAAATAGCCAAATCACCAAGCTATAGGACACAATAGTCGATGCTGCAACCTAAACAAGGGCTGAGCCAAAGCGGAGTAGCGTTAAGACGTTTGGAAAGCGGCAACCAGGTCAACGTAAGCCGAGACCACGTGAATGTCATGGCAATAGATCAGGTCAGCGCTGCTGCGACCACCAGCGATCTCTCAAACCTTCCACCGATATCTCTCTACAGCCCACGTCCCCATGTCTCACTCGTCCAGTCCAAAGAAATCCACGCCGCAGCCAGCATCTAGCGATGAGGATGAAGAATCCTTCCGCCATAGACCAAGAAACGCTCTGGAGGCTCAAGCCGCCCGTATCGAACGGCTGATGACCCGTGTCGACAAACCAATAGCCTTACCAGAACGAAAGGAAAAGACCATGAAACCACCACCTGATTTTGTTCGAAATGTACAAGGGTCGAGTGCGGGAGCTGGAAGTGGAGAGTTTCATGTGTATCGTGCTTTAAGACGGAAGGAATATGCGAGACAAAAGATTTTGGATGAAAAGGCAAAGGAGGTGTGTGTTTGGAGAATATACGATGATAGGGAGAAGGAAGAAGGCTCAGTATCTTTATGACACATAGGAGCAAGAACAGCGGGAATTTCATGAGAAACTTGAGGCGATCAAGAAATTGGAGGCGGAGAAGACCGCAAAGAAGAGAGAAAAAAGGCAAAAGCGAAAAAAGGGACAAAATAAAACAGAGAAGCAGTCAAAAAAGCCAAAAACCGGTGATGAAAAGGCGTCTGTAGAGGAAGGGGCGCAAAATGGAAATGGTGGAGAGGAAAGCAAGGAGACCACGAAAGCCGGGGAATCTGACAGTGGAAACACACCTCCACATCAATCTTAGATTTATTAGCTTCATTCTAAGCAAAATATGTACATATTTGTATAATATAGATAACAGTTAACTACTCGTTTATATCACTAAAGCAAAGAGACCGCCAGCTATGGCAGCAATTAACGTAATAATGCCCCCGTCAAGCTTGGAACCTTCGTTTTTGGAAGATCCACTCTTACCAGGGCTGGATGGGGGAGGGATAACCGGCGGAGTGCCCGGCGTGAATTTACCGGGACCAGCTGGGGTAGGAAGGTTGGCAGCCGGTGTGGGTGCAGAGCCAGTCCGGGTGACTTCAACACACTTGGCCCCCGTGGGGTCCCAAACCCCACCATTAGGACAACCATCGTTTGGAATGAACGCACGATTTTGAGTACGTGGTGGAACTGCTTCAGTGATGTTTGGGATCTTGGTGGGGCAACCGAAGCAGGTTGAAAAGTATGTGTTGGGAGGAAAAGCGCAGTTCTCGACAAGCCCGGCGTCGACCTAACATGAGACCTGTGAGCCGTGATATAACGAGCTGACGCAGACACTTTCTAGCTACCTGGCCGTTGCCTTTATTATCCAGACCATCGCACACTTCTGGGGAGGATGGTGATTGTGCGGGAAGATTACAACCAAGAGTCGGGCTGTTCTTGGACGTTGCGATATCGGTGGGATTCAACATCCACGACAGCAACTGCTGGTTGTTTACAAAGTACACGTCATCCGGATAGGTGTTTTTGACCCATTGAATGAACTCGATGAAAGCACCCAATCGCTGCGGTTGACTCAGTTGAGTCGCAGCATGGATGTACATGCCGAAAGGAACGCGGTCACCATTGTAGTGACTCAAGAAGTTCTGCTTTAGCAGGCCTACAATCTCTTGCGCAGTAGGTAAACCAGGAGTTCCTCCAGGAACAGCATTCGGGTCCATCGGCGTGTTTTCTGTGCCGTCCGCATTCATGAGGGTGTAGAGGGGAACCTCCCACAGACCTGGAAATTTAAAGGCTCCGTCACACGTTCCGGAAACACAGTTGGCAGCAGGTCCGTTATCTAAGGTGTACGGCCAGAACGGTGCCTTGCTGGCATCGTGGGGCATTGAGGAATCGTACAAAAAGGTTCCCAGGCTCTACATAGAGGGATAACGCTTCTTTGAGCACTTGACGTCAGTCTTACAAAACAAAAGCCAATTTACCGCGAGACTTTGGAACGACTGGCCGCTGTAGTTCAAGAATGGATGCCGGAAACCAACGAGTTTGTGTAGAGGGATACCAGCAAAAGCATTGAGCGCTTGTTGTGACGCCCTGATCTCCTCAACAGGTGGGTTACCTGTAGAGATTGTACCATTTGAGAAATAGTCCATTACCATACACACTCTGACGCACTACTCACCAATGTGATTCACCGTGTGAACGGCAATTTCATGCCCGAGAGAGTAGATTTTCTGCACGAACCAGTAGTCGGAAAACTGGTTTGACACAAAGAAAGTGGACGAGTGAGGACAGCCGTTCGGATTTGGCTTAAAGCCCGAGGTCAGATTCATGATAACTGGCAGAACAGGTGCATTGATTGCATCGTCGAATGCTACAGGACAAGGCTTAGCTCGAGAGAAAATGTCAAATATAGATCGCCAAATGCAACTCACTCAAAGTAACGAATTGCGGAATCTTTTTCGGGTCCAGTCCCTGTGGAGGTTTGGTGGACGCGCAAAAGCAAAGAGGCGGCTTGCAAGTATTGACATCACAGCTGTACGTAGCCAAAGGCTGGTTTCCGCCAGTGGGTGTGGTTCCTTCTTGCGCCGAGACCACTTGAATGGCTCCCAAGCCAAGAACAGCGGATGCAGCCAATAGGTACGAGGTGTGCATGATGACAATGTTCAGTGTTCAATCAAATCTACGGAGGGACGAGGTGCGAAATTCGAATGCACCAGCAGCACTACCCCGGGTTTTGTTCGCCCCGGGATCTTGAACATTATGTAATCCAGCGGTAAGGAAAGGGCAAAAAGCGGCCAACGCCGACCGACGCGCCACGGATTTTGGTGGACATATCACGTGGATATCGATGAAACCAAGGCTGAGTGCTGGATACGACAGCGCCCATTCTATCAACCAGCGTCAGCCTTATGCAGAATCAGTGCTAATCTGCATGGGAAGCAAGGTGAAATGTACCTCCATGTGAAGGAATTCTGCTTAAGTTACGTCGATGGACAGCATCAAGTGTATCATTGCGATAAGGTGATTAAAGTCAAGATAGCAAACGCAAATGACGTGCTTGTAGGGGATTTCATGAGCAATCAGGACGTAACCTGTACGTTAAAAGATGCTACCCAGATACTTGTATGTTTGCGTCAGGTCAATCAGCCCAGATGAATTAGTGGTAAGGGCAGCAGATTCCAAGCGTGTTTTGAGGCGATGCCATCAATCTAGGAAGGGTTTCTTCGCCTTGGATGCTCCTGAAATGTAGCACATAGGAGCATTCTGATAGGCGGACTGCTCCCTTTCACCTCGAATGCCCGGGATACGCAGCTGGACACAGCTTTCGAAGCACAAAAGTGTCAGTATATAGAACGAAGTCTAATGATGGATTGTGATGGCTGCGTGAAATGGGAGCAGTTACACTCTTTGGGATCCCAATGAAGGCTTCGGATGGAGGGAGAGCCCGGGAGCAATTACTTTGCATTTGTTTCACAAGTCGAGAATCAGGTGCTGTTGCTTGGAATTCGATTTTGGTGTCTGTTTGTTGCCGTCCTCGATTATTCCAGGCAACTCATTATGCCAAATGGAATACACACAGAGCGTAAACCCCAAAGAAATCACTTTTATGCGATAGTGCCAATATCCAAGGACCATAGTAGGTCCCCAAAACCGTATCCAAAAGCTATGAAGGTCCGCTGGCATGATGATGGTCAATTGGACAAGATCTGCACGGCTGATATCCGGACATTCACCACGTGACTTGAAAATCAACATGCAAGCCACCTATCATACATCAGCTGGAACAGCCCAAAACCTGCAGATCTCGCTGAACATTGGATAGCGCCAGCAAAACCCTTCCTAGCAGCGGTTCATCCTGCAAGAACCTAGATACCCCCACAAGAGCACTGCGGATGTTTTCTTCTCCGTCTCGTTACCCCCCGCGATTTGCGTCGGTGGAAGAGGTGGACAAGTTTGCAGCCTCGCCCAGTTCACCTTCGGAACCAGCAGTATGTGAATTTGTCAGCTTATAACAGTTCATACCCGGCTGACTATCCAGTCTCAGACGAATCACACCAAGAGAACCACGGGGCTAGCGTATTATAGATTCAAAAAATGGGAAAAGGCGGAGAAGGCACTTGCAGAGCATCTTGCACATTGCGCAGATGACTTTGAGGCAACCCAAACGCTCGCAAGGTACCTGTTGATTTGATGTGGACCAGATTTCAAAGATATCGTCCGATCTGATATTATGCAAATCACGCGCAGTACATACGAACACCTTGCCAAGTTTCGTTCAGCAGTTGATTTCTACGAGAAGGCATATAAACTACGGACACACGAGAAGGGTCTGCTTCTGAAAGGTAGCATGATGCGCATTTGTCGAAGTTAATCCGCCGTAATTTACAGTATTCCTGCAGTGGCAAGACTTCGTCTAGACATAATTGACCCAGACCCGAAAACCCGTTCAGAGGACACCTGTGATGATCAAGCCTCACGTGTGCTTCATCTGAAGAGAGCATTCCATTGCCTTAAAGAGTGCGTACATAGAGCCCTTAATATAGACTGGGGAATGTAAATCTTACTCGTCATTGTTAGATCGCGATTGGAAGAAAGTGGACGGATTTCGTTCGAAGCTCTACCTTTGCTGGACCGGACCTATGGACTCGTTGCGGACTCATGTGAGCTTGATCTCTCGTGGAATCATATTGGCTATTGCTGAACGCACCATCTGCAGGTCCTAATATCTTGAGTCAGGAAAGTCTTCGTCAAGATTTTCTGGCGGTCGCCAGTCTCAACGAAACTCGCGGCCGACCTGCCTTACACGTTGCATTATTGAAGGCACTTGTACGCAGCAACCAAAGACAAGCGTATGTTGTCATATTAGCCAGAATGCAGCTGCTTCAGCATAATCGTAACTCACTTCGCCCACTAGCGTTGCCCAATACTTCATACGTGCACGAGATGGCTTACGGAGCTCAGCGGATTGGCTGTTATTCGCATTGAACCATTCTAGCGAGTTTGAGATGATGTTCGGACGAATCCCTATCCTGACAATGGAGGTCAAGCTCTGGTTGTATGCGCACTACATTCGAATGGCCTTGAAAGAGTATGTTTCATGAATTTGGCAAAAGACTTGTAGTCAACGTAACCATGTATCTTACAGCCCAGAGGTAACCGAGGAAAAATGCGTTGAGCTGCTGAACGAGTTTGACAAGTCGATCAAACGCCTGGAGAGTCTACTGCCTTTCGGTGATAAGCCAGGGCCAAAGTTTTGGTATCGGATCCGCGAAGAATATGCATCCCATGCCACACTGCTTCGTGGTTTAAGTCACTTCCGGTCCTTGAAAACGAGCGTTCAACAGGCATCGGATCTCAGGCGGGTTCGGCCCCAGCTGCAGGCAGCGGTCCGTCAATGGCGACTTTGTATTTCTTGTAAGAACTTACTTGAGCGTTCCTCCTGTACCTTCTCTTCCTGATCGCTGAGACTTTTGTGCGTCATACAGATCGGACAGAGTATCTGGAAAAGAAATCATATTGGACCAAAACAGCGGCATCACGGCTGAGCCTGGCTGCGCACAACCTGTTGGCATCCCTTTACTGCTTCACACCAGCATGGACTCTCGGCACATATTCGCAACCGTCAACAGATATTGAAGCAGATGCTGAAAATCATCTACGCATTGGGTCTCGACGAAAAGAATCAAACATTTTACCGCATTTTTCTCTTGTCGATTTTCCCACGGAGCGAACGGGTCAGTTATTTTCACTTCTCAAGTGGCTGAGTGAAAACCTGCATGAGGTGGATATGACGGCGCTAGATTCTGAGGCCGCGGATCTGGGCAGGTACAGAAATATCCTTTAGTCATGGCGGCGTCGACTCAGTCGATACAAACTCACAATATGCTTTCAGGTTCGCGAACGTATCGGCGTGGCACATTCGAAATTGTCGCCTTCGAGAAATTCTTAGAGAGGTGTTTCCACGACTTCCTGAATCCCCACAGGTGCTTTTTTTTGATTTGTTGCGTCCCGATAGGTGCACATACTAATGCATATTGTCGTTAGACGCGCTCACCACGAAAAGGGCTGAAAGCTGTCTTTAGGCATCGGCCTACCGTTGCCGACATGGAGGCCTTCATCATGATGCTATTGATCCAAAGACATATGTGGTGCTGTAGTGTTTTGAATGCCAGCTCTGTAGACGAGGTAACATTCCTCTCCACTCTGGATATGTGGAAACCAACGAGAGAGCAGGAAAAGTTTTGGCGTACAGCTCTTGTTATGCATGGCAAGGTAACAGCTCGTTATCGCACGACTCTACAGTGACCCGAGCTGACCTGCAGTCCGGTTTCTTCAGCAAATGTACGCTGGTCACTACCTCTTTGGCGAAAGATTGGACGAAGACGATTACTATCAAGCTATCTTGGAGATTCGTGGTGCGATTCGATGCAAAGCTTCCACGTCAGCGGAAGAGCGACAGACACCACGGCAACTTTATGGAACGATGGGGTTCCTGTATTCTGAGATGTCAAAACACAATATCGTCGTGCTTGATGACGCAAAGCACTATCTTAACCTTTATCTGGAATGGGACAAGACTGATAGCGACGAGCTGCCAGAGTCTCTGATTGTAATGCCTGACCTTGGTCAGTGCCGGGCAAGGTGAGATATTTGGCACTACCGGGGCTTTTGCGCATAGGGCAAAATATTCAAGTCATTTCCATCCAGTTTTGGAGTTTCGGACGAAAGAATCCGTCAGGCATTGAATGAAGTTGGTCGCATCAGAACGGATTTATCCTCACGATCACTCGATCACAAATCACCTGCGAAGGTTATGAAAGATATCAAAAAGTCCCATTTAAAGTCACCGCTCTCGAGCCGCCACTCGAGTCCTATTGCTATTTCGTCTCCGTTGGCCTCACACAGCAGCTCTCCTCTGCGGACAGGCAAAGACGTTTCCGTGGATGATGATGATAATGCTTCGAGTGGTTTAAAGTTGAGTCTACCGGTAGAGAGTGCAAAGGAAGGCAGTACCACCATGGACCAGGTAGTTATTGCTGGCGATAGTTGTGATGCGAGATCAACGCTCAATGTGCACATGATCCGCTTTATTAATACCACACTGCTGTTCCAGTCCTTTGCGCGTGTGGACGAGAGTTTGGACGTCTCTGTAATTCAGGGTTCCGATACGAGTTTGGATTCCGACCATGTCTCAAGGGATGAAGATAGCCCTTTTCTGGTTCGGGTAAGGCTATCTGCGTTGACTATGCGTATCAATATCATACTCACATCTTCTTAGCCGCCTGCTGTATCATACTCTTTACTGCGCACACAACGTCATTTACGACTACTTCAAGACCTGCGGAGTTTTAATAACTTTGAAGGTGGGTAACATTGGAGCATTTAGAGGCTGAACATTTTCTAAATCAAAGCATTGTAGATCCGACATTCTCTCCCTCTGCATTCCCAAGAACCACCGGCCCTCCACATCCGTTTCCAGATAACGGGCCCGAGCAAGACACGAATGAAGAGAGAGACGAAACCGAGCAAAAGGATGCAGACGAGCAGCAAGCCAATGTCAAGCACGAAGATGTGGAAGACATTTCAGAGGGCTGGCAATCCGTATCTGAAACGCAGACGGAGCAACATGAGCAAAAGGAAGTATCCAAAAATGTGGAACCGATTGCACCACTTCCCAAATCCCCCCTTCCCAATCCTGGTACAGGAAGCCCTCGAACACAAATGGCCATGCCCTTCACACCCAAGCGAGATCCTTTGGAGCTAAGAGGCGGTCGCGGTGATCTCTCCGAGTTGAAGCGAAGGGCGGTTGTGAGTAAGAATTTGAATCACCTTGTGCAAGGTCAACGCACAGATGTGGTGAGGGAAACAGGTCCGGACAAGCCAAAGGTATGTATGAGCACTTCACGTGTATGGAGACAGTTTTTCTGATGAACATGGTGTTTGCCCACATAGACGAACGAACGCCTTGCCAAGCAGCTCAAAATGTTGGAGATGCTGAGGAGTTTGTCGTTACAGCAACAGACTTGAGTTTTCAGGGGCTTCCTCGGTGAATGGGAATATATAGTATTAATATTATTAGAAAGCGCCTTCAAGTGACGGACGGCTACGGTGTAAACATTGTTTTATTGGAATCAATCAGGAGGATGTCTGTTTTCATTAGGTATGGCGAAACTCTCAATAGAAGGAGAGCGGATATACCTTCAATATGAGGCTCCACCCAAGGATTCCTGCTTAATAATATATTTTTTCCAACCTAACCTTGTGTAAAATATTTGTCCAAACGCGTCCTTTACAATCTAAACTCAACGGCACACATCTAGTGCTTTCCATCTACTTGTTCCCTGTACTTGGCATATACACCAGTGTAGGGGTTCTGCTTGTTTTCAATAGCACGGCGCTCTTCCTCTTCCTTCCATTCTTTGTTGTGGGTTCGGAGGGTCGGGACGACTGAAGAGATACAAGTTAGTTGTATCGATGCACATGGAGCAGTATTCGGTACGAACCATTTCCGCTCCAGTAGACGTATCCTCCAAAAGCAATGGCAAGGAAGAAGCTGGACCATCCCAAAACTTTGTATTTCATCGCTGGGTCAATGGGCGTACGGGCACCGTAAGGACCATAAGCAATCCAGTAAGCTTAACAAAGACGAATAAGAAGAGTGTCACGTCGGTTCAATCCACATGCCGTCTACACGTACCAGCCCGCTTCTCGTCCAAAGTCAAGTTCTTCCAGTCACCCTTTTGTTTCGCGGCCAGGTAATCTGCTATGGCACCCTGCTCGCATTCTGGAAGCTTTGCCCAGCGGCTGTATAGTAACAAAAAGAGTGTGGTGAGACATGTGAGCATCACGCACGTTACGAGACCAGCGTACGTTTCAATTTGGGACAAGGCAACAGGGGAAACGGCCTGGGTGTGTTGCCGACGAACGGCAGCGGTAAGGAAAGAGCGGTTGGAGGTAATGAGGCGACGAGTCGCGGACATGTTGGCAATGGTTGGTTGGATGATTTGCACTGTGGGCTATCGGAACTCAACGGGGGGCAAGAAGATGCGGTTTTGCTTGGGTATGGCTTGGTTGTGGCACAGTTGCACGTGATTGGAACGCGATGATTCACGCGCGATTGGACTCGGCGATTTGGCTTTTGGTGTTGAACGATTGGCAGCAATGACAGCGCCATGGAAAGCGCTGCTGCAGCAGGCACTGGCTTCAAACACTTCACCAAGTATGCTTATTCAATGCCTTTGACCAAGTTCCTTGCTTAACGTTGGCGTGGTCTTAGCCTCTCAGTGGCCAACGCTTGCGACCATAACCCACGACTATAAGCCGAGAGTGCGCACCATTGTTTTCCGCGGATTCATAGGCGACACCACCACGTCATCTGATACCGATCGAGTGCGATGGGAAGATATGTTGGTGTTTACTACGGATGCTCGCAGTGCAAAAGTACGGGAAATTGTAGCAAATGGGAGCGGAGAGCTCTGTTGGTGAGTATGAGAAGGAGATCTTTCAGAGAGGTTTGATAGTTTCAATGGGCTTATATATAATGGGTAGGTACTTTCCGGAAACGAGAGAACAGTTTCGATTGGCTGGTACCGTCCGGGTCGTCTTGCCCCCTCATCACACGATGAGAATACATGAGGCCGACATGCCCAATTCTGGAATAGATTGGGAAGAGGTAAACGTTTTTGAATGATCTCTTCCTGATATTGGCTTATTATCGGCCGTCATTCGCACAGCTTCGCAAGCACCACTTTCACAATCTATCTCCTGGTGCGCGCTCGCAGTTTCTCTGGCCAAATCCCAAGCAAACACGTGCGGACACCTCAGGATGGGTTCAAGCAATAAATGATCAAGATACACAGGCCATATCAGAAGCACTCAAGAATTTTAGCCTGTTGGTCTTTGAGGTACAGGGGATAGATCGGCTTGAGTTGAGGGAGCATCCAAATCGGAGAATGATAATGGAAAAGGAGGGTGAATCGTGGCGTGTTACTGAGATCAATCCGTAGTACACAAGTAGATGGGAGTCTGTAGCAGAGATTCATTTCTAGCAGCAATTTATATATATTTTGGACACTGTTTCACTACTATACAACATTTTTTACATCAGTAAGCGGGACTCCCCAAATTTACAGCATCAACATCATCGCCAGCAATCCAGATGCAGCCATACCGACCGCGCCGGTGAGGACGGTCGTGGCAGAGGACTTTGCTCCCGTAGTAGTTCCTTGAGTGTTACCAGAAGTACCGTGGTTGTGGCCGCCGGTGGAGGAGTTTGTCGTGGGAGCAGCCCCACCGCAGAAGGGAGCGACTTGTCCATTGCTGGAGCAGAAGCTCTTCCATGATGCGCACTAGCAAAAAAAGAAACGGACAATTCAGATGTGACGCTCAAAGAAAAACAACAAAACTACATCGTGCAACCAACCTGTGTCATATCGGGCATCTCCCTACACAAGGCCGAGTAGACAGTCCAGGACTTGCAGTCACTGACACCAGTCGCGTCAGGGGCAGGGCACCTTGCATCACCCTGACAATCAGTCATTGTGGGCATTTCCGTACAAATGGAGAAAACTTGCTGACTGGCATTCCTGGCCGGCAAGAGATCCTTGACGGCACCCTGGTTTGCACATGCGCCAGTGCACATGGACTTGAACATGGTACACGCACTATTGGTCGCCGCAACAGGGTCGGCGCAAGCCGAGAGAGCGAGAGAGACCGGGTTGCAGGCAGCAGCCGTGCTGTTGGCCTTGCAGCTTGTCGAGTAGAGATCGCATACAGGAATCTTTGCAGCTTGTTGGCAAACAGTCGTAAGAGTCGATGTCGCCATAGCGGGATCTTGAGCAATGGAGCCTTGCGCAAACAAGGCTACGAGGAGCGTGGTAGCAACAGCTGTGTAGTGCATATTCGAATAAAGAATGCTTGAAATGAGATGGAAATTCTAATGGGCGATTGCTGGGTCTTGTTCAGATGAGGAAAGGTACAATGGTCGGGGGGGCTCCAGCAAAAATCGCTCACTTATATAATCCCGTTGCTAGGTGCGCCTCAGCCCCATTGGTGAGGGATTTTTGCGGTCATTGTAGCACGTGGAATATTATTTCCAATTTGGGATAAATGAAAGCAAGTGGCGATTTGGAAACATTGTTTGAGATTTTGTGGCGGGTTGCCTTTTGATCCGTATGGATCTGTTGGTTGCTGGGCTTTTGTCCGACGGGGATGACTTAAGATGGTGGTTGGATGCACGGAGATCTTGCAACGGAGAAGGGTTGGTCTTTCCATTGTGCGAAGAAATGATACGAGTAAAGGATGATGGTATTGTGTTGTCTGTGCGTCGCATTGCATACTTTGAGTTTCATTGGATCTTGGAATGCGTTTTGATTAAACGCTTGGGAAGGATTGCATGCAGGGATGGACAAAGATTAGATCCAAGAGATGTAAGGTGTTATGAATAGATTGTCATTGCATACTATACTGTATAAAAGACAATCTGGCAAAGCCAACATTCCACACTGAACGATGCAAAGGCTTCATCTAAAAGTGACTTTCCAATCGATCACTCACTTTGCAGGGCATTCCCTTGCATCGCATCATTATTGCTTACTAACAGGGTCTTGTCGGTAGTCGGATGGGCACTTTTCAGAATCCGTTCTTTTTGTTTGGGGAATATTCGATCGGGGTACCCGCATGTCATCAACCTGGGCTCCGATTTGAACGAGCTGATACACACAACTTTCAGCTTTGCTTGGGGGTCTTGCATGCGCAAACAGACTCCGCGTGCTGACCATCGCTACTCTTGATTGACCTAGATTGAAAGATGTTGTGCATGATATTCTCCACGTCAGATGTTGCAGTTGCGCCCATCTTGAAATGTCATAATTTGATTTGAAAGTAGCAGAATCGTTCCAATCAACCGTAAGCGAATCCCTAATTGCCTCAAGATAAGTCTGAGTATTTCTTCTGGGCGAACAAGTACAAATATATCAAAATGCAAAACAGTCCCGAAGCATATTGAAATGCAGATTGTTGTGGAAAATGACTCGTATAGGTCCGCAAGCAACACATCAGCACCGTCGATCAGTATGGTTAAGGATATCCACAATCTGTCTCGTATGGTACAACATTACAAAAACCACATCCAGGTCGCTAAAGGAGCTGATCTCTCATAGAGCACAAAAGCATCGCTGAATTGTGACGCCGTTACAATCTTTTGAATGTCATGAGCTCACGCGAGGGCTGGTTTGGGGTGACGATTAACGTGGCATTACTATCATGGCCAATGCCTTATGTTTCATGACAAAACCAAGCCCAACACACGCATCAACTGTCGAATTCCCAGCCAATGGTGTTAGTGAAGTTGGGAACCGCGGCAGGAATTTGTAGAGAGCAGTTATCGTTGGACCTGATACGTGGAATCATTGCCCAACTGTGTTCTGAGAAATGTCATAGAAGGGGCCATGCGTAGAGTGCAACAATACAGAATACACATCTCCAGCGATGCAAAAAGCCCTGTATAGCTCGCGTCCTGTAGGGACGATCTATACAGAGGACCTTCACCCCAAAAATCACCGCCAACCTTCACTTCTGTCCATTCATGATCTAAATCTTTGCACACCTCCCAACCACGAGCAGGCCCGAGGATGCCAAGCAACTAGGTAGGTTATATCAGTACATTGGCACTCAGTCTTCAGAAAATTCCCACATTCTGCGTTGAGGGCGCCACCAGTCAAAGCAATGAAATACGGCTACAGGGTGCTTGCGGTCTGCTGTCAAGGGACTCTGACCATCCGACCCCGCATTTTCGAGTTGTCGTCTATCGATGCTTGTTTGTAGAAAAAGAATCGTTGGCTGTCCGTAGACCCTTTGCTATCCAAAGTCCACGCTCCACTACTTGCAATTGACTCAAACAAAGCCAAATATCACGCAGGAAAGAGCGTCGGAGAATCACGCTGCTGCGCCATATCCAGTCTAGTGTGGCTGCTCATTTTCATTAAACCTTTAATGCTTTAATTGATCGGGGGACGCTGCGGTGTGGCTTTGATATGAAACTTCGCGGGGGAGGCAAACTGGTGGAGGCCAGGCTTTCCATCTTGTTCGGTGTCTGTCGAAAACAGGTCCGAAATGCCAGAATACGCTCCATTGTTTGCAACCAACAAGCAAGGTGGGCGGAAGCCCATCCTTATTGGTATGGCGCTGGTAGCGCTGGTCGTCTTCATCACTCTAGTTTCTACGGGGTCGATTCCTACTCCAAAGGCTTCAGGACGCGAGACGCAGGAGGTGCGAGTGCCCGAGAGCGGGGACATGAAGAAACCTGTGGACTTGCCAAAAGTGGTCGATCCGCCAGTAATGTCCGCCGTGCCGGCGCATCCACATCCGGAGGATGAAAAAGGAGAGAAACTAAAAAGTCCGGCGAAACCGGGAACAGGGAACGAGGCCCTACTGGCTCCGCATCCAAAGCAAAGGCCGGAAGGTTCAGCACATTTGGAGGAACAAAAGCCTCCCAAGGGAAACAGTAATGGGGAGAGTACAAAGCAGCACCATCACGGAGCTGGGCAAGAACACGAGGACGATGAGGAAGAAGATCACGAAATGATGCACGGGGAACCGGGAGTCGCCAACCCAGTTTCTGGAATATTTGGCGAAGTCGATCGCTTTGCAGACCATGTTGCCTTGCAAGCTGAATGGTCATCGGTTCTCGCTAATGTCCACTTTGAGGTCGATGCAAAGAGCCATCCCCCCGTATTCATCGCAAAACACGAGACACAAAAATCATCCCACGCAGTGCAGGACGACCTATTTGCATCCGAAAAGTCCATTCAGGCAGTCCTCACTCGGGCCTTGTCGGATGCGCTAGAAATGAACGACCCGGCTCTGTATGTCGACGTGGGTTGCAGTCGTTCTCCCCTTGGACATGCATATTCCGTCATGTTGGCCGGCGTCCGCGGTGCGAGTAGCATACACTGTCTTCTCTCACCTTCCGAATACCAAGGCGTCTCACCGATTATCGCCATGTCAGCCCGTCTGAACCTGGTGGACGACAAGCTCTGGGTCCATGCTTCAAACATTTTGGATCCTAAAGAGAATGTGACTAGTTTCGACGACCTCGCACTTCCACCGGGTCCCATAGCTGTCCTCCGCATCCCCGCACTTGAAATCTCGAAATTGACGACCCTCCTCACTAGTTCACCACGGACACTCGAAACCCGATTAACACGGCATATTATCGTCGACCTCCCTACAACCGAACCAATGTCTCAAGACGAACTGATAAAATTCCTTGAAGCTATGCATACGGCAGGATATGATCTCCACTTTCTCCCATCGACAAGCACGTATACACACGTGGCTGTGGCGTCCTTTCTCGGGTCGGAATATTCTGCAAAGCATCTTGACACAGAGTTTATCTATGTCCCCAAACAAGATTTTGATTTAGTTAAAAGAGTGCTAGAGGACGGTGGTGTGGGCGGTGCGGTGAGGGTGTGGTGGGTTAGAAGGGAGGATGAAACTGTGAAAAAGTTGATGAAAACGAGGCACCACCATCATTAGGAGTTTTCTGAATCAGCGTGTACATAGTATGAAAGTGTAAGTGCTGTAAATTACGTGTGTGCATAGATGGATTATTTTGGAATGTACAAAAAAAAGAACAAAGTAAAGAAAGTCTTTTACATTTATCCCTCAATGAACAACTCTCCCTTCTTTGCTTCTACCTTGGGTGCCTCACCAACATCCAAGAACTTGTCACTTCCTTGTCTATGGTTGGCCTGTTTAGGTACTAGTCCGAGCACGTCAAACATTTTCTGATCATCTGTGTAGGCATTGTTGGGCGTCGTCAACAATTTGTCGCCCGTGAAGATGGAGTTGGCGCCAGCCATGAAGCATAGAGCTTGTTCAGGTTGCGAGAATCTTACTCGCCCTGCAGAGAGACGGATCATGGAAGTCGGCATAACGATACGGGCCGTGGCAATCATACGGACCATTTCCCAGATTTGCACGGGCTAATGTAATGATACATCAGACACAGCAATGCAACAATCCGGCCAAAACGATCCTTCCATACCTCTTGCTTTCCCAAAGGCGTTCCTTCCACAGCCAATAGGGCATTCACCGGTACACTCTCAGGATGCTCGACCATCGTAGCAAGGGTCCAAAGCATTCCCACCCGATCTTCTGCCTTCTCTCCCAAGCCAATGATACCACCAGAACAAACGCTAATTCCCGCGTCCCGAACATTGGCAATTGTTTCCAACCGTTCGTCGTAGCTTCGAGTTGTAATGATCTTGGGATAATATTCACGGGATGTGTCCAGGTTATGGTTGTAGGCGGTTAGCCCGGCTTCCTTGAGCTGTTGGGCTTGAGTGGGTGTCAGCATGCCAAGGGTGCAGCATACTTCCATTCCCATTGATCTAAAAACATCAAATTAGAACGAGTTTTGGCGACGAGGATTTAGGCCCAAAACAAGAGGATTACCTGATTTCCTTGACATAGTTTAGAATGGTGTTAAAGTTGGTCTTTCGTCCATGGAGATCGCGCCAGGCGGCTCCCTTAAATGTTGAAGTGTGAGCCGTTGCTTATAGGAGGAAATTGGAGGTTGCACCTACCATGCAAAACCTTGAACTTCCTGCCTCTTTGGCCTTTTTCGCAGCAGCCAAAACTGTGTCTTCTTGCAGCAGCTTGCTTGCCTTGACATTTGTAGAGTACTTTGAAGACTGAGGGCTAAATGAACGGAATCAGGTCCATTCCTGAGCATCCTTGTCAAAACTTTTACTGCCCAGCATACCAATAAGCACAATCTTCAGTACATCCTCCGGTTTTGATGCTCAACAGAGTGCATTGCTGCACCTCCCTCGGATTAAAGTGGAGCCGATGGACCTTTGCAGCGTTGAACAACAGCTCCATCAACGGACTGTCATAAATGTCCTGGACCTCTTGTTTTGTCCAGTCGGTGCGGAGGATGCCTGTTGCATGTCTCTCGGCGACGGATAGCGGCTGTGGCGGGGGTGTTTGTTGGAGAGTCGCCAGATGGGAGAGCGGTGTTGTATGGAATGCCCGGAGTCTTAGCGGACGGAAGGCACGAATGAGATGCATCGTGCCAAGATATACGATACGTAGATGGGAGTAAACGATGCGTGAATAAAGCTCCCTTTACCGCAGGACGATGAAGAAACAAGATGGACTATGCTCAAAAAGGAGTTCAAAAGGCCACAGCAAAGAAAGCCTTGCAGGAAGAACGACGACGGGAGCACCGAGGTGTTAATTTACGCTTATTCGGGTTAATGAAGTTGACGCGCTGTGAGAACGACTTTCTCCGATGAGCCTGTTTGGAACTGGGGATTTTCATTTAAAGAAACAACGATTTCCCATCTGGACGCTTTGAACAGACAATGCCTCCACGACCAGCACCCTTGCATACCTTGCGGTCTACGCTACCAACCTATCAGATATTCGCCGCCAACACAGGGGTTGGAAAGACGGTCTTCTCGGCAGCCCTCTGTAGAGCGGCTACAAAGGTCCCACTACACGCATTTGAAAAGAGAAACGGGAATGATAAAAAAACTCGGCGAGTGTATTATGTGAAACCAGTGCAGACAGGGTTTCCGGTGGATTCGGATGCTAGGTGGGTTTGGATTGCTGCATCTGACATTGTGACATGATCTGATAGGACTTGAACAGGCATGTGGAGACATTTTGTCCAGATGCAGCGACAAGTGTCATTTTTACGTACCGGGAGCCGGCCGGTGCGCATTTGACGGCTGTCCGCGTAGGTTCCACATCATCGCATTATCTTGATCAATCATGATCTAACATGCACGGTACAGGAAAACAAACCAGTGTCGGATGTGGAGCTCTTGCGCGCGACTCAGGATGCCCTAGATGGTGCATGGAAGGAGAGCGCAGGGAATCCTGCCATTGCATTTCTGGAAACCGCTGGAGGTATGTCTGCATCTTATTATTTGCAATCTCTGGGATCAGACTCATACCAATTCACAGGCGTGAACAGTCCGGTCATGTCTGGTACACTCCAGTGTGAGGCGTATCGCCCTCTTCGACTTCCTACTCTTCTCATTGGGGATGCGAAACTTGGTGGAGTCTCCACAACTCTCTCAGCATATGAATCCCTGCATATTCGTGGTTACGACATATCCGGGATCGTCATGTTCGATTCCACGCAATATCAAAACCATCATGCGATCCGTAAAAACATTGATCCGTCTGTTCCTGTCTACATCTTCTCGCCTCCTCCTCCCTTTCCCGCCTCCCGCTCACAAGAAGGACCTGATGTACACGAAAAGATGCTGGACGCAACTAACATGATGGTGTATTACGAAAACTCGGAGCGTGGTGCGATGCAGGTTGTTCAAGGATTGTTGGATGAGCACTGGAATCGAGTGACAAGGTTAGAGGAGATGGCTGCCGATGGTGAAAAGAAGATCTGGTGGCCATTTACTCAACATGGAGATGTGGGCAAACCGACTGTGATCGATTCTGCCCATCAAGAGTTCTTTACTACGTATCATTCTGGCGCGTCGACCCCTGCAGCTCCTTCATCATCATCATCGCTACAAGTGGAAGGTACAACAACGCCCCAATATGACGCTTGCGCCAGCTGGTGGACTCAATCGTTCGGACACGCAAATACGCAGCTCACGCTGGCGGCCGCCCACGCGTCCGGACGATACGGTCACGTCATCTTCCCAGAGTGCATCCACGAACCCGCTCTGAAACTTTCCGAAAAACTCTTGTCAACAGCGGGTAGAGGATGGGGCTCACGCGTATTTTACTCTGATAACGGATCAACGGCGATTGAAGTAGCCATCAAAGCCGCTCTCAAAAAGACTGAAAAGGACATGAAACGTAATGGTACGTGGCAGGATGGGCGAACCCTTGGTGTGGTTGGGATCGAGGGGAGTTATCATGGGGATACTATTGGCAGCATGGACGCTTGCGGCCCGAATGTGTATAACGAGGAAATAAATTGGTACGAATGGTGACTGGTTGTTTTGCAACTGGTATTGCTGTTTTAACGACGAGAATACTAGGTACAAGCCCCGTGGTCTATGGTTCGCACCACCAACGATTGTCTTCAAAAATGGGCAGTATACCCTCCGCCTCCCACCCTCCCTCCAACACACAAGATCCGCACCCACCTTCCAATCGCTTTCCGACGTATTTTCGTTGGACCGCACTGATCTCCTCGAGGTTTACTGTGCACACATCCAGCAAACGCTAGCAAAATACCTGACCACTACACCTTTGGGCGCGTTGATCATTGAACCCCTTCTTTTGGGCGCCGGTGGCATGGCTTTCATAGACCCTCTCTTTCAACGCATATTGATACGAGCAGTCCGAGCCCTCGATCAACCCCTTCCAGTCATTTACGACGAAGTGTTTGTCGGGTTTCACCGTCTTGGGCTCGGTCTTCATTCTCCCGGTACGCAATTGTTGGGAGAGTACCCTGATCTAGCTTGTTATGCAAAATGCATGACAGGAGGTCTTGTGCCTCTTGCTGCGACCGTTGTAAAGGAGGAAATTTTTGAGGTGTTTAAAGGGGAAGGTAAAAAGGAGGCTCTCCTCCATGGGCACTCATATACCGCGCATCCCGTTGGATGTGCGGTTGGGGTCAGGACCTTGGAAATGTTTGAGGAGATGGGCGCGAAGGCGGGTGGAGTGGAATGTTTGAGCAGGGTTTGGGATGAAGAGGTACGCTTGACATAGTTGAAGCATGACCATCTATAACCAGTCGTGAATCTGATCTTGCTCCTTTAGCTCATCCAAACCTTATCCAATCTCCCAACTACCGACGGTGTCATTTCCTTGGGCAGCGTCCTGGCCATTGAACTCTCCACCACCGAAAAGGGCTACGCATCTCACGTTTCCGCCAACGTCATCAAGAAACTGCGTGAACACGGTCTCTATACTAGACCGCTGGGGAACGTCATTTACATCATGGCACCTGTGGTTGCTGTGAGGAGCGAAAAGGACCGAGAAGTACTGAAATGGGTGGCCAATGTGCTAGTGGATGTTTTGAGTAGAACAGCATAGAAAGTTTTGGTGTAGAATCATTTTTAGATAAATGGGGGGAACAATGCATGCAAACTCAAATGATGGTCCTTGGGGATCTTGACAACACACACTACATAACTGCACATATCTACTCTGTCTTTTGTTTGCTGTCCTTTTCATCTACCGGCCAAATCTTATCAAACGTCTTGTCTATGAACCCTTCCAGTGGATGATCGTACATGATCGGGAGGAAAGGGACAACCATGAGACCCGCAAGGGTAGGCGTCCAGCGCATCAAAGGCGTTTTTGGCCGGCTAAAAGATACAAAATAAGAAAAACCCTCTCCCTACAGTCAAAAACCAGCAAAAACCCACAAGAAACTCACTTTTGAATCAACTTGCCCGTCACGTCAACTACAGTATGTATCGTAACAGCCGGCAACAATAAACTCGCCAACCCCTGAAACACACTTCTCTTCACCACTACTCTGGCAATCTCCTTTTCGTCTTTACCCTCCTTGGCAGCCTTAACGCCCTCAAAAGCGACATCAAACCCCACATAGCCAAAACTGATTGCATAGGCCGCTTTGACGATTCTGGGGTCAACGACGGGACGGAAGGCTTCGCCTACGTCTGAAGTGTAGGCGAGATATCGGGACCCGGCTATCGCGATGGTGCGGAGACGGGCGGCATAACCGAGGAAACGGAGAGGTGTGTCGGTCGTTTCCGGAGGGTGGTCGGATGTGAGGAGGGTAGTTGGGGAGGCATGAGCTGGGGAATAATTTTCTTTGATGGTGGTGGCTAGAGACGAGGACTCGTCGTCCTTGGGTTTCGTGTTGTCATTGGCCATGGTATACCGGGGGATCTAAAAGCTGAATGAGAAGGACCGCGAACCCGATCGGCCCGATGAGTCGACGTGGCTGAATGTGGCGTAGGCCCATAACTCGACTTTAGAATGCAACTGCGTTAATATAGATTCTAGAGCAATACAGCGATTGATTTATCGTTTGCATCTTGCCATACATTAACAATAAGAAAATAATAAAGCAGTCAACCCAAAACGAAAACTTCTAAACAAAGGAAAAAAAAGTGCAGGCTCGCCCATGCATCTGAGGAGCTTTTAGATACCATAATCACAATTCAATCCCCTGTCCATCAAGAAACTCTCTCAGTTTCCCTACCAACTCAACTAGCTCTGCCTCTTTTAGACTTTGCACCGCAAGCTCTAGCACACTTCCGACCGTTACACCTTCATAAGCGCCAATGAAGCTCTTGAAATACATGTAGCTGAACAATCCCATCAAAAACTGACAGTCCATTCGGTCCGTAATACCGCCGTGGCCGGGAATAGAGTCGCCAAAATCCTTAATCTTGAAGGCGCGCTTGAATCCAGATGCAAAGAATCCACCAAAAGGTGCCACAACTGACGCAAATATGGCCATAGCGAGCGAGTGAAGTTGCATTGGGTAGAAGCTTACGGTGCGGAAGGGAACGCCAGCAAATGGGAGTACAAAGCGAAGGAGACCGCTGAGCATCGGTGGGAGGCGGTAGTCCTTGAGTACAAAAACGGGGTTGGGAACGCATTGGATGCCAGAAAGTGAAGAGGTTTTGAAATCCCGCACTGGGCAGTACATGTAGGGGAACTGAGACAAATAGCCCGAAAAGAACCACCCAAAGACGACTGTGCTGAATAATGCACCGAGAAACCCTTCCCAAGTCTTTTTGGGGCTGAGGGCAATGAGGGGCGTCCGTCCAAAGAAGAATCCAAACACGTATGCGGCGATATCGTTGCAGATCACCAAAGCCGCCGGGAGGAGGAACCAAATCAACCCCTCAAATATGTTGTTTATGATGAAATGACTCTGACAAACCACAATCAACAAAACCATGTGCGTCCATCCGAATTGAGAAAATTGGAACTTGTAGTGTCCTTTCTTCAGGTTGATGACAAACAAGACAACACCGAGGGTATAGAGACAAAAACTGATGAATCGGTGATGAGTGGCAAGAGGCATCAGGAAAGCGTCGACATAAAAATATGGCTTAAATCGTTCGATGAGAGTCTCGCCGTACAGAAAGTAGTTGGTCGCCATGAGAAAGTACCAATGGAAAAATCGATTCCATGGTAGCTTCCTATCTCTCGCCGGGGACACTCCAATGTAGATGACTTCCTTGTATACCAACACCTGCAGCACGACGACAAAGAGCACAACGTACGCGTGTCCCGCCAACAAAATTCCGAGAAAAGCAAAGATCATGACAAACGTCCACAGAGTGCGGACAGCAGCATTACGCCATTTTTTCGATGAGGATTCATCCGCAAGGAGGACGACTCCTGATGGACCATCTGACTTGACTGGCCGCCGCTCGACGGGTGTACCTGGAACGGGCGTCACATCCGTTGGCGTAGGTATCCCAGAACCTGGCGGAGTCAGACGGCGCTTGTGGCCGATTGTGACGGTAGGAGCGGTCGAGTTCGGTACTGTATCTGCAGATGTGTCTGAACCTCCGCTTTGCGGAGTTGCTTGTGTTGACGTCTTCCGTTTATGCTTCGCCATGTGTGACTTGCGGTATCTTTCTATTTGATTGAGTTGATGATGGAACGCTCGCTAGCTTGTGCTAAAGTGGTAGAACGAGATTGAGAAAAAGATTTGCTTGGAAGCGCGGGTCTGTTCCTTTTTGTGTTTTTCGTAAAACTGAATGAGATCGTGGCAGATCAGGGTCAATGAGGTACCCAACAAAGAGATTCGAGTTGACAAGAAAGAGTAGAAACAAAAAGAGCAAGTCGTCAGAAAACACCAAATGGGTTTTGCACAAAACCCCCCAAAACTCGGGAGATTCAACACATGCACAATCAACTCCACGAACTTTCTCAACTTATTTCTCCAACCGTCGCGCAAAAAGAGCGGACCGCTGGAGAAACCCCAAAACAGTGAAAATAAACAGTTGCAGAGACTTTACCTTCAAAAGCACACAAAGAAAACAAAAACTAAAACAACGTTGGTTCGGTCGTTGAACGAAAACGTTGGGCAAAAACCTACAAGCGGGAAAGGGATATGAGATCACACTCGCTCTTTTTGTTGCCTGCTTACAATGGACAACACGCTCTGACGCGAATCCGCTCATAACTTGCAATACCCACCGTTTTTGTTGACGCACCTAATGCAAGTGTTGAATCTCTCCCGTTGATGCAAATCGTCATGCAACCCAAATGCCAAGAACCCAACAACAAGAAGAAAGTGTTCCTTCTTCACATGGGGGGTGATATGGCTACAACTACCCTGTCACGTGTGTAGATGACAGCAGGTCATCGCAAAAAGGTGAATTTAGGATGACGGCTTACAATGCAAAACAATAGTAAAAGGAGGGACCATAAACCATCATCAAATCTATACATAAAAAACAACACAATAAAAATAAAGGCCCATTCTCATCCATCACCTAAACGATCCCGTTTCTTTCATGTCTCTTCCGCATGTCCTTTCTCCAAATCCGTTTCGTCGCCCACGATCGTGGTTGGCACGTTTTCCACAGAGACCTTCACATTCTCCTCTCTTGTTTGTCCCTCTTCTGCTTCCCCAATCTCTGTATTACCAGCCAAGTCCCCTGCCGATACAGCCGTCCCCGTCACCTCTCCCTCCGGCGGTTTTTCCGCGTCTCCAACACTAACCCTTATAGCCCCAGCAACAGCTGCTCCAACCGCACCAACCATAACCCCCGCAACACCTACACCCAACATCCGAGAACCTCCCTCGCCCTCTCTCATCTCCATGGCATTGCCCCCATGCTCCCGGTCATTAAAGTGGACGTGATGATTATGATTGTTGTTGTGGTGGTGATGGAAGCCGGGTCGGAGTGCTCCCACAAGGCGCTGAACGGGTGTGGCACTTCGGGATCGTGGGTGCTGGTTGGAAGAATTTGGCGACATGGCATCGTTAGAGTCTTCCCGCGGTGGTGCCGGTGGTCTAAGAAAACAACCAACACAAAAGAAATAAATACACAACATCATGCATACATCAAAAGTAGCGGGACACAAACCTGGTAGGGGTAATAACAGGACTCATTCCCTCATCATGAGAGAACGCAAACCCCGTATTACACATTTCCTGTCCATTGGCACCCATAAAGATAACCAGACTCCCTGCACGACCATGCGTTCCCAGTCGATGTGACCGATCACGCAGCCGTTGAACAACATGACCAACTTTCTTGCCAACGCCCTTGACAGCCGCAGATATGGACCGGGGACGGAAGGCAGAGGGACGACGGGAATGGGTCGTCGGTTCTCCCGGTTCGGACGCGTCTGACACGGTAGAGGATGCACCGACAGAAGGTCGGTTCCCGTTAGTATCGACAAATAGTGCGCGCTTCTTGTGATGGCGGCTGTGAGCGTAATCGCCAAAGCCATCACTGGGGGTTTCGACACCATGATGACCAGGTATCATATGGCCAGCTGGATCGATCGAAGCGGGAAGAAGTAGAGGAGGCTGTGGTAATGGTGTGGGCCGTATCCCTACAATCTCCTGACTCCCCAGCATTCCCGATTGTGCTCGGCGCATGCTACCGTCGCTCTCACCCCCCGTGCTGGATGTCATACCCTTTGAGGTACTCTGTCGCCGTCTGCTCAGCAGATTATCCGAAAAGTTCCTTCGCATACTTGCACTACTTCGCACCACGTCTCCTCTCTCTGAATCACTCCCTTCATCCTTTGGTTCAGGAGCAGGAGCATCATGCTTCTTTCCACCATCCTCATCCAATCGAAGTTCTTCCCCTTCTTTCCAGCAATACTGTTGCACCTCTCGCACCAAGTCAGTGTCACTAGGCCAGAACCACCCAATAACAAACTTTCCGAGAAAGCGGGGAAAGAGCGCCAAAAACACCGAGAGTACGACACTCAGCCAAAAAGTTGCGCTCGGTAGCAAAACCTGAAGTTGTCCGTAGGGTGGGTTGGCCGGGGCACTGATATAAACCAGGAGGTATCCAAACCATATACATATCGTGATGACGAACGCCAACAGTATCATCCACGTCCAGTTCATTATATTGAGGGCAGCATAGAAGTTGACAGTTAGGATGATCCCCATGGCACACAAGGTACCCATATCATCCTTTGTGGCATCCCATCCTTGATGATAGGGTATCGAGTCGCGGAATATGGCATAGGCAATGAAATAAATGACGACTGATTGGTATATCCCGTCGAAAATATACAGCCAAAACCGTTCCATTGTGTACAGGGTTTGTCGGATTCCTTTCAGGTAGAGCTGCGGCACCATCATGGATACACGGTCATTGACATCTTGGTCGAGGGTGCCGATCGCGATCGTAGGGAGGAGGGTAAAAAAGGTTTGGAACCACATTGAGTAGGTGTAATCCGTAACAGTACTCGCCGAAAATCTGTTCAAGACGCAAAACATGAGCAATTCCATCGCGTAGCACATGGCTTGACGTAGAAAAAAAAACTCACCCATTGTCAAACTGATACCAAAACAGTACAAACAAGTATACCACGTTTTTGTAAAAATAATTCAACACCATCTCGGCAGTGCGGAGGTACGCCCATCGTCCATGTACCAAAAGCAGCCGACCGAGGAACCGAAATTGTCCTATCGCGTAATCAGCCGCCATGACGGCTTGAAGACCTTCTTTACCACTGATACCGATTCCAACGTCTGCTTCTTGGATCATGGACACGTCGTTGGCTCCATCACCAATGGCCAGGCACATTGCACCCTGAAACGACACGCGAATCGAGTTAAAGATAGTGATAAAGAGACAGGATAAAATACCAGTTTACTCACCAGTCCTTTGCGAACCAACTGCACAACCATTGCCTTCTGCAACGGACTGACCCTGCAGCAAACCACCGCCCGACATCGACATCCAAGCTCCAGCAGAAGGGCTTTGCATCTTGGTTCCAATGCATACTTTAAACTCTCCCCATCGATAATAAACGCATACTCTGCCTCTCCAGTAGCACTCGAAGGACGTCCATCAGCAGTCCAAAACCGTTCCAAAGCCTCCGTCAATTGTTGAAAGGTGGAATCAAGGGAATCGGATTTAACAACGATAAGGATCATGTTGCGCTTCAAAAGATTACAAGCAAAACCGATATTGATGGCTGTTTCCATTTTGTCTCCCGTTAATACCCAGATTTTGATTCCTGCTTTCGCGAGGATGCCAATAGTTTCTGGTACACCGTCTTGGAGCTTATCCTCAATGGCCGTCGCGCCCATAAGGATCAACTCCCGCTCAATACCTTCGGCAACCAAATCACACTCCCGTTCCCTGTTTTCAATCAACGCTTGAGCTGCCCGGTAACGTTCCGCCCACCGTTCGTAAAAGTCTGGCGGTATGATACGATAACTCAAACACAATGTCCTCAAGCCTTCGTTTGCAAAATTCTCCAAATGCGTAGAGGTCACATCCATGAGCTCGGGATCGTTATCTTTGGACAATCGGTCGTAAATAACGCTATCGGCCCCTTTACATAGAAGAATAATATCGCCTTCCGGACGTTTGATAATGACACTCATTCGCTTTCGATCCGAGTTGAATTCCAGGACATGTAAAATCGTATAGGTACGCCATTGTCCCATTACATCCACTTCCACCCGATTATCGGTCCGTTTCAAGAATGCAAATCCCACATCTCGTGCAGCTGCAACCAAGGCAGCTTCATCGGGCGACTGGGCCTTGTACTCTAGGTGATTTTCGTCCGACTTGTCCGGTTTCTCGACCAAAACCGTATGACATACAGCGAGGAGGGTAAAAAACTCTCGAATACGCCGCGCCTGTACACCATTGTCACGCACATGACGCGGTAGATCTGCATCTATGAAAGAAAGTTTTGGCGCCAGATATCTAGTGTCAAATAATTCCTTCATTCCGGCAATCATTTGTTTTTCAGCTTCGGCTCGTGTGTTGGCCAACGCTTTGGTATCCAATTCTGACCCAGATCGCTCAGCCGCTCCCATGGCAGCCTCGGATACAAAAGTCCCACCGTACATGACACCGTTGATCGTACATTTCCGAAACTCCATTGTGTTGCAAGTCAATGTGCCGGTTTTATCTGAGAATATGTATTCGATCTGACCCAAGTCATCGCAAAGATTCCACGCTTGTGGTGTAACTCGCTTATCAGACTCGACATCATACATCTCCTCATCAATGTGAATCATAAAACTCTGCATGGACAGAAAATGTCAGCAACTTGCAACGTACACATCTTTGTGCAAACCCAAACTTACCTGAAACAGCTTTGCAACCTCAACACTAATAACCAGCGCAATAGGGATAATATTTTGAAAGATAATCATGCAGAGGAAGAATGTTACAAAAGCTGTGTAACTCGGTGATTCCATATCAGATGTAGCATTGCCGGCAAATACCGCTCCTTCGTGAATATAGGTAGAGGCATACATGGCTGCTATAACAGCACAAATCATGCACATGGCGGAGAGGAGCATGAAATTCACAAGGACTTGAGGGTTGATTTGCCTGTCGATGCGGGATCGTTTGGATGGTGTTGAACCAGAGTTCATCATGATTTTCGTGTCTTCTCCGGTGAAGATGGCCATGCCAATCACCCATTTCGTGTTACGTAGGATGCAGCCTCGGAGGAGAACCCCGCTGATTCCGATCGGGACGACAGTTTTGGGGGAATCTTGGGAGGAAACGGATGCGCGGGTTGGAGCGGATGACGATGGAGATCCCTGAATAGTGAGAACACCGCTGTAGGCGTAGAGATTGGAGGTCGGTGGCTCGGAATCCAGGAACGCTCGTATACCATGACAATCCTCTGGTGTCCGAACACTCTCGAAATCCGGAACACCTCGGCGAACCTTCAAATTCGTCTCTCCGTCTAAATTCTTTGTCTCTACGTAACAGAGCCCATCCCGCTCACTAGTTGACAAGATGGCAATATCGGCAGGTACCGGATCATCGTTTCGCAAAAACACAAAATCTCCGACGCGGACATCCTCCCAGTTCGACAGCTTCCACACGGACTGTCCCGACGACGTATGAGAGGCGCGTTTTCCATTCGGGACAGCACGCTCTTCATCGTCTGACTCGACATCATGCATGTAATCATCGGCGGCTATCATAGCCGGACGACCCACAGTTTCGGTTCCCGCAGGCTTACGTGCTTTGAACGGGGCAGTAAAACAGGCTCTCAACGCCTGTCGTATAGATCGTTTCACCATTTTGTATGTCCGTTTGAAATTGAATGCGTGGTGCTCTACGTGGTTCGTATTGTTCCAATTTGACAATAGATACGTGCTCGCTTTATTCACGCTCGCATCTGATCGATGTCGCTTCCAATCCTCAATGGCATCCTTCAGTGCCGTCGCTGCCACAATAATTACAATCGGTGCAGCCGTCAAAACCGGTGATACTTGTAGGAAGGGAGGGAAGCACTGAAGAATGACCAAGCTTGTGAAATAGAAATTTGCGACACTTCGGAACTGTTCAAAGATGTTTTTTGGTAGGAAGGATATGACCGTGTATTTACTTGTTCGAATCTTGTTCCGTTTATACCAGACCGCCGGTCGCCCGGTTTGTTCGTCAATATATGGTGGTTGCATGGGCATATTTATCCATATACGACGCTTGGCATGGAGATCGGATGCTGCTGCTACACCTTGCGGTGTTGCAGCAGGTGGATCAGTGGGGATATCGGTATTTGGAGACTCTCCCAAATCCAATTTGGAGCGCCCCCCAAACCAATTTCGCTTTTTACCCATTGTTGAGTAGAGATGTGATCGAGGTTATATAGGGGAAACAAGACGGATAAAAGTGTTGCGAGGTTTGACTCTCGCAGGCGACTAATGTCGGGATGATCCTCTTTGTTTCGGACCTCTTTTTTCCAGATACTCCACTTCAGATCAACATGACCGTAGGACCCCAGTCGTTCTTACAATCTCTGGGATTGTGCAAATGGCTGGTATTGAAGAACGACGTATATCGCGAAATATCTAGTTTGAAAGATGAGTAGCTTGGTGTCAGAAAATTTGGCGCAGCTTCAACAACTCGCATACATATACAATCAGCTACGTCGCAACTAAAAAGCGCACGCAGAGTACGCTAACGCACTTTGCTCTCTCTCACACACCCTCTCCAGCTATTCCCGCTAACAACTCTCCAGAATCCATCTCGTCACTTCGTGCATCGTTGTACTCACCATGAGTGTATTTCCCACACAATCTCACAATATACACCTCCCACAACAAAAATCCTCCTCTCCCCAAGGAATCCAAAAACGCAACCTACTCGTGCAGCCCGTCGGAATCCTAGAAAAACGCGGGCAACTGTTGACGTGTCGATTGCCTGATAATAAAAGCGATAAGGTTCAGGCCAAGCGGAGTTGCAGGCAAGCGTGTTCCCTTCTTTTGAGAACAAGGCGCAGTACGAGGTATGTAGCAGAGCGGTCCAGAAAAGCGCTGGACTCGGTAATATGAATCAGGGTTTTGTTAAATTGCGTCGTCGCATGCAACCAGAAATGGCCAAATGGTGTCGTGTTGTCCGCTGAGCCTCCCTTGTAAAAGGTATGCTAAAAGTCTTGTAATAAAGCTGAACTTCGTGGTGCGTAGAAAAAGGTCCTCCCCGACCCCAAGGGCAATGGCCAAAATTAAGAAGAAGCAAAGTAAATGAAAAGGCAGGTTGTCCCAAGTCCGTATGTCGGTCGCTGTGAGATGCGGGCTCCCCACCCCCCAGCCCGCTGTTCCAAACACGCCCATTAATCACATTAAATGCATTCCAAGCGTTGTGGCCATGACTGCTGCACAAATTTACTCAATTTGTGGATAAGCATTGTAGCCGGATGATCCAAGCGTAAAACCAGCTGAGTCAGAAGCATTTTAGGCCAATAGTCGGCTGAATAATGGAAAACGACAACGAGATCAAACAAAAAAAAAAATAGTTGAAAAGATGGTAAATCCTTGTTCCGTTCAATAGGGGTTTCCATTTTTTTTTTGATCGTGATCTTGACGGCCGTTTGTCGGCGATCTGCATTTTTATTTTGTCGCAAGGGATTTGCGTGTTGGCGAAGGATATGCCATGCGCCGACCCATCAAATGACATGGTCCAGATGAATGGCTTTTGGGTCATTAGGGCATGATGGGAGGGAATGGACATCGAGGGTCAACACCCGCAAATCGCGGAGCTTTTCAGCAGGTAAATGAACGACTCGACGAATTCTTGTTCAATGAACTGCAGAGTCTTTTTGCCCCAGCATTTTTTGCATTTTTCGGACTGGACTTACTCTAAATTCCCCTGAAGAACACGATGCGCAGCTATTGCAATAAAGTAGCAATATGCGCAAACGTTCAGCAGAGGAAAATAGAAAAGTCGAGTGCGAAAAAGAAATAAAAACGCAATTTGTTGATATGCAAAAGGGCAAAAGGTAGCTGCATACAAGAAGAATACGACGGATCTCCCAAACCTCGTCGTCCTTTTTATATTGCTGATTGGTGGCGTTTACTTGCTTGTGATGGAAATGCAATTTATGGAATCGGGTGAAAACAGCGTATGCCACTTGCAACTCGCCATCGTATTTGTTCCGTTTTTCTTGCCCGCCCATTGCGGTAACGGCTCGTCAACGGTCAAAGTCCAACTATTTTGGCCACTTGTGGTTTGGTGGCGTGCAAGTGGTCTTGCTTATGTCATGGATGCGTTCGGACAACATGTTTGGTAGACGGTCATGGCGACTAGAAAAGTTTTTCCTGGCATATAGTTTTCTTCTTTATTGTTATGATGACATGGCTCCAGCGACTTGTAGTCATTAATCAGCCATATACTCTGGTAGGTATTATCGACTTTTGAATTTGCATATCGACGCCTTTTGGGCACCAGAGAATGACAAGGCAAAACACCAAGATACTCAAAAGACAACACAATATCTGCCAGCTACACCCTCCGCTATCTGTCGCGGAACTCAGAAAAAAGTTCTGTTTAGCGCGAATTCTCATCATTGGGTGATATGTATAGATAATGTGTTGCGAGTCGAAGGTTAATCCTAAGACAAGTAAAAGAAACTTGGAGGGGACTGGGGCCAAGCGCCTTTTATACCCATTGATTGTGGCTTGGAACAAAAAATATACAGCCAATGAGAACAAGTTAAATAAGCCACACCCGCCACACCCTCCAGTTGTCGAAATGTGGCCAGTTGCTGGTAGGAGCGTAGGTGGGTCTTTGAGCTTTGGGAAAAGTCCGTTGTTGGAAATGGGACTTTATGGAGCGCAGAGGCTGCATCGTTATTTGTTACGGCATTTGTAACATGACGGCCCAGCTCTGCCTTTAGGCATTGTGCAGAGGTTCAGGATAGTAGCCACCAGTGATACATTAGGAAACCTGTGCTTGGCGAGTGATGAAAAGTCTCAAGGACAATGGCTGCTCAGCAAACGCCTACAGCTAGAATATGTGGGATGTGATTTCGGTTACGCTTTTCGTCATGCATAGTCAAGGACATTGATGAGCATAAGGCGTCTCTATGTCTTCATTTCCTTCTTGCGTGCATGGTTCCGTGAATTTCAACATGTTGATTATAGGGGCTTGCCTTACTATGCAGAAATGGAATACAGTATGTGTGAATTGAAAGGGCAGCTCATTTTATGATGCTTTGTCATGGTCATTTCTGCTTATGTCATGGCTGCGTTCGGACAAAATGTTTAGGGACCCGGACATGGCTGCTAGAACCGTTTTTTTTATTGTTTTTGTTTTTTTGGGGTGGTATATGGTTTTCTTTTTTTGGTTTTAGTTTTAGTTACTTTTGCATATCTTCAATTTTCAGTATCCTTGCATTTTGATCGTCTCCGCTCTCAAAGCCGCCATTTCGACTGTCGGTGCGACATTCTTCTCGCCAACCATCTCTATCAATCCCGACCGCTCAAACAAGATACGTTGTTCAGGCGTAATCCCCGCAAATAGGACTTTGACGCCTAGATGAAGGAACGTGTGGATATTTTCTTTCATGAGGTACATGGCTCCAGCGTCCTGTAGGCAAGAATCAGTCACATAGTCTGGTGAAACAAGACAAAACAGTGTGACTACATACGATAGCCGTGCACCCATCCATATCAAAAATGATAATTTGTCCTGCATTACCCTTCTGACTTGGGTATCCGGAAGCTTCTGCAATCGTCTTTTGAGCTTTTAAAAGCTTATCCACAGCGACACTGATATTCCCCGAATTAAAGAACAGGAGCGGGGAGCGGACAGAAATGACTAGGATGTCATCCAAGAGAGTCGCTTCGGGGTGTTCGCGGACGTCTAGGTACCGGGATTGGAGAACCTGCTGGATTTGTCCGTCCCGATCTTGTACAGGGACAGAGACGTCGACTTTACCCAGAATTTGCATGTCGACGCCTACTGAGCGCCGGATAATTAGGATCGAAGCGAGAAAGATGACAATCAGAGTGCCTTGCTCAATGTTCCTACGTATAAAGAGAAGTGAGGACCTTGCGCATTGGCAGAAAGCAACCCAAGGGACATACCAAAAAAATGTGGCACAAAACGCTGCAACCATCCCAGCTACCTCTCCCCAAGACCGAACCTTAAAGACAAACACAATCTCGGAAACATGCACCAAAGACATGGCAGCCGCCAATACAAATCCAGCCAAAGTAGACAAGGGCAGAAACTTTAAAACAGGGCCAGCTGTCAAAACAAACACTGTCACCCAAAATGCCGCTATAAGCGAACAGACGTTCGTCCGTCCGCCTGCATCTGCCAGGATCTTGGAACGGGGAAGGGACCCCATTGTCACAAAACATCCGAAAATGGAGCCGACAACGTTTGCGGTCCCCAGTGCAAAGAGTTCGCGGTTTGGCTTTGGGTTGTACCCGTACTGTTTGATTAACCATCCGCATCAATAAATCTCTGTGTGTGTATCCCAAAAACATTTGTAAATGAATGCAGACTTTACCTGCATACCCAAATCCTTGGAAACAGCCATACTCTCGACGAATCCAACTACCGTCTGCGCAACAGCACCGCCCAACAGTCGACCCATCCTGTCCATGTTCAGTGGTGGAATCGCCGGTGTCGGAAACCTGTTGCTAAAGGTTCCTAGAGTCCTCACACCATACTGTTTCAAGTCAATGGCAGCGCTGATGCCAATCATGACGCCCACCAAAACAACAATCTACAAAAGTGAAGAATCTAAGTATTTTAAAATGTTTGGTGCACTGATCTCATTATGTACCTCTGGAAACGCTTTAATCCAGGCAATGTTGGTCTTTGCCTTGACATAGCGCATGGCCACCATAAAAACGACTGCAGCGAGACCGATCAGCGAGGTAAGGAGGTGTCCAGTTTGCATGGCAGCCTTTGACGTTGCCACCAGTTTTTCAAAACTTGAAAAAGTGGGTGGAGGTTTGCGGGTCAGGTCGATACCGAGGAGTTCGGGGAGCTGTTCGATCATGATGAGCAAACCAACGCTAGAGATGAAACCCGTCTACCAGAATAGGGAGATTGTGTAAGAAAATGGATAACCAAAAATGTGTGAATACCGACAAGGTGCACATACCTTCATAAATCCTGTCAAAATCGAATCCAAAAACCCAGCCCTCATGAGGGACAACAACAGAGCGGTTAATCCTACCAACATTGCAATGACCGCGGCAATCTGGTCTGCGGTAATCCCAGGACCTCCAGCCTCAAGCTCTTCGGTCACGGATGCGCCGATCAAGACGGCGGCGAGAGCTTCGGGCCCGACAGAGAGTTGCTTGGATGTTCCGAGGAGACCGTAGATTGCAATGGGGATAATAGAGGACACAAGGGAGACGATAACGGACACTCTAGCCTGTAAAAAAATGTCATTGCGTTGACTACAGTGCTTTTTAATGATGGCTCATGACAGAGGAAAGCTTCTTACCAACTGGGCAAAAACGATGGACCGTAGGACCAGTACAATTCCCACCGTTAACCCAGCCCTGAGATCCCCAAACATGAGCTGCTTGTTGTACGTTCTGATAACCTCGATGATGGGGATAAAGCCCATTACTTTGTCCCCCAGACTCTTTTCCTTGGGCGGTGAGACCAAAATAGACGGTGGACCTCGACGTCCCTGTTGTTGGTTCCGGGCATACCCGGGCTGCTCTGACCTGTCAACATCTCCAGAATAGAGATCAACGACGTGTAAGAGTGTTTTCCGGCGCTGGGACCGTTCCAAAGCGTTCAAGTTGACGGACGTGGAGAAGCTATTTTTATAGTCGCCCATAGTGGAGCGAGCTTTTGACCAAAAAGCAACTAGAAACCAGAGAAATGTACAAAGCGAGAGATGCGTCGCAACAAAAGCTATGGACAGCCTGATGGGCTCTTTTCTTTAGCAAACTCTGGGCTCCAAAGAAAGCGGAATTCTGGGAGCTCTCTCTCTTTTGTAGAATACAATCCAAAATACTCTGAATCCCCAACAAAGTTTTAAAGATTTGCTACTAGTTGCTAATCAATAGAAAGTCTTGGCTATTGCCCCATCTAGTCGGAGGAGAGAGACCGCGTTAAAAAAAAAATAAAAGACGAACCTCCGTCGTCCCCAACCTCCCAAACGATGCGGTAAACACGCACGAAATCGATAAGCTCATGGCTTTCTTTTTAAGCTTGCCCAACAGGAGAATCCAAAAGGAATGAAAAACAGCCACCAGACAGCCATTCTTCCCGCCCTCCATCCCACTCATTGACCCCGCGTTATTAACCTGTGGCATCCAAGGGTGGAATTCCAAAACCATCAATCAAAATCAATTCACCAAATCAAAACAGTTGGGAAGGAAAACACATCTGCAAGTTAGGGAGCAATATGCCAAGAAGAACAAGAAAGTTCCCGAGTAGACCAAGACGGAAGACCGTGCAAGAAACGCGCTACTAAGCCCCTATTGCATGTGTTCTAATTGATTTCTTCTTCTTGGCTTTCTTGATTAGAATTGCGAAAGTTTTCTATGATAGAATGACGAGTGTTCTTGGAATATCTCATTAGGAAGATGAGAAGGCAGGAGGAAGAGGACGAGATAAAATACCTTGCATTTGCGATTCGCACAGAGGCATTCCTGACCATCAGCTGTGGAGTGATTCGAGAGTCGTTGTTGAAATCTCTCTTGTCTAGTTCCACCAACTTCCAACTCTTGTGTGTGTGTCAGATTCCCCCCGCCAACAGTCGTCAGTCGTCATTCCCATCTGTAAAAGGAAAAACAAGAGCCCTTGCTGCCATAAAACACGAATTGTATGAGGTGGGGCGCTATGTTCAAAAAGTTATTAGTGGCGGGGGAGGAACACTCTCAACAAAAAAACCCATCCTAGTACTCTAGCGCGAATCGAACCCTTCCTATAAAAACTCCGCCTGAATGGCCAAAAGGAACGCGTTTCTTTTAATTGATTGGTTGCGTTACTAGTGCAATGGCATAGTCATGTAATTGTGTACTGTGCCATTGTACAGTCACTAAACCACTCTAATAATAGTCTTATGATGTGTGTTTTCCTTATTGTGGGACCCCCCCCCCGCCTTTCACATATAGAGGACCCTCTTGCTATTCCCCCCCCGTCCTTCTTGGTCTTGCGATTTTTTTTTTAGCTACTGGGAATTCGTCGTCGTTTTTCATCGTCGTCGTCGTCGTTATCCTTCTTGTCTATCGGATTGTGCTTGAAAAGCCCGCATTCCATCACATTTTGTCCCTTATCGTTCAAGTAAACCCACCACATACACCTTATATCCATCATGCCCAAGGCAAAGAGTGACAAACCTGCCGCTGCTACCAAAAAGGCTACAGGTGAGTTTTTGCCATTGTTTGGAACTAGACAGGAGGGCAACAAGTGGACGAGGCAATCGCCTACGTCAAGATCATCTTTTGCTTTTCGGTGTCGAGTAGCTGGCGTTTCTTACGTGGGTCTTGCTGCGGCCTCCTGTGACTGTGCCCGTGTCGCGCTTTCCTTTGTCGTTGGAAGCTGCTTGCTGCTTGTTGGACTTGGTGCTGACCTTTCTGCTTTTTACTAGGCGGCAAGCGTGGAGCCTCTCCCTACAACCAGTTCATGAAGGTATGTAATGTGTTTGGCAAGTGGGACGGTGCGCGTCTGGGTTGAAGGCTTACTGGGTCTATTGTGTGTGTGTTTGTGCGTGTACAGACGGAGCTGGCCAAGGTCAAGGCAGACAACCCTGGCATTGCGCACAAGGAAGCTTTCAAGGTTGCTGCATCACACTGGAAAAACGCCCCCGAGAACCCCAACAGGGTCAAGTAAACAGTGGTTATCAGGTGAGTTTTGAGTGTTGTCCTACGTCCCATACCTCCCATTGACAGATGGACCATTTTCTAGGAATATGCCGTAGGCCGTTAATGTGTGTGCTCTATTTTGTTTTGTTGGAGCAAGTTGCTAGTGTTTTTTTTTTGTATGGGTTTTTTTCAAAAACCGGAAATTGTTCAGAATACATGCAAAAAGAAGAAGGATTTCTTTTCGATTGCAAAGGATGCTTGCTAGTTTTACATATGTTTTTGACTTGAGCTGTTGGCTTCTGGTTTTTGGTTTTACTAGTGTGTTTTTCGCTTTTTGTAAGTTTCTGGAGAGTTCAGCAATACCAAAACCCCTACTGGCTTGCTATGCGTTCTGACTGCCTCCCATTGGTTTTGGTCAACGACGGCGATCCTTGTCCACATGCTTGATGTGTGCGTGAGACGTTGGTTATTTCCTTTGAGTGGAAATCTCAGGTTGCAGACAAAAAAGTCCCTTTAGATTTTGGCAAGTGCAACCGTTGTTCAAAAAGGGTATTGACATCAGATAAAGCCCCAGCCGTTTACGTCGCCCTGTGTCCCAGCTCCCAACCTACCGCGGTCTTGTTTCCGTCGAGCTTATCGCCTACCCCCTCCCAACGTTTCTCAGCTATAGGAGTCACTGATCAACCCATCCCCAAAGTAACACTTGCCCTGGCTTTCATTCCAGCAGAGGACAACGAGAAGGGACTCCGATGATGATGACATCTGGGCTTTGAAATTAATTTGAGGGATTTCGCAAGATCCTTTTGGTCTAAAAATCAGCGATTTGCCCTTGTTTTCGTCGTTTTTTTCCTACTGCTGAGCCTTCCCTTTCTGCTCCCCGCCGTCATGGTCGCTTACCAACTGCTTCCGGTCTCTGAACCCCCCGCAAAGGGCCGCTGGGGGACGGAAACGCGCGTCTGGCCATGGCTGACGCGAACAAAGAGTTACCCGTCGACAGTTTGGAAGGTTTTAAAAGCAAACCTCCCATTTTGCCTCCCGAGGTAACGCTCTGCTGCAATTGAAACGCATCTCGAATGTATATTTCCATCAAGGAACGTGAGCTAGGGCTGTATAGGCTTAATAGCCCGTTGGTCTACCGTACGTAATGTAATGGTGACAGTTGACAATGCAGAGAACCTTTTTACTGACAACAATACTGTTCATACTTGTTTTGCACAGGCACCCAGTCCAAAGCGTCCAAAAGCCTTATCGACCGCCTCACCCTTTCCCAAGTCCTCAATTCCCACACAGGCTGCGTCAACACAGTTTGTTGGTCAGACGATGGACAGTACCTCTTGTCTGGTTCTGACGACACACACCTCGGTCTATGGTCCTACAGCCCTGGTCCATGCTTTTCCGCCACCTCCCCGTCTCCAACAACCCTCCTAGCTCGTATCCCAACTCGACACCGTGCAAACATTTTTTCTGCCAAATTCATGCCGGGAACATCGAGCTCGATTGCAGTGTGTTGTGCTGGAGATGGGGATGTGAGGGTTTTGGATCTGTTTTTGGGGGATGGACGGGAACGAGGAACCATCAGGGCTGTATATGGTTGTCATAGAGATAGGGTAAAGAGAGTGTTGCCTGTGGATAGCAATGTGTTTTTAACATGTGCTGAGGATGGTGGGTTTGGCATTGTGTGCTTGGAGTTTCGATTTGAAGAATGTGCAGATCTAATGGATAATATCTCCTGTCGCAGGTTCGGTCCGTCAATTTGACCTCCGAGTCCCTCACCTGTGCTCACCCGATCAGCCATGCGCCCCACCTCTGGTAAACTTTGCGCCGTACCACATCTCACTCAACAGCATTTCGATAGACCCAATCAACCTGAACCGTTTCGTCGTTGCTGGGGACAATCCATACTTGTACATGCATGACAGGCGTTTTCCCACCAACTGTATTAGACGGTTTGCCCCAGACGGCCAAGTACAGCCTCATGAACATGTCACAGCAGCAAAGTTTGCAGATAGTGCTCGAGAGTTGATTGGAAGTTGGAGTGGTGGAGATGTATGCTTATTTGATGTTGAGGGGGTGGAGTATCAAGGTTGGAATGGAAATGCGGTCAGAAACGGATTGGGGAGAGGACGAATGAAGGATCATGGGAGTCATTTGGATAAAAAAGAACAAGCAGAAACCTCAAAAGCGCTTGAAGAAGAACAACCAGGCACAGACGAGGAGGATGACGAGGACGATGCGGTATCACTCCTCCCAGCCGAAACTATTCAGTCACTTGAAACCCGCATTCGGACAGGATTTGCCAATTCGGATATTCCATCTGTCATTGAATCCGCAACATCACTGGTAAAAGATTATAACCTGCGGGCAAGCTTAAACTCTCCAGTTGGGCGAAAGACAAGGACTGCTGAGCGGGCAAGACTGTATCGACAACGCGCAAAGGCGTGGCTTCTTTACACCATCAGCAAGATACAAACCTCGCAGCGCCCTCGAAAACGAAAACGGGCATCCACCCACGGTGAAGCTGAGTCGCAGACGGAGCCGGAAGGTAGTGACACTCTGACTCCCGACTTGAACTCCATGACCGCTGTCGAGTGTCTTCAGCACGCGGCCAGGGACATGACTCGGTTCCTCATCCTTACTGATGCGATGCCCTCCTGCCATATCTTTCGCGCCGTTTCACAATGGGGTTTAGCGGTTTTGGCAGATTCAACTGACGCACGAATAGAGCATGCGCGTGAGGCCCTGAAAGAATTGCAAGGCGTTCAGGAGGGTAACGGGTTTAGAGAGTGCGTCCAAGGGATTGAGAGATGCATGGGTGCAGAGTTTGATACTGAAGATTGGATTCGGTGGTGCGAAAAATGGATTACTAGTTCCGATGACAATGACAATAGCGAAAGCGAGCGGCCACCAGAGAGTTCAGAACATTCACAAGCCGCCTCAAGCAACAGTGACGTTGATTCCATATGGACATCCGATGAGGAACCCACGACTCTCACCACTACCCACACCCACGTAGCATACTCTACAGTCCCCATCATCACCCCATCCAAAACCTACAAAGGCCATGCCAACATCCAAACCATCAAAGACGCAACCTTTCTCTCCTCAGACAAGTACATTGCCTCCGGATCCGACGACGGCACCGTTTTTATCTGGGACAAGCAAACAACTCGCATCATCCAAATCCTCCGTGCGGACGCCGAAGTCGTCAACGTGGTCGCTCAGCACCCTTTTATGCCCGTCTTGGGCGTCAGCGGGATTGATCAAACAGTCAAGATTTTTGAACCCGTCTACCCATCTGATGGTCTTCCATCCACTATACCTGTCCCCAATGAAGAAAAATTGGTCCCGTTTTCTCATTTCATGACCAGAGGACCGATGGGTACCCTCCCTCCTTCATCTTCTCTCTTATCCTCTATGGACCAGGTGATAAGAGATAATGAGCAGCGAAAGTGTGAGATGGGTGGAGTGGTTAGTTTTCGGATGGTTGCAGAGGCGTTGGCGGAATTGAGAGGGGAGGGAGGGGATGTGGAGTGTTGTATCATGTAGTCATTGATGCTCTTCTCCCATCGTTTGTAGCTCTGTAAGTGGCCAATGTAATTATTTGCGGGGTGCGGTTTCGTTTGTTGTAAATAGCGGTATGTAGATGTAGGGTTGCCCCGGTTCTTTTTTTTTGGGTCGCTACATGTTGACAAACTGTAAATGCCATACTCTATCCATCACTATTCTGCCGACAAATACCACTAATATCTTTAAAACCCCCTTCTTATCCCCTCTTTACTTTCCGCACGTTGCTCTGACCACCCAACCCAACCGCCCACCCAAACAACGCAGGCAAGATCAAAAACGGCACATAACTCCCCCACAACACCCACTTATTCTCCACATCCGCCTCCTTCAACACCACCAGAATCGGAACCATGGTCGTAACGACATGAACAGCATAAACAACCGCCCACACTCGAATCCTATCCCACTCTTTCTGCCAAACCTTGACCAACAACCACGATTCCAAAGGAAGTTGGAAAAACAGCTCACAGACAATGATACCCCAAAACCATGGCTCGACCCTCCCAGTTTTCAATAGAGGCGTCAGGAAGGGGTCTTGAGAGGATTCGATCCAGCCTGCTAGCGACTCCCGGAAAAAGGGGGGGAGGTCCAAAGTTGGAAATACGCCTTGAAGACTGATTAAAAGTGTGCTTGGGATGTGGATGAGAAAGTAGAGGATAAAGAGGGGACGGAGGGTCGTCATTGCTTTCCTTTGAAAGAGGGTTTTGGCTTGTTTGTTTGTTTGTTTGTTTGTTGGTGGAATCCCGGGTTTTTGATGATATCGTTTTCTGTTTTCCTTTGGAAATACGGGCGAAGGAACTTTTGACTTACGACTTTTATTTTTTTTTTGGGTGCTGAGCGAACGGCAAACTCTTAACCATCGTCATTTCATAAACACAAAAAATCAAAAAAAAAACGGTGTTCTTTTGAAATTTCAACGACGAACGATCGTACGATCCTTGTCCGAACGCGTCCGAACACACCCATCCGTTGAAAGTTGCCATTCTGACCTCACACACAGTGTAAAAAGATAATGCTTACCTTACAAGACAAAGCAAAACCCGACAAAGGCACTCAAACATGACAGCCAGATATCCCATCTATAACATGAACAGCAAAAACCCAAAAAGGTTGCTTTACTCGGCAAATCCCGGTCTTTGCAAGAGGGTGGAAATGACCTTGATACGCACAGAACCAAAGACGATCCGCACCCCCATCTTTTAAAAGACCCCTCCAGTTATAATGGGCTTTATCAACTCCATTACCCGTTGTTGCGATTCCCGAAAGCAAGTATCTATCTAATAGCACAAAGTCGCAGAATGAAAAACCATCCCAAACAAAAAAAAACTCCATGACGAAAATAGTTTTTATTCCCTCACAGTAAAAGAACCCTCCCCGACACCATCAGGAATTTCTCTCGCCCAAACTCAACAGTTTTCTGGAAAATATAAAGTGCCAAAACTGTACTTGTATTGTTTTTTGTTGTGACTCCCCTAGTAGTTCCTTTTTCCAAACGCTACTCAAAAGATGCACTAAAAAGAATGGTCGAAACACTGCTGTTCCAATATTTTACGCTTACAGTGGATGGAACAAGTGACTGGTACCCCACAGCCATTCATCCCACCAGGATAGTGCTCTTGGAGAATAGTGACCCGCAAAAATACAAAACATCGTTAATGCAAATGGGCTGCAATCTGTGTCCTTTACTCGTTTTTAAGAATTTCTGGAACCTCTACATTTACGCAGATCGAAAAGTTACCAAAAAGTATAAAATCCAATCCAGAAATATAACAATATCAGACTTTCACCCTTCAGAGCAGGGCACAAAAAGTCCATTATAGATATTCGAACGTTGGCAAAGGGGAATATCCGTACTTTGATGACAACCGAATAAACAAGAACGAAATCTAAATGTTTTCCACATACAATATTGCTTGCGATGCGTTTCTTGGAGATGATGAACGATCCCGCTCAAGAGAGAGTTATTTACAACTTGTAGTTTTTACTAGTCCCAACATCTGCCAAAGGGAAACAGAGTGGGGTATCCATATTGTGGTTTTTGATATTGGCGTGAGCAGATTCACCACGTCGTCTTACACTCGATGGGCATCCCAGCAAAATAATAAACAAAAGGAAAGGGAAAAGAGTCAATCATGATGATATGGTCCCGTTCTTTTTGGCCAAAAAATGCTAGTGTCATGAACTCTTGAATGCACGCGATTCAATAAACAAACCTGGATATGTGGAATAGCATAAACTCTGTAGGACCAGCAGAGCAAACAAGACATTTCCAACGTTTAAAAGCAGAAAAACCCCCAAACATATATAAAAAAAATATATATCAATGGTATTTACATAAAATGAAAAAGCCGCAGAACAAAGCAAACAAAGCAAACCCTACGCTTGCAATAAAACATGCAAAATAAAGATTTCCGCCATTCTCAGGCAATTATATACACCAGAAGTCTCAAAAGAACACAACATCACCCCAAATGCATACCCTCCTGCACAGACCCACCTCGCATCCCCATACGCGACTCAACTTCCATATGTCGTTTCAGCGCATCCGTACGCGCGAACCCACTCCCACAATTTGGACACCGATATGCTTTCTCCGTGTCATGTAACGAAGCATAGTGTCTCCGCATATCATGTTTGCGCAAAAAGGTGATTGGACAAGCTGGACAGGCGTAGGGTCGTTCACCTGTATGTGCCTTTGCGTGAGATTTGAGATTATACATTCTCGTAAAGACTTTTCCGCATCCCTCATGGGTGCACTTGAATGTCTTTTGAGAGGGGCTGTGACGCGTGGATGTATGGTTGGTGTTGGACTTGCGGCGGGTTGTAATGAGAGGATTGGTGGATGGTGGGGAAGGGTTGCGGGGTGAGGTCCCGGTAAGCGTGTCTGTTTCCGGGTATCCGCCAGTAGCAGAGTTGTTGAGCAGATTGAGTATACCATTCACACCGTCTGCTTCGTAGCTTCCTTCGTCGAATGGCGTGAAGGGTGATCCGGCTGGTGAAGTTGTCGTAGAGTAGGGCGAGAAAAAAGTGGTTGCAGGAGACACTGTCGTAGAGTAGGGAGACAAAAAGTGGATTGCCGGGGAAGTGGCCGCTGGATGCGGGGAAAGAAATGCAGGAAGAGCCGGTGAAGCGGCCGGGGACGCAAACTGGGCTGGGTAAGGGGAACTTTCCGACGGTGTAGGGTATGGCACCGGATGTGACGGCTGCGGCTGCTGTTGATTAAGATCATTTGCCGATTCCGAAGCGTGCTTCAAGGCATCGTATGAAAGTGGGGCCAAGAGCGTGTTGAATGCGCTGTTTTCCACCTCGTTAGATACAGGCCCTTGTATCGGAGGGCTCAAATCGATTGACCATTGTCCAGATTCTGACACGAAACTGGTGTTTGGAACGACGGGATCCACCGGAGGTGTCGGATGAGAACTTTGCGGATCGCTCGAACGAGCGTTGCGCCGAGCTCGAACAATCGAGAGGGCGCGCATCAATTTATTCATTGCCACATCGTGTTCCGATCCAGACGACTGGGGATTCACTGTGGGTTCCGTCACTGGAGGAGCGAAAGGTGAGACCGCACTACTCATGAATCCCGTTATCGATCTTGTATCATGTGTGTCGTGGGTATGCAAATACTTGAGCTCTGACTCAAGCTCATCGAGCAACGATAAAACGGGACTGTTTGTCGATGGTTGACTAGGTGGCATACAAGCGGCAGCAGGAGAGGCCAGTTCATTCAACAGAGAATCCATGGAAAAAACAGGATCTGGTGTAAAGTTTTGGTACGGTGTAGAAATAATAGTCGACTCTGGTGTGACAATGTTGATAGCGGGAGATGCGTACATGCCTGGGTAAGGGGATGGGAAGCTGCGTTGCCGTTGGGCGACTTGCGGAGGAGAAGTGACGGGAGGAGTCGTGTACGTTGGCGGCGACATGATCAATTGTTCAAACATTGTCAAACTACCGCTGTGGTTGACAGACATGTTGGTGCCGAGCAACGCTGTCAAGTCGCCCGTCTCGTTTCCGCTCAATCCAACCGAAATTTCATCAGTGGATCCAAGGTCAAACTCATCCAAGGATAAAGCCTGTCCCTTTGAGCCATCGTACCAGCTGCCTAAAGCCATAGGCGCCACAGGAGGCGGAATCATACCTTCCGTCCCGTTCATGGACGACACGTCGATGTCTCGTTGCTGCGATTCAAAGGCAGGTGAGCACATCACCGCCTCTTGGACATGGACATTCAAGTACGAATTTTCCCCTAGTCCGAAATGAGTCTAACCAAAAGCAAAAGAAAATATAGTCTGAGCCAACTGGAAAGAAAAACCCCAATGATGACAAATTCCATGCGCATCGCTAAAGCCCCCTTACCTCCGGTCGATTCCCCAAAAACTGATCCAGCACTGCCGCGCTCTCTCCTATACTCTGCACGCTCATCTCAAGCTTAGCGTGTACGTGTTTGTCGTGTAGGTAACAATGTCCTGCAAATAGCGGGTTCGGCTGCATGAACCTCGGCTGTCAACACGGCCGAGGAAAAATGGAGACCAACGGGCAGTATTATAAGTGTCTCCGCGGGACGAGTTCCTGGTTTACGGCCTGAGCGGATGGGGCTATTCGGTCGTTTGTGCGTTGTCACCCTTGACAGGTTGTGCAACAACTCCTCCGTAGGCTCCGTCCGAGTGTGCGATTTGGATGAATGGACGGACGGCCAAAAGAGAAGCAAACAAAACACACTCTCTCAAATCGTTCTCGCCTCAAAAGGACTTGCAAACCAAACTCGTTCTGAAAATAAAAAATCAAAATAAAAAAAAACCGGGAGGAAAAAAAACCGCCATCAAAGTCTGAAGTTGAAAAGGAATTCAAGCTTGAAAAGTGTGACAATTCTCCAAATCACTGCGCAGTATATCACGTGTGAGGCTATGTCCTTGTTGCTATGGCAATATTTGTGTGTGACGTTCTTATCGGAGGGCTTTTTCTGCCGTTTTGGAATTTCTTGGGCGGCGGCCCGCGGCGGAAAACGTCCACCCATTTCTTATTAATGAAGGAGGTGTTTTGAACGAAACGACGACCACGGCGTTTCAAAGCGTTTGAATGGACAATTGTGTTTGGCCGTTGGTGAATGGGATGAACGACGACGACCAGGCAAATGTCCTCAATACACAAGGGCATCTTGAATTGGTTGGCCAACAATTTGTGTTATCCTTGGCTTTGGGTTTTTGTTCAAATGGGTTCTTGTGCACCAGGATCACCAAACGATGAGATGGATCTGTTCAACATGCAACATCACTCGCAAAAAAAGGTTATGCTGCAAAGGTAACTCGCCATGAGCCAGCTTCCAATAAATTGCCCGTAATTGTAAAACGCAGCGGTCAATTTCATGCCTTGGTGACCAGATGGTGATCTCTGCGCGCTCCCCAGTCTCCGATCAACCCGACAATCCCGTCTCGCATGGCTTGTTTGTCCAACAACGATGGTCTGCTGAGAGCCTTTGCTTGTCAAATGAGATGATGGTTCAAAATACTTTTTAATTTTGAACTATCATCGTTGCTGGAACTAAATACAATCGGAATCAAAAAGGTCGCAAGAAGGGATTCTGAAAAAGGCCCTTTTAGCGAGACCCAGCAAAGTACAATATGCAAAAACCAGGTCAATGATGTATTAGCATGCGAAAAAGCAAATGTAATTTCCAAAAAAAGAAAAAAAATCACTATGAAATAACGCATGAGGTACTTTGAGTTGAGCATCTTGCTGCTAGATACAACAAGGATATAACTATATACATTGGTATAATTCACAAAAAACGGAATTCGGTTTCCACCATAACATGAAGCAACATACAAAAAAAAGATGGATTTTCCTCAATCACCGATAGGAGGACTGTCCTTTTTTTGACTCGTATCGTGATCATCTCGAACGACTGTGAAGCGACTTTCTCTTGTTAATGTCTGTCTCGGTCTCCAATGAGTACTATGTTCTCTGATGACGGTGAACCTGCCCCGCTGGGATACCACAACGGCGGGTTCGACAAAACCATTTCCATGCGGCTCGGATTCGGATAGTGTAACTCCGGAGGGAAGGACGGGTTTGGATTTTGCAATGGTATGCGGAACAGGTTTACGGTCTATGGTTGGAAAAGGAAGTTGTTCCGCGAGTTTTTCGGCCAGGACGTGTGGGCGGACGCATGCGAGGGTTGTTGGCGAGCGGTGAGGAATGGAGAGAGCCAGGACGGCCGGAGATGATTGTTCAGCTGCTACTGCTGCGGAAGTGGATGCTTGGAGTTGGCGATGAGAGTCTTTCATGAATGGGCCCGGGAGCTCAAGGTGAGGTGTTGCTGGTATGACTTTGATGTCGGGCGGTGGAGTTGAGGAGGAAGGCGGTGCGGACGGAGGACGATCGGACGGGAGCTGAGTGACTTGAAAACGAGACGGTTTGCGTTGGTCAGTGGCTAAAGAATCTGATCCGTCAGATGCATTGCTGTTGACGAGGGGTGGGGTACTCTGTCGACGGATAAGATTTGGACGGCGAACGGAACCGACAGAGAACCTTGACGGTCGTCGTTGCAACTTTAGGGCCTGGTCGTCCAACTGCATCTGAGACACTCCATCCCTCTTGCTCGTCTCACTTGCTGCACGGGCATCCATCTGCGCCTGATTCGCACGAACCACTGCCATTTCTAAACCGATTTCTTTTAAATTCAAGATATCCTCAGGCGAGGACATGCCCACCCTCCCAAACAAAGTCTGGATATCTCGCAGTTTCCAGTCTCTCCGCGTACGCAGTTTTATAAAAGTAGGCTCGATTAAATCGCCGACACCCCCAAGATGAACGGGTCTCTCCACAACGCACGCTGTGCCTCCGTCAGATCCGTGACACATTCAGTATGCGTTTTTTTTTTCAAAGTCCGATCAACAATCGACCAAGTGGAAGGGCTTGTCGCTCGTTTGTTTGGCGAAGATTACGGGATTCAAATTGCAGGAGAACCAGCCAAACCCCTAATCAACGTGCAAAAGAAAGGCCCCCAAAGGTCCGATTTCTTTGATGATCCAAAAGTGTGAAAAACAATGACATAATTCATGATTACATAAGCAGTCGGAGTTTTTGTCATCGGCAGTGACTCTGGAGGTTTTCCGTACTGTTCTTTCAGGGTAATTCTAGGGGTACTTACAAAAAGAAAACGAAGATGACCTATATTCAAAACACCCGGATTTTCACATGATTTCTAAGATTCTAGCATGCTATTCCAGCTCATTTCCTTTTCCTGCTCTAATGGCCGGGTACGTTCAATGTCTGGCAAGCACATGGCTGCCTTCCCCGGCTGTCTCTCAGAATGATTTTCGACGCACTGGGAGTCTTTGGGTGATTTGAATCTTGTCAGCGTATCTTCGCGGGGTAAACCTTCTTCCTGATCGAGAGCCCGGACGGACAAGATCCCTGGTAAGCCGACGGCCGCACCCGCCGCCGCGCTCACTGAAACCCTGTTGAGGGTTCGCACATCCTTTCCGGATCTCCATCTCGTGAGGGTATGTACATCAGGTGAAAACACACCCCGAAAGAAGCTTGCAATGTCTGCGTAGCCCCAACTTTCACTGTTTTGAACCTCCAAAGGAAGTGGCCCATCCTTCTGTTCAGAGTCACATGTGCCGCGCACTCCTGGGACCCTGCTGTCATTTGTGGGAGGGCCAAGGGGATTGGTTTGTAGCATAGCATTTATGGTGCGGAATCGTCGATGTCGTTTCCTGCTGGGTTCAATCCCTCTGACTTTGTGTTGATAGAGAATCCAGATTTTAGGCAGGAAGAGAAACACGAGAATAGCGCTCGGGCATATGATGATCGCTACTACCAAAGATACCCAGGACATGACAGGGTCTGCAGCCAGACTTACAATGGGAAGCAGAACGCAGAGGATCAGCGCAATTGTGTAAATCTGAAAGGGTTGTTAAGGCGCATAGTCGGGGAGTAATGCGAAGATCAACAACTCACCGACAGCCCAATGCTCGCACTATCCCTGAACTTCTTGGCCACCTCCTTCGTTCGCAACGCAAACACCACACCAGCAAATATAATAACAGAATCGTATGCGAAAAGGACAGCCTTGAATGTAGTCCCTTGGGACTGGCAGTATCTGGTAGCTCGAGGAAAATCAATAAATTGCCGCGGTTGATCGAAACCTGTCCATAGACCCAAAATAAGAATTTGAATGCCAATGAGGAGGCCAGCCGGACGGAGAAGTTGAGAGTCGGTTATCGGGGAGTTGGGTACTAGCCCCGCTTCGGAACGCTGGAAAAGCTAGATACGCCGGCGACGATGAGACCTTTCCAGTCAAAGCTCCCATGTAGATAATAAATGACACTCACCATCCACGTCCGACCGGTCTTTGCAACCAAGTTTCCAAACACCTGGTCAATGACACCAGCATTTGAGCAAATGAAGGCGGAATCTCTCTCGTTGTAAACTCACCATGATGAACGCCATCCCAACCATCCAAATCTGTCCGATACAACGCCCTGCGTGCTCTGGATCCCCAATAAAAGTAGGAACCGATGCGTACCCTTTTTCCAAACACATCAGCACACGTGAAAGTCAGACCACAACTTGGACGACCTACCTATCGCCACCCCCGCCAATATAAGCTCAGAAAACATCCACGAACTAGCCCTAATATAGTTTTCGCTTCTGTAAACAAAGTACAAGATTGCGGTTGCAATGGTGATGAGGAGTAGTGCCCCGGTCGTGGCGATGATCGTCCATGCGCCTGCGGTTCCGTATCCTATAAAGGCTATCATACCACAAGGTCAAATCCGGATCAAAGTTGACAGTTCAATGTGGAATACGTACACACGTGTCGGTCGTACGGCTTTTTGGTGGAGTTTCCGGCATACACGATCTGGTCCTCGTATATCACGGTTTGTCCATTATTCCAGTACCCGACCAAGGTATTAAAATGTCCCCCTCGGAGTTGATACCAGCTGTAATATCTATTTGCAAAAACATTAGGACATATCAAATCATAAAAACAACAAGTCATTATACGAACTGCGCGATTCGGTCCCCGGTAATGGGATTAAAGTTCATCACGCTCGTCACACTGGTTTGGTTTATTAGAAATGTTGGAGTGCAGTCCACTGCTGCATCATTATTTGTATCGCAGCGGAAAGTATAGTTTTGGACGAGCTGATTGGATGCGATGGAGGACCAGTTGAATTGTTCGGGATTGTCATCAATGAGCTTGATTGTTCACAAAGGATAGCGTTAGCTTCGAGAATGTGCGCATGAGCAAGGTTAAGCAGTTTACCTTTTTCCAGCCATGGATCAGGAGATCTGCGCAGTCCAGGTAAAACCTAATTGGAAATCAGTTTTTGCAACCTTGTCAGGAAATAGCCAACAAGACGAGGTGTCAACTCACCCTGCCCCATCGACGACAGGGCGTGCTGAAGCCGGATACAAGACCTTATCGGCTTGTGCCCACTCGTTCTCCAACTTGGTCTGAAGAGCCTTATCCGGGTACTCTGTCGGAAACGGCAAGAAAGTCCCATCCCGTAGTCGTACGAGCTCCGTATCAAGGTCCGACCAAGTTATCTCCATTACTGCCCCCGCTCCAATCCAAACATAATCCTTTGAGAAAATCCCCTGCCGCATCGCTTCGTCCGTTGCAGTCATAAAGTCCTTCCCACCTCCGACATACACGAATATCGTCGCACCAGATGACTTGAGCACTGATATAGTTTGCACCCACTCCGTTTCACAGTCATCTGGGTCAAACAATACGAGAGAAAGGACCTTGATCCCATACAGGGTACATTGTGCAAGGAGTTCTTCAGAAACCGATGTGCCGTATTCCTGTGTGGAAGCCAAGATGGTAACTTGGCGCCATCCTTGGGCAAAAATAAATTGAGCAATAGTGATAGCGTCATATTCGTCTGATGGGGTGGTACGAAAGAAGGTTGGGTAGGTAGCTTTGTTGCCGAGAGACATAGCTGTACTGACGCCATCGCAGTGCGGGATTCTATGATGGGAAATATCAAGTTTGTTAGATAACTTTGCATGCACATCACTACAGAAGATTATTTTACCTTTTGCCAGCAGCCACCAGTGCAAGGAGGGATGTCAACGGCGAAGAGGCCATACCTGCATTGTGAAATCCGCCAGTCAGAACTTGGTAAAAACTATCAATTCAAATATCAACCGCCCCGCGAATCACTCACCTATCAATGCATTCACCGCTTTTTCATAAACCATCTCGTAGGCCAGCTCGAGGGCAGCACTCTGCGTACCCACTTGGTTTACCGCTGCCACAAGCTCAAATGTTGCATTTCTGGCAAAGCTGTTATTGGTATACTGATCCAGGCGCCAGTGAATGGTGTCTTTAATCGTAATTCCCCAACCATCGCTGTCGACAGGAAGGATGACCCCAATTTTTATGGTTGGAGGGCTTTGGGCTCTTATGAGGTGATTTGCGTGGAATAATAAAAAGACGAGGGCTTGAGGCAGATACATATTTCTCCAAAAACCTAGACAGTATAAAGAAAGAAAATAAAGAATGTTATCCCTTGACAAGAAGTAATAGCATTACGGCAGTCACAACGGACAAGAAGTCCAAGCTAATTAAAAAGAAGAGCCAAGATTTTTAGCAAACACGATCGGAAATCGACCTGTTCCGCCATAAACATAACGCAACGCAGCATGCAATGTAACCAGCTTTTCACATGTAAAAAACTCCAGAATAAGGGATAAGCTCCGTATATTTACCCTATTGATGCCTTATGTTGTCCTACTTGGATAGTTTGGTACCTCAATGTTAGAGGGATATTTAATTATCGCCCTTGCCGGTACCCTCGGCGCATCCCTTAATAGCTAGTTAAGGGTATCTCAATATAAATAGACATGGTCAGCAAATTCGTAGGTAACGTTCACATGCAAATTTACGAAAGAACAGAGCTTGCACAGCAATAGGGAAAACTTCCGGACATTTTACAATTCCTCTGTTAAATTCCATCCTGCGGTAATGCACCGGAAAATAATCCCGTTCTAGAGGCGATTAGCCTCCCAACGCCATCATAGCCTTTCACGGCCACCCCAACACGACAAGTCTCGAAATGCACAGACCGATACATGTTCACAAAGGCGCATCCAATCCACTTATTGTCTACATATACTTCCCAGCGGTCTACGGAGGCATCAGGCATCCATATGGAAGTTATAAACGTACCGTCCGCTGTCGGGGTTGGTGACTCAAAAGTAATTTCGGGAGCTCCCTCAAGATCCGGGATGGGACAAGGTGTATATATCCGCATGGATCCTAAATGGAATTCGGCAGACAAGGTGGAAGTGCCGAGTTTGGTGGCGGGTTTGAATGACCAATCACATGAAAATGACGAGGATGAAAACACAGTGCTTGCATAAGATGGACTGCTCGGACACGCTAGAACAACAATTCCCATTTCCACGATCCATTTTGAAGATCCAAAAAGGTGACAATCGACTCTGATAGTTCGCCAACCCTCCTCGTCGTCACTCATCATGACTTTTACGTGCCCATCATCTGTACGTATCCATATTCCCATACCGGGTCCTAGGCAGACAGCTTCAATTCTCATGTCACGACGCACCTCAATGCCAAGTTTATACAGCCGGAACATCCATGCGGGGATGCAGTCATCGTCAGTCTGACTATTGGCATCCCCCAATATTTGCATACAGACGGATGAGCCGCCAGTATAAGCTAAATCGCCAAAAACATCCCACGTAGCGCTCGTCGCAGGATTTAGGTGCTGACCAATAGTGCGAGATCGTAAGTTCAGGGCAATGGGGTACACCGAGTTCGCTCGGTAGCTAGGCGGGATCGTCTGTCGAGAATGGTTGATCCAAGATGCAGTGGAGACTAGCTAAACTACATGTTAGGCTTTAAACCATGCACAGAGCAGGCGCCAAAGGAGCTACGTTACCAATCCGTCAACCCAATACTTGGATCCATATCCTCTATCAAAATCGGTGTAGAACCAATCTTGACCAGGACACGATACTTTGCGGATGTAATCCGCAACACAGCCCATGTCTAAACAAATTGAAATGGGCGTACCAGTTCAGAAATCCCATCTTTGGCGAACCACCCGCAGCAAGAACCGAAAATTTTACCATTCTCATCCACATATCCCTCAGGCAAATCTGGAACCACCACTGAAGAATCACACCAGAATTTTCTCTCTCTCTCCTCCCACCCTACCCTGTCGAACCCTTCCCAACACCATCCCGGAGCAAAAATCGCACACGATGTCTCTGCACGGCAAATCACCCTTAATGCTTTATGGACATTAAATCTACCCCCTCCAAACGTGTTGCGGCCCCATACATCGATGCCAGTGTAAACGGCCCGTTTTCGGTTGCCGGCCACGAGTGCACTGGAGTCGGGATAGGTTGGCTTCCATGTGTAGTTTGTAAATATTCCATCCGTCACATTAAAGAAGGGCTGCAAAATAACTTAGGAACAGAGATCATTTTGAACTGTTCCACCCTCCTTACTTTGTTGAGGTCTGTCACACGATCCTGCCAGTCAATTTTACCTTCTGTTGTCAGGGAGTCGTACCTTTGCAATTGTTACCAAATTGTTACCTCAAATGACTTCAGCATAATCATCAAACAAGTGTGGACGTACCAGATCACCAAAGAACCAGGTAAAACCTCAGGCATCTTCCTGGTGATATATTCTAAAAACTCGATCATGACATGCGCATCGTCAGGTTTATCCATCGGTGATTCAATATTGAAAAACCATCCGTCAAATCCGTAGTACTTGGCAACTTGAACTTTTGTATCCTTAAATATGAGAGCGATAGCAACACTGCTGGAGACTGCTTCTCACCAAGCTTATCTGCAAAATATGGATTAAAAGTCCCTTCTGATCCTTTCTCCCAGTCTGGACCAAATACGAGTCGATAATTTTCTTGGACTCCTTCGTCCCATTCCGTGATGAATGTGCCCTGTTCCACGAAACCATAAATCGAACGGAACCAGCTGATAAGCATCCAAAAGCTTTGTACCAGAACTTGGATCCCATTCCGATGCGCTGCATTAGTCCATCCCGGCGGTGGTATCGTTACTCTCCAATGACTAAAATCTTGGACTTTATCAGTCTTCAAACACACCATCTGATAACACGGTCATCAAACACCCACATATAAATATGTCAACAAACTGCCAGTATTGAATGGTATAAGCACCATCGCCCTCTTTCCCCTGCACATAACAATCATCCTTGTATCCTATCTCAACGAAACTTCACATTTCAGGTACAGTTTGCCAACGTGGTGAGGCAATCATTGAGCCTTTTTTTCACACACCTCCACCCATGTCGTGACATACAATGACCCTTTCTAGCCGTTCATCACTTTTACACGGACGAGGGCGCAACTTGATAGTAGCCACATTGAAATCGTCTGTTCCTGGCGACCACTCTGCCAGTGCGGCCAGTGACGTAAACGGACGTGTGATGGGGAGATGGGAGTCTGCGCACTGGGAGAAGGACATTGGGCTGTGATGCGTTAGCACAGTTTTCTGGGGCGCCACGATCGGAGATGACAATGGCTGGGCAGCAGGAAGGCAAGGCTGAGGATTACGCAAGGCCCGATAATCACGTGCGTAGGAAGGAGGAATTTGACATTTGACATTTGGGATCGCATGCCGACGGATAGAAGGGAAAGTCGGATTCAGATACCGATTCAAGAATGCAAGAATTCATCAACAAATTGAAGGTGCTATTGCAAGCAAAACTAAAATTGAGCTTATAAAAGTCGAGAAATTGAGAATTATCGTTTGTAAATGGATATCTGCGGCCTTCCTCTGCCTTGTAACCTCATTTAATATGCCACATCTTTATCCAATCCTGTCAATTGCTGTCGTTGCTAAATCTTGTTAGTATCATGCAGAGGAGAATGCTTGTTTTGTGTGATATCCTATTTGCGCGCACAATTGGCCAATGGTAACGCGAATGCTTTTAATGTGAGCATCGATGGACGCCCATTCCAAGCAAGTTATGCCTGTAATAGCTGAGTCGTGTGCGTTCTGAGAATGGGAAGGGAGACTTTGTCCTGTTGGGATGCCCTGGAGGGTCCCCCAATCAATGTGGTAAATGTATGCAACCAAGATCCAGATAAACACATTCGTTGTCTCCGTGCATTACATATGATACAAAAAGCTTTCCTTCCGCTTCCGGCCAATATCTGAAATTTCAGAGTCCATGCAAGTCCCTAGTAGAACGATCTATTCCAGCGCGACCCAGCGTTACAATCTCTCCAATGGCAGGTGCACGACTTTTACCCAACAGCGCCGTAGTAAGCATCGGTCTCACTTTGCTTTGGGATTGCTAAAAAAAGCTGCATGGCAGTGCATGAAATTGACAGCTCCGGTCACGACCTGCAGCCAAAGGCGGTGACGGCAACAGCTGCGCAAAACTCCAGGTCACTGACGGTCGATTACATAATCCAAGAACCCAGCCGTGATTCCCTACGGACTCATCCCGCCCAAGCAAGATGGTAGAGTTTTCCTGGCGAAATAACGAAAATGTCCATCGGAATGATGGAAAATGAAATCGGTGAGCTAAAGCACAAATTGTAAATCATCTGAACAGTTTCCCCTGTTGGCCAGTGCAGCAGCAGCAACACTGCAAGCACGATTGAATCGCCGGTTGCAGCGACCCAAAGTCACCCCACAACAAAAGCCCTTTTTGCTCCTTCTTCCAATGACTCACCCACGAGGCTTTATGCCAGCGCATCCAAGAAGCCCCGTTGTCCATTCCTTCATTCCAAAGCCCTACCGCACTCGTAGTCCCTTGCGGTAAAAGGGCAGCGAACCGTGTCGTTTTTTTGCTCTTCACATGGTTGGGACAAGTCGAGCGACATGAGTTTGTCATCGACCGCCAGAAATACCTTTCGTCGGTTTTTTTTTTTTTTTTTTTGGCTGAACTCTCGGCGTATGAGGAGGGTGTGAGGTTTGACAGGCTTCTTCTTTGTAATCGTCAGCCTCTACTCCGGGGTATTCCAGCGCACGAGTATAAAGATAACTGCACACGCATGGTTAGCTCTTTTGTGTTCGCTTTCTTTTTTATGCCTGAAAATCGTCAAGACAACTTTCATTAAAACAAACGCACAGTATATTCCATGGCGTACTTTTCAGCATATCCGACAGCCACCTACCCCCTGCTAGACCTTTATCCGCAGGAAATGACTGTCATGGACGGCTATCTCGATCCGGCTACCATGCTTCTCCTAGCCCCTTCACCCCTTCCCACCTCTCTTCAGTCCCCACCCTATATGGACAATCGTTTAATGTTGACAGGCTACGAAGCGTTTTCGAGTCCACCATGCCAAGAGTATTCATTTTTTGATGAGGTACCTGTACCGGAAATTGTGGTAGACGGTATGCCACCAACCCCTCAAAGCGCCTTTCTAACGGAGGATGAGACGGACATGTCGAACTTTTCGGTCGAGTTTCCTTCTTCGAGTCCTCTTGGCGCACCGGTGGAATTTCCGCTCACTCCGCAAAGTCTCACAGCGACAGAAGATCCTCTCATGACCAGTCCGTCAATGAGCGATCTGGACTTGTTCATGCTGAACACCTTGGTCCAACCTGTATTAAAGAAACCCATGGAACGAGAAGATCAAAAGCAACACGAACGCTCAGCGACAAACGTCAGCATCATGTCACCCATACAAAAACAGACACCCACATCCACATCACGCACTGAACAACCTTCAAATCTCCCCCTACGGCGGCACCCCTGCTCAGCATGCCCGAAAAGCTTTACACGCCGCTACAACCTCCTCGCGCACATCCGCGGAGCCCACTCTCATACTCGCCCCTTCAAATGTCCACAGTGCCCTTTGGCATTTGCTCGTAAGCACGATTTTCTACGTCACAAAGTATCCTTGCACACGGTGGGACGCAAGCCTTTTGAATGTCCGCATTGTGACTTGACATTTGCGAGGAGCGATGCGTTGAAAAGGCATGTGGCAGTTGAGAAAAGAAAAAGGGCAGCGAAAAAGTGAGGATGATGGGGGGAGGTACAAATGGTGGTGGCATACAAAAAAAACCCAAACGATTCTGTAGATATTTTCTTTCATTCTTCATATAGGTTGGTTTGTACATAGCAGGATACCCATTTTCAACTTGTAAAATTCCATAGGCGTTTTTGGCACCTTGTATATCTCAAAGGGTGGATGGACGTACCCAACACTCACGCACAACTAGTATATTGAAAATATGCGAGAAGTTTCAAGAGATGCTATTCTCTAATAAATGCAGAAAAGTGAAAAAAAAAAACGTGCCTACTCTACAAAGAAAAACGAATCATAGCTGGAAGAAATCCCAGCAACCAAAAGAAAAATGCACCATTTGTCGAAAAAGCAAAATTCACTGCCTTGACAAGACAATAAAGGAGGGGGGTATCTACATATCTCAACCACAACTGCCCACATTGCGGTCACCTCTTTTAAACAGTCACCTCATCGACCACTGTCCCATTCGATATATCACCTTCCTTCCCTACATCTCCCAACAAGGACATCAACTGCTGCAATCCCGTCCCACTTTTAAATTCCACCATACAAGCCGTCCACCGCTCCGTGTTTTGGTAGAGCATAATACGAGATTTGACTTTACTACCAGTTTCCCCGGCCGAGAATCTCTTGACGGGATTGGGTACGACAGCAGGCCGGATTTGAAGGACTTCATACCGGACGTCACTCATTTTAAATGAGAGGAGGACATTGTCGTTGGCAAGAAAGAGGAGGAGGTCGACGTGGGGAATAATACAGAGGAGAGACGGCACCCATGTTGCATCCACATTGTCTTTTCGAACTGTTACGTCCATGCAGATGGGTGTCGAAGACCCAGGCTGCACAGAGGACCCGGCCCCGTAAGTGCTTGGAGCACTTGACACCATCACATCTCGCGCACTACTCCCCCGCGGCTCTAGTGAATACTTGTCTACATTCAAATCATCGCCATTAAACGTCTCAATGAGCCTCGGAACAAATAACAGTAATGCGACACCAGTCGAGGAACAAAAGATGATGATGCAAGTTACCAACTTGCGAATTCCTATGGTCGTTTCCTCTTTGGCGGGAATGGCGTACAAGACCGGTAGACCAAAAATCATCAAAACGCCCACAATGTAGATGCAAAATCCCATTGTCTTGCTCTCCCGGAATCGTTTGTAGGCTCGACGGGTGTGGAAAGCCATCAAAAGACAGGCAATCAAGAGTCCAGCGTTAAAGACGTAGAGAACGGATGTCAACAAGGTGTCTAGGGCTTTTTTGCTAGGTTCCACCGTGCATTCCGCATGGACTTTGCCGGTTGCAGAGTCATCGAGATGAGTTTCGACGTAAGGGGAGGTGACTATAACCCAAGCACCCGCGAGGAGGAATTCGACGAGGACAATGAGCAGTGTGCCGATCATTAGGTGAGAGTTCCGCGCAAATGACACACGGGATTTGCGATCCCCGAGTCCGATACTCAAGCGAAAGTAGTTGCGTTGGTGTTCAAATATGAGGTAAATACGCCAGAGCTTCATGAGCATCATTCTATTAGAGACGAAGCGTCAATAAAGTAGCGAGGTCTGAATAACTCCGCACAAGCCTTCACTTACCCGAAACCCATTCCAAAAGCAACTGGGGGAAAAAATACCCGCAGGCGACACATTGCATACGTGGGGATCCCTGCATAGGGCAGGATTCCGCACAGTCCTACCATACATCCTGCCAGTAACACCCAACAACACGCCGGTGAAATGGCTTTGATTTGTGGTCGATGTCTGCACCAAAATACCACGGCCCAAATTCCTCCAACGATAGCCCATCCAATCAACATTAGTACCAGGGACGTAATTCCAAATGCATCGTCTCGGGCTACGCGATAGACACGCACGGATTCGGAGCAATCGCTCTTATCAACATTGATGTGGCCCGATGTACAGATGCATTGCGCTTTAGCATCTTGGAAAGGGAGGTCCAGGAAGCAGGCGCCGTTGACGCAGCCTTTGGGATGTCCCGGCGGAAAGTCGCAAAGAGATTGCCCGTACAGGCTTTGGTTTCCATTTGTGATAGACTGTAGTTGGGTAAGAGAGTATTGGGATAAAGCGGGACTCAGCGGAGCAAATTGGTTTGCTATGGCAGTGGACTATAGAGTGGTTGCGTTTGGATCAGCACGATGCTGGCACGATACTACATTGCAAATATGTTTGCAGTACATACCCCTCCGTTCGTCAACGTCCAATACAAGTACCTCAGCGTCCACCGCGCTGTCGCAGTATCATTTGCGATGAACTTGTTTCTCAAGACAATGTATGTAAACACTGTCATAGGATATGCACCAGGGCTGGCCGAATCGATCACATTCTTATTCAGCTCGCTGGGATCGAGGGAGCGTTCGATGGACATGGCCGCCTATAAAAGGAAAGCCGCCAACCCAAGCATTCTGTCAATGTTGTGAATTATCCCGATCAATGACTACCTTTCACCTTACCTGCAGCGAAGTGGTACTCGGCAATACTGTATCACCATTCTTATTGATCACATTAGCTACACCTACTTGACCCCCGTTGTTCGCCGAAGTAGTCACTTCTGTTAAATCCATGTACGATACCGCATAAGGAAGAGAGGAAACAAGGATTCCGACGGCACCATTGGTGCTGGCGACCAGCGCACCGGTAATATTGCTCAAGGTGCTCCAATCAAGATTGGCTAACAATAACGTATTCTGATGAGCCACAATGCAAGAAATGGAATGCAACATGAACGAGGAAAAAATTACCACTGATCGGTCCAGGAAAACTCGAATCAAACGAATGCAAAGCAGCCACGAAATTGCCTGTGGTGCCGGATCCCGGTTTTCGCACCACGAGTTGAATCCGCGGTGGTGGTGTTTTTCCCGCCAACGCAGGGCCCAAACCGGGGTTCCTGGCTTGCAAGCTCGCATCCGCCCAGGTTGTTACCCGTCCGCTAAATATATCCGCAATGTTCTGTCGGGTAAGCGTAAGCGGGGCTGCTAGGCCGGGGATATTGTATGCGATGGCGATGGCGCCAGCAACGGAGGGAAAGTAGACAATGGACGGATCCGACGATTCTGGTGGGATGTCGGAGCCGGCAAAGTTGATGGATCCGGAAGTAAGGAGCTTGACGCCATTGGTGCTGCTGGAGGGTGTGTAGTGTATGCCAGAGAGGTAGGTTGCTAAAGGGGCAAGAAGTATCGAGTCGATTGAGCCATCCACAAAGACCTGGATCCATGTCGACAAGGATGGTGTGCTTACCATACTTGTTGGTGAATTCGTCCATCCATTTCTGATATAATGTAGCTGGAAACGATGCACCACCACCTTCAATGACGACTGTAGGAGATCTTTGCTCAGTGTTCCATCACACAGCCGTGGCCCAACCGAAGTGACACTCACCACCTCCTTCCACAGAACACAGCAGCAAACACAGAACCACCAACAAACTCCACATGGGTAACAAACTATATCGCTAAATATATACGTTCGTTTACAAGAGCGAAAGGGGCAGATGGCCTTGCATCACCTTTATGTCACTCTCTTTACTGATATCGTATGAGGCGAACTTCCATGGTCGAAAACACAAAACTCTAAAACAAAAGTGCGTGTGTTTGTGTTGCTGGCTGGTCGTTTCTAAAAGAAAAACAAGAAGCTGCAACGTGCGTTCTGCATGCACGAGAGCAGAGAGCGATAGACAAATGATCTTCTAGTTTTTGGGGGAGACTTTTGAAATTTGACACAAGGAAAAAAGACGCTTCAACACTTGTGGTGTTCAGTTTTCCATTTCCTTTTCTTGTCTTTTGCTATGCACGGGGGGGGGGGGGGGGGAGACAAACCGCACACATCTAACTAGTTACGCGCAGTCTGCCTGGGTTTTAGCAATAGCTCTTGTTAGATGAAACCCCATTTACATCCGACGGCCGATGCAAACGCCAATGCAACAACCATTCTTACAAAACCATGCATCAGCATATCCAAAACCCTTGTTATCATCTGTTCATCGTTTACAAAAAAAAACAAGCCCGAATGCAGTTTGTGTCAAATGGCAAGCCTCCAATAGATGACAATTTCCTAAAGGCTCACTTTGCACGTGGCGATCAGCTTATGTAAGCGATCGGAGGGGTCAGCCAGCACGTTGAAAGACCCATTTTTGGCCTTTAGTGACCTCCCGTTGCGGGTATTTCGGCCATTTCCCTTCCGTTTTGAACTATTGCAAAGAAAGCGTTTTTACCACGGCAGGCGACAATGTTTGAGTCGTTACCCACTAGCACATGTCCTTGCCCTTCATCGTCTGTGGTCTTGGCCTCGGCACATGGTTGGAGGGTTCTCCATGATCTTTAAAGGCAATAGGGGAGTTGAAGGGGGGAACTCGAGTGCCGCGTATGTGTAAGCAAGTCCTATTTAGTTTCTAGTTTTGGGAGAGATCACCAATGGGCGGGACAAAACAAAAGCTTAAAGACAAACATGTCCCTATCCCAAAAGCCACGACATGTGAGAAGGGTCTAGCAAAATCAAAAAAAGATTCATCATTAAAGGAGAAATCTCTAGAGTGATTGGACTTTTTTTGCAGATTCCACATGCTTTCCATGGAGCAGTTCAAAGCATGATCGCAAAAGAAGCATGACCCAGAGGCAACAAGTGCCTTGTACAATGGTTATTGTGCCGACAAGGAAAACAACAATTCAAACATGATTGAGTTTCTTTGTCGTACTCTTTTGGTGCCATGTCCCAGATTATTTTTTTTTTCTTGGCACGCTCCTGTCGTGTGTGTGTCCATCGAGCTGGTGGAGAGAGGGAGAGGTAGCATGTGCTATTCTTTGCCACCGAACGGTCAAACCTCATTATCCACTGTCGGGGATAAAGGCCCATCGATAGTCGTTTCCCTCGCAGAATGCATGCAGATGGGAATGCACCAAGGACGGACATGTCACCATATCGGGGTCGCTTGTCTCATGACAGGAACTTGGCCATGTTGATTGTTTTGGTTGTGACATGGATGTTGGGTAGGTGGCGAGGATGGACTCTACGTGCAAGAGTACAGCAAACGAGAGACAAGAGTGCAACCGTTCCCTCAAGTGTCATCCTCTCAGCTTGCGAGTATACAATATCCACGTGGCTAAGCTTACATGGGCATCTCACAAAGAGCATGACGCAAATGATGGCTTCTCCGGTTCTTAAAACTCGTGAAAGACCAAGGGTGTCGATGGTCCCGCTTACTCAGGATCTTAAAGAGTGATACTGCGTTGGACGCACTTTCCTATCACGGTTTGTAGTCCCAAAAAAGCCAGGTCCGCATCTTCCGCCCTGAAGCTGCTCTGTACATCAGGAGCGGTGATATGGCTGTCGCAAGGGGGTGGTAGAGAAACAAATGAATATGCCTGACTGTGGCTACTGAGGTTCCCTAAACGGGAAAGCAGACAAGGGCTCCAATTTGAAACTGCTGTATGGATATATTCTACATGACGCAAACACAAATACCGTCCTCAAATCTACCCCAATATCCCACCAACCTTTTAAAATACAAGAAACGAACTACACAAATGTCAACAAGTCTAAACCCTACTTTCCTGACCAAGCTGCGCGAGAATCAAACGATCGTCTATGGAACAAGCTCCGAAGCCCCTTGGGTTGCTTGCTCTTTGCTGGATCCTCAGCAGCAGGAGCAGCCCGGTCATTTGTAACAACAAAACTAAATCCAGAGGAAGAATGGACCGTGGATTGATTCTCGCTCTCGTAACCTTCTTCTCTTTGCAATGACGGCATGTTTTCGCGCATGTAGGCTTCGAGTTCTAGGACGCGGCGGACAAGCCTCTTTTGTTCTACATCCATTATGGTGAGTTTGTCGATTAGGACTTGTTGATTTTGTTGAAGAGTATTGAGAAGGGTTGTCTGAAGTGCCGCCATGGATGTCGCTAAATCAGTTGGCGTCACGTGCGGCGTGGGAGCTATCTCAGGAGGGGTAGAAGGAACCGTTGCCGCACGACGTGTGGCAAAAGAGCTTGTGTCGAGGCGCTTTATGGTGCCGATGGACTTGATGCTCAAAGTTGGTTTCAGTTCACTGGCACTGTTCCGTCGGCGAGTGGTAGATCCCTTGCGAACAGTCTCATTTTCGGCCACTTTGGAAACTCTTTCCAATGATTCGTCGTCTCTGCGAACCGTGCGTCCTCGGTCCAAAGACAAGGCTCGCGTGAGTGAATGTCCACCGAGGACCTTTCGCACACTGTCTTGCGGGACAGACAAGATGGTGACAGGACACTCCAACTTTATACTTGGAGCGTCATCAAACTCTATAACAATTCTGATTTGGTGTCGAACCGTGCCATGTAGACCTCCTTGTGCGTACTCTGATTCGATCGTAGAGGGATTCGGTCGAGGTTGAGACGGCACGGTCATTCGGTGCCATTGGTTGTCAAAGAAATCCTCAAGAGCATTCCAGCAAGAGGATTTCCAATCCCAAGAGATAAGTTTTCTGAAAATACGCCGAATGAGCTTTGGTCAACCAATATGAACAAAGCGTAGTTATCGAGACTGCACTCACCTCTTGGTCGCCCCTGTGGACAGCTGGGAAGCATTGGACGACGGGATTTTGGCAACGTCGCATATCTCAATCAATTTAAATTTAATGTTTTCGCATACATGACCCCTCGGAACAACTCTGAAAGCAAAATCAAAACTATCGCCCGGTCCCAAGACGGTCGACGACACGGCCACATCATACTGCACCAAAGACGTAATATCCTCCCATCTGAACCCCGCAGGAGAAAGAATACTCTTGACAAGTTGCTCATCCCGATCTGGATCGGGATAAACAGTAAACGGCTCAATGGGAACCATGGCCTCCTTTCGTGCCCTTCCCATAATACCGTGCCAGCACAGAGTCGCGACCAAACGGTACTTGACTCTATACATGGTTCGATTATACCCCATAGATGAGCTAACCACTTTTCGAGAGGGTGGTAGGAGAGGTTCAGACGGGAGGTCTAGAGACCACTCTAGAATATGTGTGCCCTGTTCCAGTTTCCCGTCGTGGTCCTCCGGAAGGATAGAACTGTGGAGCTCCAAAAGATCATGCTCTTCCCATGACGATACAGATGCATGAAAAGCAATCGTTGCTGAATACAGAGAGAGTGGAGTTCTGTTTGGCTGTGATATACGGATAGTTCCTCTGAGTGTGGTTGCCTCAATGCCATAGTGCCCTTCCACAAAGCTCTCTTGCCCTTCAAGAGGGATCTACAATGTACATGTATCCAGTGAGCAAGCATGTCACTAGACTCTCAATCATGTCATGTCTTACCAGTGTAATCGCCGGCTCCTTCATTGTCGTCTGCAAACGATGGGGCCGTAAAAGGATCTTTTATTAGCCAGGGATAAAGACGCCAAGAAGGGAAGACGTTAAGGTTGATGATGACACATCCATGATCATGTGACTCAGCCTTAAGGGTTGAAACGACTGGCATTTGTTATTTTCCATCGTTTTGTTGCTACATACGCATTTTAGAATCGATGGGCTGTTTTGCTATTTAGGCATGACCTCTGGATTTGATGGATTTGAATGTATGTCATGTCCCAAAATGAGCAACGATAATGCAAGTTGCTATTTTGGCATAGGTTGGGCTACATTTCTGCAATGTCGAGGGATTACTCTGTCTCTGTTAAACCATTTCCAGTTGTTGGAACCAACTCAAGCAAGTGCAATGCACTCTGTCCTTGTCTATAAGAGTCAGAGACTGCAGGGAAAGCCTGGGCCGATACTAGATAGGGCCACTGTAGATACCGCAGACAAGTCTCGTCATTAAGTACAGTTGCTCAATGTCGACAACGTTTGCAATGATATCGTTCATGATCTGAATGGTGCAGAAAGCAATACGTGTACTTCTTGAAGCACTTGTGGAGCTCACAATGAGTGTATTCTGATACTCGATGCAACCCCCGCGCATGTCAAAATCATACAAGCTACAATTTGGTAACCTAAAGTCGTTCTCGGTGGTCCTTGTGCAAATTCGGATAACGATTTACAGATATCAACGAATGGCTATCACGTGGATATGGGGATATTTTCGACCAGTCCTACAAGTTTGTGAGCCTGCGCATTTGAGGGTTTGCTCCGAGATTTTTCGTTTAAGGTTGCGGATATTGTGCGGGGGTGAGCGACATTTGGAAGCCTTATTACAAAGATAACTCAAATAGAATATGCCCATATGAGAGGTTGTGACAAATCTCCTTACAAACGATCCAGCACCAAAAATCAACGTATGAAACGCTGATATCGACCAGGTGATGAACTATTTGTAGACGCTTTGTAGACGAAAATGTAGCCATCTATTCTTGGGGATTTCTGTCTCAAATGGTGCTTTATTGGTTCCGGGACCTCCTCCGTGGGTCATGTACGTACCACTCTAAAAAGTACCGCCGAGATAACAAAATGGCATTCTACATTGCAGAATTTCATACGAGGACTATGGCACCCATATCTTCTCTTCGCTCTATTTTTTGAACTGGCATGCAAAATGATGTTGCCGTAAAAGATGTCGTAAAGAGTCCACACCAGAGAGATCCCTTTCGAACTCTTCTGAATCTGTCTTCAAAACCATTCAAAAAAAGATAAACATCTTGCAGACATTCTTTATTCGAAGAGTTCCATCACCAAAATGCTCACCTTCCATATGAAAAATGTCTTTCAAACTCAGTTTCGGACCAAACTTACGGGGGGAAAACCGAACGCGTAGCTAAGTCCCTGCGCCACATCGCCTAATGACTCCCCGTATGATGCCTCCAAAGGTCACCTACCAGGTCTCAACGATAAGGCCTCCATTCGTGTGGGGAATTATGCATATAGACCAGCCCAACTTTTCTTTCCCTCCGCTGGCTGAATTGTTCCCAGGCGATGATTGTCTAGAATATATTTCGTTTTCTTTGGTTTTACTGGGAGAACTCTGAACGATTTGGTTTTTTTTTTTGAATTACTGCAACGATGACCAGCATGCGTGACTCAAAGGAATTTGAAAAAGACAAAACTCTCTTTCCTCCATCTTTGAGAGAGGATGTTTTGCCGGGCCTCGACAAGAAGGAAAAATACGACAAAGACTATGAAGACGATGTCTTTGTCGAAGAGGTGCGATAGTGTTTTCTCGGATTTGTTTTTACGGAAAGGTTTAGTTGTTAAATATTACTGTTTCAAACTCAGGATGATGTTGATAAAGCCATCAATGCCGTGGTGCCTACTACAGATGATCCGAGTGCACCTACTTTCAGGTATCGTTCTCACACATTTGTTTATTTCGAATTTCCGTATATTTATTCTGGACGGTTTGCTTTTCGCTTAGTTTTCGCGTAATGGTACTTGGTACGCTTTGGTGTGTCCTCCTTGGTGGGGCCAATTCTATTCTCGCCTTCCGTACCAATCCTTTTGGCGTCACATCCACTGTCGCAACCGTATGTATTTTCAACAAGATGATTTTGACAGTTGGGATGGCCTTATTCTGATTGAAACATTTTTTGCACAGTTGCTTTCCTTCCCGATGGGAAAATTCCTTGCCAGAGTACTCCCTGATAAATCCGTCACGGTCTACAAATGGACCTTCTCGCTCAATCCGGGTCCCTTCTCCCAAAAAGAGCACGTTCTGATCAGTATCATCGCTGGCGCCGGCGCCGCTGGGGCTTACGGCCTTGACAATGTTGTCACTCAAAAGGCAGAACTCTTCATGGGCAACCAGTCCATCAACATTTGGGAATCATTTGCTTGGATTCTTGCATCCCAGTTTATCGGGTTTGGCCTGGCAGGCATCATGCGCCGTTTCGTTGTCTGGCCCAAACAAATGATGTGGCCTTCTACGTTGTCGCTTATCGCGCTTTTTGTCAGTTTCCACGGGTCCGAAAAGGAAAAGAGGCTGTCAAAGAGCAGCAGGTGGAGAATGTCTCGGTTCACGTTTTTCCTCGTTGCCTTTGCGGGTGCCTTTGCATACACATGGCTACCCGAGTACCTTATGGTCGTTCTGCAAACCGTCAGTGTCCTCTGTCTCATCACCACCAACAAAAAGGCACGGTTTCTTGGATCCAGCGATAACGGCGGAGGTATCGGTATTGGTGCGCTCTCCTTTGACTGGACCTACATTGGCGGAGGTTTCCTTACAGCCCCTTTCTGGGCCACTCTCAATTATATTGGCTCCAACTGGTTGTGGACGTGGGTCTTAACTCCCATCGTCTTTTATTCAAATGCTTTTGGCATGGACCAGCAGCTGACGACAGGAGCGCGGGATCAGGACAATATGACCTTGCCTGTATTGAACTCTGTGTCGCTGTTCGATAATACCGGAAACATTGTGAGCCCGCTCAAGTTGTACAATAAGACAACGTTTGATTTGGATGAGACGGCATATCAGCAGTTGGGTCCTGTGCGGATCACCTCCCTATTTGCTCGTACGTATCGTCATCTTGTGTCCTTCTCCGGGATTTGGTTCACGTTTTGTAACCTATTTCATATTTTTGGCACGCAATAGTCAATTACGGCTCGTCTTTCATGGCGGTTGCTGCCACCGTTTCGCACGTTGTCCTCTGGTACGGTCGCGACATCTGGCGACAAATCAAAGAGATTATGAACAGATCGGGCCGCCAAGAGACCGATATTCACAACGAACTCATGAAAGCTTACCCCGAAGTACCGGAAATTGTTTACTTGGGTATTCTCGTCGTTATGACAATTGCAATGATCCTGGTTGCCCAGTTCTCAGCATTTGAAATGCCAATATGGGCTGTTCTCCTTGCGATTGGACTGGCGGGTATCATGATTCTACCTATTGGCGTAATTCTGGCAATTACGGGAACTCAAATGTTCTTGAACGTTTTGACTGAGTTTGTGATCGGGTTGATGATTCCAGGCAAGACTGGTACGTACTGATGCGGTCGTTTCATTTACTTACTTTTGACCTTGCCCTAAATCGTCTGTGCTCATCTGAACAGTCGCTGTCATGGCCTTCAAATCCCTCGGCACCAACACAGCCATCCAAGCCATGTCTCTTCTTGGCGACCTCAAACTCGGTCACTACATGAAAATCGCTCCCCGTGCCATGCTAGCCGCCCAGTTCTACGGCACATTTGTTGGCGCCATCGTTTCCACTATCGCAACCTTCTTTGTCATGTCCAGCATGGAAATTGGTAAAGGTGACTGGCAAGCCCTCTCCTACCGTACTTTCTACTCTGCAGGTGCCATTTGGGGTGCCATTGGTCCTCAACGTTTCTTTGGTATCGGCGCCATTTACGGTCCCCTCCTCTGGTGCTTCCTGATCGGTCTTCTCCTTCCCATCCTCCCGTGGCTTGGAAACAAGATACACCCTTCTCGCCGGTGGATGTATATCAACATTCCCCTCATTGCATACTTTTCTGGTGCAGGCGGTCTACAGAACCACTATATCATGCCGCTCATCGCCGCATTCATCTTCCAATATTACCTGTTCCGACACGCAAACGATTGGTGGAAAAAGTATAACTATGTATTGGCCGTTGCGCTGGACTCTGGCGCGGCAGTATGTATTCTCGTCATTACGGTTTTGACCAACATGCAGCTCAATGCTCCCGTTTGGGCCTGGAACCCTGACATTCGTGGAGGTGTGCAATTCGATTACTACTGCACAGATGGTTCTTTCACGTATGTTTTTGTTCTTCACTTTTGCTATTAGGTTTATTGTTTTGAAAGACAAAGAGCTCATTGTATACCTTGCGTTCACAGAGCACCACCCGCCGAAAAGTGAAGATATCCTGTCAACGCACGCCTGAAGCCTTCAGTCCTCCCGCCACTCTATCCCCCACCCCGCCCCCCCAATCCCTCATTCCTTCAATTGTACATATGTTCTTCCACTCTTTTGTTATTTGGTTTCGTCGCTCTTTTTTTCTGCTCGACGAGAAATATATACTGTTTTGCGGGTTTTAACCCTGAAGTGATAATGAACATTTTGATTTGGTTCTAAAAGTTTTTTGTATGCTGCACTCTGTAAAGGAGAGTGATATGAAAACCTATGATGTTGAGATCACATCTGCAAACCGCCATTTGTTATTCTTTGTCATACGATCATATTGTTGATCTTGCTTTAATGCCACAAAGGATCCATTTATTCCATGCTCACGTATTCAAGCATAAGCCTGCTTTGAACAATGAAGAGCACGAGGGCCCCCCCAAAGGCTAACCAGAGCAGTGCCCACCGCCCAACCAGGTACAAGTTTCAACGATCTTTTCTAAAAGTTTCCACTATGCTTTATCTATGCATACTGTCGCTTGGCTGGATATGCAAATCTTGTTGATTTTCTGTTTTTGTTCCACAATATTGGATCGGGGTCGGTCAGTGGGAGTTTTGAAGGGTTCACCCAAACTATACATTGACCAAAGATCTAGCCAAAGTAAGCAGCATGCATCAATCGTCTTTGTAAACATAACACCCAAGGACAAATAGCAATAATGAAATGTGGAGCGCAAACTTGCTATCTAGGACCATTCTCAAAAAATATTATCTGTATTTTCCGGGGTTGCAAGGAAAGCCATTACACATCATCACACTAATATCATTTTGAGGTATACGCAAAACTAGCTTATCCACTGACAATTTCCTCACCACGAACTTTCACAGCATCCTCAACAGCCCCAACAACCCCATAATCATCATCAACATGGAGATCCTCCTCCGAAGGCGGTCGTATCCAAACGACTTCCTGAGCGGCTTCAAGCTGCTTTTTATTCTCGGCGGTTGGGGTGACTGCTGGCGGGGTTTTGACCGTTTGTCCAAGTTTCGTGACTGCGTTTCCGACCGCTGCAGTGCTGGCTGCAATTCTGTCCCGCATGAAACCCAAGCCTTTCACAAGGGACGCGGATGTGGTTGTCTCAGCAGGCTTGTCTGGTTGTGGTGCGGTCGGAGGTCCGTTGGTTGCCTCGCTGGTGAGGATGCTTCCTTTGCGGACGCGGTTGAAAAAACCACTGAAGCCTTCCTTTAAGCTCCCCCCTACCGCGCCTATCGACGTTGCTGGCTGTACGGAAGGGGATCGTGTGGAAGGTGGGGACGCGGATTTATGGATCTGGGAGGGCGCCTGTGGAGCTTTTTTCATGGTTGTCGTGGCATGCTGATTTGGGCTTGGCTTGATGTTTGGCTTTACGGTACTAGGCGGAGATCCAACTATCGGTGTCCGACTGGAGGTATTAGCATTCTTTTGGGCAAACGGATTTCTCATGGGCTCTGGTTTGGTCATTAGGTTCATCCAAAGTACTTTGGGCGGTTTGGCACCAGGTCCAGCAGCCGACGCAATCCCCTTTTCCTGCTCCCGCTTGAACGCATCTGTCCGGTGTAGAATCTTAGTAAAGTGCGTTCCCGGGGGGTACTTTTGACCTCGAGGTTGCGCGGCTTCTTTCTGTTCTTCACGGAACGCGTATGCCTTTTGCAGGACGATATCAACGTCGGAAATTGGATAGTTCTTTGAATACATCATTAGTGTGACGCCAAGATGCTTGTAAATTAAACGTCATACCTGAAGCATTCGCACATTATCCGCAAACGATCCCTGAAGGAGCTCATCACGGATACATCTAATAGCAAAAGAAAGGACAGTAAGTATCCGACACTTTCTCCATTCACCCGGGAAATGTACGCACATCAGCATAGCGCAACAAACATCAATCAAAAAGTCAAATCGTCCCTCCCGTAGGTATCCTTCCGGTGTTCGACTTGGTGAATCATCCGGTTGTGCACTGCCCGGAGAGGAAGGCGCCGCAATATCAGTCGCCAGATCCGCGAGGATTGAATCCCAGAGCTGTATTACATCAGGAAGGGCAAACTCTTGTGTCAAGAGGCATGTCAGCCATCGAAATGAAAAGAATGCCGCATGGATGCCTTTCACTTGCTATATGGAATAAAGCTTGGTTATGACATAATAGATTGAAACCCCACATCAAAGACTAAATGGTAGAACTTACAAAATCTTTCCACAGTTCAATATCCCGTCTCTTTAACCGTTTCATAAGTCTCGCCATACTATTCCCAATCCCATTTCCGCTCGTTAGCTCCATTGCCAATTCGCCCATGGAAGCTTTACGAACCATCCCGCCTCCTGGTGATTTATCTGACCCAATTGAAGTCATGGAGATGGAGCGAGTGCTCATTCCGCGGGGTCCTGGCTGGACGTTGTCCAATGATCGGATGAAATGATCCCGAAATTCGGACATGAGTATTGTGAATGTGAAAAACGAATCTGCTTCCGCATGAGCTGCATGAGCAAGATGACGAGTCAGCTAATGCATGATGAGATGAAAGGCGATTTGAAAACTAACCTCTTGACTCCTCGTCTGTATCATTGGCCATAACGTAGTAGAGCGGTCCCAAAATCTCATTCATTCCTTGCACATACCCGATGCCGGGATTCAGCTTTGCATAAATAAACAGAATGCGCTCAATAGCCTCCCAGTGCAAGTCCCCCTCATCCCCTTCAGCCTTTTCAGGTATCTCAAACGGAGCTTCAGTCGAATTGTCCCCGTCCTTCTCTATCTGTGAGTTAGAACTACCCGGTGATACGGATGCTTTTGTCGGTATCTGATGTGCGTGGCTGCGCGCGCCAAACTGATCATCAGCATACAAATGCTCTAGTCGTTTAAAGAGAGCTCGTCGGGATTGAATAGGAGAGAAGGGCTTCAAGTCGGCGTCTGTGGAGGGTTTTTGGACTTCCGAGTCTGGTGCAATTGATTCTGCCGATCGATGAAGGGGAGAGTATCGGGTTTTGGGAACCGGGAGTTGGAAGAAGGCAAAGTCGGGTAATGTTCTTCGGACATCCTTGTCAATTTGCTCTATGGGATATTCAGACAGTGACGTTAATAACTTGGTTCGGGCCATACAGTAAGAATATCATCTCCTACCCAACACTCTGAGCTCCTCAAAGTACGTCTGCCACTTTGAATCCAACGCGTCGCTCAAGGGCTTTAAACAGGTCTTCCGTCAGTAACCAACGACATTGGTACTTCCACAAAGTAGTGGAAATCTTGATCGTACATACATGATCATCTATCCGCCCCTTCTTTGCATTCTCCAGCTCCTCCAAGCTAGGATTTTTGATCAATTCCTTGACAAAGGTGTAATATAGAGTTCGTTGCGACCGCAGAATGTCAGGCCATCGTGAGCGTTCATCAAAGGGCATGTAGTTGAGAAGAATCTTCCAGCATTTTGGTCGGATACCGGCATGGTCGGGGATACCTTTAACGAACCCAAGAGATAACGTTAGACAGGGCATAGGAATGACTTGACGGTTCGACTTAAGAGACAAATAAGCAAACCTTGATAGCATAGCTGCCTGAATCGCTCAAAGTCGTAGTCTGCAGGAGCCTCTAGACCCAATAGGCGTTCAAATAGGCTCACCCTATCAAATATGTCGTTTAACCACAATGATTCTCATAGTGTATAGTCGGTAACAACCTGCCTCTCTTTATAAGTCGCCATAGGGTCAAACTGAGTATTAAACTACAAGGAGTGTGATATGGAAGAGTAGACTACCTTAGTCAAGTACAGGGAATCAATCAGGTGGGGTCTGGGTAGGGGATGGCCAAATGCTGTCTGTTCCGTTGGAAGGTGCCTTGCCAGGCGGAGCGCGTTACCGCGGCACCGCGTCGCTTCACAGCCAGACGTTTAACCATCAATAACCTTATATGGACGACACTGACGAGGAAGCTACGAGTGCAGCACGATTTGGATATGGTTACCTGCCGGAAAGTTGTTTTTCATGTATATTGTGAAGCACTGTACTAACATCTCTTGTGTTGTCTGATGTGTCTATCCATTCTGCTAGTGGTTTCGTGACAAAACGAGGAACCACAACAAGCTCAGAGTGCACTAGCTTCCACTAGAAAATGAGGTCTGGACTGATCTCAAAAATCATACAATCACATCTCTCCATAAACGAGGGCTACGGAAAAAATGCAACCATCCACATGCAGGTCAATGTTGTGAAGAAACCTTGAAAGCATCCAAGACCAAAATATGATTTGCATCCAACCATACAATTCAATGGTCCATTTATGGTTTTCACGCCAATAATTGTACATCCTCACGCAAATACATCACCGAAACATCTCCGTATTACGGAAACTCGAATTGTCTGCTACTGATGACTTATGCGCCTTATACTCCATTATGCAGTTTGGTGGCAAATTGAGTACTCTTTTCATGGTATCTCTGAAATATTGAAAATGTTATTTATGGGGATGTACTCCCATTTCGTACGATATTTTAGCATTACCTTATACGAAGATTCACCCGTCCGTCATCGGCCGATTGATTCCATAGAGATAAGATATCTTCACTATGCCTTATGGATATCACTGCTCCGCAAATCTCTCCTCCGACGTCGAATTGATCCCCTATCATCGCCATAACCAGGCTCTCCCAATACCGTGACGCCAGCCCCTTCTTTAGCCTTACGATCCATTTTCCTCCGTTCAAATTATCCTATATGATATCCAAAACGATAAATGAGTTATTGCCGGAGCTATTGCCGAAGCTGAGCGATCCATCCAATCATCCATCTTACCTCCCAAATCGGTCGAATACCTTGTTTAAACAGGTGATAATCGCTAATATTATGAAGATCCATTGGTCGCTTCAATCTACTATATACACCCCAAAACTCTTCCACCTATGATTTACACATGCAATCATTAGCCTCTGTTGACACCATCAATGCGATCTACGACAATGTTTTCCTCTCACCGTTGAGAATGTTGCAATTTTTTTGATCGCGTTGTTGTAGTCTTGAATTTTTGACCCCGGTTCTCTATGCATAAACCTATATGGAAAGCCGCAGGGTGAATAATGAACTCCACGCTAATAAGATTGCCCATTTCAGATTCGTACCAAAACACCCAAGTAAAGCGCAATGGATGCACCGATCCGGGTGCCCCCGACTGAGATGACAAAGTGACCGCATTACTATCCGACACTTTTTTTCGTTCGTTTGTTTCCGCATCTGCTGAACCGCTGGTACCGCGTCCATGAGACCTAGTTGTATGGGATAAACACGCATCAGTCACCATGTACTCGTCCATTGAATTTCCCATCGTGTTCCTTTGCTTGCCACCGCAACCCATCTCGCCAGCCGCTCCGCCCCAGTTCTCTAGTAACCTTTTCCACTGTAAAAATAGCAACTGATCGAATGCTCACCATACGCCGTTCGTCGAAGTTGATGCCATCATTCGGTTTTGTGCAGGAGAGGGTGTTGAGTGTGCTAATGTAGGATCTAATACCGACCGCTCACGTTCAGTTTCCAGGTACAATGTCGACAGCAATATACGACCGAGATCCTACCCGTGGAGAATGAATGCCCGCGAGGAAGGGGGCAATACGTCGTGAGATAGAAATGCGCAGAGGGGGAGGGAATTGGAGCGTTGACCAAAAGTCAACAGAGTGCAATTGGAACGACGTCGGCAATAGATGTAAACCCAACGGTTGTGTCGTGCGCGGAAAAGTGTCGTTTGTGAAATGGATCTTCCTTTACTAGTGATCGTCGTCGCCCTCGCCTTTCGGTTTCATGTTGGTTAGGCTTTTCGACGACGTGGCGCAGGCGACTGGATGTAATGTGACCATATAAGGACGAGGCGCAGCGCCCAACGTTTAAACTGCAGATTCCAAACGAGTGTTTTCAAAGATCGTTTTGAAGCGCTTTTGCATGGACAAAGAAATTGAATACAATTGCGACCGAAATATTTACAAGGGTATCCTAATGCTAAATCTCCTAAATTATAAGTACACAGAAATCCGTATTATGTCTTGCTCCTCGCCCTAGGGCCTCTCATCTAAATGTCGGTGCTGCTCCTCGTCAATCTCTGATCCGAATTCAAGGTTTGCCGATGGCGCATTCTCCTCATCATCACTGTTATAATCCTCATCGTATTCCTCCTCAAAATCTTCCTCATCTCCGGGAATATACTCTTCTTCATCGTCGTCATCATCATCTTCATGCGCAAAATCAATTGGTATGACCATCAATCGTCGTAAATTGTCATCTTCGTAAATGTCTTCTGCACTTTCTGGTTCCCCTCTGCGTGGTGAACCGTTTAAACTGGTGACCTGCCGATCCCAATCCAACACCAGCTCGACTTCAATCTCTGCTAGACTTCCCTCATCCTCAAAATCAAGCATCCAGACAAAGTCCAAAAACGTGCCGTCTCCACGACTTGGGGCAAAGCATCGTGATGATGGCCCAAGGACGTATGGTGGCCTAAGATGAACCCGCGCGTGAACGTTGAACATGCCCCATCCTCGACGTGCGACCTCAAAAGGGGGCTCGCATAATGTTATGGTGGATGGGTGGAAGGTGCGATGGAGATGAACCACGACGTTATCAATGTAAAGAGATTCTTCCTGGCGAGTGTCCATTCGAAGAAAAAAGCCCCAGTTGTGATAATTTGACGACTGATCGTAACCATCAAGACGTTAGAAAGAGATGTACGGGGCTACCTATCCTCAAATGGTGACTGACCTGATCTTCTGCAACTAGCCTATGCGTATTTCCCACGTAAAATTTCTTGTAAACCGCTTGCTTTTGTAATCGTTCCATTTCCTCCTGGGCAACGTCCTCTTCGCGCTCCACATATTCATCTCCATATCGCTCTTGCAGGAAAATCTCCATACTTTGATCAATGTCCTCAGTCACTGATTTTTCCAGTAATTGCCTACACATGGGACACGGCTTGAGCACTGTCCCATCCTGCTGGGTTCGCGGGGTAAACATGGTCGTGAAATAGCGCGACAGACATGCTTGGCAGAATGTGTGGGAGCAAGAGGTCCTTATAGGCTTATAAAGTAGTTTCAAGCACAGCGGGCAATTGTGACTGGAGGTCTCTGGATCGTCTTCGTCTTCGGCCAGCCTCAGAGTCGGCAAGCTGACCAGGCGCGGTCTGTCTGGTTGTTTCTTTGACCCTTTCTCCATTTCCTTGCCATCTTCGTTGAGGTCAATGGCTTCCGATAGTTTACGCTTTGGCGACTGTGGCATGCGGACTCACAACTTAATTGAGCAAAAGTAAAACGTCGCGATATGCCGCTCTCGTGTGCAGGTTCTCGTGTCTCACACGCAGTCGTAATCCAATAGCCACGTGACAACTGCGAGATGTTCCAAGTTTCTTTGATGTGATCCTCGTATTCTAGTGCATGATACATGCAGTCATAGGTTGGCATGTCTTTAGGTATTGCAAAGACAATTAGTTTTCCAAAGGCTAAGTGGGCCTGTTTACCTGATCGAAACACGAATGTGGAATAGGCCCAACGATCACTCGGTAGCCTGCAACAAGACTTGAGTGCCAAGGACAAGCTCAAAAGTGTGGCGGGTATGATATGGGAGAGCCCGCTGCTCAAAGTTAAAGTTCTACATAGATCACGCCAGTTGGGTGTGAAGGAGTGAGTGTACACGCCAACTAGGATAAGCTGTCATTTACGTGAATCATCTTTCATGACAGACCATGCTAATTGGGTGTAGAGGAATACCGTAACAGATGCCAAATATGGAGATAGCGTCAGATATCAGCTACATTATTTGTTCTTCACTTGCAACAAGCTCATAGTTATTGTAAACCAAAAAAAAAGAAAGAATGTTTTTATCTGCTATCGCTGAACGTTAACATCCCCTCGCAGTGAACAAGAACAAAAACAGTTCCAGAGGCCTTCAATGTCGTTGGGAAATAAGCCACGGCGGGGCTTAGGAATCTGCTCACGTCACTCAATTTCACACTTCCAGCAACGTCCGTTTCCCCGCCGCCAACACGAGGCCAAGCTGTCAAAATTCTGGTATTTAAGGCGAGTCGTGCAGCCCCCCTCCCCCCCCTCCTCCAGAAGTAGCAGAGCTAGCAATGTAGGCTCTTTTTCCGCGGCCGCTATGGGTTGCGCCTGTCCGACGAACGCTGTTGTCTTTATTGACATCAACAAACTGCAAGATGTCATTCGCACGAGCCTCTCGTCGCCCGCCTCAGTGCGGAAAGTTCGGGCCCGCTTTCGGCCAAAATGGCGATAAATGGCGATAATCGGATGTTCAGTCTTGACGTTTCTCATTCGGTCGAAATGTGATGCCAGACGGCGTGGGCTGGCGGAATCGGAACGTCAGCCAACCGTTCTCTCGCGCGAGCTGATGGCTTTACCCCACGTCAACACCGACTGAGGAAGAAGGTGCCCGAGAGCGGCGTCACGTCCTTGAATGCTCCTACACGCGTCCAGGGCTTCGTACCAAGGGAAAAGGGAGACCCAACTCTTGAATGGAGGCGATCTCCACGAAATATCCTCTCCATGTTCAACACATAACATACTGGTACTAAAGTGAAGATGCCTGCGCACTACTACGCCATTCCTCCACCGCTCACGGCCATTCTCCCAACTACTCCTCCCCGACGGGGGGGGGGGGGGGGGGGGGGCCGCGCGCAGCCACGGATGTTACCACCGTGGCAGGTGTTGCCACAGTCGCCACACCGACAACGGAGCGGTTCCAACGAATGGTCAGCGATTTCCGTGTTAATTATAAGAATCAATGCACCTGCGCTCAGGATCTTCACAGGAACCGTCCAATTGCTCGGAGGAAACGATACCGCCTAGTCGGGGAGGCGAGAGCGGTTCCAACGACTGGTCAGCGATTTGCGGGTGAATTATTCAACGATCAACGCACCTACGCTAAGGATATTTACAGGAACCGTCCAATTGCTCGGAGGACACGATATGGGAGAGTAACCGCCAAGGTTGGGATCCCATCCAACTCTCACTTGGACTGTTTCCATTTGTGGACTTGTTTCCGTGGCCATCACTCAAACCGGAGGACGCAGCATTGGTGCAGCTCTGAAACGCTCCGTGGTTGGTGTGCTGATACCGACGACGGTGGTCACGTCTGTGCCTGCGCGCGGCCTCCCCCGTCGGGGAGGAGTAGTTGGGAGAATGGCCGTGAGCGGTGGAGGAATGGCGTAGTAGTGCGCAGGCATCTTCATTTTAGTACCAATATGTTACGAGGACGTGTCTTCAACTGTTTCTGATTTCCGTTGCCAAAATCCGGGCTGTTGTGAACTCACGCACGCTCCAGGCTTCTTCCGACGATGTCAAGTCTCCCTCCCCAAGTGGGCGGCGAGGTTGGTGTGAATGGATGGGCGATTTTTGTCGCTAGAAATTCGAGATATTCCACGATCTCGGTCGCTGATGCTCTCGGGCACCAACCTCACTCGTCGCTGCAGTGGCTTCAGCTGCCGCAGCTATTTCCTCGGCTGCTCTCTCTGGAGAGAGGGCCTGCCGGTCTTGCTTGAACGCATTCACAGCCGGCCTCGTCACTACATTGAGGGCATCTATGAGGGAGAAACGACATCGATGTTGGGTGGCAAGTAGTGGTGTTATTTCTGTGGGCTGTACTGTTACAATGTCAAGTCTCCCTCCCCAAGTGGGCGGCGAGGTTGGTGCGAATGGATGGGCGATTTTTGTCGCTAGAAATTCGAGATATTCTATGATCTCAGTCACCGACGCTCTCGGGCACCAACCTCACTCGTCGCTGCAGTGGCTTCAGCTGCCGCAGCTATTTCCTCGGCTGCTCTCTCTGGAGAGAGGGCCCGCCGGTCTTGCTTGAACACATTCACAGCCGGCCTTGTCACTACATTGAGGGCATCTATGAGGGAGAAACGACGTCGACGTTGGGTGGCAAGTAGCGGTGTTATTTCTGTGGGCTGCGGGTGAGAACGGGTTCCGCTTGTTGGATGTTTGACATGGTGGTCGAATAGCCGTTAGCAGTAGGGATAAAGACAGAACGCAGAAACAATGAAGGGAGTAGGGAGCAGACAGAAAGAGCTGGTTTTGAAATTACAGGGAGCAATCCCTCAGATGTAATTACTACATATAGAGTTTTTTTATTGAGGGAGCATTCGCACTATAACTGTTTGTCGGAAGTGAGAAATGGGGTTTGCAGCCCTCAACAAGACTTTTCCAATCCCTACCCCTAAGATACAACTCGTATCGAATAATTGATCGGACAAGCATAGCAGCGGGTTTGAAGGTGGTGTGTTGTGGTTGCCATCATTCAACTATTCAAGTAGGCCATACATCAAACCTGGTTAACGCACGCATTGCAGTGTTCCTGCTATGCTTTGTCCGATCAAATATTCGATACGAGTTGTAATGGTATACATGAAAGTCGCTCCAATGGGTTTTCTTATACGATCTAAACTACCAGCCATGTAAAAACATATTTGCCCTACGACTTTTATTAACATGTATTGTAGTAAAAGAATTCTGTCCGCGAGCCTCATCCTGACCAGGTAATTACCGTTGAGAAGAGGTACGATTCCGGTTGAGCATAGCCCATGAAAGTTGCTCGAATGGGTTTACTTATGTGATCAAAGTTATAGACCATGTAAAAACATATTCGCCCTACAACTTCTATGAATATGTATTGTAGTAAGATTTCTGTAGACAAAAGTTTTCCTAGCAGCATCTTATATCTTTCAAGGAAGCCCACATTGAACTGGCCTACCACCGCGAGCCTTAGTCTTCAACCAGGTTTCTCTTGTTTGAGAACACATTAATGTGACCTTCAAAAGGTATGGAGTTTACATGCGATTCAACAATATATGCATGGTACACTTTCATCATTGACCTAGGGGCATGATTCCTGCATAGGTTACATGCAAATCAAGATGGTTCTTTGGTCGAGAGGCATGATTCCTGCATGATTTGGTATGGAATTCATAGGGTTCTTTGGTCTAGCGGCATGATTCCTGCGTAGGTTACATGCAAATCAAGATGGTTCTTTGGTCGAGAGGCATGATTCCTGCATGATTTGGTATGGAATTCATAGGGTTCTTTGGTCTAGCGGCATGATTCCTGCGTAGGTTACATGCAAATCAAGATGGTTCTTTGGTCGAGAGGCATGATTCCTGCATGATTTGGTATGGAATTCATAGGGTTCTTTGGTCTAGCGGCATGATTCCTGCGTAGGTTACATGCAAATCAAGATGGTTCTTTGGTCGAGAGGCATGATTCCTGCATGATTTGGTATGGAATTCATAGGGTTCTTTGGTCTAGTGGCATGATTCCTGCGTAGGTTACATGCAAATCAAGATGGTTCTTTGGTCGAGAGGCATGATTCCTGCATGATTTGGTATGGAATTCATAGGGTTCTTTGGTCTAGCGGCATGATTCCTGCGTCGGGTGCAGGAGGTCCCGGGTTCGATCCCCGGAAGAACCCCTTAAGTGCCGCTTGGGATCCTTTTTTTCTCTCTCTGCAAAAAGTTGCAAGAGTTAAAGTACTTGTTTAACGTACGGGAACATGCGGTTCAATTTGAAGATGCCTTGTTCTTTTGTCGTGTCGACATATTTCTAGCAAATAGATGGATAGCTGAATACTTTCAGTCCCTTAATCTTGTAAAAAATACTTTTGCAAGCTCTCGCGTCCACCTCTATCAAGTCTTGGGCTGTGTTCTAGCAAAGGTGAAATACTTCTGTAATTCTAAATTACCAAGGTGTCATGTGCACCACTACCATACAAGAGGTTCTAGTACATCCGCAAAGAAGACTACTTCCGGTCCCTTTTGCGGAATTGACGGCATCAGTTTCTGCTCAAGTTTTTTCGTTGTGTTGTCATATTTCCAGCAAACGTATGGATAGGTGCACACTTTTAGGCCCACTATCTCGCACAAAATACTTGTCCCAGGTCCGAAAAACCCCATTGGCTAACGTGCGGATCTTTTTCCTCTGCCGTGTTTATCTATCAATAGAGGACAGGCCATAACAAGGCAATCGTACCAATGTGCGGTTCAGTTCAAAGTTGAGCACTTTCAGGGCTTGCCTTACAAGAATGCATGAGATAGAATAAAAAACTTTGGCCATTGCAATTTCAACCATTGTCGGGTCTCGAACATACATCCTGAATAAGTGACATACTCCTCAAGTCAATCGTCAAGATTGCAATGCATTGAACGTATCAGTCACGTTAGCAGCATGGTTGATATCTTCGTTGCAGTGTTGGTTACAGTACTCGACAAATATCGTGTGAAAACGAGGGAAGAACGCATTACGACACGTTTAAGAGAGACATAGGGGCAGCTTGCGGCCTTGTTCATAATCTAGGGGATATTTTATCGAACTGAGCAACAAGCGACCTATATCGAATTCATCTATGGGACAGCCAAGTGGATATACAGTACGTTGGCAGATTTGCTTGCTGGTAGCGAACTAGGACCTGCTGACATGATTGAACACCAAACAAGTTTACTCATTAGCAAGAAGATGAGGGAAATGCTCAAAATGACATATACGAGAGCTCAGAAGACAAGTCCAATATATTATAGCGATACACAACAGACAGGAAAAAATTAACAATTACAATACAGTTACAATTATTATCAAGCCGTAGACTTGTACCTAAGGGACCGAGAACGTCGCTGCAACCCTGTAATCAAGTCAACAGTGCACCGACGATGCCCTCCGTTATCGGCTCCCCGGCAGATGGTCCCGACTTCCCAATGTACACCGACGATACCCTCAGTTAACAGCGGCCTCAGTGCGGCTCCCCTTTTGCCTTCCGTCACTCGTCTCGTCACTCGTCTCGTCATTCGTCTTTCTTTCGTTTTTGTTTCGTCGTTCTTTCGATATGGCCGCACCACGATGCGGCGCACCAATTGCCTTCAGCAGACTAGATTTCGCGGCAGTCGGCAATATCGACTCCACTGAATTACCCCCCATCTCGGCCAACGTCTTTTGGGGCGGGCTAGCGGCTGTAGTCGCCAATAACCTGGCCGTCTTTTCGGCCACGGCTGTCGGGTGTACCTGCCCGAAAAATGCCGTCATTTTCCTAGACATCAATGAACTGCAGGATGTCATTCGAGGGCGCCTGTCGTCGCAAGCTCGCATCAGGGCCCAGGTGTCTGGCCCACTTTCGGCGAAAGTGGCCATTTATTTGGTTGACTTATATGATCAATTCAAACATCATTCCCGACGGGTTGATAGGGGGGATCGGGGTCTCACTGAACCGATCCCTTGCTCAAGTTGGTGGGCTTACCCCACGCCAGCACCAGCACCACAGGTTAGTTATGTATCATGTCCCTTTCATGCATTGCCGCGATTGACTTTTTTTCATTCTTAAGGGTGCAAATCCATTTTCATACACTTTTCGCCGTTACTACGCCGTCGCTAATAACCTGGCGGTACTTTCCGTGACGGCTGTCGGGTGTACATGCCCGAAAAATGCCGTTATCTTCCTGGACATCAACGAGCTTCAGGATGTCATCCGAAGGGGGCCTGTCGTCGCAGGCTCGCCTCTCATCCGAGATATCTGGCCCACTTTTCGCCGTTACTATGGCCCAAAAGACGCTGTCAGAGATGGCGCGTAACTCAGTAGAGTCTAAACTGTCGACTTCTGTGAAGGCTAAAGGCAACGAGGTGCCCCACAACGAGGCGCTGCCATATCGAATGAAAGACTCTTGAGCAAGACGAGTGACGATAATTCTGTGGAGGGCACGTGCACCCGACAGCCGTCGCCGAAAGACGGCCAGGTTATTAGCGACTACGGCCGCTAACCCGCCCCAAAAGACCTCAGAGATGGGCGGTAAAGAAAGTGGGTCTAAATCATCGACCCCCGCGAATACCAATTTGCTAAAGGCAACGAGGTGCCCCGCAACGAGGTGCTGCCATATCGAAAGAAAGACGAGTGAAGAGACGAGTGACGGAAGGCAAAAGGGGAGCCGCACCGAGGCCGCTCTTTTATGTTTGCGTTCGGCCCCATTTTGACAGCTGCCACATGCGTCCAGCGCGATCGTGAGGCTTAATTAGCGGAATGCGGTTACGAAATGGGCTGAGGAAATCCCCCCTTGGTAGCTAGTCAGACGACATCTGATAAAAGATACTCTTCCCAATGATATGAAAACACGCCAAGTTTTCATATCCATCACTACCTTTGGGATTAGCTACATTGTACATTGCCTTTTACTAGTAATGACTACTGTTGAAAGAAAGTTATCGAATCGTAAGGCTCCTTCCATCACCACCAACACATTGAAGTCTGACGTGCATGCGCAAAGTATCTGATAGAAAATCGCACTAGATATCCCCCGTGCAAAAGTAATCTCAAGGTGAATACTTGGCCTAGCCAACACTAAAAGGTTACAAGTGACTATACATAGTCTTTGTGTAGGCTGCTCCCCGTTCACGGCATCGTCAGATTAGATCAGCAAAAGGTTAGATACATTGACTGACGAAAAAATGCCCAAACAAACACAACCAATCTCAGCCTCTTTTTTAAAAGGCATGCAAGGATATCATTCAGAAGAATACTGAAGGGTTCCTTGGAATGCCCAAGCAATCCTCCGCGCAGCTACATACACAGAACAAAGCAGGGGGGAGATGCGCAGAACAAACGCGTAAATAAAGAAACGAACAAGTGTCCCAAAATTGCTATTATGCCCTTTCATTCCATTTCCATACATGATCGTTTGGATATAGAAGTGTGGCGACAAGTCCAAAAGTAAGAAATCCCGTTCAAATCAAGAGAGCAACGGTTATGTGACTGGCTTCATGACAAACAGCCCAAGCTATTTTCGCATATTTGCAACGCATTCGGTGTGATCGGCTCCTTCAGAACGTGGCATTTTTGATATCTTTTCTTTGCGTTTTTCCTTATTATCTTGTTGTGTGAAAGGTTGGTTGAGATTGGAAGCATGTCGTCTAACCATGCAGGGGGCATCTATAAAAGGTTGGCTGGGTTGACTGTTGTTGGGGCAGCCACAGTCTTTTAAAAAAAACCAACGCGAACCCTTTCGTACTCTGCAAGCCAAGAGTCCACAGTTGATGGAAAATATGCAAGGAGTCCTCCCGATGCCGACAACACTCCCACACGAGCAACTAGCCCGCCAGCAGCAGTACGTTTGGCGCCCCATTGTGAGCAGTCCTCTTCCATGTTATTCCGCGGTTCCTATTCCCGACACGTACATCATTGACAAACTACGAGGCTTTGGCTGGCGGTATTTTGGCAACACGCAATTAGCGGATTGCTGTCTTTGGATCTACTCGCCGGAAACAACGTCACCAATTGATCAAGACAAAGCAGCAGCGCCAATAGCCATTATCCCCGCTCATTCCCTATTTCTCAAAACAATGTCACCACGACTACGAGACCTTCTCTCCACAGCCGCCAAAGCCATGTCAGACCCATATCAACCCTATGCAACCATCAGCACAACACCTCTCCTCATTCATCCTCCCAGCCCGGAAGCATTCCATGCAGTTTTGCAGTGGATGTACACTGCAGATGTAGGCGCAATCAGAGAGTTTTTCGAATCACATGAAAATGCCCTTGCGTCGGTGATTGCCAATGCCGAATGGTTGGGATTGAGCGACCGCGAGCTGTTGCATGTTTGCGAAGGGTGGCAGGGTGATTTGAAAGCGGGTCGTGTTCAAGTGCGCGTTCAGGAAGCATCAGATGAGGATGGGGATTTCGAGCAAGATGAACATGATGATGTTGATGGTGATTACGAGGACGAGGAGGAGGAGGAGGAGGAGGAGAGTGAAGTGGAAGAAGCTGATTATTTGAATATCCCCCATATGTATTGAGATTTTTGTGCATGTCTGTAAAATACCAGAGTTTTATTTCTGCCTTTGGCGAATACACTGCCAATCGTGAGGACCTTGTGCGCATAGAAGAAATAGTGGACGAGCATGCAGGAGATCCCTGAGTGACAGACACCTTTGCTCTTGCTTTTCGTAAACGTAGCATATTATTGAGCTCTGTTGGCTTTTGTGGGCTTGGGACATGAGTGCGCCTTTCACAGTACCTGGGAGTATGCCCAATCGGCGAACCATCTTTTTCACTGCATCATGAGCATTCTTCAACAAGCCTTGAAGAGAATCAACCAGATCTCGGTTGCAACAAATACTGGATCCAAAAACCATCGAGACCAGATTTTAACTCCAATGCCATTCATCTGCATTTTAGTGTCATAATACATCTTTATAAAACGTGGAAACCAGCAATTTATCCAGTCCGTTCATACTCCCGGCCCATACCCTTGTACCCGCCGTCCCAACCGGCAGAAATTGAACCATCATACCAAAACGGCCAGTGAATTCACGACACAGAAAGAAATCTCCAAATCATACATCCCATACCAAAGCCCCAAGATTAAATCCGTGCGCAGCACGCAAGATCAAATCTGTTATCCCTGAAATATCCGTCATTTTAGAGTACTGTTTTGCAAGGGAATAAATGACAGACGGTACAACTTACGAAAATTTTGATAGCCTTTTCAAAACTTCCCAAGCGTCCGTTGCGACCAGTTTTGTCGATATGGTCGCAGCCAAGTACAGCTCCATCCCATGGAAGGGCCGCTAGCACCTCATCTGTATCATAAAGGAAAAACGATCAGCTTCGTTCGAGCGAATGACGCAATTTGCAAGGCATGCGTTCGTGTTTACCATCTTCAATTGGCCGTGGCTTCGCAGTGGAATACCGCTGATCAGCAGGGATAACTGCAAACTTGACTTTTGCAAAATCTTTCTCATTCATGCCCATTCGCTCTTGCAGCCGCTTTTTTGTTACTGTAAACGGTTCTCCATTGCGCACGACGAATGTGAATGGTATGCCGTGGCCTCGAGAGGGATCCTTGTTGTAGTGGCAAGTCTGGATAACTTTGTCTCCAGGCGCTAGGTTCTCCTCGTCCACTGGGATTTCCTGCGACAGCACAAAAGTTAAAAAAAATGCTTTGGCTAGACAAGACAGACACATCAAGATCCTACCTCTACATATATATCCGCCCCCTCTTTTATGATGCTCACAGCATCCTCCGGTTGCAACACTCGAACAATGCGGGAAGAATTGCTACACTCAAACATGCGCAGCTTTCCAGATCCCTTGCGTTCAGTTTTTATCGCATCGGATTGGAGTTTGTCTGTGATATCAGCCAAAACATCAGACACCTTGGCAGTTTTCGATAGTAAAATATCAAATGGCCCCTAACACAGTGTAGGTTAGATATCGTCACCTCGATCATGGAGGGTGCGTACTGCTATGACACTTACATGTTCTTTATTTTGGGTATCAGCAAACGTCACCTTCAAATACCGTTTCGTCTCAAGCTCTGCCACGGGGATATCCAACAAGTCGTACAGTAGAATGCCATTTATCTCCTCGTTGGGAACAATATCCCGCGGCTGGAACATGGGACCAAAAGCCAATTCAAGCGTCCATGATTGACTGAACTTGATTGGTGTCCCACTCCGCGGTGCCACTCCGCTGTGCGTAAACGACAACAAGCGAATTTTCTCTGGTTCTGCGCCAATCTCCTTCGCTAGTGCCTGCGCGACGGTGCTGTAGTTCATCTTTTTACTCAAAACGATCGTTACTCCCGCATCCTCGCGCTCCTTGCCCTTTTCCTTGAATGTGATTGTTACCCGGTTGCGAAGTGCGTCAAAGTATCCAGTCACATCGCACAAGGCTGGACTTGGCAGCTGTTCTTCTTCTTGCAACGACAGATCCCTCTGAAAACAAATGATGTCACCGTCACCCAGCTCAGCTTGGTGGAAGGTAGATTTTGGTTTCAACAGGTCGATCATCTCTGGCTTGACTTCTTCGTAAAGTCGTAGCGGGGTTCCTGGAGGCAACTTGGCACGCTCAAGCAGTTTTGGTATAATATCTCCAATTTTATGTTGCCTGTTCTCCACCACGAGCCGACCTGCATAAGTCAATCTGCTAGTGAATGGGTCATAGTACTTTAGGAAAAGCACAATGTCGTTTACAGTGCCAGGTAGCCGGTCGTCTCTGATAGGCAATGGGGTTGGCTTTTGCGAGATACCGTTGCTGATCTTGGCGGCAAAAGGATCGTCCATTTGCTCGACGTAAAGGCGAAGCTCATTCGACGTTTTGGCATATTTGTTCTGTATCTTTTCCATGGACAGGTCTCCGTCGTTCTCGGGGATCGGCGCATCTGGTCTTACAGTTCTATTCTGTCTACCAACCATTGTCCACAACCGGAACCGCTGAGGGCTAAGTTTGAAGTGGCGGCCGACCATTTCCTTGAAATCGTTAAAGGTGTCCTGTTTTACAACTTTGAACGTAGAAATTTGTGCCCCAGGATCATTGAAATTCCATAGATCAAATCCTCCATGGTGCGCAATCTGATCGTCCGTCAATACCTTCACTTGTATGTACTTGTAGGCCTCATCACGCTCACGCATTTGCTTCTCATGAGCTGCCCTCTCCTGGTCCAAGCGGACACGGAGATGCTCCGGAATGTCATCGTTGGTAATAGGGGCAAGAACCTGGTCTCGGTCGCTATCGCGAACATACACTAACATGTACGCGTTTGTATAGCGTTTATATACTTTGACACCTGGGCGTGCCATTGGGTACTCCCCTCCAAAGTTGTCCTCAAAGACTTCCTTGTGACGAGCGGGTATGACGCGGTCATCATCAAACTTGAACCATTTGTCTTCCGGTCCCGGACGAATAAAGGCACAATAATGCCCGCCGTGCAAATCTCCACTGTGCACTAGTACCCCGTGCAAGTGATACTTTTGTGACACCGTCCGGACCGCATGTTCATCAAGATACGCGTCGAGATTGATTTCCACAGGGTACTCATGCCGGTCATTGATTTTCACCATCGCGTCACGTTCAATGTCGTATTCAAACCGTTTCAGTTGTAGATGCAGCACTGGGGGGAATGCGTTGAAAATCACACCCTTCTTTGCGTCTTGCAGTCCGTACCCTTCCGCTTGGTACTTGTTATCCCCATTCAAAGTTTCAACAGCGACGTATTCGTCAAACGATTCCTTCAAATTCTTGCAGCCCTTGACGTTCAATTGGATGTCTGTCGAAAAGGTTTGTACTGTCAGCCAAATTGTCTAATACTCACTAGTGTTTACTACGCGCATTTTACCATAGAAATCTTCAACCCGCGAAGATTCGTATGGCACATTAATGCACTTTATATAACTCTTCATCTTCCCCACAAAGAGCCGTGAAATAGCACCTTCCGCCTTCGTTCCCTGTCAGTGGCCCCTCACGTAAGTCATACTGGTCAACAAGCACATATATCAAGTCTTCCAATCCTGCTAACCTTCATTTTGCTTTCTAGAGTGTCCTGCAACACTCTGTTGAACTCTTGCACATCATGCTGCATAAAGGAATCCAATGTATCCCACCCGAACGACTTTGTCAGTTCAGTGGTACCTGACGAAGTAATGATAAGCCATCAGTGGCCGTCGAAACCCAATTTGTCGTTCGCGACGCAAACCTACCAACAGCCTCAGGCGAGACCTGCAAATTATAGAAAACACGTTGCAAGGCAAGCGGAATTGACTTTGAAGGCTCATCATTTTCCGTCGGTATTTCAAAGGTTGCCTGGATTGACAGATAATGAATGATTTGCCGGTTTAGCAAACTTCAGCATGGCTTCAGCATACCCTTCTGAAATATGAAGTGAAGTAGAGTGACTGGAGAAGCGAATTCATATAACACGTAGCGCCCTGGTTCTTCAACCCGACGAACCCCGTTTCTTTTCTGGAGTCCCATCTGTCGTATGCCGCTGTTAGTTATGTCGCGGTAAAGATAAATCTAACACACTTACTTTTCAAACTTATGCCATAGTACACCCGTTTCATCTTTTATTACTCTGATCCATACAATGACGATAAACTCCTCCTTTTCAATGATTGGTCCTCCTATTGACTCATGGCCTCGGTACATCCAGGTTAATTTAGTCAACTGATTAAAGCCCCAGTCGGTAGCTTCCGGGTTGAATCTGTGCTGGGCCGCTAAGAGACTAATGTGTCAGAACAATGGAACGCTGGTTCAATCTCCCTTACAACGGTCTACCTTGCTGAACGAGAAGGGATTCATCCCGCGGGTTCATAACGCCAATAGCAAACATAGCACAACGATGCCAGTCGGAATCGGGTGCTTGTTCATGAGCGTCTACGGAATCCACATAGACTGAAATTGCATCCGTCTGTCTATTCCCTCGCGGAAACAGTAAAACTCGCCTAAACGCAAAGAGTCAATACAAGTTGGCAAAAAGTAAGTTTTGATTTGAGATTTCAGACTCCTCAATCCAATCACATACCATTTTGAACCAGCAACTTCGAATTCCGGACTGTACTCCTTCTCCTTTGTTCGTAAAACGTTGTAATTGCTCACTTTCCATTTGAACACATAATTGCCTTCCTCCTGCATGTCGTCATACAACGGTAAGATACTATCAATATCAGTCTTGGGTTCTTTTCATAAAGTTTTTCGAATTAGATTTATATGAGACAGTTTTCACTAACAGGGGCATGCTTACTTTGTGGCTCTGCCACTGCATGAACTTCCGTATCCATAGGGTCTGTCGGTGGTTCGTCTAACTCTATCTTCATGGGTTGGACGTCCAATAGGTCCTGAGGATCCTGGCCGGCTGGCTCTTGTCGATCCTAATACATAATCATATCAGTCAGATAGACAGCCTACAGGGCAATACCCAAATGACATATGCGGCTGCTCACCATGACAGTTGAAAACTGCGATTAATGTTCAGTGGAAAGAGATGTCAAGAAAATGACCGACGGCGATTGCTGGTCAAAGTCAGTTAGTGCTTGTAAAATAAGTTATTAATAACTGATGTGCTAGCATGTGTCCTCTACCTACAAGTATGTTTGAGTGCAAGCTACAGTAAAACTGGTGGATCGCAGGTCATCCAACTGCGCCGCCAAGTATAAGGCTTGTAAAACGATGCGGCAAATGTCAGCGATCTCGCATCGCAATTAGGAACATGAGAAATTTATCATTCCACCACATACTATTTTATACACAAGTTCTACTCGTCGTGCGGATGGTGTGGGGATCGTACACAGGCCCAAAGACAGCCAACGACCAGATGTTGGTACTCCACTTTGAGCAAACTGTAGCCAGCGCCAGGTATCGGAAACACGTGTTTATGCGTCATGCAGCCGGTTCCAGCCAAAGGCGTTGGAGTTTCGCGGCTTTTGGCTTTGGGATCTGAAAGCTTCAAGATATCTTGTTGGGAGCTGTGCTTTTAGCTTGTATAGCAATGGATAGAGTATATCTTCATGCATACCATATGTACCGGTAGCGGTCATGGTTCGCGATACGATTTGTCATGCATAGGATGGTTACCGCATGTTTTGAGTAAATAAAATGTCTATCATATGCGAGCGCTCTGACAATCGATGATGATGGCCTGAAAATCATCGACGCAACCAGTGATCGACAAGTAACTTGCTATGCACACCATGAGGCTCATGTTGACCACTGGTTTAAGCACTCCCGTCGTCCCCTCCTTTGACATAAAAAGACACCCGTTGGGATGGTTTTCGGCTGGAGGGATTGGGGGCGTCGTCAGGGCACATCATCCTGATTCAACATGCATTGCCCGTTAAATGCTTGCAAATACAGCCCACATTCCCAATTTGCTGCTCCGAACGGCCTCTGCCTTCCACTGCCGTGACAATAAAAGGTTCCTTTGCAGCTGCGACGGTTCCAAAAAGTTGAAATCCCGTCCTGCTTTTTTTAAGCTTTCGTTGGGTTTTCTTCCTTAAAGACGAGGCGATTTCGACGCGTTTCCTGCGCTGTCACGTTACTAACTTGAAATCCAGACTTTGGGCATCAACCATTTCCCCTCCTCCTCATTTCGTCCACAATCTCGTTCTTTGCAGTCACAGAAATTACTTGCCATTATCCATTGTCCTTGGCGAGAATCACAGCAGCAATCTCATTATCGGTGTTTGGTTCCTGCTTTTGTCCCGGCCTTTGGGTCGTACGGTATATCCCTAATTCATCAGACATCAAATCCTCAAAATGATGAAAACGGCAGCCAAAGTCGGGCCCCACCGGTCTGCAAACGTTCCCAAAGCACCGCCCTTGGACCTCTCAACAGTATCCCCACCCTTTGCTCCACCTAGTCCTGACTTGGGCATTCGAGGAAACCGGCTATTTGGCCTACGCACGGCACCGACGTTTCGTCCCACCCTAGACGAGTTCGCGGACCCACTTCGGTACATTGAAAAGATTCGGGTCGAAGCGGAACAAAGTGGCATATGCAAGATTATTCCACCAGAGGGATGGAAGCCAGACTTTGCTTTGGACACACAGGTGAGTGGTTGGACAACAGAATGGCGGGCTGCCGGAAAAAAATCCCAAATGGCATTTTTGCAAGGTTCTGTCACTTTTTCTGCCGTATAGCAATTACAATTCCAAGGCAATTGTATAGCGATAACTTTCTGAAAGTTAGGGAAGGCATTACCCTGCTCTGCTATTGTCTGTCGACATTGTGGCAATGGACTGCGTATCAAATGTTGAAGGAACGCTCCAATCCTCAGAAAGACTTGTCACTAAGATAATAACTATAACAATTTCTCCTCTTAGACCTTTTGGTTTCGGCCTCGTATCATGCGCCTTAACTCCATGGAGGGGAGCTCTCGTGCCATCCTCAACTACCTAGACCAACTACAAAAATTCCACCATCAGCAAGGAACGCAATTTCAGCGGATTCCAATGCTCGATAAGAAGCCTATGAACCTTTTTGAGCTCAAGAAGGAAGTCGCTAAGCGAGGGGGCTTCCATGCGGTAAGTGCCAACGCAGATCCGCAGCAACGTCCTGATGATAAATAGTCTCAGTGACTGACTGACATACGCACGTACATCGCAGGTGACACAAAATAAGCAGTGGGCGCAAGTCGGACGTGCCATCGGATTGGGCGGAAAGACTTGTACATCGCTCTCTCACAGTGTCAAATCTGCGTATATAAAATGGGTTCTACCCTACGAGGATTTCATTGCTAAGCATGGGTCTCCAGCGGTTACCCGACCTGGGTCACCCTTGGGAGATGATACAGGAGGAGTGGATGATGCCCCCACTTCCGGCACGAGGAGCAAGCGAGCTCAACGGGCGAAGAAGAGAAAATCAGCGGAAGGTACGCTTGATTGAATTTAGGATACAGGGAACATTGAACTACAAAACTGATTCTTAATGTTTAGTGGTACCAGAAATTCCAACCGCTGATTCATCTCCTTCCGCGAAAAAGGCGATCTTACCTGATGGGTATCTCCCGAAACCCGGCCTCGAGGTGAGTAATAATGAATTCTCCCGGATTTCTTTCCAATACTGAATTGCTGGTGTCTTCAGCTCTGCGAAATATGTGGAGGTGGGGAAAACGATGAGAAAATGCTCTTGTGCGATGGATGCAATAGGGGATACCACCTCTATTGCTTTGATCCTCCTATGAGCGCCATTCCAAATACCGATTGGTTTTGCCCAGACTGTCTCCGGGTATCCGGCAATGATTATGGATTCGAGGAAGGCGAAGTGAGGTCCTTGTACCATTTCCAAAAGGTCGCAAACAGCTTCAAAGAGAGGCATTTTCGAGAGAGGTTGGGAAAGAAAATGGACGAGAAACTCATCGTAACGGAAGATGAATGTGAACGGGAATTTTGGCGACTGGTGGAGAGTCCGTATGATGATGTCGAGGTTGAATATGGCGCTGACTTGCATTCAACGCAGCATGGAAGGTTTGTCTTCTGTCATGGTTGGTCCTTCTAATTTTGGCTTCGTACTGACTTTTGTCGTAGCGGGTTTCCTGTTCCTGAGAAACAGCCCAATAATCCTTATTCAACTTGTGGCTGGAATCTCAACAACATCCCGGTTCTCCCAGAATCTCTCTTTTGCAACATTCGTAATGACATCTCAGGAATGATGATCCCGTGGCTTTACGTCGGGATGTGTTTCTCAACATTTTGCTGGCACACAGAAGACCATTACACGTACTCTATCAATTATCACCATTGGGGGGAGACTAAAACATGGTACGGCATACCCGCTTCGGATGCGGACAAGTTTGAAGATGCTATGAGAAAAAAAGTGCCGGAGTTGTTCGAGTCAAATCCAGATTTGCTGTTCCATTTGACGACGATGCTATCACCAGGCGTGTTGGTTGAAAAAGGGGTTGACGTGGTTGCGCTTGATCAGAGACCAGGAGAATTTGTGGTGACATTTCCTAGAGCATATCATGCGGGATTTAATCAAGGGGTAAGTCGCTGCTCCATGTTCCCTGGGTCATCCTGAAGAATTTAACACTCAAATCTCCTCCCACAGTTTAATTTTGCGGAGGCTGTGAACTTTGCGTTACCCAATTGGCTACCGTTTGGTCTGGACTGTGTCGAGCGGTATCATGAGTATCGCAAGCAGCCGGTATTCTCTCACGACGAACTAGTCATTGCAACTTCGAAACGGGACATTGATGTTCGCGCTGCAGTTTGGTACGTCCGTGAGATATTTATTTGGGTTTGCGCAACTGAACAATATTCCCTCTCAGGTTGAAGCCCGAATTGGAGCATCTACGAGACCATGAACTCGAGGCTCGAAAGCAGATCCGTGAGCGACATCCTGGCATTCATGAGGTGGTGGAAAACTTGGAGATTGCCCACGAAGAAGAGGATCAATGTGCAGTATGTCATCAGTATTGCTATGTTAGTGGCATACGATGTGCATGCTCGCCCAAGAGAATTGTGTGCATAGCGCACGAGAAAGACGTTAGTAGTTGTTGAGTCCGTATTGATCTGTAATTGTTTCTGAATTTGCTCATCGTTGCTCGCTAGGTTTGCAAATGCGAGAACCCCAATTTGACGCTGGCCCTTCGGTTTTCGGATGAGCAATTGATCGGATTTTTGGAGCACGTCAATGCGGTGGCCAATCGACCCAATGAATGGAAAGAGAAATACGAGAAATTGCTGGCACAGCATCGCCGTCCGCCACTTAAAGAGCTGCAGCGACTTTCGGCCGCATCCGAGAAAATCCCGTTTGTCATTGAAGAAGCCACGCTTCTCAAAAGCTTTGTACGCCGCGCAAACGAATGGGTAGAACGTGCGAACCGGATTCTGCATAAGCGAAAGCGATCAAACGCCGGTAGACGGTCCATTGTTGATACCATGGACTTGGAATCTAGTGAACAGTCGACTGACAGTAAAGGACATGCTCAGCCTGCCTCAGAGCGAACTTTGGCAAATATTGAGCAGTTACTGCGTGATGCGGAATCTTTCACTTTCGATTGTCCGGAAATCAAACTTTTGCAAGCTCTCGCGCACGATGTGTACGAATTCCGCGAAAAGGCACGCCAAGTCTTGGCTGATGCAAATGTCACTGCCCAGATGGTCCGTGATACACAAGAGTGGGCAGCGACTATCGATGTGCAAATCGAAGAGCTGGATTTGTTAGAAGATAAATTATCCGAGCTCGAGTGGGGCACGCGTGCGGATGCTGCTCTCAGCCGCGAGGGCTCCGACATTGATCATGATACAGTCGTTTCATTGATTGATGAAGGTCGAATGTTTGGCGTCAAAACTGACCATCCTCTCATGAGTCGTCTGAAGACTTTCAAGCATCAAGGTGATGAGTGGCGGGTACTTGCTGCTGCATTGTTGAAGCAACGGAGCATGACTTTGGAAGATATGAAGGATGTTTTGAAAAAGGGGAACGATGTGCCCGTCATTGCCGACATGTGGAAGAAGCTCACGGATTTGGTGGCAAAGTGTGAGGATTGGCGAGCTAAAGCTCGGGACGTTTTGGGACTGAAGGAAGATGGATCGCAGGACGAGAGCACGAACATGTCTGACAAGAAGAAGTGGCCTGTCTCGGTGTTATGGAGCCTGCTTTTTGACATTGACAATGTTCCAGTGCGTTTGGAAGAATTAACACTTATTAAAGAAGATGCAAAAAAAGCGCAGGATTGGCTGAATAAGGGGCGAAAAGTACTGCGAACAGGGTCGGCGAGGAGCTTTTTGGATATCACAAAGGAGGTGGAAGCGAATGTGATTACTTGCACCAGCTCTGAAGCGGACGCAAAGCTATTCTGCATCTGCAGGACAAAGATCGACGAGGGCCTGATGGTAAGCTAGTTGCGCCAGTACGTAGTGAGCGGTATCCGTGGTTTTAAACTTTTTTGGCACAACGACTCCTAGATCGAATGCGAAACCTGTCATGTATGGTACCATAGCGCTTGTGTCAAAATTTCTAAAAAGCAAGCGAAGCGACAAACACACTACATGTGTCCCGTCTGCGACGTATGGACAGAACCCAATCGCACAGCCAAACGACCTACCATCGATCAAATAAAAGCATTGCTCAAAGAAGCAGAGGAAATGGAACGCTACGAATTTGAGGAGGTACCTCATCTTCGATCTGTTATCCAAGCCATGAACGCCTGGCAGGATCGTGTTCGGAGCGTTTTGGCCGCCCCTGCGTCTGAAACAGACGCTAAAAATCTGTTGCGTTGTGCTGAAGGGATGTATGTGTCCACTGAAGAAGAGACGGCGAAACTTCGGGAGCGCATCAAAGAGATATGTCCTCCCCCACCTCCACCATCTGTCCCAGTGGACACGAACTTGGCGATGAAGAGAGAAGATGAGGTGTTTTGTGTCTGTCGGGAGCCGCATCGAGAAGATGATGGGGACATGATTGGATGTGATGGTTGCGGAGGATGGTATCATTTCAAATGCGTTGGCCTGACAGCAGCCGATGCCGAGAAGATGGAGACATACACTTGTCCCATGTGTCAGAACAAAGCAGCCCACCTCAGTCGAGACAAGGAGAACGGCGTCGATGCAGCATCCAACGGCGCACCGCTGAAAATCACGCTGAAACTTGGACATGGTTCCGTTAGAACATCAGATGACCACCAAGTCAAGAAGAAGCGCAAGAAGTCATCAGCTGGAGATGAGTCCACCTCAGATGGCGCGAATTTTGCCAAGGTGAAACGAAGGAAGTCCGCTGGTAGCGAGGAGCCAGGAGCGGAACATTCTGTTAGAAAGAAGCATAAAAAACACAGCGAACCACACCAAGAAGCTGGTGAAGTGGACATTAGAAAGAATAACGGTATATCAACTACTGATGGACCACGTTCAGCAAATGGTCAGAATGGTATGATTATGACAAGTGGTATTACACCTGACGGTAAAGGCAGTCAAAAGAAGCGCAAAAAGGATGCAGGGCAAACGGGAGATGCAACTTCAGCCACCAAGAAGCAACGTGTTGATGACCAGGCGTCCTGGGCACCGACTGTATCCTCTTTGATCACAGCCGTGGATATTCCTGTGTCGCTCACCGGATATGGACGCATGCCGACCAATGAGGAAGCGCTGCCACCAGCACCCCCAGATCTCGTACCAAGCGTACCAAACTCACCCCACAATCGCAATGCCCTGCCCTCAGCACCTCTTGCAACCGACACGACTGCATCTGCGCTGCCATCTGCCCCTCCTGCGGACGCAAATCCACATATCTTACAGCAGCATCAGGCGCCATTGCCACAAGCACCGCCACAGTACTGGTATGCTACTGCCGACGGCCAGCATCACCTCCAACAGCAACACAATCAACCCGCACAATCAGCAATGGGCCCCTACGGATCGTATCCATCCAATTACTATTGGCAAAATGCATACGGATTTTCCCATCAGCAGCAACATCAGCAACATCATCAGCAGCAAACTCCTCCTAGCGTGGATGAGTATGGATATGGTTTCACGTTTGGTATGCCTGGTTCACAGGCGCCGGGGATACAGGGTTATCCTTTCCCTAGTCCGTACGAGCAAGAACAGCAGCACGAATCAGCTAATCATGAGGCCCATCCACAGGTCTACCGTTGAGGGTGGCATTGAGAGATATGTATAAATGGTCATGTTGAGCGAAGGTTCAACAGGGTCTCTAGGATAGCGTTTCGTTTGCTTGTGTATAATTCTTGCTTGTTGTTAGCAAAGTGTGCTTGGGTCTGTACAATGGATATCAATTTTTGGGCCGTCTGGCGAACACTGCCAGATTACAATTGTTTATAAAATATTAAATGCATCGTTTTAGGGAGGCAGTTTCGTCTTGCGTCTGTCCAACTTGGGAACCCAAAACGACCCTCAACGGCCAACGGAGCGTGCAGATAGATGCGGCCATTGGATCGAATGAGATGAAATGCAAGATGCCTCCCTCGATTTCGGCAAATGAACTATGCACAAAAGATGCTCAACGGGTCCAATATGTGTGGCCAGTATGAAAACAGGTCCAATAACTGCAGTGCAATTACTATCCTTTGCGGCCATCTATGAGAGGAATATTCGCAGTTGCCACCTGCATACATGCATGACTCAATATATCGACTCAGTTTTTCTATATAAACCCCCCCTCGTCCTCTTCCCCCCATCTTGTTCTTTATCCCTCGACTTGCAAGCATCTGCCCAACGCTCAAGCAACTCTCAAGTCCATCATGAGAATGCCACTCTGGTGCCGAGGACCTCGCCCTCCCGACAACAACAACATAACCCCTTGCAAACGCTGCTACTACTATATTGCTACGATCGCAGGTAATATGATTTTTCCCACGCGCGTATTACCCAGTCTAATTCTGATTTTACTAGTATCTGAAACATCCTCCGACCAAGAATTTCGGAATCAAAGGGCGAGTAGGATTTCTCTCGTGGTGGTGGGCAAATTATCCGGTTTAGAAGAGCCGTTACGTATTGCGTGCATAATTGCCTAGTAGTAGTTACCAGGATGTTACAGGATTGATGTAGTCCTTTAGATTTCACGCTTCTTACTGTACTCACATCTGCGATGGTCAAAGATGACTACATTATTTGGAAGCTTTTCAATACATCGGGGAACGAGAAAAGCCGATGTTGTTCCATCGTCGTGAAACCACATTTAGCCATGATATCTGATGCAGTGTTACCACCGACAACTGGCGCCGGTGTTATTGCATTTGTCCATATTTAGACTAATGACAGCGGCGTAGTCATATTAACTCGAACTCAGCAGGTCAAGACTGTTCGAACGCTCCAAAGCCGACGACGGGTTTTTCCTTGTACCCGGCCCATCCTTTGTTTTTGGAGTTTAAAAGGATCGGCCTGCATCTCTTCCTCCCTCATTCCCCGCATCTGAGACCTCGCATCTTCCTCTGCCACCATGGCTCCGTTCAAATCCAGCATTCCTGATGTTCCGATTCCTGTTACCGACACCTACTCGTTCATCTTTGAGTCAAAACTGCCTGCAACGCTTCCGCCACGTCGGGACCAAATCGCCCTTATCGACGCTGCAACCGACCAACGTGTAACATATGGAGAGCTCGTGCATAGAATACACCGATTTGCGGCCGGTGTCCGTTACAAATTGGGACTCAACAAGTGGGAGGTCGTAGGTGTCTTTTCACCCAACCAGGTCGACTACCCGACCGTCGTCTTTGGAGCCTTGAAGGCTGGTTGTACGGTCACACTGGCCAACCCTACTTATACTGCCGACGAGCTGGCATGTATGTTATTGCAATGCAGTGCATATTACGTTCCGTTGTTTTATCTGTCATGCCCTAAACATTGCATTTTCCAGACCAATTGACGGATGCGGGAGCCAAAATCCTAATTACGTGTGCACCATTGCTTCCTGTTGCTACCGCTGCCGCCGCAAAAGCTGGTATTGCCGCCGACAAGATATTTATTTTCGGTCGTGAACAGGTGCAAGGCAAAAAGACCATCTACGATATCTTCTCATGCGAGTACCTTGCCCCGATCCAGTTCACCAAGGAGGAATTGTTGAACAAACCCGCCTACCTCTGCTATTCGAGTGGAACGACGGGAAGGAGTAAAGGTGTAGAAACTACTCACTACAACATGGTGGCCAATGTCGCGCAACTCGACGCATATTACGTGCACAGCAATCAATACCGTCCCAATGATGTCTGGACGGGTGTCCTCCCCTTTTATCATATTTATGGTTTAAACTTGTCCCTCCACACCTGCTTCTATGCCGGAATCTCATTGGTCGTCTTCCAAAAGTTCGACTTGGTGGCCTACCTCGAGGCACTTCAAAAGTACCGTGTAACGTACACCCACATAGTTCCCCCAATCATTCTCGGTTTGGCAAAGCATCCCATCGTGGACAAATACGATCTTTCGTCCCTGCGGATGATACTCTCCGGTGCAGCACCTCTTAGCGGTGATGTCTCGAGGGCAGCTTCTGCTCGTCTCAAATGCTCGGTTCTTCAAGGATATGGCATGACAGAATCGAGCCCTGTCACTCATGTCGGCGTTGAAGGGAAAACTCCCGATGGCGCTATCGGTGTTCTTGTTCCAAATGTGGAAGCCCGCCTTGTTGACCCTGACACTGGAGAGGATTGCGCCGTCAACCAGCCTGGTGAACTTTGGGTCCGTGGGCCAAATATCATGAAAGGATATCACAACAATGACGAAGCGACAAGAAACACCATTGATGCTGAAGGATGGCTTCACACTGGTATGCACCTTTTACCATGCAGTTCCTAGACTTAAGTATTAATGTCATCCTTTGTTTCAGGTGACATTGCGTATGCCGATAAGAATGGCTTCTTCTTCATTGTTGACCGGCTCAAAGAGCTTATCAAATACAAAGGGTTCCAGGTCCCTCCAGCCGAACTGGAAGGTTACCTACTAACCCATCCGGCCATTGCAGACGCAGCCGTCATCTCCCGTCCCGATGAAAGCGCCGGGGAGCTCCCCCGTGCCTATGTGGTTCTCAAACCAGGAGCGAAGGCAACCGAGCAAGAGGTTCAAAAGTTCATTGAAGGAAAAGTTGCTCAACACAAGCGATTGAGGGGAGGGGTTGCCTTTGTGGACGAGATTCCTAAAGCGGCTAGTGGAAAGATTTTGCGACGAGTCTTGAGGGATATGGACAAGGAGGCTATGAAGCGGGAGGCTGCCGCTGGCAAGGCGAAGCTGTAGGTGATGGTGGAACGAATAAAGGAAAATATATGCCCGGACAGAGTAGTTGTGTTCAGGTCAGTTAGAACATTGTTCTATATATGTTTTATTGTAGTATTTAGTGTAAGCTAGAAGCCTGCACAAAGGTAAAATAGATGGACCATTTGGCAAATAAAATGCAGTTGTCTATTGTCCAAACTATGTGCAGCCCCATAATGATCTGCCATTTACATCGGCGTCGCAGTTATGGTTTGTGATCATACGATAACGCTCTTACAAACACCTAGAATCGGTCGCAGAATCCATAAATGAAACAACGAAATCTATAATACAATGTACATCATCCTTCTCGCAACAGAAGTAAGCCCACAGTTATGCTATTCTATTCCTATTCCTCGCCATCTATTTCCATCGGAAGACTATGCGATTCCTAAGCAGTGCGATGCAAATTGGGGGTTAGACCACTCACAAGAAAAGAAGACGTTCCATAGCACCTCACCGTGGCACCAACCAACGTCAGACACTCATCCACTGCTCGGAATAAGATTTGATTCTCGTTAGCGACCTTCATATCTGTTAGGGCATCGATGATCGCCTGACTATGGGAGTATGGGGTATTCGCGAGCTGAAAAACAAGTGAATTTTACAGCTCCGCTTGCTGAAGACATCAACCAAAGTAAAGCCTTACTTTCCACTCCTCTCGAGTCATGAATGCCACTAGTATTCTGAGAGCATATTTCTTTACTCCCATATACTTATCCCGGAGTACACCATCTGGGCCTCGGTATAGCTGAGAAAGACATGTTAACATTATGAAAACACTTGTAACAACCTGGTTGTGTCACACCTCTAACTTTCTGAAGTATGGCAAAAGTCGCTCTATCAGCTCCCACTGTTTCGAACCGTTAAAACCCTCATATATATCGACCGCCGAATCGATCTAAAAACGACGACGTTAACAATAGCGGGTTTTGACAAGTAAAAGGGAAATCGTCGATTGAGTACCAGTGCCACACAGTACCCCACAACTTCTACAGGGCTATCCTCCAGCATGTTGACCAACTGGCTCATCCATCGCTGTGCAATCTGCCTACGGAGATCTAATCACGTAGCTTGAGTCAACCGCGGACGATACAGGAACGTCAGGAAAGAAGAAACGCACCGTCGACAAGTGGCCGAATCATAGGATCGGTTGACTGGACTAGAAACACAAGTAACCGTAACTAGGTAAAGATAAACGGTCAGTCTCACCCAACGTCACGAACTTACGTCAAGCATCAACCTACTGCGTTTTTCACCACAAGGGAAGTAGCACCTGCGCTCACCGTTTCCCAAATATACGATAGTCAAAACAGAGCATTTATTGGTACTCTCAAAACCGACTTGGAATTCCTTCCCGAGGCACTTACCGTTCTCTTCAGACACCACCAAATTTCTATCCATGCAGTTAAAAATCTCTGGCTGGTCCAGGACAGACTTCCATCGTTTTCTATTCTCTTCCCTGAGTAAGGGGACGTATTAGGCGCAATCGCCATAATAACGGTGATTCTTTGCAAAACGCACATTTGTGACACACTGCCATCCTTTCGCAAATGCTGTTCCAGAACAGACACGTAATTTCCTAATACTCGCAGGCATTTACTTCGAAGGGAACCAGTGGTCTCACTATTGCCGGCTACTTGCAATAGTGTTGAAACCAACTCTACAGGCATGTCATAAACGCGATATGTTATCGCTTTGGAGGTTGTAAGAAGGTTCACGCATGTGTCCGGCGTAGTTGTGGCAGAGGTTTCCAATGTCGTTACGATTGTGGCAAACTCCTCCGGTTTGCAAGAGACAATGTCGGGAGAGGGGATAACGACAGACACCCGATCATCAGCTTTCATGATCTTTCTGACCGGCGTGCTTAAAAGCCGTTTCAATGGCGACTCTTGAAGATTCTCAGCCGCTGCACGTCGCGACGGGGTGCCAATCGGTGTCTCAGGTCTTGAAGCTTTGGGACTCAGATAGCCAAGAATAGAGCCGGGACTTGAAGGTGCAACTCTTGATGCCGTCCCGGGTAGGGATGCCTATAACCAATAGTCAGACATGACCGGTATGCAAATCACTGCCACCGCCGATCTTACCACAGAACGAGTGCCATCCCGAATATGCCAGCGCGGTTTCTGCAACCGTGGCATGACAGTTAACCTGCAACCGAAAGTGTTTCCAAACATTCCAGTACTATACCTACCTGATCATTTCCTTGCTTTTCCCTCACTGCCACTTCTCTTATCTTTGCTTCAATTTGCGCTTTGGAGACTTCGGGGCATCTACAGTATCCAAGTTTCTATTATTTACTGGCAAGAATAGACTATTGACGTGGGGCAACAATAGTAACATACCTGCTCTTGATTTCATCCACCAATTTAGATATTCCTTCGGTCCGCCCGGAGATCATCTGCAGTTGAGATTGCTTATCAACAAAGGCAAAGCATAAAGTGTATATCAAGGAATGCCATTACCTGAATCAATTCCGAAATGCGTTCCTCTGGGAAAGCTGCCTTCTTGCTTCCGGGAGTTTTCCTCACCGTCGTATCTTTTACTGTACCATTATCAAGTACAGTCTGTGGGTCCTCTTTCATTGCACCACTTTCGAACGGGTCAATGTTCACGCAGATATCTGACCGGGTGCGGGTTACCACGGCTTGATCAACGTATTTTGTTATCAAATGAAGGACCCTTACCCAGGAGAGATTGCGCACGATACTGACTCAACGGGTGTGTCGTATCGTCCACCTCGTACGCATTAACCAAATGAGGTCCTTTTATATCGGGAACCAAGGCTGCCAGCACGCCCCATTTTGGTCGCTCCTTTGCTCGTTTGGATGTTGGGACAATTTGTTGAGCGCCTAGCAGTGTTCAATAGCAAATTACGTATGTGGAAGGTGTTTGATTTGATGTTGAAAGTCTCCACTCACGCTTGATGGCCTCCACTTCATCTTCCGCATCCTTCTCCACCCCTTCATCATCTGACAAGTAGCCATGTGGAACCAACCAATTATCCTAAGATCACGTCCGTTTATAAAGAGTTTATCCGTGTGTGTAGACTGCACGAAAAATACCTCGTCCTCATCGGCATCGCCCACCTCTGACCCGTCCTCCTCATCCTCATCATCACTCCGCAGCTCTTCCCCAGGTTCTTCCTCCTCCCACTCTGCTTCGCTGTCATAATCATACTCCAGCAGGTCGATGTCTTTGGCAAAAGGTCTTCTCCCCGTAACCCGAGTGCTTTTCTTTGACCATGTTCCCCAGTACGCTGGCCGAAAGTTCTCGTGAAATTGCAGTAACTTCCACTTCACCTTTCCAAGTGTGCTCAGAGTATCATCTTTATCTATATCCATAGCATCCGTAGGTTTTCCCTCAGATTGCTGAGCCGTTCCATTGATGATGCGAGGAAAGCATGGTAATGAGACTTCCTCATCCTTGAACAGGGTGTCAACAATGTCTGGTGGCAATTCTCTCCAGAACCTATTATAAGGAGCATGGAAGACTCGCTCCTTTTTATGGAACGGCGGGAAATGTTCCCAGAAGGTCTGCGTTTCTGATTTAACTGGCACCGGTAATTCTTCTTTCGTCTCGTCTTTCTTTCGGCGCGAGAAAAACCCTGCGATACTCAACTGTTTGGCCTTTGCTGCCTCCTCCGCTTCTCGGGCTGCCTGCTTTTCTGCCTCCAATTTCTCCTTCTCCGCCTTTTTCTCTGCGACTTTCCTCTCCTTCTCAGCCTTTTTCTCCGCCGCTATTCGTTCCTTCTCGACCTTTTCCGCCGCTTTTTCTGCCGCTTTCCTTTCTCTCTCAGCTTTTTCCGCAGCCTTTTCAGCAGCTCTCTGTTCCTTCAACTTCAATTTCGCGTCTTTTTCAGCTAATCTGGCAGCATTTCTGGCTTCTGCCTCCACCCTCTTCTGGTCATTACGCGGACTACAGTCGCCGGGTAGCAATTTCGTTTGTTCTTCCACAGAAAGTTTTTCGAAAATGTCGTGCAAAATCCTAGCTGCCTGGCGTCGTTTTGCCCGTCTTTGACGAATGTGATCCGCCATTTCACTGGTGAATAAGGATAGATCTTGCACTTCCCATCGCCAGACTGCCAATTTCGGGCAAGTGGAGCCTCTCCATTGTATGCCATAATTTTGCCGTTCTGCGATCGCTTGGATCCCAGCTTGGATCGACTCGGACCGAATAAAATCTTCATCTTCCTCCTGGTCATCAAAGGAAGGGGGACAGAGCGCTTCCCTAACGCTTTCAGCCAACATCTGCAGCTCGAGGGGACTTTCCTCTATTAATTTCGCCAAGAGGCCTCGGAATTGCGATGGTATTTCGTCCAATGCAGCTGAACTCTGTTCCTGCTTAAATTCGAAAAAGGCAGCCAGCTCGGACACAGTCGACGGATGCCTTGAGAAATTCATCTTCTTTTCTAAAAATACGACTTTCCCCTTGCTGATATCGACCGGAAACGGTGCTGTATCTCCTTCTTTCCCATGTTCATGCTGGAGTTTCTGCTTTTTACGTGACGAATGTTCTGTTGCTAATATGGTGGATGTTTCCTGATCAATCTGCGTTGGAGAGACTGCTTCACGAACGGTGCCGGACGGCCTCGGGATTTCGTTTAATTCGTTGGGTTCTTTGCGCTTCTTTGCAGTCTTCGCCTCGCTTGCCCTGTCTTGGTCCAGACCGCTTTCTTGGGTACTACTCTCGGATGCGACATGAAGTGTACCTTCGACAACTGAGAAGGAATACGAATACAGCGGTGAGCATTCGATCATTCACCCAGAGGAGACATTTATCAACGTCGTTCTTTTACCTGTTCGCTCAGGAGTTGGCGAGGAAGAATCCGCTCCCTTTCGTTGAAAGAACTTGTGCAAAGTAGAAGACGGTGTCGAGGGTTTGGACGAGGTTTCTCCATTTGTTACACTTCGCTTCTGTGCACTGGCACGCCTTGGCCCGTTATCCGCGACCATGGTTGGCGTGATGCCTGCAGAGGTGCAGCGTTCCGTTGCCGATGTGAAATGTCAATGAGCCTGTCTCATTAACCCAAAAATGGACAGATGGAAAGTCCGAAATGTTAGTCCGAATCCTCCAAGATTTCAACTTCCGCTAATACGACAAGTCACCATAGGCAGCTGTGGACGGCCGGTTGACAAAGCGGCCTGCCGCCTCGAGATGGCGGTGATTGCCTGATAACATTGAGCAATGTGAAAATAGCACGAAATGCGACGAGTAGCAGTTCCCGATTATGATTTCCACTAAATACACAGATTAAGTACAAAGTATTCTATTCTGGAGAAATCTGCTGTTTCTTGCCCGGTAACCATCGCCGCCACCTCGATGGTTGTGGAATATGCGCATGCAATCGTTCTTCAGTCTCTTCATTTAGATCTATTTGCAGTTCCTCGTCCAGTCTGTATATCCCATAGACAGGCTTATGATCACTGTCAATGACGTCTGGGCAATCGGTATACACTTCCACATGAACCCGTTGATTGAGTCCTGCTCCTAGTGCCGTGATTGCGTTTAAGCCCGCGGTACTTTTCGTGGTCCCTGATGTTGACTGCAGTCTTGTCCGAAACAGTATCCGATCAGTGTAGCTCGGCATACGTTGCTTGGATGATGAATCATAACCGGGCATGAAGGAGAGACTGGAAGGGGTTGATGGTGGAGATGTGGGAGATGTCGGAGAACCAGGTAGCGTGTCAAACTTGAAGGTCGGTTTGAATTTGATGTTTCCCTCGGAGAATCCTGGAAATATGAGGCTGGCTTCATAGGCGCGGCGAAGCTCATCGTTTGCCAGGAAGATCTATATATGCGTCATTAGCATCCTGAAGGCAGGCACGTACATAACAAGGTCAGAGCGCTGAAACTAACCCCAATCTCCGGCTCTTCTTTCCCAAGCAGGGCTTTTGCGAGTCCCACTTTATTGACACCCAAGTTTGTCCTATAGTTCAAATCTCCCATCCAAAAGACATAATCAAATCGCTCCACCACACCAGTACAGCCTAATAACGACACAAGGGAATGTCGGCGTCGTTTTTTAAAGATGCATCAGATCAAGGTCCCTTTCTTCAATTACTTACCCCCATCTTCGGGCCCGTATCCAGGTAATGGCATTGTTTCGTTTATTTTTTTCCAGTCAGCGTTACGACGTTCCACAGCTCCTTCATGTGCTTCATTCCGAGGAACCCATTAAGCATACAAGATCAAGGGTGATTGTTTGCGGCAACTGACCTTTAAGGTGCGCATTTATAAAGCAGAATGAGCGTCCGCAGAACTGGAATGAGATCCCCACTGCTCCTTTTGCACCATTGAGATACACTTTGACGTCTCCTGACATGACATCTGTTCAACAATCAAACGTTCAACAAACAATGTGGACAATTAAACTTTCCTCGTACAACAGACCCGCACCTTGAACATTTTTTGCAGTCCATCGCACGACAAATATTGCCAGATGTAACCCAACTAGCGTTTTAGTTCCTACAAGGACATAGCGGGGTCCAATCACTTCTTTCAACAGCTCGAGCCACCGGGATTTCTCTTTAGGCTGACGAATTCCTGCCGTTTCGAGGCGTTCTTCGCATTCCTGGGTGCCGATGATGAGCAACTGACAGTTCTTGAAAGGTGGCCGGGTATTGGTGCGACGGTCACCCAAAAAGGAGCTTATATTGCCTGTCGGTAGCTGGGGAGCGGGTTAACAACCTTGTGGCAGAAGGATGCACGGCAGAGTACTCACCCGGGCGTTCATATTCCAAGTTCCAACGAAAATTCGCAGAGGTTCTGTGATTATGTTCTCTCGGCTGTAACTGAATGCATGACGCAAGGTCCGGGCGAGATGGTTCCAGCTGCCACGTAGACTGGTCCCCGAAGAGAACCCTAAAGAGAATATTATAAGATACAGGTCAACAGAAGAGGTCATTTTCCGGTACGTACCTTTCAGGTTACTATGCGAGGCGTTGTGTGTCAAGTCTTGGGGAGGAGAAAGCTGTTCAATGGGTTTTACTGAGGTCGTTGAAATTTCATCCAGTTGTCCGGGCGGCCGAGGTGCAGTGCGGATTGGAGGAAGAGGATCTCGTTTCGCAACAGGTTTCACTGCGATCCCGTCGTCAACAGGTTTTACAACATTTGTCCTTTTCCGTTTCTTTGCTTCAGTATTTGAACTCAGCTCTTGACTTTCCGACCTCCGAAAGATCTGCTTCCAATCATTTGGAAGGGCTGGCGCATGAGTTTGACGAACGTTACGAACGCGGCCAGCAGGATCAAGTTTCGCCTCAGGGATGAGATCTGAAGATTCTTCCGCAACTTGTGGGGATGTAGTTTCATCTTCCTCTCTTTTATCCACAGATATTTGGGGAACCGCAAGCTCAGGAGTTCCATGGCCCGTTCTCCGCTTCCAAAATGCACACCCCAACCATGCGCAGCAACCAATTCTGGTCGCATCATCCTCATCGGATGGAGCTGCAAGACCGTTCGTCCTCGTTGGAGCGATCCTGGAGCTCATATGGAGTGGCAGACTTCATTTCATTAAAGAAACGGTTTTAGATGGTTCCCCTTATGTGCTTTCTGGGTAGGATTCGGACTATTTCATGGTGGTGTGATCGGAACCCAATTTGTTTTGAGGGTCACAGAAGGACCAACAACGCTGGTTGCGCGCTATTTGAAAACAACCAAAGCCATAACGTGTAGGCCAATTCCCACAAATTGCTGAACACATTTCCAACGCGAATCACCAGGACACACGACGCAATGGATCCCTATACCAATTGGTCCGCCACCTTGAAATCATTCCACGACCATTTTAGAAGAGACCTATGCCGACTTATTCAAGCACGTTGATAGATATCACCAAATGGCTGATTACTCTTGTTAACTCAACCCAACCATCTTACAGGAAGCTGAATCTCTGAAACGGAAATCTCCAAAACCTCTGCTTCGCTCCACGGCTCAGTATCTCTCCTATCTACATACGCATCACACAATAGAAGACCGCCGCATTTTTCCCTTCCTGGCACGGAAGATGGACGTAAGCGGCTTTGCCAAAGACCATAAGCAACTCGAAAAAATTATGGAGAAGATTGAGCAGACTTGCGAAGAGGAAAAAAGGAAAGGAGAAAGGTGTCAGGAAGAAGAGACTTTTGATGTTGAGGGGTTTACAAAGCTTTTAAAGGAGCTGCGGGATTTGGTCTTCCCCCATATGCGGCTGGAGGAGGACCTGACTGCTCCAGAAAAGATGAAGAGCCTATTTTCACCAGAGGAGATGCGGCTTATGCTGTCATGAGCTGACTGGCGCTCTATACAACGTAAATACAATCCGATGGAATTCAGGGTGAAGCCAAAATCAAAAGATGAACGTCCAAGAGCTGTAAGGCGGCACTAATGCCACCACTTCCTGCTGTTCATTCGTCTCTTTTTGCAGTTCCTCTTTTTAACATCCCAACCCCAAAAACCCCACACGAAAGTTGGAACACATTGTAAATAGACGGGTCGACAGTCCCCAGGATTTTTCATGCCCTTTGTTTATCTTGCATTGTGGGCTTTGACATGCGCTTGCACGTGATCGGGACCAGATGCCGCACGCAGGTCGGAGTCGCAGCAGTTTACACTGCCCAACGCCGTCATGCACGAGATCCCCGCTTGAAAACCTATTCATCAGTTCTTAGAGACGCATACCCTCGGAACTGTATACACAAGGTATCCCTTTCGATAGTTCCCTCTGTCCTCGGCTTCGAATACCTGCTTTGCTGCTGGTTTCATTTATTCCTCTCCAGTACCATCTACCTCAATGACCTCCCCTGAACACAGCTGGCGACGACCAGACACATCGTCCTTTTCAACAGAACAAAGGAGCACTACAACGGAGCTTGGTCAAAAAATGAATACCCCTTCTCCACCGCCTTCAGCCCGGGATCGATTCGATATCGGTTCACTGTCACTTTCGGCGACAAATCCCTTTTTAGCTGGGGCTGCACGAGAAGTGTCCATGTCGGCGTTGGGAGGGCGCGGAACGCATGCGGGTGTCTCTCTAGGCCAGGCAACTACGCCGCAGACAATGCATGCCCAGGTTGAACCATGGTATCATAACTCTTCGCAGCCAAATCTTTCAAGTACGTTCATGTCAACTATATCTAGTGACTCGGGAGCGTCAAGCCCTCCAAAGGCATCACCTGTTTTCGATCCATTTGATGACACACATGCTAGTGAGGCAAATATCTCTCCCAAAGTGGAAAGATTAAGCCCGATGAACAATGGAGGAATTGGCGCCGGACCAGCAAGTGCGGCGCGTATCAGTGAGATGGCAAAGGGGCTTGAAGTGCAACTTGGGCGAGATCTTCCTGAGAAATCATTTAATTTTGGAGTGCGAAGGAGTACGGTCGCAGATATCCAGACAATTCAAAATACGTCATCCATTAGCAAATTGCTAACAAGTGAGGCACGCAGCATATCCGCTACTACCTCAAACCTCCCTAGAGGGAGTTCGGCATTGGCTGCCGAGAACTCCACCGGAGGCGGCGTGAAAGATCTTGCGCGTGCTTTTGACGGACTCTCGGCTACAGCGGGAACAGGCAGCAAGCCTGTGCAATCTTCGGTTTTTCAGCCTTCTGGTAAAGCATTCCCGGGCTGGGTCACTTTCGAGGAGAGTGGTTCAGCAAACAACTCGACCGCTATAGCTCCTACAGCTGCAAACACGGCAGCAAAGCAGGTGACAGAAATGCTCCCTTCTGTAAAACCTATTACTGTCGGTAACAGACCTTTACCGATCAACACTGTAAACCTGTCCCCTGGTTTTGAAGACTTGCGCAGAACGGCTGGGTCTCAGCCCTTAGGGTTTTCTGCATCTGCTGGGGCACTTCTTCCACCTCCTCCTGGGAGCAAAATGTCTCCAAGGCGAACCCGAAACGGTGAGATATCAAACACCAGTCCCCTGGAGCTTTATGACGAGCCTTCATCAAATGCAAGCATACATCCGTCTAGACTGGCCTCGTCACCCTCTATATTAACTTCACAGGACGTACTTGATGACGCACGACCAACCTTTGCAAATCCCTTTGGGGACGAGTTTGACATTGCGAAATCTGCACCAAGCAGTGAAGATGAACATTCTGGAGATGATGATGACCGTAATGAGAACGAAAAAGCTCGTCTGGCAAATTTAAAAAAAGCCAAGAAGGCAAAGGCGCGGATGTCAGGAGGGAAGCCTGGATCCGTTGCAGCCTTAGCCCAAAGTTTTGGATCAAGTAACGCGTTGGACAGCGTAAATCCTCCTGCATTGGGACGAATAGGAAAGCCAAGCATTCATACGACACCAGATCAACCTCTCCCGCCATCTATGTCTGATCGACACAATATTCACTCGAATCCCTTCTCGGAGATCATTACCCCACCCTCGCCCCTCGTACGAATGGAGTCACCTCACCCGAGAGTAACCCAAACCGACGCAGTGCGCCCAGTATTATCAACAAGCCCTCAAAAACCCCCTCTTCCACCACGACCGGTTTCTCCAATGGATCGACAAACAGCCGTGCGCCGGGCCGCGTCACCAAATGCTGTCACCCTACTAGACTCTGCACCACCTTTACCCGCGCGTCCTGTTGCTCGAGCTGTAGAAGAGGCCCTTGAAGCATATGCTGCATCCGCGAGTCCCGCCAATACGGAAGCGCTCTCCGTCATAGATGATAGATTCGCTGCATTAAGAGGACGTGAAAAGTTGTACTCTCCCGATACGGTACACACGAACCGGCGGCCCCCTGTTGCGGAAGGTCTGCCGAACTCAGATCTGTATTTGAAAAGTCCCGCTCGGTGTTTCGCCGTATCTGGATACTATGCATGTACCGGCTCGGAGAAAATACGAGTGTGGTACATTCCAAGTGGGGAGAACATGCGTACGGTTTCTATTGGCGAGTCTAAAATGTATGCTATGGCCTTTGCACCAACGTATTATATGGAAGATGAAGGCCGCTATTTATGGGTCGCGTTGGAAAAGGGTGAGATTATTGAGGTGGACATCAGCGTTGGGGAGATTGTAGATCGGCGATCGCTTCATTCTGCAACAGTGACACATATGCTGCGGTATCATGGGCAACTCTGGACATTAGATGAGAATGGTGGGCTTAAAATCTGGAGCATAGACGCAGACCGACATAGAATAACCCTACAGCAACGACCACGGGTGATTAGAGTGAGTTCAAGGCAAACGGTTGCCTTTGCAGCCAATGGTCGCTTGTGGACTGCAGCGGGCAAGATGATCGAAGTGTACCATCCCACGGAAGAGGCCTCCTCCTGCTTTCAGCAGAGGTTTGACGGAACCCTGACTGCAGGTCACGTCACCTGTTTCGCGGCGACGCGAGATGGTACAACAGTGTTTTCCGGTCATGATGACGGAAAAATTACAGTGTGGGATGCAGTGACCCTTGCGAAGAAGCGCATAGTCAATGCGGGGATGTATCGCGTCACATCACTTTTAGGAATCGGGGAGCAGTATTTATGGGCGGGATTCTCTACGGGAAAGATTTACGTCTACGATGTCAAACATATGGACGGCGGTTGGACTGCCGTCAAAGAGTTTCCTGCGTACCATTCTGCAAGTGTGGATGAGCTCGTAATGGACGAGCGTTCCATATTCCTTTCTGGACGCCTTCAAATTGCCAGTATGTCCGATAATGGCCAGATCAGAATGTGGGACGGCTTTTTGACTAGAGATTGGATCGAAAATCAATTGAGATTACGTGAACATGAGTGTTGTACCTACCGCGATTTAAAGGTCCTTATTTGTAGTTGGAATTTAGACGCCAGCAAACCAGCGGAATTGGAAGAGAGCAGGGTGCCAGAAGAATACAATTTCCTGAACAGATGGCTGACGGTGGCCGACCAACCTGAGATCATTGTGATTGGATTCCAAGAGCTTGTGGACTTGGAATCGAAAAAGGTCACTGCAAAGCAATTGTTGAAGGGGACCAAGAAATCTCAACAAAGTCATATGGATCATCGATTTAAACTGTGGCAAGAGGCGCTGGTGCGTGCAGTGGATATGGCACAATCCAAGGCGCGGTATCGCGTTGTGGAGTGTCGGCAGCTGGTCGGTCTATTTCAATGCGTCTTCATTAAGGAGACAGAGATGGGCCGAATAAAAGATATTGCTGTCAACATGGTGAAAACAGGGTTGAAAGGATACCATGGAAACAAGGTGCAAATCGACTATGCTATTGTTATTGCTTTGGCCACCACGGGATACTCATGCAAATTGTACGGTAGGGCGGCATTGCAACAAGATTTGTACTCGATGACAGTTCTTTCTGCTTTGTCAACTGCCATCTGGCAGCACATCAAAACCAAGTGTCGGCACGTAACAATGACACGGCTACGATCCTGAAGGATGCGCACTTCCCCCCTAAACCATCATACGAAGGTGTATTTGTCGGAGGTGGAGACGGATCATTGATCTTGGTACGTTGGAAAACTCTTCCGTGCAGACCGGATAGAGTCTAATACGCGATGATGACAGGACCATGAGAATGTCTTTTGGTCCGGCGATCTAAATTATCGTATTGATCTCGCCCGTGAGCGTGTCGTTGAGCTTGTGGAACAGCAAGATTGGGCAACGCTCCAGGAACATGATCAGCTGATCCGGCAGATGATGACAAATCCTTCGTTTGGACTTCGAGGGTTCGCGGAGGGGCCGCTAAACTTTGCCCCTACGTTCAAGTATGATGTGGGGACGGATCGGTATGATACAAGCGAAAAGCGGCGAGTTCCGAGTTGGTGTGATCGGGTGAGTTTGCTGGACCTTTCAAATTGACTGAAGCATGAAACGCCGATCTTACTGGTTATATTGTACCAGGTCCTCTACCGAGGTCCCGACGTCCGCCTCCAGATCTACACCCGCTTTTCACCAACTATCAGTGATCACCGTCCCATAGCCGCTAGCTTCATCGTCCGGGTAAAATCTGCGAACAATGACCTCTTCGTACCCGTAAAAGGCGACGTGGATGCGAAACTTCAATTCTATCTATCGCGAGCAATCGAAATTGAAAAGATCCAGTGGCTGTGCGATGTGAGTGGATGCTCCCGTGAAGTGGCTAGAACGTGTTTGGGAGATGTGGGGGGTGAGCTACGTCTGGCCCGAGATAGGATCGAAACCATGGGTTTGGGATCTGGAGGTTGAATACTTTCATTTTACTATTCTGCGTGTGCACACCGGCCTGGACCCTGGACTGGGATTTATTTTTTTTCCTGTATATTCAATTATTTCATATTATTATTATTTGGAGACTATGTAATAATGAATGCATTATTATGTTCCAACGCATCGCCGGATACCAGGGATTATCATGATCACATGTAAATATAGGCCTCGATCATTTCCAGGGCCGCGCAAACAAATCGATATTTTCACAATGTTTAAGAAAAATAAAGGCGCCCATTTTGTTTTGATACCCGGCTGCTGGAACAATACCCAACACCCCCTACGCTTTTCATCTTGCTTGTCTGATCCTATAGGGTAAAGAACTACTTCAGCTTGGTAAGCCTATACAGTGACAATGCATTGTCCTCATGATCTTGGGGTATTTTTAGTTTTATGTGATCTGGCAGTGGGCCCGGTAGATCTGGTAGGTTTATTGTTTTTCATTTACACACAATGCTAAATAAAGCCCTGAGGGTATTATCTCTGCAATGAGAGCGTTTGGTGATGGTTGGCGGACGCTTGGAGAGCGCCGCCTGCCCAGTGTCTTTGCTGATGAATAGTTTCCATCGGTACGGTCGGGAACGCCGTGTATTGACCTGGCTAGATCCCTGTTTGTTCAGTGCGCAAACTGAATGAGGCAAATGCCACCCCCAATAGAGTCCGAAAGGCCTCGCTAAGTTTATTTGTAAGTGGATATTCAGATCTGTGGAATGGATATAGACTTCATTGCAAGAAACGAACATGGCGAGGAGGCAAAAAGGCTCCTTATAAAAACCGAAGTGGGGGGTACTCGTCTCCCCATTGCATTCCTTGGGTGCGCTCCTTGTTCCTTCACCTATTGTTCGGCTTCAAGTCTTTAAGAGTCTCACTCAAAGCATATACTTAAAGTTCCAACGACCCAGATCTGCAACATGAGTGATCCCCTCCTCGGTCTCGCTCTCTACCTCCACAAGCTCGCTATAGCAAACGTCACAACATCTCTTCTTCTCAATGTTCTCAACATCGTTACGTACATTTCCCTATTCGAAACACGATGGACAAAAATGTCGTCGACGATCATGTTCCAGATCATAGGAAACATTGTGCACACGGTTTTGTTCTACATTTCCGTATTCGAGGTTAACAACATGAACTACGCTTGGGTCATATTCGATGGCATCGGCTACATTGTCATGGCCAACGCTTGTGTCTGGATGCTTCGGGATCGGTACAAGGTCTTTGCAGTGTCAAGCAATTACGTGGAAAAGGTGATGATCGGACTTGGTATTCTTCATTTGGGGATCATCACTGCCGACGTTATGGTGTTTGGTTCCTCCTTCTACCTTCCCCTCGACTGGGACCTTGTGAACAAAGTTGGAATCTTCACGAAGCTTCTGACCTTTGCGATTGAGATCTACATTGACCTCAACATGTTCCACGTCATTCGACGAAACGCCAGTCTGTCCAAAAGTCAAATCAACGACTTGCTCCGGTACATTATCTTCATCATCATGTTGAGTGTTGGAGAGCTCTGCTATGCCAAGCTGGTGCACTTCAGCTTCGACGTGCTCAGCAAGTGTCCCATCTACGCCTTCAAAACTCTCTTTGTGCTCCGATTATTCGATAACATCAAGAAGGACAAGTTGAGGAGCAAGAACGGCACTCGAAAGGACTACGTGTCGGAGGTTTCGTCTGGAAGGGAGCAATCGGTAACTAGCGCAGCAGCAGGAAGAGACAGGAAGCCAAGCCAGACGCAGCCTCCTCAAATGGTTTGAAGATTGTGTAAGACCGGGTTGGGCAACTGCTTTCATATGGTTAAAAGGGAGGGACGTAGCGTAAAGAGGAACGATTTAGGGTATCATAAATCTTACCGTAAGATAAACCATTATATCCTTTATAAATCTTAGCGTAAGATAATATACCACTATACCTTTAATCGAACGAGATATTTGTCGCATTTGAATGACGAAAGTGGTGGCTTAGTTACGTGACATCCCGTGCATACCCCATCATCATCAGTTTCTTTCAAACATTCACGACTTGCATGCATGGTGGTGTTCACACATTCATGTTCGGAAACTGCGTAAACTTGCATAATAATTCCAGAGATGGCTCTTATTCCTTTTGGCGTCCTTTGCGAAAGAAAAATACAGCTCATCATTTCTTTCAAATAGACTCTTCTATAGCTTTCTGGGACGGACAATGGAGACATACCAAGTAGGTTTATTGGAGCATGGCATACATCTCTATGAGTTATTGAGCCCCAAAGTCTGCAGGAATCTTGCACTGCTAGAGTCTGAAAAAGTGGGGTAAACCACAGACTCCTGCTTATGCCATAATGTGGCCCAGTCATGCGCACGTGAACGGCTAATGATTGGTGGCATCAGAACAGCGCTATTATTTGTTTTAACGCTTTTTGGTGATCTCTGCAAACGACGTCGGGCATTTCCATAAAATGGCCGCAGTGCAGTACGGCAAGCTCCACTTGAAGACACATTTTCGAAATGTGACAACAATAGAGTCAATATATACGGGTGGGAAGGCTGTTATCACTCGCGATGAAGCGTTTCTTGTTACACCGGTTGCAGACGATGTCAATGTCCTTGACCTCACGACGGGCCGTACCGTTCACCGGCTTAAAGGCGAAGCAGATTCAATATCATGTATAGCCGTGAACCCCTCTGGAACACATCTCATGAGCGCTTCGCAAAGTCTATTATTGGTCCTCTGGGACCTCGCAACAGGTGAAAAAGCCAAGAGTTGGAAGGCTCATGAGGCACCCGTTCTTGCGATGGATTTTGATCCAACGTCAACACTTGTCGCGACAGGGAGTGCTGATAGCACGGTGAAGGTCTGGGATGTAGATGGAGGATACTGTACGCACAATTTCCGAGGGCACAGTGGGATTGTGAGTGTGGTCAAATTTCATCCTAATGCGAAGAAGTTGAAATTGGTGTCTGGAAGTGATGATTGTAAGATTCGGGTGTGGGATTTGCATGCGAGGTCTTGTGTGGCTGTTTTGGAGAGCCATGTGAGTGTGGTTCGCGGATTGGATTTCACTGCGGATGGAAAGTTTCTTGTGAGCGGTGCCAGGGATAAGGTGGTCAACGTCTGGGATTTTGAGACAGGGTCGTTGGAGAAGACTGTACCCATATATGAGTCGGTCGAGAGCGTTGGGCTGGTGTCGGCGGATGCAGATGTTCCTGTCGACGAGAGACGATCAAAGATCCTTGCTTTCACTGGTGGGGACAAGGGCATCGTGCGAATATGGGATCTAGAAGCCGGTACTTGCATCCTCGCTCAAGAACCGGAATTGAACAGCAAACACGTTATCATAGACGTACAATATCTCCAAAAAAGTAACACCCTCGTCGCCATCACAAGTGACCAAAACATTCTCTTTTACAATCTTACTTCGGGCTTGAAGCGTACTCGACAGATTGCAGGATACAATGAGGAAGTCTTGGATCTCAAATTCATGGGCCCAGAGGATACACACTTGGCTGTGGTGACAAACACGGAGCAAGTCCGCATTTACAACATGAGCACAATGAACTGTGACATTCTCTATGGACACTCCGAAATAGTAATGAGCATCGATCGGTCAAATGATGGGAGTTTGTTGGCATCTGGTGCAAGGGATCACAAAGTTATTATATGGAGATTTCTACCAGATGAGGAACCGAGCAAGCGGTACCAACAAATCGGTGTCGGCGTTGGGCACACCGAACCCGTTAGCACGGTCGCATTTGGACGAAAATCATCTCGATTCGCGCTATCCGGTTCCCATGATCGTACCATTAAGGTCTGGGAAATACCCGACACTTCGGCCTCAACCGAAGTCACCAAACTCAAAACCCGTTACACCTTCCAAGCCCACGACAAGGACATTCAATCCATCGCCGTGGCACCCAACGACAAAGTATTCGCTTCAGGCTCATTGGATAAGACTGCTAAGCTGTGGGCGATGGAGGACGGGCGGTTATTGGGAGTTTTCAAAGGCCACAAGAGAGGTATATGGTCTGTGGCGTTTTCACCGGTTGATCAAGTTTTGGCGACGAGTTCGACGGATAAGACTATCAAGTTGTGGAGTGTCGTGGACTTCAGTTGTGTCAAGGTCAGTATGTGTGTATATGTGTGGTGTTCTTGCAAAGGTGCTTATTTCTTTTTTGGTAGACGTTTGAAGGACATTTGAACTCTGTTCTTTCGGTTTCGTTCCTGTCGGCCGGGATGCAATTGGTGTCTAGCGGATCTGATGGGTTGGTAAAGCTCTGGACGATACGAAGCAACGAATGCGTGACAACTCTAGATGGACACGAAGATCGAGTGAGTTGAGTGGGAATAAAGTGTGGAATGTCTGGGACGTTTAATAACCGGATGTTTGCAGATCTGGGCATTGGCGGTACAGAAGGACGAAAAATACGTTGTGTCGGGTTCATCAGATTCTACCATCGTCGTATGGGAGGACATGACGATACAAGAAGAAGAAAAGAAGCAAAGAGAGAACGAGGAGCGGGTACTCCTGTAAGTCCCTCTCTAGACCAATCTCTCTCATGTACACGTCTCTAACACCCTCTTGTTCAACAGAGAACAAGACCTCTCCAATTACCTCCACAAGCGCGACTACAAAAATGCCATTCTCCTTGCCATGCGCCTAGACCAACCTTTCCGCCTCCTCACCCTTTTCGAAGACCTTTCCACGAACCGCCAAGACCCATCCAGCATTCTCGGCTCGACCGCCGTCGACAGCATCATCTCCAACCTAAGCGATTCCAAACTTGCTCAATTACTAAACTATATACGGACCTGGAACACAAATACCCGGCACGCACGCACCGCTCAGTCCCTCCTCCATGTCATTTTGAAAGCATATACTCCGGACCGGTTGATGCGTGTACCTAAATGTAAAGAAATTGTGGATGCACTTTTGGCATACACAGAGCGACATTTGAAAATTGCGGATGGGCTACTGGTGCAGAGTTATGTTGTTGATTATACTGTTGAGTGTATGGTTGGGTTTGAGGAGCAGGATGATCTAGAAGAAGGCCTGGAGGAAGGTAAAGTAGTGGGAGAAATGGAGGACTGGATGAATGGGTTGGTTAGTAATGGTGTGAATCGGTCGCATGAATATGGAATGTCGAGTGGGAGTGAGCCCGAGGACGAAGATGAACCAAGTAGTAGTGAACAAGAGGATCACAATGATGATGACGATGACGACGCAAGTCCATCGTCTGAGCAAGACAGTGGTGACGGATCAGAAGAAGAGGACGAAGAAGAAGAAGAAGATGATGATGATGATGATGGAGAAGAGAGTGAAAGCGACGGTGGGATGGATGTAGATGCATGAATCTGTAATTTGTACAATGGGTCATATCGTTAATTTATTTTATCGCAACATCAATTCCCTTGTTCGCTTGTTGGCTACTTTCCGGCAAACATTGCCGGTAAAAACCTCATATCATAGTGTGGAGGTGATTGAAAATGGCACTAAGACCCATTATTATCCGGATAATCCGGTTAATCATATCGCATAATCAGAACCCCCTCTATCGCTCAGATTGGTGTGGCATGCAGCGGTGTGGCATGCATGTATTGTTTTTTTTTTTAAACTGCGGTGAGGCGCATGCCAAAGGTCTATAAAAGGGGGACCTGCTCCCTCTTTCCTCTTTACCCATCCTCGACTCAAAGCATCCGCCCAACAAATCTCAGTCCACCATGAGAATACTGCTCTGGTGCCGAGGACCTCGACCGCCTGACAGCAACCGTAATCAGAACCAGCAGCAACCAATTGGATCTGATAACAAAGCTGCTATTATGCTGCCACACTTGTTGAGCTTGGTTGGTATGTACCAATGGCATCATCTCTTTTCATATTATTCTGTCAGTGACATGCAGTTTTTTTCTCTAGTCTCCAAGCCTTTGTTGCTGAACATCCCCCAGCTTGTGACGCTGCCCAGTCGATTCGCTCCTGGATGCAAGAGTCTGGCTTCAATGCCATCAAGAGTTCTGGATCAAGGCCTAGTAGGGACCGCGTGTGGTGGTGGGCAATTATCCGGTTAGAACCAACCGTTACGTATTGCGTGTATAATTGCCTAGTAGTAGTTAGTTAGCTTTTCCGAACCAGTTGTCGCTGGTTTATTCCCTGGTGTAGTAGCTAGTGCCATTTTCTGTCACCTCTACACTATAGATCGATAGTAATGACCGTAACGGACAACGAGTAAGAGCCGAACTATGGGTCATATGTACAATCCATCTCATTGAATGTATTTTACATTTCGTTTTCTCACGCACGTGTAAGCCTCCAGTCCTTGCCCAGTCTCCCCTCGATCACCATTAACTTCCGTCAACAATCAGCCGAGATAAAATGATAATGGTTCTTAAGAGAAGTGAGCGATTTGCATGGATAGGCGTATTTTTTATGAAAGATCTTGAGGTTCACTCCTCAATTCCCCTTCTTCCGCGTCTTAGCCTGCTTCTTCCCAGCCCCAAATCTCTTTTCTAGTTCCTCCTCCTTCATCCAATTCGGCAATTTTTTGATTTCAGCAAACTTGCGGACAATATCTTCTACCTCCTCCAATTTCTCCTTGTTGTGCTCACCACTAACATATGTCTCTGTCATGGGCATGCGATATGTGCCGTGGGTGGTGTAGAACTCCAGTTCGAGACGGTAGAGAGGCTTTTGCTTCTTGGAGGTTGTTTCCATAGTGGTTGTTTCGATGGCGACGAGCTCGTCCAGCTGCACAGACACAAATGTTGAGATTGATATATAGTGTACAGAGCAATGTACAGGATGTCAGCGTACCGGAGCAACCCTTGACCATCTCTTAAATCCCAAGGTTGTTTTGATGATGCTAACCTGCTCCAGCTGCTTGTCGAACACTGTCTCGTATGTGTCCACGACTGTGGGGTTCGTCAGATATATGAAACCACCAACGACGTACGAAATGAACAAGGTAATCCTACCAAGAGTCCAGGCCAGGTAGGCATACATTGCACTACCAGCAATTCTATATGGCAAGTCTTCAGTAGTGTAGAGTGTCATGGCAACTCCAAACTACAGTCTCAAAGGAATTAATTTTCGAATCGCCTGCTGGCCGTTAGCCGCGACTACTCACAAAGAAAATGATCGCCATCATGAGAACATCGCCCCTTCCTGTTGTGACGGGAGTGATAGAAAGACTCCCTTCTCCGCGTACGATGCGCGGGTTGATGGTCTTCCAAGCCGAAAACATTATGCTGCTGCAAGTGTGGAAAGGAACGAAAGTGTCAGCGGAAGGGATACGTCTCAGGGTAGTGGATGCTGCGCACGCGTGATAACACGTGATAGTGGCGGGTGCTGACATAATTGCGTTATAAACCAAATGGGCCGTGGCAGTAAGGAATGCTGTGGTATTCGCTGTCACAGCAGTAAAGTAGTCCTTTTAACCTCTCTCTCCTTTGACGAATGATCGTGGCCCCACATCGATCATGAAAGTTTTGACAATGCTGAGGTGTTTCTGGCGTACTGATAGGCCTCGGTCGGCCAACCTGATATTTGAGGACATGCCTACTACAATGCGTGATCTAGTTCCTGCTCTTGTGTTATTAACAAGCTTTTAACAAAAATTCGTGTATGGGCGTACGGATTTCGTGACTCATGGTGGCAAGGAAGCGAGAGGTGATTTGGGGGCTGCACACGTTCCTTGCAGAAAAACGGGGGAAGCCGAGACACGGGCGTACAAGCACGCGCTGTTGCGAGTCTTCAATTTGATGATCTCGTCCTTCACGCACTCGTGATTTATGATCGCCCGTGTGAGTGGCCACTTGTCGTAGGTGTAGAGAACATTGTTCACTTCGTAAATGACGAGATGATTCGAGTCGGTGCAATTCCACAAGTCACCATCGATACCACAGTCATTCCAAAGCTCGCGCATGACCTGACTTGTCAGAAGGATACCACCGACGGAATCGGTAACGATGACGCCCAGAGGAAGCTGCTCGATCAGCAAATGAAACAACTCGTTCCTGTGCATAGTGGCGAAGTGATCGGTGGATAAGGTTCCGCGCATGGAACGGATTATGCTGCAGTGATGCTGCAATGATGCTCATCCGGTACCGTCATGGTTGCGAATGTTATCGATAACATTCCTTGTCAAGAAGAGTGCCGCACATTGTTTTAATTTAAAAAGCTATGAATAGAAATGCGTAGAATCCAAACATGCCGTTGATTGTTCCAGAATTACCCAATGTCTCTAATCTAAACAGCGTATTAGGAAAGAAAATGTCGACGCAGGAGAAGTTCCAGGCCTCCATTAGACAATGTAATCTTCAAATCCCAATAACCAGACAATGTGCTTCTTATCAAGCAGCACGTGGAGAAAACGGCGATGACCGGAGCAGCCACAAGCGGTCATCCATTGATCGTAGACAAAGAAGATATCGTAGTGCACGGGTGGGCTGAGTCGTTCGTGTCTAGAAAATCTGGAAAATCTCGACCCGAATAATACCATGTGTAAATGTTATGGCGCTCCGAAGTATAAGACTGACATGTAGTAATGTACTCCTTCAGACTGCACAATCTTCTCAAAAATGAAGCTCTCTTTAATTGTTTTGCCGTTTCTTTATCATGTCGCATTTGGCGACATGGTTCTAGAGGACTTCTCAGACCCTTCTCGATATTTGGACGGGGCGAACCTTTTAGGGCAAGACACCAGTGATGACGGCACAATGAAAATCAACTTACCCGCCTCAAACGGTCTCTTGAGCAACCTGACTTTACAACGCGCCAATGCCGATTCTTACTGGTATTCCTTGACGGGTTGTCACGATGCTCGTCAGATCTCGGCCATCAAAATCGACATCAAGTCTAGTTCTCCTCTATCAAATATTACGATTGGCTTACACCTTTCGAAAGGCATTGCTATCGAACCTCCCCCTGCAACCTTGTGCGACACCCGAATCAAACTTGACACGACGTTGTCAGTAACAAACGTTCTCAAAACCTACACTCTTCCGTTGACCCGTTGGACTAGTTCCTTAAACCATGGCTTGTACGCTGTGGTTTTATGGAATTTACCGGCCGGAGTCAAATTTACTGTCGGAAACGTCACTTTGGTCAGCTCTACTCAGTGGGGAGCCTGTGCTGATTATTCACGAGGATGTATAAACACCAGTTCATTCCCGAAGTATCTGTCAAACACCGGTGTTCATCGGTTTCAAGTAAACGTATGGACAAACATCACTCGGCAAATACACATTCGAGCTCTCTACAGCGGAAAAGTCGTCGGCACAGTAGTCAAAACGGTCAACGGATCCAACAGTACACAAAAAGTACAAGTAGCGTTGAAATATCCACTACCTCTACCTGCGAACGGTTTATCATTGGACGGGTATTTCCAGCTCGGCAGTGTGGTGACTGCAAAAGCGAGCGTCAACCTTGTGGACAACAACAACAATTATGCTACGAAGTATACGATCTGCAAGCCGGGATTATTTGCCTTGACCTTCGACGATGCGCCCTCAAAGTATACGAGCTCGCTTTTAGATTATCTATCTTCTCAAAAAGTAATGGCAACGTTTTTTGTAAACGGCAACGCGACCAGTTTTTTCGATGGATCTCCGGTCGGGGTGGATATTTATCCAAACGTATCGAGACGGATAGCTTCCGATGGTCACTTAATCGCAAGTCACACCTACACACATCCTTGGTTGACGAGTTTGAACCAAACTCAAGTAGTCTCCGAAATGATCAGTATCGAAGATTCTCTTTCAAAACTTGGCCTTCCGAAACCTAAGATTATGCGTCCTCCCCATTCGGCGACGAATGCAGAAGTGGACAAAACTCTGAAAGATCTCGGGTACATCAATTTTTCTGAAAACATCGACTCTTACGATTGGTTTCTGTTGAAAGACGTCTATTCGAGCTTTGCCACTTTCAAGTATAATTTAGACAATGCAAATGTGGCAACCGATGGACACGTTAGCTTACAGCATAGCAGCACTCCGTACAATGTAATGTTGACTAAAATGGTGGTCGACTACGTGAGGAGCAAAGGTTACCAATTTGTTACAGTAGATAAATGTATTTGACATCTGAGGAGGTAAAGGTTACGAATTTGTTACATTAGATAAACGTATTTGACAACTGAGGAGTAAAGGTTACGAATTTGTTACATTAGATAAATGTATTTGACATCATTATAAATTATCATGTTATCGATAAAACTTGTGAATTCGTCATATCCGTGGTACTTAAAGCTCAACCCATCAGATATGTCATATTTGTCAATTGAACAATGGCGAAATGACAAGATTAGGATACGCCTTCAAAAATCCGGATCTAGATCCTGGAAAAGTTAGCGAATTATCCGAACTGACCTTTTACGATGGGGTGCACAATGATCAACATCTTTCTTCATGTCATGCCGTTGAAGAAGAAAAGCAATGTTCGTGTGCACACCAGGTGACCGGACTCAAAAACCTAAAAACACTAAAGGAACTATTGCAAATGGAACCACTACAAAGGTATTAAAGTCTTTGTCATACCGGAGACTCTGTTTCCATTAGCCGCCGATCCATACCGACGGTACTGTGATGACAAAAATGTCTGGGATGACTTTGACGATGCCAGGAAGAGTATAGGCGCACGAGTGTCTCTAGAGATATTCACGAAAGTCTGTCTCTACAGATCTTAACAAGAGCCACAGAACTGTGACGCCTCCTTGGCTCAGTTGGTTAGAGCGTCTGCCTAGTAAGCAGAAGGTCCCGTGTTCGAATCTCGGAGGAGGCATCGCAAAAATAGATTTTTTGTACCCGTCTCATGTTGGATAGCATCCCCCCCTGACCAACATTCAAACAGGACCCGGCAGCTGTAACATTTCGTACATTCGTTGTTTTTTTTTGTTCCTGGGTGAATGACAAGGTCATCTACTATATTACTGTCGAGGTATAGGTCCTCCATGAACCATCCAAATTCTACGGGTTCTGCATATCCAATGGTGAACTACAACTTTTAAACATTCTCGTCTGGGAAGAAATGTTATGTATGTTTGCCAGTATTTTTGCGGTTTGCAATACTTCTTCTTGCGAAAGGAAACTTTCTGTTCTCAATAACTCACCTTCCTGTTTTGTAACGGGGATTGTGTCGACCGTTGAGAGTCACTTGGGCAAGAGCTATCACATTGTGGAATTTCTCAAGGATAGCCATAGTGTTGATCTACGACTGTAAACGTCAAATGGGGAGAGAGTAAAGTATGCGGTTAAAGCCAGTTATTCAATGATGACTAGGTTGGAGAGATTGGAAAATTTGAGTAACCGACGAGAGGATGAAATATCATTTGCAATGTTGTACTGTGTCCGGTGATAGGGTCGTCTAGGCGGCAGGGCAACGGAGCAAAAAACATTAGACCCAAAAGAACCTGTGCATTGGCCGAGAATCGAACTCGGGTCTACCGCGTGGCAGGCGGTAATTATACCACTAAACCACCAATGCATTTATTTTTGAAATTCTCAATGCAATGATAATATCATGTGGAAACAGAGCCAATAAGCATTATGACATGTCAGCACCAAAAGTGATGTGCATCATGAGAGACCGAACCCCAACAGTATGGTCATTGGCTCGCCATAATTATAATAATGCCACCCTAAGCCTTCTTCTAATGATTGGATACAAAATCAACTCACTCTGTTTAAGGAATCTCTCGATTCTTAAGGCTTCGTAAAGGAAATCTCTGGACCCGCAAGAAGGTTGGAAAAAAGCATTGAAAGGTGCATCTTGATTGTGACAGAGAGATGTGGCTGCTATGTTACCGCGCAGAGCAGCGCCACGCCGCTGTCGTGATTCAGGAGGACCCAACAAGAATTTTGAAAGGGTAAAGTCGCTACTGGCACCTTAAGTAACAGCTTCTTGGGTTTCCAGGATACGCCACACGCCTTGCAACACCCGGTCACTGTAACGGTGTAGTAATGTAAGTCTTTTGCAATGAATGGTAGATGGACCTGGCAGACCAGACGAGTTCAGGAGGATTGTTCCAGCCGTAGCGGAAATTAGGTTCCGAACCGGTTGTCGCCGGTTCATTCCCTGGTGCGGGTGCTAGTGCCAGAACCCACCGGCTCCGCACTACGAATTTGAGCAGAATGTCTGCACCACCACCGCTTCCACCACGGACCAAGAACGGCACAAGCAACAACGACCATCCCACCCTCTCTCCGTTCTATGCTACATCTCTCTCGTCCTATCAGTCAGCTTGTCAGCGTGAAGCTGAGCTTTATGAGCAAGGACACGTCGCTGAGGCATATCAAATATTCCAAGCATTTGTAGAAGAGGAGGGAAAGAAGCGGAGGCAATTTTATGGCAGAGGTTTGGAGAAGGAACCTAGAGCGGTAAACAAAGTTGAGGCGGTCCGATTCGAAGGAGATGAAGCGCAGAAAGAACGGGTTCCGAGTGACCCTTCCACCCCGACCTTGGACGTGAAAGAAGGCCAAGGGGCGCATGCAAATGTTGCAGATACTACTGCTTTAACCAACTCTGACGATAGATCATCAGTAAACAAAGAACAACAGAATGAGAACCCCGAACCGCGCCCTACACTACCGGCATCCCAAGACCTTGCAAGCGCACTTGATCGAGCAGCTCTACTCACCTCGGATCCGCCAACAGATCTAGTTGACCTAATGAACAAAGTCCAAGAAGCCACAACGCAAGCATGTACACTCAGTAACCTCGACCGGCGATGGGAGTTTCAGTCTGGGGAAGATTCCATTACGCAGAATCTAGACTCGGAAGCCTCTCAGCGACGTGAAGCGAACAACAATGCTCTTAAAGCATTCTACGGTAGGAGCGATTGGAGTGGCGCCAACACTCTACAGGAAGCATTTGAACAAAACGAAAAGCAGATCCGGCTCCAAAATGAGCGCGATGCCCTCGAGCGATGGCGCCTAGGATATTTTGTGCCAACACTAGATAGATTGGCACAAACATCTCAAGAAATTGAAGCTCTCTACGCAAACCTCAAGTCTGATCCGAAAGCTATTCATCACATCCTCACCACGCTGCAAAGGACTCATGACACCATTCTCACCCTCATAAGCACCACCCACGACGTCAATGCAGACTGGCAGAGACGGGGTACATCAAGTCCATCTCTCTGGTTACTACAGCCCACAACGCCTGGGATCAAGCTCGTCAGGCCGACGAGACCTTTGAGGCTGAGGAAAAGAGAACCCGGATACGCATGGACGCTGAAAAGCATGCCAAGCTTCAAGCACACGTGGAATGGGTCAAGGACGCTTGTGGAAATTATGTGAAGGACCTGGAAGAACGTTGCAACGAAACCAAACAAAAAGTGGACACTCTCCTAGCAGACATTCAGCAGAATGCATCTCAGGACGACAAGATTTACCCTTCAGACGCGCTCATTACCCAACTGCAAACTACCGAGAACATCATATCTGCCCTCACTGACCGCCTTGAACACCACCTCTCAACAATTAGCAGCCAAACAGCTAGTCTGAATTCAACGGCTCATAGTCTATCCCAATCCCAGCTGTACGCACAGAATCATTGGGACATGGCACGATCTGCCGACGACTCGTTCCAAAAGTCTGAATCAGAGCGATATAAAGCGGAATCTGCCTGCCGCGAAAAGTTGCTAGCAGATCTGGGAGTCAGAGCGCTTCGCGACCGTATTCAGAATGTAGTGTCTGATCATCAGAAGCGCACGCAGAGGGCAACTGGGGATGGCGGTAGTGGAGGAGATTTTGCATCCGCATATGGGAAGTTGATGCAGCAGCAGATGCAGACACAAATGATTTCCAATATGCTGCATACAATGCATGTATCAAATATGTCGGTCATCAACAATATTGGAAGTTCAAACACGAGATGGGAATACAGACGCAAATGGTGATGATGTGCACCATGGTTGCCTACTTTGTTAAAAATAAATGATTTGTGTAGAGGTAGTCGTCTTGAATGATACTTATGTAGATATTGGAAGGATTTTTCACCCGATTCGAATATTAAGCTTCATATCGTTAGACACATTGATCACATTGGTTGTACAATAAAAAAAATCTAAACACAACACAGCCCGGCCGGCCGGCTCTTATGTTTACTATCTATCCAGAATAGTAGAAAAAAAAAATGTATAAAAAAAGGAAGAAGGTAAGTGAGAAGGGGACGGAGACGCATGCGTATCTAGCGGAATTCGAAAGCTGGACGGGGAAGAAGAAACTGAGTATACTGAAAACTTGCCAAGGCCCGTTCATCTCCTACCTGGGAATGAGGTGGAAGGAACATGTTTCAACGACAAATGCTGGAACCATTCCGAATTGTGATGCTATAGCGATAGCACAAAGTCAGCATGTAACAACATCATCTGCCCAACCAGTGAATAATGAACATACAAAGTATAAGCCCGTTATTGTCCCTGTAGACTTCTGGTAAGCAATGTAGTAAAACCCGGCAAATGATGCGCCCGAAATCGATTTGATCCGATGATCTGGTACCAAAAAGTGTTCCTGATGAAGGATTAACAACATGTTCCTTTGCGAGGTTCTTCCCAGCGCGCATCAAAAACTCTTACCTTCCATCGCATAAAGATGTAATCATTATTTTCAAAATCATATACAAATCCATCCTTGTTGAAGACGTCCGCGTATTCCTTAAACGCCGAAAATTTTGTCTATACCAATATGGCCATCAGCAACGTCATTGTTAACATTCACAATAAACATCAAGTTACCCACCCAGTGCTGTCTGTCAATTTGCTCATCGGCATCCCACTTGCGCGTCAAGAACGAGAATTTTGGACCGATGATTTCTCCTTCGAAAAAGGTGCAAAGATCTGGCCAGTCATCCGTGAGACCCTTTATACTCAGGTATCCGCAAAGGAAAGAATTTCGCAAATCTACGTGCTGCGAGAGCGAGAGAGACGAGAACATCAGCTAAACGTGACAGAGCGCAGTAATCGAGCTTTTACACAGCCACAGATAACATTTAAGGGACTAATCGCGTTGCAATCGGCGATAGTGGTCCTCGACGGACAAAATGCAAGACAATGGCATTACTTGTCTCTTTTTTTGAGACCATGCCTGCAGACCATTGCATCGGCATGAGGAACCAATGCCATCCATACAAGCACCTCATGAGCATAATTCTTGCTCACAACCTCTAGCGTCTGTTTCACGCACGAAAGTAAAATTACGGGGGCAACACCTACCTGAATCTCTACTGTGACTTCGTAAGAGCTTCTCCCACTCTTTTGTTCTCCATTGAACTTGCTCCCGGAAAAAAGGGAACTGCAGTGCCGATCAATCAGCCGCACGTCATGGTGTGCGCTCTTCTCATGTGCAAAGTTATGCTCTGGCTGATCGTCCTCAACCTTTTCCTTTCTGTCGATGGTTTCGGATATCCGTTCCGTAATGACCGGCATTTGCAAAAGGCAGACAACAAGCAGTAGCGAATATAGCGAGTGATCGGTAAGTGGCGTGGGAGCAATTAACCGTTAGACGAAACAGCCGCGTTGAACGAAGGGGTAAAATAACAAGCCAAGAGATCTGTGTGCGGTTGACGAGGGCTTTGAATTTTGACTTGTCCGCAACGAAAATCTCAAAAAGCTTGACCGACAAAATCAAAGAAAACAAAAAGCAATTGGAATGCAAATGGAGAGAAAACCCTTGGGGAAAAGACGCAGCACCACCTTGTAATCAAAACCCCCACCGAGGCCCATCAGGGGGTGCGTTGGAACACAGCGTCCAATTTTAGCCACATCCAATTTAAATTTAGCCACAGCTTAACCGCATTGAAATGTCATTTGATTGAGTAATGGAGAGCAAGTTGCGTTTGCAGCGTTTCCCAATGATCATGGGAGATGCCAATCCACAGCACAAGCAACAACAGCAACAAGAACACTTACAGCAACTTCCATCTATTCTGTCGGGAATAGAGTGCGATACCGCACTCTCCCTGTTTGCTTGCTATCAGAGGAATTCCCCTTTGGTGCTGGCACCGGGCCTGCCAACAGTCCATGTAGGTGAACTTGTCGATATATCCGGTGCTCAAGGCTGTGGAAAAACTCAGCTGCTTATGGTATGGGTCCAGCTATCATGGTTTTGTCCGAATCACTATCTAATCGTTTCCATCGTAGCAACTAAGTGCTCTCGCCGTTCTCCCCGCCACATGGACGCCGCCTTCAGCAACAGATGCGATTCCCCTCCGCGGTTCCGCAACACCAGTCCTCCTCATTGACGTAGATCTCCGATTCTCTCTCTCCCAGCTAGCTTCTTTCATGAGAGCACACATCCAGCTGTGCATTTCACCGACCTCCGTCTCTCAGGCCTCCCTCACCGCACTTATCAACAGCTCGCTATCCCGATTGCACATTTGTCGCCCTACAAGTCCGCTTCAAATGCTTGCGACTTTATTGAACGCCCCAAAATCGTTCATATTGGAGCGGGACACGCTGTCCTCACTTGTGATCATCGACGGTTACTCAACATATTACTGGTTTAACCGCTTTGACGATTATGATATCAATAAAAGTTCAGCGGGGCAACCCTCCATGCATCGCGCGATCGCACGCGCACTCAGGCGATTGAAGCAAGAGTACGCGTGTGGTGTCATTGTGACACGCGGCGAACGTGTCAGATCGAGGCATGGTGATTTTGTGGCTTCTAGAGATACTGTGTGGACCTCCCTAGTGGATAGGTTTGTCGCGGTGTGGAAAGAGCAGGAAAAGGTCCGATGGAAAGAGATGTAACCGTCGTTGCAGTATATATCTCGTATGTAGTAGTAATCATGTATAATCATGTATATAACGAATGATACCTAACCATGTGCATAAATACAATTTAATTAATGCTATCCCTCAAATTTCCGCTTCTTCTTCTCCCCTTTTTCATCTGCACCAGCCTTTTTGGACTTGCTCTTCTTACGTTTTGTCGCTGAAATGGCATCTAAGACGCCGGCCAAATCCCTTTCAACGGTTTTGAGTACCGGTATGTTTTGATCCTCGTCATTCTCTACGGCCTCGTCATCTACCACATCAGACACAACTTCTCCACGCTTTCTTTTCTTCGTCTTTTTGAACAAGTTTTCAATTTCATCTCGGCTTTCCTTGGTCACATCAGTAGATGTCTCTTCCATTGTGACGTCGTCTTGTTCATCGTCCAACGCCATCTATACGTTTGCACGAACGATCGCATATGAGCAACTGATCTCCTAACCCAAGAACATCAGCAATAAGTCAACACCGTACCTTCTCAACATTTTCGAAATCCTTTACAGCGCTAGAAACTTTCTTTTTCTTCTTCTTATCTTTCTTCACATTGTCGTCTGTTCCCTTCCTCAAGCTCTCAGCCGTCCTATTTGCGAACCCTAGCGCCGCCATACCCTCATCAAAGATATGAGTAGTCCAAAGAGGATCCTCAACTTCTTTCGATTCCCCTTCTGTCCCATCGACTGGCCCTTGCTCACTTGCAACCACCCTCTTTCCTTGTTTGTCTGCATCGTCGAAAAACTCCCCAAACATATCCTTTTTCTTTTCAACCCCAGCCAACCGCTCAACCCACTCTTCTCGTCTCCTCTTAAAGTTCTCCAATTTGCAATTTCGTGCCACAAATCGTCCGAAATGGTCGTTGCGGAGTCGATCAAAACTCTTAACGAGTTCCTCCGCCATCTTCTCTTTCAATGCTAGATCCGCCACTGCCCAGCATTTGTCAACGACATGGGAGCCATACTTATTGCAAGCCATAGGAGCAAAGCTTCCGAGCCAGCCGCGGATAAGCTTTCGTTTAGCTTTCGTATTTAGTGTTGGGGTTATGAGAAGAGTTTCTAGGAGATGAGAAGCGACCGCATCTTGGGACCACCGAATAGTTGTCTCTACAGGTAGGGGCCATGAAGCTGATAGGGATACAGGATAATAACACACGCAGGC